CAAATGAAGAACTTCACTCAGCTACGAATGCTGACACACTGAGTTCGTCGTCATTAATGGGGTAAAAAAATAGATAAATAAAAAAGTCAATAAATAACCTTCAGCGACATTCAATTAAACAGTGATCCATATCTTTCAACTATTGTAATTGACTCAACGTCTTCAACAACGTAATTTTTTTTAGTTTCTTCGTAAAACGCAAAACATAGTTTTCAGGAAGCAAAGCCTTTCCATCGATCGACCACAACGCAACAAAAGAAAACGTCGATCGTTCTCGCCCCTTTTTTGAAAACGAATTTTGTCCCATTTTTTAATAAAAAATTTAAAAAAGATTTTCTTTAAATTCGTTTTTTCCTGAAATGAAATGGAATATTGAAAAACTCAAGAAGAATGAGTATAAGAAAATTTGGTAGTGAAAAAACGGTAGCGAAAAATCGAAAGTGAAAAAACGGTAGTGCAAAATCGGTAGTGAAAGAACTATAATTTTGGTAGTGAAAATTTGGTAGTGAAAAATCGGTAGTGAGGAATCATTGGCCGCGAATTCAACGAATTTCGAATTTCTCGTTCAAAATCTGATTTCTGATAACGATTTCTATAAATTGAATTTCTAGATTTATTTATTATTATTCGCGTTGAGATTGCTACATTGTAGCCGGGAATTCGCAATCTAAACTCCGCCTCCAGCGTTTGTTTCATGAGGCAAATGCGCTCTAGGGCAATACAGCGTCGATCGGGAAAGCGCGTCGGGGAGCAGAGAGTGTGCTAACATGAGAGAATGTGCCAACACTTAGCGTCAATTTGAAGTTCTTGTCGTCAAATGCGCTCTGTCGCAGGTCTCGCACCGACGCCCAGTGGCACTATAAAAGGCCGGCGGAATGAGGAATTTGGTCATTCTCGCAGCTCTCCGAGTTGCGAGCAACCCGCCAGCGGGCTCCTCGTGTCCCGCATAACCTGCGGGCTCCACGTGCCCCCGCGCAACCTGCGGGCAGCCCGCATCTCCTGCGGGCTCGCTGTGGCCAAGGATCCACTAGGTAAGTCGCATTCATCGCCGTCGCTTTTTCTGATTTCCTCTTTTTGCAGATCCGATATGAGCCACAGTCGATTCTCCATCGACACCTTCGGATCAGAAGTGTTCAAGGTGTGAGGGATTCTCGCCTCGACCGGCTCCGTTAGTCAGGGCTCACCCTTCAATGGGCGTACTGCAGTGTTGGTTCGAGGTGACGTTAAACCTACACTGAGGCATCGAGGTGATGAAGGAAGAGATGGAGAGGCGACGAAAGGTCGATGCTGCCCGGGGCGTCGAGCAGAGTGAGGAAGCGGATTTAAATGGTAACGAAGAAGCAACAATCGATCAGAGTAATTCGAATCATTGCAGGCGTTGTCGATTTGTGGATCGAGAGAAGACGACTGGAGGAAGCGACGAGGAATGACACCAGTGAGAAGTAATTGATCCGCGGATCATGGTAGTTTTAGGCCCGGGCCTTATTTTTATTTTTATTATTTATTAATTTTTTATTATCACTCACTTGCACCAGCCGTACCACTTACGGCTTCCCCCTCTTTCTCCCATCACTTGGGATTCCCCCTTCTCTCCGTACATTCGTACCACTTACGTCTGTACTTTCTCCTGGTCCTACCGTTTGGGACCATCCCTTCTTTTCTGGGGAAAGCCGGCTTCCCCATCCTCCTTCCTGCCGTACCACTTGCGGCTTCTCACTCTCTCTTCTTTCTGTACATTCGTACCACTTACGTCTGTACATCCTTCCGGTCCTACCGTTTGGGACCACCCTCTTCTTCGTATTTTTCGGGGAAAGTCGTACCACTTACGGCCACGCCAGTCATTCCACTAATGACTGGCTTCCCCTTCTTTTTTTTTCTTTTTTTTTTTAATTTGTATCTTTAGGTATGTTTAGGTATCGACGTTTCCGCCGCCGCCGCCGATGGAAGGATCTTGCCGGTGAATCGACTCACCGGCACACATCCCACAATAAGTCTAAGTCTCTAAGTACCTCTAGTCTCCCTAACTTTTAAACCCGCCGTAGTCGGCAATCCCTAGGTCGTAGTCGGCCACCCATAGTCGTAGTCGGCTACTCCCCAAAAGCGCCGAGGCTTCCCGTCCCTCACAATCGTAGTGCCGAGGCGTTGGCTGGATGGCGGCTTATTCGTCGAATCCTAAATTCGGGTGATTGGCCTGGCAAGCCCTTCAGCCCTGATTCCGTAGCCGGGAATCGAACCCTACCCAAACGCCCCCGTTTCAAGTACTCTCGAGTGCTTGGAAACTGCTACGGGGCGTTATGGATGGTTATGCTTTAGAAATTTGCTTCACCGGGTGTCCTCCATACTAGTCAGGATGGCATCTGGCCCAGACCTATATTGACGTGGATTGGCCAGCTATGTCAATATGTCCAGCCTTTCGGGTGCACATGGACCGTGCTTCTTGGCATAGTAGCTTGCTACTTTGTAGTGGCTTGCTACTACTTAGTAGTAAGCTTCTATGCTAGGAGCACAAAAACCACATTACCATATCACCAGTAGACCCGGGGCCCAGCCAGACGTGGCTTGCCCAACCACTTCTACTTCTATTATCCTCGGATGATAGTTGTGGGATGTCCTTGGGTGATCCCCATGGTGGGATCGGCGATGACCCACATCAGGTTTCGGCCTGATGCTGGTGAGCCTCTCCTTCAAGTGTCGAGCCTCTACGTGGCGAAGGAGATCAACTGACTCGACTCTCCTTCATGGTGGGTCGAGTCAGGCTAATCGACACACACGCAATTCGGGGATATTCTTCCTTTCCGTTTGATTTTTTTCAACTAGTCTATTTTACCGTATCCAACATCACACACAACCAAACGTGGCTATAAATATCTAACGAAAACCACCATATTGAGCGTAATTGAGCGAATATTAAATATTTAAGGCTTTATAAAAACGAAATATTTTCAACAAGTCTTGCAACATTCTTAAGATCCTCAATATCTCGCTCGACGGATCCTTCAATTGCGACAAATTTCGGAATCGCCGCATTTCGTACAACGATTCCTGCTTTTTCGAGGGAATCCAAATTTTTTCCGTGGATTTTGATTCGCGCTTTTGTTGGATCTTCGGGAATTGATTCTTCAACCTTAAACCTTGTAATTTAATGAAATGAAATACGGAAAATTATTCTACTTGATTTTTTACATCGTATTTATCACAAATTGTTTTTACATTTTTTCCATATTTTCCAATAAAAATTCCAACAAATTCCTGATCGATGAGGAGTTCAACGGTTCTCACGGGTCCACGTGAGTGATCGATAATCTCAGCGACACGGAGTCGGACCATTTCGAACTAAACAAATTTATCTGAGAAATATCTACGCAAAAACCAATACCTTTTTCTTATTATTCGTTCGAACAATTAAAAAATGGTATTTTCCATCTGCTGGCTTCTCTTCATTTTCAACCCATTCATCAATCCCTGGACTTTCGTCCCAGCCTTCTTGAATGATTTCCAAACTGAAAACCATATTTTAAGAAGATATCAATAATGAAAATAACACTTTGCTCGTTCTGCTTGGTCTTCTGATAATGAGCTGATTATACATTCAACCTAAAATTAAATAATTAAAGTAAAATTTGAAAATAAACAAAAATTACTTCTAATTCGCTTGAAATTTTCCTAATAGTGCTTCCTCTTTTCCCAATCACCGCGCCAATAGCAAAAGAGGGAATTCCAAGAAAATATTGCTTATTATCATCAATGATTTCAATTTCGTCTTCGTCTTTTGCCGAAAAATATTTTAATATTTTTGAAAAATAAAAAAATTGTGGTCAAAAATTCCATACACAGGTTTCCAATACATTAAGAATGCTATATTTTCATAAATTCTAACCTTCATTTATATCATATCCTTCCTCTTGATATTCCGACAGATCTTCGACAACGGCCTCTTCTGTCATTGACGAATCATTCATCAATAGTTCCTTTTTTTCGCCTAAACTAAACATTAAAATTTTTTTATTCTTCTCAAACCTGATGATTCCATGTCGTTTAACTCACACATCTTTGAACTGGTATCTCTTTTCTGAGACTTTTTTTCGAAATTACCACGAAAATTAGCCAACACGGCGTCTGAATAATTGATATTAATATGCATATATCTATATATTTTTCAACACAATTGGTTACCTATGTGCTGCCCGCTTCTTTTTCGAAGCTTCACTCGCTCATTTCCAAACATGGACGCTGAAATGAAATACTAATTTTTCAAGAAAAATTAAATAAACAGAATTTCTTTGATCCTATTTATTGAAATCTATGAATTTCAAAACGTGGTGTAATCACGGCCGCATGAACTCTGCGGACTTGCATTTTAATCTACGCCTATATATTTCAAAGTCTGCGCAGAAGTTGCGAGGTTTTGCCGAGTAGATTTTTTTTTCCTGAAGGCAGAGAAGTCGAAACTGAATATTCAATTTTGTATAGTTAACAAGAATACAGATTCTCATATAGTTAATTCTCACGGACCACAATTCTCCATTTTTGGCTCTATAGTGGAACAATACATTTTTACTTTTTTTCATACATTATTCCTCATATATGAGGTTTTTAAATCGTAAACTCACAAAATATGTATATACGTATGAGGCCGTGGCCGAACATAATTTTCGAGGAAACTAAAATTTAAAAAAAATGAGCTGCATCGAAAAGTGTTTTAATAAAGCTTTTTCTCAATATTTTATTTGCTATCTGAAGACAAGTAGAAATTATGATGGCGCAATTTTAAGGAATCTGATTGCTGCGGACAATACGCGAGAAAAAAAATCGTTTCACATTTAAAAAAAATCAAGAAAAATATGCGTAATATTAAATAAATTAATTTTTCTTCAATTCTGTTGGAAATTTGCCACGTGTCACCCACAAAACGAAAATCGACTGACGTGATCTCGAATCAGTGTCATCTCGTCATTTCTGGCTTCCGAATTCAGTTGTTTCTAGTTGAAAATCAATGTAATATGTCGACGTCGGCGCCGATGGATTCGTTGCACAGCAAATGCAAGAAAACGCCGGAGAAGCGAATTCAAATGCGAAAAGTGAGTGGCTTCGCAATGTTTGAATTGCCTCCAAAATGGCTTTTTCAGAAGACACCGAAAGAGCTTGAGGAAATGGCGACGGCGAAGGCGACCGATCGAGCGCTGTCATGCGAGTCCACCGAGGATGAGCCGCAGCCACCGCGCGCGGTACCAAGTCAAACATCAATGTCGAAGCTTAACAAGGATTTGGTAGGCATCGAATTCAAGCCTCACTTCTACTATAAGTCGAAATTCCAGCAAAAAGTGCCGATGGTGAAGGCGTTTGCTCATGCCGAAGCGGTTGAGGCGAATCAGAAGAAGTGAGGACGGCATCATCGAAACGCCACCCAAATTTGATTTTTATTCGAGTGAAAATAATGAAACAGAATACGAATTAATTAATAATGTATGTATAATTGGGCAATTATCGTGACACTGCGTTTAATATGAATTTTGCAAAATTTTTTCAAATTCTCTCTATTAGCCGAGCTCCATTTTACAATCGTCCTCGTCGGAATCATCGTCGAGAATGTTGATGTCAAACGGAATCGGCGCGATCGGACGCTTATTCTTCTGACAATTGTCGCGAACCTCGGATGCTACCTCGAGCGCGTAATTCTCAATGATCTGAATGCAATCAATATTGAATTGTGGGTCTTGCGACGAATTTTCTTTTTACTCGTCGTTCATCGAGCGCATTGAACTCGACCTTCTTCTGCGGCGTTTTGAACGGATCACCATCAGCAAGCTTCTAAATAGGTTTTGAAATTAACATGACATTCTCAAATACCAACTCGAGCTTTTTTCGCTTTCGCTTCCAGCTTCTGCCTCATTTTTGTCTCCTCCCTCTGCTTATCCTTCTCCGCTTTACCGCCGCGAGTTCGACGACAGGGTCCATCCGACATTGGCAACATTTCCGAATCTATAATTCTCAATTTTCAGAAGTCAGTTTTTTCAGCCATTTTCGAAGCTCACGCTGAGATTTCTCTTTTACCAAATCCATAATATTCGACTTCCATCTCAACTGCTTCTGAAAATCAACGACAGATTCAACGATCGACGCCATACGGGTGCTAAAATCAACAATTGCACAATTCTTTTTTCGAAAAAACAGATTTCTCCTACTCGCTGACATCTTTTGTTGCTTGCGATTCTCTTCCTCGTAAATCGAGACCGCGATAGAGGAATTCATCTTCCTGAACACCGCAAACAGTTTCGAACTGCTTGCTCATTCGTCTCGTCGTAATTTTCCGATCCACTTCGACTTTCACATTGGCAATCACTGCCTAAATCATGTTTTTACTCGTAAATACTCGAAAAAAAGAAACATTTATTTACTTCGTTCAGGTGCAATTCGGTTTTTTTGTCGAAAAACTCGGTGTTTTTGCCAAGAATCTGACGAATTTGGTTTCTTTTCTCATTATATTCATCAATCGTTGTCACAGACGAGTCGAATCCTTTAAGCTCGATCGCGACAGCGTCAGGAAGATGAGATTCGCCTAGGATTTCCTCAATAATGTGTTCCAGCTGAAAATAAAACGATATAAATATTATTTAATTAATTTTCTAACGTACATTATGAATAATTGCTTCAGGCGATGTTTCCCGCCGATTTTCATCATTTTCATTTGTAATCGTTTCATCATGCCGTTCAACAGACAATCTCGCCTTCTGAAAACACAATCATTTCCATTGTTAAAATGAAAAATCAATTAAAGTTTACCTTTACATTTGTGTGCCCTGTTTTTTGGAAGCGAGCGCTTCCTGAGCGTTTTGACGCCCGGGTGAGTGGCATATAATCCTCTAAAAATTTAAATATTCTCTAAATTTAATGAAAATCGAAGAAGCACAGAAAACGCTTCGAAAAATACCATCACCACAATTGCTTTTTTGAAATTACCGCCACTTGGTGTGCACTATTGTTCCACAGTGTTTGCACACTTTCCTTTTGTAGCCCGCAATTTTTTTCTTTTTTTTCATTTGTTTTTTTTTTTAACAAATTTCAGCGCTAAAATTATTCAAATTTATCAATAATTCAAAAATTTAACGAAATTTATTAGTAATTTGTGCCAAAGTGTAAAAAAAAGAAAAATCACAATAAATAATTCATTACGCAGTAAGTTCCTTGTAATACAAATTGCATTGTTGTGTAGTGGCCGAATCCAAACGGAATGTTTTCGGCTTCAAATGTTTCGTTCTAGTTTTCGTTTTCTTCGATTTTTTGCCTTCCATAATCTCCTCAATTGTAATTTGCCTACGAAATATTTCATATTTGAGATATTTGCAATCAATGTGAAACCTCAATGACGTCTCATCTTGTTCAGTAGTAAGACAATAATGATAAGGAAGGGAAGAAAATGTGGCTTCTGTGTGCGTCAAAAATCCAGAATTCGCAGAAATGGTTGAAGTGATTCGATGAACTTCAACAGAATGATGAGACATAGTAGTGGTTACACTAAGGAAACCAGAAACCCTATAAATCGGTCTGTTTTTATAATAACATTTTTCGAAAAAAAAAACATACTTGATGTCTAATTCACCGGCAGATTGCATATTCCAAAGTGATACTTCAGTGGCAGCGGATACTTGAATTCCCAAAGCTCCTGCGCCATCAACATTCGCTGTTAGACCCGATAGTAGTGGGAACTTCAACGAATAATCGCGAAGCGGAACGTTGCCCTCAAAATATGCATTTTTTTTCCCAAAAATATTTTGCAAAGGTACCTCAAACGCTTTGATTTTTTCGCCGCCAGCGTTCCAAAACGTCGCCAGCAAATCCGCATTGCTATTGAAAACGTTATAGGCCGGAAGATGATGTCCAAGGAGTCCTAGGCGAATTTTAGCGTGCGGATCACCCGATCCTTCCTTATCCGAAACAAACTGCTCCAAGTTGTCCGTGTGGATGTCCAACGCGAATAGCTCCTCCTCGAGTTTTCCCTTTTTCGAATTCAATCGAAAACTGGATCGCTTGAATAGCTTCGATCCAAATTCCGTCGAGCTCTCAGCGAACAGCTTGAAACCGGCAGCTTCGGCGATCTGCTGCCAATGCGCATGAGAATCGGCTTGAAGCGCGCGATGTGCATAATTCGGACGGAACACTTTGAATTGCCGCATTCGTTTCCAGAATTCTTCCTTCTAAAATCATAGTTCATCTTCTTATCATTTCAATTAATGGTCCGTATTAAAAATCTACCAGCTCATCTCTTTCCGAGCTTGATCGAATCGCCGAATAAAGGTAATTCCATTTCTCCTGATCATCAGGATTCAAAGATTCCGTTCTAAGGATCAATGTGGCCGCATTTTGATGGTCCGGCACACAACGAATTAGAATATCAATTGCCAATTGCGATTCGGTTGTCGACGTCTCCGTCGGACATGTATTTCGGAACAATCTAATGAGCTTTTGAATCAACTAAAAAGAATTTGAAGGAAGTTTTCCGCTTCAATCCCACCTGCGATTCATACAACTCCTTTCTAGCAGCGAATATCGTTTTCAAGGCGGCGATTTGAATTTTTTGAGATTTTCCAGTGCAAATATTCTCTTTTGCCAGTTGGTAGCTTCTAATAAAATTTTCGAGATGAAATTGGGAAAAAAAAAACACAAATTACTTCGAAATTGGGATGTTGCGAAGAATCTCGAAGACAATTTCCAGATGCTCATCACTTGTTGCCTTCTTGAGAAGATCGGCGACGAATTTATTAACAATCTGAAAATTGGGACATTTTTAAGATTTAGTCAAATTTTAGATAAAAACAAACCGCTTCTTTTCCATTATTACACGAATTTCTGGCGCTCGTCGTCGCTTCGCACCGTTTTCTGAGCACCGTCGCAATCGTGTTGGCGATTTTCCAATACCTCTCATCGCTCTTCTGCTCAATCATCATGTACATCAGCTGTTTGTGCCATTTCTCGTTTCTCGATGGTGAATTTGCGACGCCGAACAGAAAATCATCAAGCGAGTCGAGTGGTAGAACATTCCTGGCGATTTCGACCGAATCCACCGTTCCACAACTTCCAAGCGCATTGGCGATCACCGGTCTGAAATGAAAAATGTCAATCTTAAGTGTTCGCTGAAATTCCGAAAAATTACAAATATTGCGATTGGCTCTTGATCGCCGCCTTCCATTCGTCGCTCGTCGTTTTTCTCGCAACCTGGACAATTTGCGAGTAGATCGATGCCCTCTTCGCCAGCTTCTCCTCCCTTCCATATTCATCAAGAAGCTTCTCGAGCCTTCCGCCATTCAATTTCAATCCGATTCGCACATTTTCGTATAATCGCTTGCCGACTTCAACGGCGCCGTGTCCTTGTTCGGCGCACTGTTTCACCGTCAAATCGTTGCCGCATTTCCTCTCAATGAACAGCCGCGTGCGATTCGTGATCTCCACATGTGTTCGACTCTCGAGCGCGAATCCGTGCTCGTGATGGATCGGCGATCGAACGGATATCGATTCGATCGCGTCGATCATTATGATATCAGCGTCGACTTTGGTGTTCTGCGTGTACCACGCGTCCTGATTGTAGTGAACGTTGTCGAGCCCATCGAATCGGGAGAAATTCCTGAAGATGCGTGGTTCAAGAGAATTCCAATCGAACATTACTGTCCATATCCAATATCGCAGTTATCGATGATTCGCCTGAATCGTTTGTCTTCGGGCCGTCCAAAGTGCACCCGACATCGTCCGTAGACAGTATTCACCGTCTGCTCATCACCTTCGCCATACTCGGCAGGCGTGTAGATCGCGTTCACGATGCCGAACAAAAAATTCCATGAGGCTTCGGTTTGACCAGCAGCTCTGGAATTCAAATGCAAAAAAAGAACATAACATTTTCCTTTTATGGCTTTCATTTTTCACTGCTACCTCAAAACCCAATACAATATTTTTGCAATTCGGTGTCGAAATTTTGCAAAAATTTTTTTCGATCAAATCGAAACAGCCAAAATTCCAGTCGAATGTTTAAGCGCTTACTCCAAATTAACAAGCACATGCTCAATATTATTTCCGCCTTGTGTGAACGCGACAATCACCGGCGGCGGATTTCCGCAATTGTTCGTATTGCATTGAGTCAGCTGAAATTCGCCGAATGATTACATTCATTTCAATTATCAATAACCTCAAATTTCGCCAGCATCCTTCCATCTAGATCGTGATGAAGTGTTTCAAACGAAAAATTGCCGGCGATCACTGTCGATGGTGCATCGGCCTTATTTTTCAAATGATCGTATAATACCGATTCGGTTCGGAACCAGTAGTCCACTCGTAAAAGTCTTCAATATTTAAATTCTTAATTAATCAATTGATCTTGATTCCACCTTGTCATATTCTTCTCATCGATAGGGGATGAGCTTCGAAGTTGATCCAAATCCAGTTTTTTCGTGGCCAATTTTTTGCGGATTTTTTCAAGATCCGGCTGCGCCAGACACCCTAATCAACAAGGTTTGATTATATCCCTAATTAATTACCATTCAATTACCTGATATTAGTAGAATTATACATAATAGTTTCATTGAAGCGCCAAATATAGTCTGCGGGCGAATGCAGAAACTACTGATAACCTTTATTATTTGCATGATAACGATTATTGGGAGGCTCTTGTTGCGACACGTCGACTAGCGAGCCGGTACTAATTACTATATTCTAATTTTCAATGATAATTAGAAAGGTGATTAATACAGTAACAGTTTATTAATAATTACACATCTTTCGATTGCCGACTGAAGCACTCATGAGAGCTGTTCTTCGACCTCATCTTTTTTCTTTGGTTTTCCAGATATTCGTTGATCGAGCTGATTGGATTTGACCTCTGAAGCGATTTTTTCAAGGTGAAATCGAGTAATTTCAACGATTACGTCATACACAACCGTCTGGGTTAGCCGCAAATTGAAGTGGATGCGAACCGGCAGAGGTGTGGCACTGTGCGATTCCTTCACCTTCAGCTCACCGACCTCCGTATCACCTGAAATTTCGAAAAACTCGTAATCGTCTCGAAATTGTTCGCTCACAATTCGGCGATCGTGATCCTGAGCTGATTGTCTTCTTCCGTTCGCCATCGTCATTCCCTGTACACCGACTCAGAGCAGCTGTAATTCAACAAAAATTCAATTTCACGATGATTCTCTTCGTTTTACTTGCACTATGCTCAATGATATTCTTGAGTGTGTTTCCGTTAATGACGTCATCCGAGAAATAAGCTTCGTCTCGACTTTTTAGAACTTCAACACTCTCGGTCTCGTCGAGTTTCGGCCTAGATGAATTAAAAAAAACATTTATTATATGATATGTAATAAAAAAGGCGACAAACATATCGGGCAAAAAATCAAGAAACGTTTTATTTTTTCAAAATTCGCTGTTGCGGCAAAAACTATTGAAAAAAAACGCCAGATTGATTTGCTGTTAAAATTGGAAAAGTGTGCAATTATTCGTCTGCGTGGTTACACAGATACAGTATTTTTTGGAAATATTTAAAATTTGAGTCTGAAAAGAGGCAATCGTAATTTGTCTTGGCAAGACCCGCTCAACAATAATGAGAAAGCTCGGAATGTTTATCCAAAAAAAAAGAACCGTTCTTTTAGCACGAATTTCCAAGAAATTTGTTCAAAATGCTTTTTTAGATATGGTATTTAAAGACGCATACAATATTTTCTGTGTCTCGCAGCGACCGATTGTCGTTTTTTTTTCATAAACAATTTTTTTGAAAAAAACCCACTTTTCAGTCGGCGCTGGTGTAAACGAAATTCCGCCTTCAAGATACTTGACGACGTGCTCCGACGTGATTCTGCCCTCGACCTCGACACCCTCCTTATCCGCTTCGGCTTGGTCAAAAAGCACCTGCGTCCAAAACGGCTGTCCATTCTCATCAAACAATTTGCCCTTGTTCTCATTATTGCAAATGCGTTCCGTAATATCTTCAGACTTTAAAGTTGGCTTCAAAATTTGATTTGATTATTAATTTTAAGCCGGCAGAATTATAGTGTATGTTTCAGCTTACATCAGTTTTTCCCATTCTCGACACAACCGGCTTCTTCGTGAGCGTCTTGATTTTCTCGGGCATCACCTCATTGCTAATCTCCTTCGCCTTCTTAAATTCCATTTTGCGCCTTTAAACCACCAAAAGCTTTATCGGGCACGATACCGTTGCGAATTTGATTGGTTTGATCGATTTTTTCGACGCGATCTCCTTGTAGAATTTGGTGATTTCAACTTCGACGTCACGACTCTTCGCCGCCTTCTCGCGCGCCCCTTTTTTGGCTAGAAATCAACAAAAAATTTCAATAAACGGTACATCACGCCAAATAATAATTAAATTAAATTCCTCTCGAATTTTTTAGATGCGCAAAACATAAAAAAAGAAAAGGAAAAACATTTTTTTCTTATTTTTCCTTCGTTTTTCTGCATGAAGTTTTCTTTTTTTTTAATCATTTTTGCCACATTTTCAATCTCAATCAAATATTTAAGAATTTCTATATTCAAACTATTATATTTGCAAAAAACGAACATATAAAAATTATAAAACCATTTCAAAAAATGATTTCTTTAGTGGAACCACTCAATAACCCATTTCTCATCAATTTTTATCAAAAAATTGTTAAAATCATTAAGAAAAAAAACCTTCACGGCCAATTTCTGAACAGAAAAATCCGATTTTTTACTATTAATTTCAATTTCCACGCAATGACGCCGACCGCGACGCATACGCAACGCGGCGATTCATGGCCGCCTAAGCGCGCGAATTTAAATAACGAGAAGCCTGCTCAAAAGCACACCGAATTTGTTGATGCAATTCAAAATCACCTTTCTCCTTATAATCTCTCGGCCGATGCGAATCGGGCTCGAATTTCGCCATATGCGACGACGACGACGTCGCGTTTTTCGAAACTCGCGGCCGCTTCGATTCTTTCGGTGTTTTCTAGAAAATTCGTCGGTCACAATTTCAAACGCGCTTTTTCATTTCCAACATGCTTCTTCTTGTGCGCGTAGGCGTTGTGTCGAACCTTCTTCTGCGTCGTCGATCGCGACTGGTCCGTCTCGCTTCTTAAATGGCCCGATGACTGCAACGACATGAAATTCTTGAGTTTTGGTTTGATTCCCTGTTGATTCCTCTGCATTTTTTTTTGATTTTCTACAATCGAAAATCGCAATTTCTCAATTTCGCATTTATCGCTCACTTGTTACTACCAAATGCCTCTATAAAAACTGAGCTCAACACTCTACGCGTGGAAAAAAAATTATTTATTTTTTCTCAGCTATTTGAAAACATTAGCATTCTGTTAGTAATTACATATCACATTTCTCCTCATAGAAAAAAGGCACAAGCAATAAATACAAAAAAAAACCCAGTTGGCTAAATGCGCTAAAAGTGATAATAGAGATCTTTGAATGCAAAAAAAAAATACAAAACGAAAAGCAGCTGTGTTAATTAATACCGACAATTATGTATGATATTTAATTAGGCAAGGCTTTCATCGTCATTTCCCGTCTTTGGCGAATGAACTTGCGAGGAAGAAGCGGTGACTTCTTCAGGTTTCGAAGGCGACGCCTCCTCGTCATCGTCATCCTCCCAGATTCCATAGTTTCGATTTTCCGCCTTTCTCGTCTTATTCAATCGATCGTTGAGCTCTCTTAAAGCCTTTTGTCTGAAAAAAAAGTTCATGATTAATGTTTCCATCATTTTCAGCGTCACCTTCTTCTTTCCGCGTCCTTCGCTGAATGCTCAATCGCCGGCAAATTGATTCCGACAGCAACCGATTGAAGTGAATTCAAGTCGACATGACGAACCTTAAAACAGGAAATTATCTTGATTTACGTGATTATTGCTATCTCGAATACCTGACGCTTGCAAACTCCTAATCTAGCGAGACTTCTGAAGCACACACGTCCAATCAATGTGAAAATCGGCTGAGTTCTTGATGGAAACAAGCTGGCCCATGTAAAATGCTCACTGCCATCCCCATAGATTTCATCAGTCTCGTGCGGATTGTAGAATCGCAAATACGTCCAGCAGACTTGAACAGCGATGAGCGTTTGGAAAAATGTGGTCTAAATAAGGAAACTGGATAATTATTTCGAGGAGAATCTCACAAAATAGGTGAATTTGGTGAGCGCTAAAATGAATGTGACGCAGATGGCGAAAAATGGAAGATGTGTGTATTTGACTCGTCCAAACGGGGTGCTGAATACAATGGAATCCGGGAGAAACTGAAAATGCTCAATAAAATTTTTAAAACACCCTTTTTTGGTGCGTGCCTGCTTCATTAAAACTAAAACAGCAGCGTTGACCGGTACGAGACCAATTAAAGGCTCAACATAGAATAGACGAATGTAGTCGAAGAAAACGTATAGCAAATAAGAAATGATTATAACTAGCAAGGTTGTCATTCCCTAAAATGTTTAATTTTAAAAAGAGACACAGAAAAAGTGGGAAACTTGAGTAATCGCATAGATTTTCAATAGCGATTCATTGGAATTGTTTTGTCTGAGAAGATTTGTGCCGAGATGAAGACTCCAGATGGTCCATGCGAGGTCGAGAACGTTGTGGCCACAGAATGCGCCGGTTATAATTCTCCATGGCTGAAATTTTTAGAAATATGATTAGAATAAGTAATTGTAAAAAATTGAATTTTTATTTTAAGAAAATTTACTGAGATTTGTAAGCTTTTTCGTGAAATCGGGAAAACTCAAAATTAAAATTGAATATTTATATCAAATTTTATACCTCCATCGCCACTAGCTGGAATGGGTGAAGCCATAAAAGGACGCGAGCCAGGTGAATATACGATAAAATGAATCCTAAAATTATTTGCTTAATTAAAAAAATAATAATAAATTACCAATAATTCTCAAGGTAATGCAAAACCGAAAAGGCAGAGCATTATTTCTCAATACATCCGAATGTCGCTCAACGACGATTTGCAGCTCGCCGAGCACCGATTTCACTTTCATCACCAATTCAATGAACAATGGAAATGGGCGCTGAAAAGATGAGGAACAATAAAAATGAGAATGAAAATCAGGTTCTTCCACGTCGGGACGAGGGATCGCCAGCGAAAATCCGTATATGAGCTGGATTGGGCAAACGCGCTCCATTGCCAATCTGTTCAATTTCAACACCATTTTTCCGGATTTTTTTTTATTTAAATGGTTAGAATAAATAATGAATATGTAAATAATTACAAATACATGTTTAAATACACAATTATTCGTGCTCACTGAGCCGATAATTCAATTCCAGCGGGATCTCCTTCGACTGATTCCTCTTCTTCATCATCCAAACAAAGCGAATCGAAAAATCTTTTCCCATGAGCTGATTGTCGCAATAAATGTCAATTTCCATATACTTGGATTGCTCATCAAAAAGCGAAAGGGCAACATACCTAAATAAGGAGAAAAATGACGATTGCAACAGGGAATATCATACTTTTTAAGGCAATTCATCGTCGCCATTTCGCTCGTCCTCAAGTACGGTCGAGCCACCATTGGAAGCGTTGAAATGCCTGGAACAAGCTTGACCATGACTTGCGGCTCGTCTCGATGATGAGACAGCAAATAAGGCCCTCGATAGCATCGATTAGTTCCGCGAATTCTCTCCTCCTAAATCAATTGTCAAAAATGCCTTCGACACTATAACTCACTTCTTGTTGTCGCTTCTTCGCGCGCTCTTCAATCGACTTATCAACTCCCAAATTATCATAAAACTTCTTGACAAACTGCTTCCGTCGCACTTTTTCATCTTCCTCAAGGTTCGGAACAAGTTTCATCACGAGATCATTTATTGCCCGATCATAGGTGACGTATTGAGCCGGATGGCTGCCGTGCACCAAAATTCCGCACGTCGGACAGGTCGTCTCATCATCCTCGAAATGCAATAGAATGCAGCTTTTGCAAAATGTGTGCATACAATCAATTATAGTGGTGGCATCAATGATGTAGCCCTGAAAAAATAAATAAATTCAATTCTAGCTTTCAGCTCTTTACATCGCAAAGTCGACAAACGACAAATGGATGAATCGTTTCCATTTCATACACAATTGTTCCATCCGGAAAATTCGCCTTGACCGGTTTATCATTGGGACCAATCAATTCCTGCTGTGCGAGGTACTGAAAACCAGAAATTAAGCGATATACTTAAAATATTTGAAATGTTACCAATTCCTCACGTCTCCGCCTATTCAAGGTTGTCAACGGCCCAAAGTTCCATTTACTAAAAAAAATGTGAATTTTAAAATTGAATGATTCAAATGGTAAAAGATTTTGTGGGGATGCTCAAAATGCATACGGAATTTAGAGTTCGTACTTTTCAACTTGCATGAACGGGAAAGGATCTTCTTCCTGCTGCTTCTTTCTTCTCCCTCGCTTCGTCGGCTCTGGCTCTGGCTCCGGCTCCGGCGCTTTTTTCGCGCTTTCATCGACATAATCCTCATCATCATCATCATCGTCGTCCTCATCATCGTCATCTTCATCATCATCGTCATCATTCCTCTTCTTCTTCTTTTTCGCCTTCGTCGCTTTTCTCCTTTCCGCAGCTTGTTTCTTCATTTGAGCTTTGGTCAATTTCTTCGGCTTCGGCGGCTCCGGTTCGGGTTCTGGCTCTTCGTCGGGCTCGGGTTCCGGACTCGGCTCAGGGCTTTGCGCTTTTCTCGATCGTCCCTTCGCTGGTGTCTTCTTAGACGGCCCAGCTTTCGAGGTTGATGCTCTTGTAGCTTTTACAGGAGCTGGAGGGGTCGATGTCCGGTTCCTAGTGGCTCTTCTCGTCGTTGGAGGGGAATGTTCGACTTCCTCAACCTCCTCAACTTCCTCCACCTCTTCCTCGTCATCCTTTTTGTTCTTCGCCGCTGTTTTCGGCTTCGCAGCCGATTTGCGCCTACGAGTCATCTAAAAACGATGTGAATGCAAAAAAGGAAACATACAGAAATACATTATGGCAAAATTACCATAAATCGAAGAAAAGTTGAAAAAAATTTTAAAGTCATTATTCATTAAAACAACGAAGGTATAAAAAACATGTTACACATCACGGTTGCGAATAAAAATGAAATGAAATTAAACAGATTGTTCGGTGTAAAAAATCGTGAACCCGAAATGAATACAGTAACAATTATAAAAAAAACAAAAATAATCCTACATTCGCATGGGATTGCTTTGGAACCTGAAAATAGAATTTTGTAAGCTTAAAAAAGCGAAAACAATGGAAAAACTTGCCTTCCTTGTTCCCGCTCATCCCTTTCCCTTTGCTCGTGTGCCAGATGCGCAGTATTCGACAGAAATGCCAGCGCTCCTTTATGACACCGATTCGCGTAATGACCCTTCTCGCCGCACTGAAAACACCACCATTTAAATTTTTAAATGAATTTTTGACGAACCTTATAGCACGTGACATCCGCTAGATTCTTCTTATCGGGTATCATTGAGATATCAATTCGATTTTGCTGTTCAGCAGGCTGAAAATCAGAAGTTCATTTACAAATCAAAAACCTAGAAATTGCTTACATTATTGCTCTGCCCTGGTAGATGCGGGCATTGCGTTGCCTTATGACCCCGTTCGTGGCAATTATGACAAGTGATTTGTCCGAACGCGTTTTTATTATTGAGAATCGAGTTTTCGCCGGCGGGCACTGCGAATGAAGGATGCGCATAGGTACAATTTGGTCCTGAGGCGCAAAAACCGCAAAGATAGTTCGGACAGATGACACGCCTTCGATGGCGATGTTTGCAGTATGGACCATGTCGGCAGAAGCCGCGATCGTACCATGGGCAATCCTTCATCTTAGTTTCAGGGTCAATATGTCTGAATGGACATTCACGGTTGCTACAGGCGCCTAGAAAAAATTTCTTTTGAAAATAAAACCTTTAAAAATTAAATTTGAAGAAAACACTTACTATATTTGGAGAAGAAGAAGCATTCTGGCATTTTGGTTAAATCATACTCGTGAAGAAACTCGCATTGATCACCCTAAACGTAATATAAATATAAAATACATCTCTTTAATTGAAAATCAAACCTTTTTGCATAATCCTCTGAGCCAATGTTTACAAACAACAGCTTTTTCTCCAATGAGATGCCGTAGTGAGCATGTCGGCCCGTATGGACAAGCACCAACAGCGTTCAATTGGCACACTGCTCTACCACTTCGATCAAGATTCTTGAACGACGCTTCTTTGATGCCTTTCTGAAGTGCCAGCGCTTCTTCGACATCAGTAATCGGCGCTGTGACATTGCCGACAACATCATTCATATTTTGCGGAATCCATTTTTTGCCGGCGGGTTTAATTATTTGTGGCGCATACTGAACAGCAATCATCTGTAGACAAAGAAAAACTTATTAATTGTTGAATTACGCGTAGACGCGAAAATCGACGGCGTCCGGCGAGAACGCATATGAAAATCGAACTGGCCGAATTTCCGGCAATGGCCGCCAATTGTGCAGTAGAGCGTGATTGCGTCCACGGCCGCGGCTGTCACGTCACTGTTGGCCGGCACCCCATCGATTTTTCATTATTTTTCGCGACAACGTAACGCGCGCGGTGGAAATCGCGCTCTCGTCTTTCCTAATACATTGGAGAACACTCGCGCGTCACACAAGCCACTCATTCGATTTTCGCAAGCCGGCGATGGCGACGTGCTCCTGGACGCTGCTCTGGCTTATCTGGATCGCGCTCGTCGGTGTGCTTCTATTCTGCCTACGAGGTCCGCTTAAAATCTACGAGTCGTTCGAAAATGGTAATTTCATCGTTTTTGCAGGCACACTATCAACAATTGGTTTAGTTTCAGCCTCGTCCTATTTCAGTAATTTAACGCCCAAATTTTATGTGGCGCTAACCGGCACCTCGAGCCTCGTCTCCGGAATCATTCTGATATTTGAGTGGTGGTATTTGAAAAAGTGCCAAACTTTTAATTAATTTTCTCTTAATTAGGCAACATTATTGCAGCAATGCTATGGAAGCTGCTAGTGATGATGGAAGTGATAATGATGACAGTGTTGAAAGCACTAAAAGCTTGCCAGGTAACCCAAAATACCAATGAACATTTGGCTACGTTTCAGCTTTTTAGAGACGAGTTTTTGATTCAAAAATTGTCTATATTTTCTGATTAATTATTATTCGAAATCATTCGGCGCTTAAATATTAATAATAATAATTTATTTCTGATAATTTGATTATCGTTGCAATAAAATGTTGAAATCTTAAACCGGTTTTGCGACGATATTTTAAAGGCACATCGTGTTTCAAATATACCAGGACGTCGACATTATTTGGGGGGATCCTTTCTGGCCTTATAATGCTCCCAATTTTCAGGGTCCGAATGTAAAGTTTGGCGAAATCCGATGGCGCTATTACGAGGCGCTGAATATGCGCGATATCGGAAAGACCATAAACGCGAGCCGCTCACATATTATGATATGAATCTATCGGCTCAGGACCATCAATCGTTTTTCACATGCGAGGATGACAATGGGAAGCCTGATTATGAAAGTGAGCCCCCACCTTCTTCCCTCTACTTCCATTAATTGTTTTAGTAATGCAAATGGCGTGGCGCGAGCGCGACAGCGAAGCGCGCATTCACGCCGCCAAATCGGCGTTGGCAATTAATGAGGATTGCGCGCCGGCGCTCATACTACTCGCCGAGGAGGAATGCGAAACGGTCGCCGATGCGGAGGCGATGCTCAAACGGGCATTGCGCGCCACCGAATTGGCGCTTGCCAATTATGCGAACAATCATTCACAGATTTCGGCGTATTCGGAGCGCGTCGGCGACGTTTACGCGAGAAATGCAAGGCGTAAGCGGTTATTTTCTTTCAATCACCAGGCACTTATTTTTTGTGCCTCTGTGTCCATGACGACCGGGTAGAATCGGAAATTGTAGGCCGCGACATCAATATGCAAATGTATATTCGCAGACGATTGGCGATGTGCGCGAGGAAGCAAGGCCGCCTGAGAGAAGCCGTCAAAATGTTCAAAGACGTATGATGATGAGTGGAAATTCTACAAAAGTAGATCAAAAATTCAGATGTCACGCGAAGGCTCGATTGGCGCTGTGCTCAATGTGCAAGAGAATTTGATAGAAGCATGCCTCGAGATGCAAGCCTACGCTGATGTCCAAACGCTTCTCGTCAAGTATGACGGCTATGGTGCAGCGAGTGCATACGGTAATCTGAAAATTATTAATCGGCTCACCCATTTCTCTTTTTTTTAGAGATGCGAGAGCCGAGATCGGCGGTGCTCAGCTATACGTCAGCTCTATTGAAAGTGCGAGCGGTCGCCGAAAAGTACATCAAACATTGGTTTTATTTAGTTTTTTATGTGATTCGTTCGATTTCAGTTTTCGGTGTAATGTTGACACTTCAATTCGACGCGGCCTCTCCTTAGCCGAGCAGTCGGCGATTGAAGCTCTCGTGCGAGCCATCGAGTTCAATCCGCATGTTCCAATCTATTTATTAGGTGGGTACAATGAGTGTTTTTTTTTGTCATGAAAAATGACAACATTCTCACAGAGAGTTTCAATTTTTCGCATGAAACTTTCAATTTTTCGCATGAAACTTTCAATTTTTCGTTGAAGAATTGTTGGGGGTTTCGAGTTCATCGAAATTGATATATTCATTTGCATTTTAGAACTCGAGCCTCTCATTCTGCCGCCCGAGCACTATTTGAAACGCGGCGATTCTGAAGCGCTTGCGTATGCATTCTTCCATATGCAGCACTGGAAACGAATCGATGGCGCGCTCAAATTATTGCACTATGTATGGCGAGGTGATTTCTCGATTAAAGTCGGCGTCAATAATTATTGCTATCCGTACTCGCCGCAATTGGAATCGGCTGATCGTGAGCTTCTGCCGAGTGAGTTTATGAAATCAATTTTTTTCCCCCATGGGCGAAACGGGAAATTTGGGACATGAGAGTAGGTGGAAAAAAATTAAATTGAATTTAGCTAAATGAGCATATTGTTTCGGCTTCGAGCAGAACTGCGTGACAATGTGAAATTTCCGGATAAAATTTTTCAATTTCAATTTTAAATATCTCATATTCATGGGAATTTCACGCAAAAATTGTTATTCAACAAAAATTTGAGAATCAACTATGATTTGTAATGCTGAATGTTATTATTGATTGTGAGGATTTTTTCCTTGTTTTTCAATTCTCATCTGCGGACAATGTTGAATATGTATCGGTTTTTGGTTTGCTTTTAAAACAACCGCGCCCACCAATAAAATATGCCATTAAAAAATCAATGTGGGATTTGACGGCGCTTCTTTTTTTGTTGTGCCGTTCGCCGTGTGACCAATTGCCTTTCATTTTCCACTTCGGCCCCTCCCCCCCCCCGCAATTGATTGAAATTGGTCCAATTACAGGCTGGCACAATTTGAGTGTGTTCCCGAAAAAGGAGAGCATGCTGAAATCGATGTGCCAAACGATGGCGTGTCTTGTCACATGCGTCGTCGCGCTCATTGTTCATCATTATCCGACGAATTCGAGCCAATTGGCGAACAATGTGAGTTTTGATCTACATGGTGCAATGAAGACTGCGAATTTTTTTTGGTTAGATAAATAATTTTTTGAAAAATAGAAATAAAGAATTTTGATGGAAGCAATTCAAAGAATATAAATGTAGTTTTCAATTTCAAAAAAACTGATATTTGACAAATTCGAATTTCCTTTTCAGTTCGCTGTCACGCTTATGCAGAGCATGGACTTGATATCGGATAGTTTGTCGCATTGGGCGCCGACGAATATCATCAGTTTGCTGGCATCGAAACCCGTACCGGTCAACGAATTTTGATCTCAATTCTCTTTTTTTTAATTCATATCAAGCATAATGTCAAATATTTCCCATAATTATTCAAATTTTCCCCCTAGTCGTCGATACACCATCTTGCCATAATTTCTTCGCTGTATTCCCAACTGTAATTAATCACCTAATTATTCGCTCTCTAGTCTCACGCCGATCATCACCTGTGCGAAATTCTGTGTGGCGTCACGTCTCTCTTGCCAATAAATTGCGTTCAAATGTTTTTCGACGATTTGTCCATTATTGGATTTTTGAAAATTGTGTTTTGTTTTTATTTGATGTGGTGCTGTGAACCAGTTTTGAGCTATTTTCAACAATTGTTGTTTCTTTTGTGGAACGCACTCCCCTCAAAAAAAAAAGAAAAACAAATTCAGATAATGTCCATAAATGGGACGATCGACTCGAAAAAGTTAGTTGAGGCGCTGTTGGGCGATTTGCGAACGCTGTCTCAAGAAGCGAAGAAGAAGCAGAATCATGTGAAGGAGGTAATAAAATAATCAACTGACCAGTTCGCTTTGATTTGATTGAATTGATGATTTCATAATTTCTATCTGCGGACATTTTCAATGTTGGCAGTTGCCATTTTACTAGACAAAAAAATATTTTCTTTTCATTTTACAGGCGGCTGAAGCCGGCCTTGTGAGAATCCGAAATATCAACACAGCGTCAGCCGTCGAGTCGTCGCTGTTGACGAATCTGCGCGCGGCGTGCTCGGAGCTTCTTCATCCGTTGGTGCTCGCATGCGCGACACGCCACACAAGATTGGTGCAAATTGCGCTGCAAGGCATCCAGAGGCTTGTGCAACATCGAATATTGAGCTCGGTGAGAAATTCGAGCAAGAATTGAACATTGTGCTTGTGTGTGTATTTCAGAATGGCGCGACAATTGTGGCGAATGAGCTTTGGACGCTGGTCGAAGCGGAATGCGAAGAATTGCGTGTTCTTCAGACGGTTCCGCCGCTCGTTTCATCGGAATTGATTGTGACGGGCAACACGTTGGCGAAATGCATTGTGATGTGCTTTCGATTGCATTTTGCGAAAGATCCGGTGGTGATCAATGCCGCGTCGGCGGCCGTCCGACAATTGGTCTCGACGGTGTTTGAAAGAGTTATCCAGGTGAGATCGTGCGCGTTTAAAAGTGAATCACATTGAACGCGCTACAGGAAGATGGGATTTTCTCGTCGGAGCTCACTGTGGTCAATCCGGCCGGTGGACGACCGTCGCCGCGAGCAGCGCCGCCGACACTTCGACCATGCGCCGCTGATGCTTATATGCTGTTTCGGGTTGTTTTTTTTTCAGCATTTTTAGTTGAAATTGATCTTATTTTAAGGATTTATGCTTGCTAATAAATGGTGAAGCTCCAGTTTGGCTTGTCGGAATTCAAGAAATGACGAGAACACTTGGCCTTGAACTATTGGAATCGCTATTGAAAGGATACCCATCGGTTTTTATTAGGGTATGTTGCGTGACTGGATGAGGAAGGGGACCATAAATGTATTTTTCATTTTCAAAAAAAAAATCGGTGAAGTAGAAGCGATGCCTCTCAAAATCACACACTCTCTCGCCTTTTTGAAAACCTGTGCAAACTGTCGTTGAGGTGTATTGCGGACTTTTCAAAACTACCGTAATGAGTTAATTGATAGAACCATGCTTCTTGGCATTTTTTCTAATATACCTATTGATGCAATAAAAAATTTAAAAAATTACACATTAAAAATTTTTTTTAGATCTATAATAAATTTTTTTGGTATTTCAGCATTCCGAATTTGGCGGATTGCTCAGCAATGATGTTTGTCCGCTCATTATTCGACTATTCTCGCCAAATGTCAAAGCTCTGCAGGTAGTTTTTTTTCAATTCCAAGAGTTTGCATTGCCTCAATTCAGATCAACTCGCAGCATCCATCATCGCGAAACTCAAACTATCCGCCGACGGTGTCGGCAGACCGGCAATCATTTCCGATAGCGATGCGTCTCGTTCGAATAGTGACACTCATAATTCAATTCTACCAAAGTATTTTGCATACGGAATGTGAGATCTTCATATCGACACTTTTGAAATTCGTTGACGGCGATCGCAAAAGTTGGCAACGACCGCTGGCGTTGGAAGCACTTCATCGAATTGTATCGAGCGCCAGTTTAGTAAGGTAGTAGTCATTAAATGAAATGAGCGTTATGAGAAAAAGAAATTGACCATTCTTTTAGATGGATGTCGGAAACATTTGATTGCCGCACGAATTCGACAAAAGTTTTGGAGCAAGTTGCTTCGGGATTGGCCAATGTTGTCCAACAATCACTTGTCGCCACTCAATTCTCGCACGGTATGAATCCAGTTTTCGTTTTGCGCCAAAATAAATGTTTTTGGGGGAATTTAGACCAGGAGAGTGAAATTGACCGAAGCCAAGAAGATGGTAGTCCGGGATTCCTTTCCAAAGGACTATGGGTGCCCTATGTCGAACAGCTCACACCGAAAAAGACGATATTGCTGGATTCGCTCGATCGTATGGATGCGGTCGCTGTTCCCGACGGATATGTGCTATCGAGATGTTGCGTTGCATTGTGCGATATGGCGCAAGCGGTTTATGTGGCGGTAGATCAATTGTGTTTGCCGGACGAGAATGCCGAAGAGACGACGGTATCGAAAATGGGCATCGCCAAGGTGACGTATGCGAACGCGCAGCCGAGTATATTATTAGCGATTGGAAGCTTGCTGGCCTCGAGGTTAGTCGATGGTGGTCATGGTTTCAAAAATTTTTCTTTCATTTTTAAGTACTGATGAAATGGTTAGCGATCAGCTGCTATGTAGCTTGTCGACATTGATCTCAGCGGGATGTCGGGTGGGTGCCGGTGAAGATCTCCATCGAAGTGTCTACGTCCTTTCTATCATGAGCCTACCGTACCCGGGATATCTAACCCAGTTGGCGGGAATCCCGCCGCCAAGTCCAACGAACAAAAAAGAGTCTCAGATTGCCGAACAATTGTTTGATTGCGAGTCGTGGCCGTCAACGGCGCAGGTCGTCGCGACGGGACCACCGTGTCCGTGTCCGGTGGTGTCCACGGATTTGTGGAATCGACAAGTTGCTGTAAGCTCGAAGATTCAAAGTACTAATTTGTGTGTTTTATTTTGACAGTTGACTTCAAAGAATATGCAAGCGGCGAAGCAGTTCATCGCATCGCTCACCGCGCATGTCAGCGAGCTCAGTGAGCTCTACTATTTGTGTCTGGCCACATGCCAACACCTCACCTGGCTACTGGCGATGCGACCCACGCAGGTTGGTCAATTTGAACGCGAAACGAGGGACGATCATGCGGCGGGACCCACAACGGTCACCACGGCGGCGCTGCCCGATATCGCGGTTCTCTCATCCTATATCGACAAGTTGGCACCAGCGATCGGCGGACTTCCTGATGAAATATTTCTGAAGGCGTTGGATTCGCTCATACGGCTTTCCGATGAGAGTTTGGCGGTGGCGGCGACCGGACGGGACAGCTCGCAATTCCCGTTGGCAATTTTGTATCGAGTGTTTCTGATTTCGTTGCCGAAACTTGATGTGTTTTGGGCGAAAGCCTCGAATCATTTCATCAAAGTCTGCAATCATACGTCGGTGACGATGAGAGATTGGGCCGCCGTCGGTTTGACGTCGCTGGCGAAGCAGGCGATGAAGGCGAAAACGAATATGCCGGCGAAAGACCAACAGGACGTGTGTATTTCGTCGCTTCACGCGTTGTGCTCGATTCCTCATGTGCAAGTGCGACGGAGACAATTGGATTGTGTGATGTCGCTGATGCAAACCGACGGCTCGTTTCTGCTGTCGACGACGTGGCCGACAATTATTCAAATCATCTCGGCGATTATTGATAGTGATACCGTGTTGGTGAACCCGATTAATGTCCGCAGATGGTCTCTCTTCATTTATGTTTTCTAGATGCGAGCTCTCTTTGGTGCGACAAGGCTATCTCGGACTTCGCCTAGTTTCGTCGGACTTTCTTCAATCGATTCCATTCGACTGTGTGACAGGACTTGTGGAGGCGGTCTCTCGTTATGGAAGGCAGACAACGGATCAGAATATATCGCTATCAGCTCTAACATTATTGGTAAGCGATTAGAATTGAAATTTTTGAAAGATTTCTTTTCGACGGTGTTTAGTGGACGATTTCCGACTTCATCTATCGAAAAATGGATGTTGTTGGCGCTGATGCGTCAGAAGCGGTTTGGATGGTCCTCTACACGTGCTTATCGGAATCTTGCATCGATCCGAGGTTCGCGGTTCGCAAGAGCGCTTGTCAGACACTTCTGCAAACGGTGACAGCCCACGGGCACGCGTTGAGAGCATCGGCGTGGCACAATGTGATTTGGCAGGTGTCGAGTTGTTTTATTGAAGAGCCTTGAATTGTAGATCAACCGAATTGCAGATAATGATTCCACTGTTGGACAAGGTACGATCGCAGACAAGAAGCGCGTCGACGGAAAAGGCAAACGGCGAATTGATAATGCATCATTCGAGGGACACCGAACAGGTATTCCGAGGTGAGCTCGCTGAGCTTGGCAATTTGCTCTTCAGAAGCAATGGACCGAAACGTGCATTCATACACTATCAGCGATATCAAAGATATTCAATTCACAGAGAAAAAGCTTACTTGCATTACGTAAGCGTTGGATTTTGCGATTTTCGTTTTGAGCGATGCGTTTCAGAGGATTTCGGAGCGGTATGGGAAGCGCTTTTGGGCTATCTTGACTGGGCGGCGTGCTACGAGAACGCGGAACTATCGCTATCGGCGATTCGGAGCTATCAAGAGGTTCTGCTTGGCAAAGTCTCGTCGCAGACGCTCAATGTGAATAGCCATGAGAAGTCGAATTGGTATGTGATTTGTTGAAAAAAAAAAATTGAAATTCTTGTCTTTTCCGCAGTTCTGAAGCGATTTTCGACATTGTCGCGCCGGAATTGCCGCAAGCGCAATGGGTTGACTCGTGGAAGGTAATCTCTTCATTTTTTAAAATCCTACCACCCCGCTGATTCGTTCTGATTGAAGACGTGGCTGCGAATTTCGCGCGGTCTTGCTCGTCAGGGATGCGTCGCTCAATCGTACTCGACGAATGTTGACAACAAATCGGCCACGTCATCGCCGCGACCATTGTCGACGACGTCGTCAATGGCGTCACTAGCCGGCGTCTACGTTCCCGGACCATCGCATTTGACAGCGATACTCCACGTCTTTCCGCCACTATTCGACAAAGTTGCCAAAAGCATCAGTGTTGAAGATTTGAAGTATGAAAGCTTGCCGGCAGTGTTGGAAGTGAGTTTTACCTCTCTCTCTCCTTCTCTCTTTGCTCATTGCGATTCATCGATTCGCGCTCAATTTCAGAGTATGATGAATGTGCCGATCCCATCGGAAATGGCGCCGTTCGTTCTTCCATCGTCCTCCACTCATCTGACGCCGACGCAAGAAGCGCTTCTCGACGCCGTCAAAATCGTGTTCGTCGAATGCACAATATCGGGCACGTCGTTGCGCGCCGCGATTCCCGACCAAATTCGATTGTTGCTGAAATTTGCGAGTCTCGCCACTCAGCGACCGTCGCCGACAAAAACGGCGCCGGGCGGCACCAAAAGCTATGTAAGGCGTTTATTTATTTATTTGTTTTTTTTTTGTTTGTTTTCTTGCTTCGGTCTCATTCGAAACGCTTTTAGAAAGAATACGCGCTGACCACAATTGTGCCGTTTGCCGAATACTCGTTGAGAATGGCGATCGAGTTTTTCAATTCGACCGCCTCTCATCCGGATGTTGCCAATTCGCTGATTGCAATTGATATTGTGCGATTCCTCGGCGAGCCGTTGTACATGAAATACACGTGCCTCTCGCCGAGCACGTGGAAATTGGCGGCGAGCTCGCTGATGACGGTTCTGAAGACGGCGATACCGTATGCGAGGCAGCATCGTAAGAATTTGCAATTCGCTCGAACGATGCCATCGCGTCACTTTTTGCGTTTCAGCCGATCGATTCGTTGGATTATGGCCGGCGATTTGCGATACGATGGAGAAGTTCCTGTTCACACCGAATCGATCGAATCGACTGGCGGCCGATGAGCGCAAACGCGACGAGCTCATGGAATGCCAGGCGGTTGAGATCATTCGCGTCGAGATGCTCGCGCACGCGTCGAAATTGCCGCCGCAAGACGTTCAGCGACTCATTGGTCTCCTTCACAAGGGCTCGATATCGCAGGTTGATTCGACGGACGTGCTCGGTAAATCGATTGCGATTGTCGCATCAATGGTATTCCAATCGTTCAATTCAGCTTTAGATTCGCATACGCAACGCAACGAGTTGGCGAAGACGTGCTTCGACGCGCTGCTGATGTCGTCGGACGCGAACGGCGCCGATGCTTCTGACGATGGAAGCTCGTTGGGAAATGTGGCGGTGATCAGCTTATTGCAGAGATGCACTCAGGTTCCTTTCAACTCAAGAAAGCTCTTATATGAAGTGTTCAGGTGATGTCGGACTTTTGTCAGGATTGGGCTTCATCTGGCGATCTGAGGCTTCCGCGATCGAGGACCATCGAAATGATATCAGCGCTTCAAGCCGTCGATTCTCTCATTTCCCGGCTAGCCAAGTAGGATTTTTGCGAGGCGATAATTCATTCAAGCGCAACTCAATTCTAGGGACCCTCGAATGCACGAGCTTTATTCGCAATTGGTTTCCCTGTTCCCGTCGGTTGTCGACGTGATGCGATGCTGTCATGCGGATCCGCAACTTGAAGATCAACTCATCAAAACGATCAAATCGTACCAGACGCTATTCCTTTTGCAGAATATTCCGAGAGCTTTTGACCAATCGTGATTCACTACTAATTATGGCTAGATATTCAGTTATTATTACTATTCTATTTATTCATATGGGTCCGATCGAATGAGCCTTCTCTTCTATAATGTTCCAAAATGTAATTTGTATTGTGTGTGCTCGTTTCATGTCTGTGATTTTTCTGCGCTTAGTTCATGATTATTATCTCCTTGTGGCTGGTATCAATCAAAAACCGATAATTCCCTTCGTTTATTTTTTCGTTGTGAGACCGACATGTACGTTTTTTTGGAATAAATGTGAAAATTATTTGATCAGAACTTTCTCAAAATCGGTAAATTTGCATATTAATATTTTGGCGGCGGGGTTTTTAATTTTTAATGATTACAAAAATTGTTCAGAATGGATTATAACACTTGGTGGATGGTTGAGAATGGGAAATTGTTTGAGATGTGCGACGGAAAGTGTCCGAAACGAATTGAACACGATTTTTTGGTTTTTCCGGCGAGCTTCGCTTCAATCGGTATTTTATTTTAATAATTAGCTAGAAAATTTCCTGATTTGGCAAATGTTGTCATTTTTCGTCACTTTCTATGAACTTTTTTGGTCGTGAAACGATTATTTTCGATTTTTTCTTCTTCGAGCTTTTATAGGTTTGAGACGAATCAATTTTTTCTAGAAATAATGCATGGGGTCGTCGATACAAATACCATAAATAGCTCATGGCTCTTTGCGCAGTTCTTTTTTAATTATGAAAATTTTACGGCATACTGTAGGTTTTTTTCTGCAAACATCCTACGACAATATGCACAGTACTCTTTCTGTTTTATTTTTTCTCCACTAATTTTCTACTTTTTTTTCCAGATAAAACTGAACTTTCCGCAAAAACTGAGGAAGAAATTGTTGATGAAATACTCGATACGAATGGCTCATGGAGTATAATCTACTATAACGTTTAATTAAATTTCCAGGCAATGAAATTAATGATAATACAATTATTTAGAAGAACCTTGAGAAAATTTTCTTCGGGCGCGATGTCTTCGGAAGGCAATCGCTGGTGTGTAACAATTCCGATTCGAAGTTTTTAATTGGGTGTCGCGTGAATCCAGAGATTACAACGGTTAGTTTTTACCCTGTTCATTCAGCGACACGCCTTTTGCAGGGTGAATGGATTGAAGTGCCTTATGGTCAAGTGACTGTGATGGATCTAAAGGATTCCAGCGATATTGAGATGACTTCGTACTTTGATGAGTACCCCGATGATGTGCTACGTGGCGATTTCGCCACAGCACCGCTTAAAACAGTGAATAAAAAACGCAATTTATTGAATGTATCAAATTTCGACAAAATTTCTCCGCAAAAATTTCAATTGAAGGTTCGTCGTAAAGCAACGAATATTGACGAAGGTCCGAAGCCTTCTTCGGCACTCTTTTGGATAACTGTTCGCGTCACTGAAAATTTATTGAAGAATTGTCAACAACGTGTCGGAATATGCCTTTCTGGCGGTGTTGATAGCACGTTCATCGCGCACGTCGCTCACCACGCCATTCCCAAGAATTACCCGTTGGATCTAGTGAATGTGGCGTTTGGTGATTCGAGAGAAGCCTGCTCGAAAGCTCCGGATCGCAAGCGCTCGATTGAGGCGTTGAAATCGATCAGAGCGCAATACCAAGATAGGGTTTTTCGACTAATTTTGGTTGATGTGCATTCAGAGGAGCTACTAAACTGCAGGAAGCAATATATTTCGACGGTAACGATTGAGAATATTCGAAATTGCAAATAATGGGGTTTAGGCGGCTCGGCCGGCGTGCTCCGTGTTGGACGACTCGCTGTCATGCGTTTTGTGGTTCGCGTTAAGAGCCGAAGGTCGAGATTATGATACCGACGAGCGAGTCGATTCAGAAGCTCGAATCATGCTATTGGGCAGCGGAGCCGATGAGCTTCTTGCCGGATACGCTAGACATCGAACGAGATTCGAAAAGGATCAGAATGTTGAGTGCGTCGCCGAGGTTGATCCCTCGAAATATGTCCGTCATGCTCAAAACCAAATTTGAGGAATGCGAGCTTGAACTTCGCCGACTTGGATCTCGAAATGGCGGCCGCGATGCGCGCGTCGCCGCCCAACTACGAAAAACCATTATTACCATTATCTCGCCGCTATTGGAAGACGACGTCGTCGAGTTTTTGAACAATTTGCCAGGCAACTCGAAATGGGATTTGTCGTTGCCGAGAGGTGTCGGCGAAAAGAAGATTTTGCGAGAAGTCTTATCGATTTAAAGGTTGGACCTTTCATTGATCTCTCAATTCAGGCTGTTCGCGACCTTGGCTCACCGTACGATATGCCGAAACAAGCAATGCAGTTTGGCTCGAGAATGGCGCAGATGAGCAATCAGGGGAATTCGGCGATCAAGGGAAGCGACAAATCTCCGCATTTGACATAAATGAAATGATTCTAAATTTATTGAATGGTTGGCAAGAGGAATGCGATTTAGGCGAGTCTCTTCTTCTGAACGACGCGATGTCTGCGGACGGCAGCGGCGCGATGCTTGGCGACGACGACGCGACGGGCTTTCGAGCGTCGAGCGGTGACGACACGACGGCGAGACATGGCGCGATGCTTCTTGACGGCGCGCGCGTTGACGGCGACGCGACGCGAAGCGGCCGCTTGCCGGGCGACGACCGCCGATCGTTGTGGGCATGGGCAGTAGGCGGCGTCGCCTCCCGGCTGTCCTGGCGCTCCTGGAGCTCCCGGTTGTCCGTCGTTTCCTGGCTGTCCCGGGTGACCGTCGGCTCCTGGTTGTCCTGGCTGTCCTGGCGCTCCTGGGGCTCCCGGCTGACCGTTCTGTCCTGGCGGTCCCTGTGGTCCTGGCTGTCCTGGCGCTCCTGGAGCTCCTGGCCGTCCGACAGAGCGTGTGCCTGGACTTCCCGGGCGTCCTGGTTGTCCGTCGTTTCCTGGCCGTCCTGGTTGTCCGGCGTCTCCGGCTGGTCCTGGTGGTCCCGGTGGTCCCTGACCGCCTCCCTGAGCATCTTGTCCTGGTTGTCCGTCCTCTCCTGGAGCTCCATCCTGTCCCGGCGGTCCCGGTGGTCCTGGTGGTCCCGCTGGGCACACAATGCAACCGCTGTCGGATAGTGGCACACCCAAGTTTCCGTCGGCTCCTGGCATACCGTCATCTCCGACGTCGCCGTCGTCTCCCGGCTCTCCCGGCTGTCCTGGAGGTCCTGGTGGTCCCGGCGGGCAGGCGTTTGGTCCGTTGGAAGCTCCGCAATTGCATTGGGCCGCCTGACGCTTGTTGCGGCCGAAGAGCGACTCGTAGACTTCACGCTGCTTGTTCGCCTGTGGGACGACAGCGATCATCTCGTGCCAAAGCGAGTTGGCCTCGTCCTAAAAGAATGATAATGGAATTTGGATTATGGATCAGCCAACCTTGAAATGGATCATGTCGGTGGAAACCGAATCATAATAATTATTGATGTCGTTAAAAAGAACGAGAAGCGAGTAGATCGACGCGAAGAAGGCGCACGTGGATGCCACGGCGGCGCCGGTGACGAGAATACGAGCCAGACTCATTGGAATCGGTACTTCTCACACCATCCAGAAGGCTTTTATAGGAAAAGTTCTCGAGGTTGTGTAACAGTTTGAACAAAAGGCAGGTCACACACTTCATTGCAGTTTTGTTTTTTTTTTTTCGGCGTCGTAAGAAGTTTTCCGAGGATTGATCAACTTCCGTCTTTACTGTAATAGGAAATGTACATTGATTCGATGATTGAGAGAAATTTTGGAATGTCGGCGCGAAAATTTTCGAATTTTTCAGTTTTTTACTGAATTGAATGTTAGAAAAAAAATATTTCAAAAGTTAGTCCGCGCAATTCAAATTCTAGGCCACCGTTTTTTTTCTCGAGAAAACGAAAAATGATTTTCAAAATTTCATAGTTTATTTAGCGTGAGAGAAGATGAAGAAAATTATTTGTCCATATGTATTCGGACCATTTAAAACAGCCAACAAATCGCCCGCCGCGAGTGCTCTTCATATGAACATTGATGCTTGTGACGATCCCATGAAATGGATATCAAGGAAGACAAACAACACGTTTTTCATTTAGATGTCACCCACCTCTCCGTCCCACTCATCTTATTTACATAATCCGGCGATATACACCTGCCGCGGGATTTCGGCAACCAATAAAACTTTGAATTACATGCTGCTGAAGGTCCTTCGACGTTCAATTCGTTTTCGATTCGTTTCTTTCATTCCGTTGGCGCCCATTTAATGGCGAACAGATGGCGTAAAATCCGTTTCGAGTGGGGGCCACCCACCCGCATTTTGATGAAGCACTCGCCACCCTCGACACGCTAAACCCCCCGGCCGGGCACCATGTTGGACGTGTTTTTCGCACAAACGCTTTTGTTCGCCCTCCGCTTCTTTTTTCTTCGCGTTGTACTTTTGACCCTGAAAATTTGTATTTATATACGAATTATTCACTGCAAAAATTGTATTTCGAAGGAAAAACGATTTTCGAAAAAATTTAAATAATGCTACGTGAGTTGCCGTCTCGGTGTTTGCACACGTGCGATGAGCTACAGTAACATATTTTTAATGAATTTTTATTTTTCAGACTTTTTTCGACTTTCATTTTTCGCTCATTTTCAAAGAATTTATGAAAATTATTTATTTAATTCTTTGTCTTTTTAAGCTTATGGGTCACAATGACATTTTTCAAATTTTGCCCACGTTTTGACCTCAAACAAACTCATAAAACCGGTAAACCGGTTGCTTTTCGTATCAAGCATAGATTTTTCGTGAATTTTTCGAATTTTCTTCCCTATTTTTTTTCACACAAAGGCCGACGCGACAAGAATTATTCAATCACATTGCGAAATTCATTGAAATTTTTATGAAATAAATTTTTAATCCCAATTTTTTTAACAAATTAAAAAAATTATATTTTTTAATTACTTTAAAAATTATTTATTTTGTATAATAATAATAATAATAATAATAATATTTGTCTTTGGTTATTTGATATGGACTCCACCTATTTTGTAATTCAACATTTTGCCAAGAGAAACAAATATTGCAAGAAGCTTGTTGGATTATATTTGAGACCCATAAGAATGGGTTTAGTCAGTTTCTTCAGAAGTTTGCTTATTTTTATTTTTCGCAATTTTCGACCAAAAAATCCTTTAAAAATTATCTTTAAATTGTCAATGTGATTAGCTTCCTCCATTTCTCTGCATTACTCTATAAAAATTGAAAAATCTGAAAATTTTTCCAGAATTGATTTCTGTAGATGCTAAAAATATTCAGTGGCGATAAATCAGCTTCTGCTAGTCGTATTTATCTGTCGAAAAATGCGAAGAAAGCAAATTTTCAGCAAAATGCCCTCCTATTGCTCTTTTCAGCACGTCTAATGATTATTATGAAAGAAATAGTCAAGAGTTTCGAAATTCGGCGAATTTCACAATTTCAGACTTTGCCGTTTTAAGCGAAATTCTCAAAATAGCCTCCTACGACCCTAAATTGCCATATTGGGTCAAAACACCAACGAGCAATTTCATATTTGTCGGAATTAATCGATTATCGCTACCGCGCGAGTGCCGAAAAACAGAAAAACAAATAAACACAATTTGGGACGCGATATAAATAAATAAATGAGCAACTGTTCAGGTAGAAGGGGGGGGGGTCCTCCGAGACGGCGGAAATGAAGTGGCCAAGAAGCGAGAGCCGGTTGCTCCGTAGGTTTTTGCGACTTGCCACCACCGGAAGCTTGATTATCATTTTTTTTCGCGTTTTCTTTTGTCTGCCAACACATAGTAATAATCAGCGTCTGAAAAGTCGGTGCGAGACCTTTAATTAGTTATTTGCATTTTTTTTTAAGTTCGAAATTTTCATTGGAAATTTTTGAAATTTGACAGAAATCTCAAAATCAGACCATTTTAGTGGAATATGATTCGATTTTTAAAAAAGAAATTTTAATTTTGAAGCCTGTCTGAAACACATTTCTCGCTGGATTTCTAGAATTATCGAATTTCAGAGAAATTCTAGAAAAGAAAAGAAATAATTGTTTATATGAATTAAAATTTTCATTTTGAAATTTATCTGAAACCCATTTCTCTCTGGATTTGTGGCATCTTCAAATTTCAGACAAATTCGAGAAAAGAAAAAAAAGATGATTTTTAATTTATATTAAATTTTTCATTTTGAAATTTATCTGAAACACATTTCTCGCTGGATTTCAATTTTTCTAGAAAAAATAGAAAAAATCATATTTTTTTTGTGCAAATATTTGCCATTCCGAAAAAATTTTGCCGCTGTCCCAAATATGGCGAAAATCGATCAATCGAAAATTGTTGCGATAAGAACGGGCGGCCAATTCGATGCCGAATATGGGCCAATAAAATTTTAATAGACATTTCGTTCGAATATCTCTCATCTCAACAAAGAAAGAAAAAATACAGTTAGGAAGAGCGCGGCGGCGGCGGCGCGGCCAACATTCCTGCGTCTCTCCGAATCGCCTACTATTTCGTCGGTCGGGAGGTTGGGAAATGCATAAATTTATAAAACGCGTTTTGTTAGGGGAAGGGGGACTGCCACACGAATTACACACTCGGACAGAAGAAGAAGAAGAAGGAAAAAAAACGGGTGACGACGAAAAAGAGAGCGGAGGGTGGTGGGGGAGAAGAATGGTGATAAACGGGCCACAGGTATTCCATTTTGTTCTCACGCACACTTTATTTGTCAAACGCTCCGTTTTCCCTTCGCTCAATTTGTCCGCAGATGGCATTCGCGGCCTCGTAGTGTGTCCGCAGCTTGATTTCCATATAGCAAGTCGTCATCTCTTTTGAGAAGTTTTGATCGACCCTGCTTTCTATTTTAATTTTCGATGCAGTCGAAAATTTGAAGTCGATTATTTGTTTGATTCGTCCCCCCCGCAAATTGTCCGCAGCATGGAATTCATAAAACATTGTCCTTTTTGTCATCATATCGCTGTAATTGTCCGCAGATGACTAGACGTAACAGTAAACCGACATTTTTTTTCCGCGCCTTGTTCCCGTTTTTTGATCTATCTTTAGAAATTATTCAGCGAGCTCAAAAAATTGGCATAATCTCGTGCCCTGCACTCAATTTGTATGAGAATAAGAGAACAATAAAAAGAGCAGCTCGAATTTCATCATTTTGTCATTTTTTGCAAAATTTTCTATAAAATGCATTCCAAGGAAACAAATTAAAAATCATTCCAACCTACCGTAATCCCTATTCCTCGGTTACTGTAGAATTTCGCCGAAATCCTATCAAAAAATTGGCGAACTAATCTAGCGAAAAATCAATTGGAAATAAAGCGTGAAATTGTCCGCAGATCGTTTTTCTCAAATGCTTTATATTATTATGTTGACATTATTATGTTGTCGACAATTTGAACAATACAAGTCTTTTCCCTCACAATTGGATTCCGCTTATGCATTAAACTTAGACTACAGTAAACCTACAGTAACCGGCATACTGTAATTGATTTTTGATCGATGAAGCGTCATAAATGCCCATCCAATCTTCTGAAGCTTTCTCGATTTTCCGCAAATTTATTTTGATCTACCTTTTTTCATATTCTTCCCAACTCTGATGAATGTGATTTTTGGAAGCAATTGCGCTCTATTGACAACCCCTAAGTCACTAGCGTTTAAAGGCGCATAGCGGTACTGAAATTTACTGGAAGATAATTCGGTTTCCAAAATTGTTCTTAATGTGTTGCAAACACGCCCTTTTGACACTCACATTTTAAAAACGCAAAGCCCGATTGACAACCCCACCCCTTTAAACGACGTCAAATGTGCTCTATTGAGTGTTCTCGTGTCTTTAAAGGCGCATAACTCAAGTTTTGAAATTATTGATTCTTTTTGAAGAGTTTATGCGACAATTATGGTGATTGTCGCGCATGGCTCGAGCACGGCGAGCACGAGTTTGCTCCTCGAACGCGCCGATTTGAGTCGACCGATACCGGAGAACGCGCGAAAATTGGCGCAATTGGTCGAGTACGATGAGAGCCGCGTCGAGATGGGAGTGAGTTCGACAATTGTCCGCAGATGGATTTTATTTAACAAAAAAATTTTTTATGATGTGTTTTTTGGCAAAAGTTTTCAAATTTTGAAATTTTGGTATCTCGCCACGATATTGAATTACTGTAGAAAACTTAAAAGCAATTTTTTATATCCTCGAATTTTAGTCGCAGATTGATTTTATTGAAAAATTTTTTATTGAAATTTAAAAAATGAGTTTTTTTGGCTAATTTTTCAATTTTCGAAATTTCGGTATCTCGCCACGAAAATATCGAATTACTGTAGACAAAATGAGAATCGATTTTTTGATTTTCAGTCGCACTCGGTGTTCGTACGAGAAGCTCGCCCGCCGGGCGCCCACTACGCGAAAGCCGCCATCGTCTTCCTGCACGGTCAATCATTCTCATCGAGCACGTGGCTCGAGAACAATCTACTACGGTAAGCGCGTCGCATTTGAAGCGATCGTCATCGAACACGAGTTTGAGGACGTTCGCCGCGCTCGGCTATCGCGCCATCGCCATCGATTTGCCGGGAAGCGGTCAGACGCGCGGCGTCGCGCTGACGCCATCGCAGAAGCCCGCGTTTCTCGTCGATTTTCTCGAGACGCTCAACCTGACGAAGGTGATGCTCGTGTGCGCCAGCATGGCCGCCCAGTACGTCCTACCATTGATGGCGTCGTCGAACCAGGTTGGCGTCGATTCGATTCACCCTCCATTAGACACCGATTCATCCAGATATCGTGCGTGGTGGCAATTGCGCCATCCAACACCCATGAGGTGGTGAATCCGTCGATCTACACAACACCAACATTGGTGCTATGGGGTAGGTGGCCGAAAATGCTTGAATCGTCTCATATCGTTGGATTAGGCGATCGCGACACATCGCTGGGTCCCACAGCGGCGTCGAATCTCAAACACTTGCCGAACGTTCGCCTTCAGAAGGTGCCGTCGGCAGGCCACGCGTGCTACCTCCACAATCCGTCGTTCTTCGAGGACATCTGCGTCAATTTCTTCGAGCTCATCCGAAATTATCATCGCTAGTCAACGCTTATTTCATTTTCTCGACATTTGTAAATATGAATCTTCTATTTTTTTGTTTTGACTTACCTCTGAAAATCTATTGAAGGATTAGATTGGATCGGGCCGATCCAAAATGGCCATGGATCATTTTTTTTGGAGAGACTCGATCCAGAAAGGATCGTTGAAAATGGAAATATATGTCGATCGACAAAATTTCCTTTTATTGTCAAAATATAAACTTTTTGATATTTTTTGCTCTCTTCGGACCATTTAATTTTTTTTGCTCGAATTTTTATTCCTCTCATTTTTGCACACTCTCTAGAGAGTTATTCACTTAATTCTATCATTCTGAATTGTCAAATATTAAAAATATAAAAATCGGCAAAAAAAAACGAACAGAGCCAGGTGTAGATTTACGGTGAGTTTGATCAGGTGGGCATTATTTAAATTTTTGAATTCAAAAATTTGAATTGCCGCCATTTTGTTGCGAGAAAGAATTTAAGAAAAGGCCAAAAGCTCCTTCATATATATAAATTTGATTCCATGAAAAAAGGTCCTTCATAGAAAAGGTCCTTTGATGGCTTCCACGAAGAATATCAAAGAATCTTGCTCTTCCAAATTTGCAACCCTAATAATTCAATAGGGTACATTTTTGGACCCTCATAATTACAACCTTTGGTTGACTACTTTGAATCCTCTGCTTTGTCGTTCCCTCACAATTTTTTTTTTCTGGTCCAAAATTCAAAAAGACTCAATTTACGGTTAAAGATCAATTCAAAAAAACAAAAAAAAAATTGAAAAATGAAAAAAAAATTTTATTTTTTTCTTCTACATCAAAATTCTGTTCTCTAAATTTCAAAAATTCCAATTTTCATTTTTTTTTCAGTTCCACTATTCATTCAAAAAGCAAGAAATTCGCTCAATCAGTAATAATACATATAAAGATAACAGAATTGAGTGATAGTTATTGATTGAGAGGCACAAACACACACAAAAAATTTGTCGATTGGTTTTTTCCGCGTTGGACTCCCACAAATATTTACCTTTCGTCTCAGGAGTTTCCCAACTCCGCTCGTTGCCTCATTCGCATTACTCGCGCTTAAATTTTATTGTTTTTCCATAGTTTCAATTGAAATTTTCCACCCTTAAATTATACTAATTTAGATGTGGCCGTGAAATTGACGGCCACCATAGTTAGTCCATAGCCAAATTTTTCTATAAAAAAGCCTACAAAACCTAACATCGCGTGAAATTGTGTAATTTTGTGAGTTAAATAATGCTTAGTTTTATTCGAAATATTAAATATGTTATATTTGAAGGTGCACGACGCAAAAGGTTCATGAAAAAATATTTTATTTTCCGTGGTGGCCGTAAAATAGTGGGCCTCTCCAACTAGTTGTATTTATTGCAACAAAATGCAAATTTTCCGGTTAATTGATAAGAATTTCGTTTTGGCAACACGATGGGCTCAAGAAAACAGTTCAAAGTTCTTTTACTCGCCGACGCCCAATCAATCAAAGATAACATATTAGTCGGGCATTCGAGTTCCGCACACATGTGTTCTGCAAAAACAACAAAAAAAATGTTCCTCGTATTATTGATTGCGTTTCAGATTTTCCGACGAATCGAATGGAATACGACGTCGAGGTGGGAAATTTTCAACGATTGCAATCAATTATCATGATTAGCAATGGAGCGCACTTGCATTATTTGCCGATTTTTTTTCAGTATCTCGGTGTGATTCAAAACGAGAATTTTGCCGATCTTGACATCCATGGAAGAACCGATTTTCTACGAATCTTCGATAAAGCCAAAGTTGATCATTTCAGCGCCCCACTCCCAAATAAGGTGTACTTATAGAAAAATCAGCTAATTCGCTCGGCGAGCTCAAAACTCGGCCACAAGTTGGTTTTGGAAAACGCGCGGATTGTTGTCGTCACGAATGACAAGGTAATTCCGTTTTTATGTGGTCCTGACGCGAACCAAAAAACAAACGAAACCACTCATTTTCAGTCTGACGTCGTTTTCGAGGTGCCGATTCCATTGGTGGCGTGTTGTGGAAGCCTCATCGAAGATGGCGTCGTTCTTTTCGTCTTCAATATCACTCCTGACATGCAGGATCAGAATTATAGGGACCTCATGGTCCTGGCGATCACAAGCGAGGTAATTTTTTGTCAAACATTCGAAAGTTCACAATTCTCTCTGAAATTTTCAATTGCTATCGCATGCGCCTTTAATAATGCCTATTATAAATTTGTATAAAAATTATTATGTTAAATAAAAAAATAGCTAGCGTATATACAATTAATTTGTCTAGAATATTGAATTAGCACAGAAGAACACATATAAAATATATTCATCAGAACAAAATCGAAACTAAATAAAATTTACAACAAATAATATCTAGCTACTTCATAAAACACAAGAATATCAAGCAATAACTTAAAAACAATGAAAAATTTCTCAAAAGTCCGTATACGCGCGTCAACTCTTGTGTGTGTGCATACACCGCAGTGTGTACCGTACACCATTGAAATAATGAGTGTGATTTCTGCTGCTCATAACAAATCCAAATCAAACAATTTTTTTTGTCGACATTGCCATTTTCAGAGCGAGGCTCGAAAAATCGCGGAGAACCTCAACAAAATCTTCTCGCATTTCGCCGAACAGCAATTGCAGAATGCAACGAGTAAGTCTTCTGATTCTTCTTATTTTTTTTTGGTAGTGAACTCGACGTGAGAGAATCTCGAAAATTTCATGAGAAATTGTGTTCGGTTTTTTTTTTGCATAGTCGAATTTTTGAGAGAAACCAGAAGACGAAATCTGTGCAAACACGGCGACGCGATTGCGCGTAACGCCCTTCTCAGTGCGGCACACAAATTCTGAGAACTGCGGCACACTACCTCAGACTAATTTTTTAAATTATAAGTGTGCTTTGTCTTGTTTTTTTGGTTTATACACAAAGAAATGTGGCCGTGGCCGAACCTAATTTTTGAGGACAAATTTTCTAGGCCATACTGAGGGGGTATCGCAAATAATTATCATCAACTTCTGTTTCAAAAAAACAATAATAAGCAATTGAATTGATGCGCAAAAAGTGCGTCAGCAAACCGCACCATGGCGTCAAACTTGTGCCCAAAAATGCGGGGCGCGAAATTCAAAAACGCGTCATTCATTGCAACCATCTCCAATATCAAATTAACGTTGGGGCATATATATATTATATATGTATATGTGTACGAATTGGGAACACAACGCAAATGAGACGAAAGAAAAATGAAATTGAGAGAGAGAGATAGATAGAGAGGAGAGAGAGAGAGAGAGAGGAAATGCAGGCCATGTATGGCGGTTGCCCCGCGCAATCGTTGTCTAATTTCTCAAAAATCTCCGCCGCCATCGGTTCGCGCTTCGGTCGCCCCCCCCCCTTTCGTTCCAACTGTTTTCGAAAAGCTTCACTTCGGGGGGGTCCTCGTTATATTCGTTATGTATATCTGTGTCTCGCTCTTCTCTCGCCGTCACCTCAACCCCCCCCCCCCCAACGATTATATATTTATAATGCCTCCCGTCGAACTTTCTACTATCTACACGTTTTGCTTGCTTAAAAAAGGACCCCCCCAACCAATTTTTTGTATTTTGATTGATATCGAAATTTGCTGGGGGGTCTCTTCGTGTTGTTTTCTCAAAGATCTAAAAAAATTGATTGGGGCCTCTCTTGGCTATCGGTTTACGCGGAATGCGTAAAAATGCGTGCTCGCCGACGGATGGCGTTTCATTTCTGCTTAGGCGGCCCCCCCAAAAAACAATGCATAATTTTTGTGGTGTACACCGAGACGCCAATTTGCACACAATTCAGAAATGTTTTTGGTTTTGAAGAAGATTTCGGTCACTATGAATTGTTCGAATCGAAATTTGAATTACCGCCACTAACAAAAAAAAATAGAAAATCCGCAATTTGATTTTTTTTGTTTTACATATTTGGTTGGCGAGTTCATTTTTTGAAAACTCCATATATACGGTAATTAAATAGAATTGGGTCTTATAGCGAAAAATTTCGGTAGTCTCGATTTCTCAAAAAAAAAAAAACAAAATGAAGGCAATATTATATTTTAGCCCACCTCATTTTCAGAATTTTCTTCAAAATTTTTGGATTTTCATTTTTTCTAGAAATTATAGATTGAAAAAAAAATGGAATTGTTAACGATTTGTCTAAAAATTGTGCATGCGCCTTTAATATTGTAAATATATTTCTGTTTCCTTTTATAGTAAGTTTTTTGTTATTTTCCTTTATTGGAATTTTTTTCAAATTTAAAAATTTATATATTTCAGCTTCACTACGAATTTTAAAGCTTGCCAATTATAAAATCTGAAGCTAAAAATTGCGCCATAAAAGGAAACACGATATATTGAAAATTAATCGAGAGGCTTCATTTTTATTGGGAAATTTATTGCGCATTGTGTGTACACCGACACGCCAATATGCACACATAACGAGTCGTACGAATTTGCAAAATTCGAAGCGGTGGGTCTCTTAAAAACAAAAATCGACTTTTACTCTGACAATGGGCACTTTAAAAAATTCCCCATTTTTTCCAAACGAGACCCAAAAGGCGGCAATTCAAATTCCACAGTAATCCCGTCTTTTTTCGATCATTTCCAAAAATGTCAAAGTTTTTTTTAAATCTCCAAAAAAAGTGTATTCAAAAATTTGAATATGAAAAAGCTCGTCGAAAAATATTTACTTCTACACGGCCACATCATTCGTGTCTCCAGTGAATGTGTGTTTTTCATTCCTCGCCGCTTCCTCGCCGCTTCCTCTCTCTCTCTCGAAAAAAAAATGTCTTGCGCATAATTTACAAGCTTCATCTTTTTTTTTTCAGCGCAATTTTTTCGAAAAAAAATTTTTTGATCTCCAATCAGTTTTTGGCTGTTTTTGATAACATCGCAAAATTTTCTCTTCACTCGTCGCCCAGCAAAAACAATTCAAAAAAAAATTGTGTGTGTATGTGATGATCATTTGCGATAATCCCTCGCCTATGCTATTTTTTTTGTTTCGGGTCGATTTTGATTTTTGACGCATTTTCAAACTAAAATTAGAGTTGTTGGTGAGACATTCTTTAAAGATTCCAATCTTTGCCATTGAAAATTGACGATTTAAAGGTCGATCGATCGCTACGTTTTTCCCTTCAAGACCCAAGTATTGTTTGATTTTAAATGGCGATTTTCAACGCCTAATTAAACCCCCCGAAATGTTTTAATATGCCTTTTTTGGATTTTGCCGTGTGATCCATAATATTGAATGGTGTTTCAGAGCAGTGGCGGACAATCTCCTCATCGTGTCTCACGTGAGTCCCATTTTTTTGGGGGTTTCAAATTTTAGCATTTAAAAATTGAAAAAAAAAATTTCTTTAAATATAACAATTTTTTGAAATTGCAATAATTAAAAATGACGAATTTTAGAATTTTTGATGACATTTTGAGATTTTAGCGACGAAATATTCAAAAACGAAGGCATTTTTTTATTTTGGAATTTAAATATTAAAAATGGAAGAATTTTTCGAATTTTAGATTAAAAAATTAAAAAATGACGAATTTTTGAGATTTTTAATTGAAAATATTCAAAAATGAAGCATTTTTGTTAATTTTTGAATTAAAATAATCAAAAACGAAGCATTTTTGAGATTTTAAAATCAAAATATATTCAAATTGAAGCTTCTTACAAATTGTTGGCCTCGTAGGATGTCCGCAGCAAGTGATGTCCAAATGAGTGCGCTTCAGAAAATCCAGATTTCAAAAATCCAATGTTTTTTTTTCCATGCGCCTTTAATGTCTGCATTTTCAAAATTCACTCAAATTGAAAATTCGAGAAATTTTTGAATCAATTCAAAATTTCTAGGAGATATGAGAAAAAATTGGACATTCTTTTCGGAAATTGGTGAATTTTCGCGTTGAAAACGCAAAAATTCTCAATCATTTTATCAGATCAATAAATCGAATGTTCGACATTTCAAGGTTATTTCGAACCGGACAATTTCGACAATTTTTTGATTTTGATTTTTCAAGTCCTAAAATGGAACCAAAATACTCTAAAAATAGAAAAAAAAACAAGAATTTACACAAAATTCGAAACCAAAAACGAGCCCCCATAAAATGACGAATAAAAATGAAAAAAAATTTTGTTTATTTTTTTGGTCTCGCAGCGATTTTACACATTTTTCTTAACGAGTTTCCTACTGAAAAAAATGGCGCGCTTCGTTCTTCACATTTTTCACATTTTGATGAATGAACCCGACATTAGGAAACCAAACAAAAAAATAAATGTCAACTTTACGATTTCGGTGAAGCTTCTTTTCTGAAGGTCCCACAACGAAAATGAAATTTCAATATTCAATTTTGGACTCATTTAAATAATAATTATTCGACGAATTGATATTCATTATGAATATTCAATGATGAATGCATTTCCTTATATGGACTCGACCGAATTTCCGCACTAATTTCCATTTCTTTCATTTTTTCCTCCCGCCTTTAAGATCGCTTTGAGACCCATTTCAATTAGCTGACAGTTCTCGTAAATCGACAATTGTCTATGATTTATTTTGACGCGGTTTTTGTGGGGAATTTCTCAAAACGTTTTTTTGGCAGTGTTGGGTCTCGCACGGAAATTTATTTCTACTTGAGTCTTCTGTAGATTCGAGATTCCATTTTTCATCATCGGTCAAAAAAGCTTTTTTTAGCATAAAATCGAGACCATAAAAAATTTTTTTTGGAAAAATTACGTGTTTTAAAGTCCGTAAAAGCTCATACGAGAAACTGCACACATTTTATAATTTTTCATAAAATTTTTTTTTCAAATTTTCCAATCTAAAAACAAATTGAATTTGTGTGAAAATTGGCGTATTTTTTTCAAAAAAAAATGTCACTTCAAAAAAATTTCCATAAATTTGTCAAAATCGTTCCAAAAAAATTGGATTCAGTAGAAAAAATTTGATTTTTGAATAAAAATTTTAAAAATTGCCGTGTTTTTTTTTTCGAAAAATTAATTTGCCGAAATTGTAAAAAATTTGGATTTAAAAGAGAAAAATTTGATATTCGAGTGAAAATTTTAGAAAATCGCGTATTTTCCAAAGAAAAGGGGGGGGGGCGCCCAATTCAAACAAAATCAACGCCATCTGTGCAAATCATATATTGTCGCCGATTTCTTCAAACATTCCCCCCATCTTTTCAATTTCAGCATTTCAATTTCAGATCGTCTCCGCCGGCGCCGCTCGACACACCGCTCACCGAATCGAGCCATCATTCATCGGTCGTCAGCAAGGCGATCAACGAGGTAGACCTTCAAACAATCATCCTGGTGTCGATTTACGAGCCCCTCGTTGAGATTTAAAGGCGCACGTCGAGACCTCAATTTGCCATCAAAGTCTGATTTAATTTGACAATTGTTAACCGCCGATGACATGTCGATTTCAATGATTCCGACTCGCTTTCGTTTCATCCCTTTTTTGGGGGGGGAGGGGGCCAACCAAAAAAGAACCAAATCGAATTTTGTCGACACAATGGAATGCCCATTTCTTTTCTTCTTCTTCTTCTTTTTTTGGCGAGAAACCTTCCCCCCAAAAATTGATCTACTCGTGCTCATTTTTTTTTTGAATTTTCCCGTCATCGCCTTCATCATCTTTCATTTCATAAGATTTCATTTTCTCATTTAAAGGCGCACGCCCTATTCTTTGTTCTTGTTGATCGTTTGATCCTTTAAATTTCATCATTGTGGTCACCAATCGCATTTTTCTGGATATCCACATTTAGAAAAATGATTGGAGTTTCCGCAATATGTTGGCAACGTGTTTGCGGACTTGATGGTCCTGACGCGAAGAGAAAAAAATAGTCACATTTCTCGCCGATTCGATGTTTCAGATGTTGTCTTCTGAATAATGGAAAAATGTGGTCCCGACGACCTCCTCATAACTCCTCATTTTCTCCATTGAGGAAAATGAAAACGAAAGAGTGGAACCTTGAGGCGATGCAAATTTCTTTTTTTTTTTCTTTGCCTGCTCGCTTCGAGCTTCTCCTTGCGCTTCTCACATGCCCCAACCCTTTTTACCCTTTTTTGCTATGTGTGCTCACTTTTTTTTTGTCGCCCTACTTCTCCTTGGACCATCGACGTCTTGAAAGCAACATTGCCTCCTTCTCCATTTTTTTTTGTGTGTGTGTGTGACGCGCATCGGTCGGTAGTCTTGAGTGCTCCAGGTCGATGCTCCAAACGCCTCTCTCTCTCTCTCTCTCTCTCTCTCTCTTTGTGTGTGTGTAATTAAGGCGATCATAAAATTTCTCATTTCGCCGATTGGTTTTTTTTCCACCATTCTCGATTTTCCGTTTGGGCACCCAAAGTCCACAACACATGCGCCTTTAAAAATCAAAATTCCGCCATTTTAAATAGGGAACTAAGAGATTCTCCAATATTGCCAACTTTTCACTAATTATGGACCATCGCATTTTTCTCAACGATGGGCGCTAATTCAAAAATGGAACAATTGGCTAACGGGACCCCCCTACCCCAATGTCCCTTTAAAGTGTACCCATCCATATTAACACGATCTGCCGATTTTCGGACATGAGAAAAAAAAACAAGTTTGCCGTTTGTCTGCGACGACGACCCTCCGGTTGGGTTCTGTCGTTTTCATAGTAAACAATGCATTGTTGACACGCAACATTTCTTTCTCTTCTCGTGAAAAAAAAGTGTGTGTGTGTTTTTTTTTTCAACACAATCCGCCGAATCCATTCCGTCCGTTCCCACCCGCGTGTCGACTCATCTCATCTATTTTTATATATATTTTTTCTTTTTTTTGTTGCGTCAAAAAAAAATAGAATCCTCGAATTTGCGAATGCTCCTTTAAATAATTCCCTTTAAAGGTTTATTGCATTTTTTTTGCGTGTTGAAGCAAAAAAAATCCATCTAGGCGATTCCAATACTTCGTTAAATGAAATGCACGAGTCCGCAATACAAAAATTGCCCCAAAGATTTTTTCTCTATTTAAAGGCGCAGACAGATTACTCGTGGAAATTAAACCACCGCGAAGATGGTCTCGTGGCGATTAATACAGTAGCAAATAAAAAAAACTATGCAGGTGATATTCAAATTTACATTTTTTTTTGTTTCGCGCCGCCCATTTCCCGCGATAATTGAATGAGCAGCGACTAATAATGTCGGAGCACAAAAAAAAAAGAAATTGGGGTTTCTATTCGCCAAATCCATATCAAACCATTTCCAGGTGCGCTCATGCTTGTCGCCGGAAGAGGAGCCGCACTTTCGCGACATCCTTCAACGCTACACGAGCGGCGAGAACGACGTGAAGATTTTCGCGCAGAAGCTCACCGAGATGTTCGGCGCCAAACGAAAAACGCGTCTCTCGTGTGAGTTCTTTTTTTTTGGCGTTTAAACGCCAATTTTTGGTGCGAATCATCCAAAAAAAAGAAAGAAAGAAAGAATCCATGCGAGTTTTATTGCGCAATTCAGTGCACCAAATGAGATTTTCCATTTTTCCATTGTGGCGAATGCGAGTGAAAAGAAAATTATGGCGAAACTCATCTGCAGACAATTCTCGATGGCACTGATCATTGTTATGAGTCGACTTGTTTTTTGTTTATCACCCATTCTGTTTTTATTTATTTCCCCATGGACGTGTCTGCTGAAAAATAAAGAAATATGAAACGAAAGTCATTTTTTTTCTATTTTGTTCCTTAGCTTCGTTAGTTTTTTTTTTGGCGAAATTTGATTAGTGCCCAAATTTCACCTGGTGCTCAAAATTCGGCCTGAAAATCGATTTTTTTAAATCGAAAATTAATTTGGATTTTCATTCAAATATTTATATTTTCATTTTTTAATGAAAAATACAAAATTTTCCCTAAAAATGCGCATTTAATGTTAGTTTTCAAATAAAAAAATTAATTATTAGCGATTTGAAGGAAATGTTTGCTATATGTAGTTAATTTCGAAGACTGATGACATCCGGTGGAGCGGAGCGTAAAAACTTGAACAATGCGATTTGGTCTCGCAGCGATTTTGCGATTTGGCTGCGTATCAACGCGTGCAAATTCTTCGAAATTCCGTTTTTTCGACAATTGTGTTGATAAAAATTACATTAAATGCGCGTTTTTTTTTTTCGAAAAACGTCTAATTTTATTCATTTGCTTTATTTCTTACGGAAAATTAAATTAAGCCAATCATCATTTCTTTTTATTTCCCAAATAAACCGGATTCTAGCGACCAAAAAAAGTTGGCTATTTGAATTGTCTGAAGTGCGTTTTGGTTTTTCTTTTCGTCCAATGATTTTTTGCATTTTCAGACTTGAAGCATGTGCTACGCGCCGAAGATGTCGCCACATTCGACGCTGTCTTGCAGTGAAAAGAGTTGGGAAGAATAAACGTTTCAAAAACAACCTTTTTATTTCTTTTCTTCGACGTTTTCTTTTCGAAAGTGTGTTCTCAGACACTGAATATTTTTGAACCGTTTTTTTCTGCATTCCTGAATCACCATTTCTCACTATGATCCATTAAAATCAATTGAAATCGAAAATAATTTCGTTTTTAAGAGAATTTTGAATCGAAACTTAGTTTCTTAATCGAAGCAAGTTAATTTGAAATTTCAGTTTTCTTCGAATCCGATTTGAATTTTATTTATCTGAGCATTGAACTTTGTTTCCTTGCACCGAATCTATCCAGTCAATTCACAATATTTTCGCCAAAAATTGATAATGTTTGATTTTCTGGCCTCAACAATACAATTGCGCTAAAAAAAATGTCATAGGATTTCGATTTTTTTCTTCGACTTAATCCGCTCCCGTCATCCCAGGCTTTATTTTATTCGATTTTGCCCATACAAGGACACCTTTTTTTTTCTCCTTCGTCGCCCTCGAATCCTCATTTTTCTTTCCGACAATCGACAACAAAACACTCATTTCTAGGGGCCTGCACGATTTCGTTGGGAATTCAATCGATTGGCGTCGTCGCGATTGTTCGGTTTGCAACATGAGTTCCATCAGCCGGCCATCAAGCGGCAACAGCGCTTCCGGCGGCGGCGGCGGCATTCGCGGATTCTTCTCGAAGCTGAGAAAGCCGTCCGATCAGCTAATGGCTACCCAGCAGGTGCGTCTGAAAACGAATTTGGTCAAAAAAATTGAAAAAAAAATCAAATGAGGGAAAGAAAAATCGATAAGTGTGCGTAATGTCGTGTCGGTGTTCACACACACGCGTCATCTACCGTAGCGCAATTCGAAATTTAAAATAGTCGTCAACATTTTTTCCGCATCCCACCCCCCACCAAATGAATATTCTTCTAAAGATCGCCAAATTTATCATAGATTATTTTACGAAGCACTGGTTTTCTACAATGTTCACGCAGAATGTGAGTTTTTTCATCATTTTCATCTAAAAAATTGTTGTTCTAAAAATTGATTTTTTGTTTTCAAAAACTCTGAGCTTTTGGCCCATTACACTCGCCAGCAAACCGCAAAAAAATGATTTTTTACTTCGAGAGTCGAAGTTTTCAAACAATCACATATGTGCTCATTTAGTCGCGCATTTTACACAATGTGAATCTGCAAAGTGTGAGCGCTCGTTCGTCTGCGCAAAAAATGCTTAAGCCGTCGATAAAAAGGAAATCAATTGGTCCTGAATGGATTAAATTCAACAATTTTTCTAAATAATAGAAGTAGTAGTTGCATTTTGTGGAATATAGCAGCATTGAAAAATTATCATTTTATTTCTTTGATCGCGCTGAGGCCAGGCTTATTGGAAGCCATAAAGAAAGCTTTACTAGAATTGATTAAAACTCCCGACAACTATTTTTGGAAAAACTCTTGTCTTTTCCGTCGATATTGATTTATTTCTGAATTTAAAAGGCGCAAAATTTGCTCTTTTTATCATTAAAATATTGCGCAACTTCTAAATTCGGCCGGGATAGCTCTTTTCAATTAGATAGGAAGTTCCAGCCAGATTCCAATGTATTCATCTCGATATCGATTGGAAGATTTACGTGCTTAGGTATAAATATAGATTAAAGGCGCACACCGGCAATTCTCCTTGATTTTTTCGGCATTAAGCCATATTTCCGCATGCGATTTGCAAGCCTGCATTTAATTTTGAAATTCCAAATTTTGACAGTGAACCCAATTATACGTAATTATTGAGGTGGCCTTATAAATGTCCAGCCAGACTTCAATGTATAGCTCATTCGTGTTCCATTGATTCCATTGATGAATTATTATGACTCGACGCATCACGGTTTGTTGATCGCGATCGGAAAAAAAAATGCGGGGCGGCGGAAGAACACGGCGACGGCCAGCTGTTGTCGATTTTGATATTTTTGTGGCGAATTACACGATGATGACAAGTCGCGTGTGTTTTTGTGCCTTCTCCGCCTCCCGCGATTCCCATTTATTCGATCTCGACGGCAGCCGCTTCTCATCGAACACGTTCATCGCCAAATATTGGAAAAATCAATATCATCACTTTTTTGATTGTTTGATGCGAGACAAATGATTCAAGTGCCGAGGATTTATGTAAGTTTCGAGCCGGTCAATTTTTGATGATCGAACATCGTGAGAGATAAGTGCCGACGCGTTTAATGGTCCCCCCCCCCATCGTGTTTCGCCAATATTGATTAAGGGACCATTGGTCCCCCGCACATTGGCTATTTTGGAATAGAAAATAGATATGCCAATTTTGTGCGGATCACCTCCAAATTTTACGAGGTTTTCCGGCTTTTTAGTAGCCCGGAAAATGACGCACAGAATATTTCTCATCTGCCGACTTCAATGGTCCGTTTCCCTTCAAAACATCGAATTGTTGAAAAAAGAGAAGAGAAAGCGTCGAGAAGTGTCGTTCATTGTTCCTGAATTTCCAAGAGGCCTATTATCCCGTCAGATTTGCTTATTTTTTGTTTTTCGCGCGTCGCCTCGTCATACATAAATTAATTTTGTATCAAACTCGATTTTTTCTTTCCCCCCCTATTTTATTCGTTTTTTTCCGCCCCACGAATAACAACCACTTTAAGTTTTCCATAGTAGTTGTTTGCTCGGGCGATGGTCCCCACAACGAAAACGTGTTCTTTCCGGCACGAGACCCTCCAAAATTGGTAATTAGTGCAAATTGTAAAGTGGCGCGACAAAAACTCGTTTTTTATTCGCCTACTCTTTAACATAAAAATGGTAGATTTGAAAAAAAATCATTTTTTTTATCAAACAGACACTGTTTTGACGCAAATCCACCTGATTTTCGATTTGAATGGGGGGCTTGAGAGCTCAATTGAATTTATCAGCTGCTCTTTCAGCCTTTTGTCTATAATTTTCCACCATCCAAAAAAAATTTTCAACCGCAATTTTAAGCGAACACTGTCATGCGTCATTGATTATCGAATATTTTTTTGCGAAATTCCAGCAGTTTTCAGCAAATTTTGACCTGAATAACGTCACCGGAAATTTGAGTGAGCCCATGATTATGCGCCTTTAAAAATGTTCATCATTCACAGACATCGTCTCAATGTGCCTTCAAAGCGTTTTTGAATTGGTTGTTTTTTTTTGGATGTGTGTCGTTAAAATTTCACAGAGAATTTTTTTCCAAGCCAACTTGGAATTTCTATTTTTGACCAATGCGCCTTTAATGAGTTTTTGAAATTTTTTGAGCTATGAGCCTTTAAACCTCATTTAAATTTCAATGCACCCTTAAAAAATTACAGAACCCCTGATATAATCTTTTCAATTTTTCTTAGAATTTGTCTTTCACTCCCATGCGCCTTTAAATAGTCCTTGACATGTATTTTGGGATATGCGCCTTTAAAACGCTGCAAAATTTGTGATATTTTCGTTTCAAGTTGGTTTAATGTAGCTCGTTTTGACCGATGCGCCCTTAAATCGGCTTAAAATCTGTTTTCGTTTTCAAACTTTCCCAAAAGATAACAATTCTGTGGTCCCGTCATTCCTTCATTTTTTTTTGATTTTCGCGAACCTCAAACTCGCCGGGGTCTCGCCGCTATCAATTTCGACTTCCTCGTTTTTTTTGTCAACTTCACAAAGAACCGTTTCACGTTTTGAGAATCCCAATCAATCGCGCCACCGACAATTCATCATTTTTGCACTACTATCAATGTTCACGAGAATCAAGGTTTTTTCTTGACGAGAAATGTGTCTTGTCGATCGCCACCGACTTTTTTTTTCTTCCTTTTTCTCTTTTTTTGTCTTAAATCACACTGACCGATAATGTGCTGGAAATTCAATCCGCTGAGTGCGTTGCGAATCGTTGAGGTGAGCTGTTTTGATTTTATTTTTCGTGTTGAGACCCGTGGTAACGGTGGGCGGAAATCAGTGGGGAAAAAGTGATATCCTTGATTTTTTTTATGGAAAACAATAATGGGACATTTTACATCAAAAAATTTCTGAAATTATTTGAAATTTTCATCTCTAGACCTTAAAAGGGGGTTTCTTTAAGGCATTATACTCGATGTTTCTGAAAATATTTTAAATCGAATATATATTTTTAGCGAAATGTCCCTTTAAAAAAAAATCACACTATTTTTTGCAATTTTTTTCGCGAGTCTCAATTACCTTATCGGGGGAGGAATTCCCTCGGTAAGAGGCTTAATTGAAGTTCCTCCCCCCCCCCCTCCCCCCAGTTCCTTTTTTGTTTTCTGTAAACAACTCGATGCTCCTTTAAAATTGCAAAGAATTGTATGGTAGACACCCATGTCGCGAAACCGGAAAACATTGATAAACCCAAGACGATCACGCGCTTTTTTCTGTTCCTTCACTCTTTTGAAGGTTGATTCTGCAAAATGTGATGTGCCTTTAACGATTGCGTTGGGACCCGATATGTGTTGTTTGATCTAATCGACTGATAGTCGGCCTAAAATAATTGGAGGTGGTCCCTAATTATTATTATAATTTTTGATTGACAGAGCTTGAGCAGCAGCTCGCTAGAGAGCTCATTAATGTAACTATTTTTATTTGATAATTTTTGTTTGTTGGAATCAGCCAACCCCCTCCCCCCTCCTCTCCCCATATTTGGATGGTATCTTTATGACCTCGCTGGAATGGGTTCAATGCGATCAAAATGTTCTTCTTATCGGCGCCGACGAGTTTGATCAAAGACCTCGGAATCCCAACTACACACATACAGTCACACGGAGAGAGAGGGAGAGAGTCGGACTAGATTCTAGCTATTTAAAATATTTGCGCGTTCAAAAAGAAAAAAATTGTTCATCGAGGTCGAAAATAATCGGCCTGGAGTAGATCATATCCGCAAAGGCTCTTTTTTTGTTTGAGAAAGAGAGAGGGAGAGAGATTCTATTTTTTTTTTTTCGAATCCGCGTTCCTCTAGAATTGGCATATTATTATTATTATAGATTTATTAATTTTGTGCTCCGTGTGCAGTTGGGTGAGCATTACGCAATGTGAGCATCGAAAATTGAGAAGCTTGCTCGCTTCGATTCGCTCGCGCGCGCGCGAAGACTTTGATTAATTGGATTGGATTCGCCTCGTCTTCTTCAATATGCGTGTGTGTGTTTATTTTTTTTTTGTCGCCCTCCTTATACGCCCTCGTGCAGGCTCATACGTCGTGCTACCTCGATTTTCATTTGTTTTATTTTTAGACGTCGTTGCCTCCGGAATTGTTGAGTAGATCACACAGATTTGAAAGAGGGCCTCATTTCTGCGAGGAAGAAGAAGAAGAAGGGCGTTCCGTTCTTTCTCTCTCTCTCTTTCTTTCTATCACATTTTTTTTTCAAATTTCCAAACGATTCGTTGAAGCGTTTCGACTCATGAATAAATCAATTCGGCGTGCCGCCGAAAGGCCCAGCATTCAATTGGCTCAAATTTGTGTGTTTCAAAGTGCACAACATTCTTTATGTAATTTGTTTTTTGAGTTGCTGCTGTTGCTCACGGCCCCGTCGCGATTTTGTTTTTGGCACACTTGTCCCATTGTCGACACGCTCTTTTGTCTTGCTCTCGGGGGTTGTCTCAAGGGACCACCCCGCCGCTCGTGTAGTTTCTGATTTTTTGCTCTCCTCTCCTCTCCTCCTCCTGCCCGCTGCTTCTGCGAGGTGGTTTTTTTTGGTGTCGAGCTTCTTCTCGCTTTTCGAATTGTTTTTTTTTTGCAACAACATGGCGGGTTGCAAACGGAAAAAAAGATGGAAGACGGATTCAATTTCCCGTCGCCGCAGCGGCTTAATGAAGAAGACGTGGGACCAACAATTCTGAGAATTGTCGAATTTGTTGTTACGTGCGGAAAATTGGCTAAATGCCAAAAAAAGAGCCGCGTAAATCTACACCTTTAGTTTTGCGCCAAGACCACTGCTATTGTATATATATATATTTTTTTTTCGTGGCCAATTTTCTGCAGACAATAAATGAACTCGACGAAAATTCAAATTGTGTCGACTTCCCCCCCCCCCTCTTCAGTTTCGGTGTCACGAGACCTCGACAAACTGTAGACGGTCTGCGAATGCCCGCCTCCTTGCAAAAACCACCGAAAAGTCGAGGCGCGCCGTGCTCGTCTGCCCTCCGGCGCCGCTCTGCGTCTCTACACCCCGTATCTTACTCCTCTTTGGCCCCGCCATCATCGTCGTCGTCGTCGCCGCCGCCGCCGCCGCCGTCGCGAGTTTTTTGTCCCCCCCCCCCCGTCCGACTACACGTTGCGTTTTGGTTTATTTTTGTGATGTGATAGACACCACAGATTCATTCCATTGTTGATCCGCTCTCAAATCGAGGAATTTCTTTTTTTTTTGTTGCTACTTATTATTGGTATATCACTGACACAGAAATTTGTTTAGAGAGACTTGCCATCCACGATCGTCTCTCTCTCTCTCTCCTACTTCCCCTCTCTCTTTCACTCTCTTTCAATGTTTTCGGGAAGAAGCCAAAATGGCGAATATGTGGTGAGTTGTTGAGAATGGTCCCACCAGCCGGATTCCGAGAATATTTGAGAAATATAATGATTTTTTTTTAATGTTCAATACCGTAATCATCATAAGTCGGCACCGAAATGGGTTGTTGAATGCGAAAAAAAGTGGTTCCCATCTAATTATGCCTCTCGCGGGCCTCCGCGGAAAATTTTGGGGAAATGAGAGAAACGCCTCTCCTCTCTCTGTGTGTGTGTGTATTAGTGTTTGCGAACCCATTTTTGGCAATCAAATATCGAGCGACCCTGTGTTGTTATCAAAGCGACAACAATTTTGAGAAAAAAAGAACGCATTTTTGGTGTTCTTTGACCGAATTTTGGAAATACCATTCTCAATTTTTTGCCCGCCGAGATTTTTTGGGTTTGTTTGTGCCGACAACGATGGTGCCGAGAAAATGTTGGAGCGGAAATTGAGTGATTTTTTTCGGCGAAAAAAAAATGAAATATTCGAGTGACTAGAAAAATCATTCGTCCTGCCAGACATGCTTTTGTTTTTTTTTAATTTTGAAACTCATCGAAATTCCCGTGACAACGATCGACTATTATCATTTTTGGAAGTTTTTTTTTCGAGAAATATGGTATTTTTTGGGGCATCGAAGCTTAATGATGATTTTTTCGAGAAAAACTCAATGAACTCAGAAACTTGGTGTTTGTGAAATTCGCATTTAAAAAAAAAATGAGGCCTCAAATTTTTCGGAATATATTTTTTAAAATCAAATTTCGACATGCGCATAGAATAGGCAAATGTTTGATAGGGGCGTGGGAAAACATTGAAATCACCCGACGGATTCAACATTTTGTTTTTCTTTTTTCAGGTTCAAGTCGGCTCGCGGACATTTGAAGCGCATGAGCTTCAAAAGCTGATACCGCAACTCGAGGAGGCGATCGCGCGAAAAGACGCGCAACTCAGACAGCAGCAGGTCGTCGTCGAGGGTCACATCAAGCGGATTTCGGAGCTCGAGCAGGAGGTCACATCGCTACAGGTATATGTCTATTTTTTTTTTGTATGGGAGGCAATTCGAAAATCGTAGACGCAAATGAATACAACGATTCATCACACACATTTGACGGTGTTTTTGCAAAACAAAATGCGAAAATCGCTGAAAACAATGCCAACTGACTGACTGATGAGGAGAATCACGTGTTGGCGTTTTTGGTCGCTCTTTTTTTTCCATAATTTGTTTTTTGAATTTCGCGCCAATTTTTTTTCGATATTCACCAAGCAAAAATCTTGTTTGCGATAGAAATTTATATATTTAAAGGCGCATTCACATAATTGAAGCGACCAAAAAAAAACGAGCTGATGCTATTTTCCCTACTTGGAAATTAGATATTATCTTCATTTTTTTTTGTGTGATTTTGAATATTTGCCTCAGCAGTGGGGAGGAGCATAATATATTTTTTTGTTGTTGATTTTGCCTATTTGAGGATTTAGAGTTGGGACTGGTTGTCGGGAAAAAAAAACACGGATCGACGAAAAACATTTGATTGTTGTTTCAGCGCGAATGCGACAAACTACGTTCGGTGCTTGAGCAGAAGGCGCAATCGGCGGCGAGTCCCGGACAACCGTCGTCGCCGAGCCCGCGCGCCGAGCTCAACAACGATTTGCAGCACGACAGCGGGCAGCAGCGATCGAAGAAGATTGCCGTTTCGGCTGAGCCGACGAATTTCGACAACAAACAAGCGAGCCTACAGCACTATCCGAAGACGATTGGGTTCGTTTGGCATCTCATTATCGATTAATTGGATTCAATTTTTTTTAACTAGAAAAATTCTCGAAAAAAAAAATACATTTTTCTTGTTGATGATCCGCGAAAATTTTGAAAATTTTTTGGTTAAATGCCCAACAAAAAAAATTGCGACGCATTTCGCTCGTAAATCTACACAGATTCGTACCGAGACCTTTAACCATGTATTTATTTTGTTTAGTATTCTATTGCGTTTTCCGAATAATATAGTGATTGCGTCTGACAAAAAATCCCGTCCGCCCAGAATTGATCGCCACAAGACTCCAACTACTCGTTTTTTTTGCGCTTTATGAGCATTTAATCAATTATTTTCATTGATTTATTTAAATTTTGCGATTTTTATTAAAAATTTCTAGCTATTCAAATCCTAAAAGAGTTAAAATCATGGCAAATCGCCCGAAATTAGCGAATCTTCATGGAAATTTGAGGAGTTTACGATTTTTTGAATTTTGTTGTGTTGGGTCTCGAAGCGATCGATTCTGGTAGCCGTTTTTTGGTTTTTTTTGTTTTACAAAGTGGAAAAATTTGAAGTTTTTCGGCGAAAATTTCCAAAAATTTTGAACGTCTAAAACAATGATAATGCAAAAATTTGGCAATGTATATATATTATATGTATATTGAAATCGAGCAATCCGAATTCGAGTTTCAGCGCGAAACAATTGATTCGCGATGCTGTGCAGAAGAACGACTTCCTCAAACAATTGGCGAAGGAGCAGATCATCGAGCTCGTCAATTGCATGTACGAGATGCGCGCGCGCGCTGGACAATGGGTGATTCAGGAAGGCGAGCCGGGCGATCGGCTATTCGTTGTTGCTGGTGAGTTGTTCGTTATTTTAACAATCAACAACAAAGAAAAAAATGCGTCGTCCTGTGCGCCTTTAAACCAATTCGTATGGCTATGAGAGAGAAAAAAAACAAAACAAATAATTGGTTTCGAGCCGACAAAACACAAAGATTGTGAGCAGCACAATGATTTCAGAGGGCGAGCTGCAGGTGTCACGTGAAGGGCAGATGCTTGGCAAGATGCGAGCCGGAACGGTGATGGGAGAGCTGGCGATCCTCTACAATTGCACAAGGTACGGTAGCACGAGTTTCTCTTTTTTTTTCTTTTGCTGGTGTGAAGGGTTTACTGATCTACTACATATATTAGTTTTTTTTGCCCCCAACAAAAAAAAAGAAGGCTCGCTATGGTATGATAAGACGACAAAGCGCACCATCATCTCTCTTCTTGTCTCCTCCGTAGTTGTTCAGCTGATTTTGTTTCGTTCGTCGTCATCAGCTGCAGCAGCATCGGCCTCGTCGGCGGCGGCGGCGGCGGCGGCGATCACCGGCGCTATTTATCCTCTCGGCGTTGATTTATACATTGTTATTTTTTTTTTCGTCGCCAAAATTCCAAAAGGTCCCGCAACGATGCGAATGTTTCTCAAAAATGTTGACATTGTCAATCTATTCCAATTCGTTTACTATTATTATTATCGACGATGGGAGTTTGATGTGAAAACGGCGTTGTTGGTGATGTTGCAGGTCGTCAAGTAGGTTTCTATCGAATATTGAAATGGTTCTTATTTCTTATTTTGGTTAGATGGGGGGCCGAGGGGTCATAATGCCTAGGGACCATTGCACGTTTTTCGGATTCTCGATGATTTTGAGGTCTTCTCGAATCGTCGTTGTCGTCGTCATCGTCGTTCGCGCTTGTTGACGTGAATTCAAACAATCTTGTAGTTTGCCGCTCGCCATATTTTGAATTATCTGAAGGCCACGATAGCTTCCGTCAACGGGTGGTAGTGTAGTTATCATCGTCAACTAACTTGAAACGGTCACACTTTTCGTCGTCGTCGTCGCTGTGGACAATCTCTCGATTCAATTATTTTGGCAATTGCTTGATTTTTTTTTTAATTTGGACGTCTTGGAAATTATTAGACGACAGACAGGCTAGCGTCCGAAATTGGTTATCAAATTAGAAGAAATTGAACCCGCAAAATCATTACACAGTGTGTTTTTGGTCTCTAAAAACGTCGTCGTGTCGAGACCCATATTGTGTGTGTGTTTTTTTTCCTTCTACCTCGTTGTCGTCTTCTTTTTTTTTGCGCGGCCCAGAATGATTTATCGGCTGGCATTCGAAATCTCGAGATTACGATCTTGCCGCCCCCCCCCCCAACCTCCTCCAATTTTTCGCCGATAACTGGTTTCGGTTTCACGTGACCTTTTTTCTGTGCGGAAATTGGAAATCGATTCGTTTGATCTACTCGTCCGAACCCCCCCCCCTTCTTCCTGCCAAATTTCGTCAATTGAAGCGAGTTGACAATCTGAAAATCCCTCCAACAACAACACAAAAAATGATCACGTTGAAATTGTGGGCAGATTGGTCAGCGGCTTGCATGATATACCCGATTTTTACACATTCGGGTCGGCTTCCTTCTTTTTTCTTGGTTGTATCATGCTGCCGACATCGTTAATCTAAGGTTACGATCGTCTCTCAAAAAAAGAATTTTTTCTAAACCTCATTTTCTCATTCTTTGTTTCATTTCTCGACGACTAGTATTAGAATTTTAGTTTAAAGTTTGTTCCACTCCAAAAAAAGCGCCAATTTTTTGCGTCCTTGTTGTTGTTTACTCATTTGTTTACCGTTCCGCGAAACGCTGATATTTTTGTCTTCGATGCTTGTTTTTTTTTTAATTGGAATCGCCGCTCTAGCTGAATGCTGATGTGCGCCACATGCAACATATCGTCGACGTCGACGTCGAAGTTTGTCGAGAAGCTACGCCGAATGGTTTGGTGGCCGCCGTCGACGTCGTATGAGCTCGACGAGCCGCCGACAAGCGTTGCGCTCAAATCGCACCGAAAACACATTGATGAGTATTATGTTGATGAATTGCACTTTGAGCCGGTCGCGGTGCGACGAAAGAACAAGTTGGGCCAATTTTTGGTTGTTTATTTTTGTTTTTGTCTGACTAAATCTTTTTTTAAAGTGTGCCCATTCCAGCCCCATCGGATTTCTATTTTTTTTCTGCTCACAACTGATTTGGAGTTGCTCGAATTTCTAGAAGTTCATCGAAGATGTGGGGGTTCAGGCTTGCGCGGATTGTGATCTACATTAATCGATTGGGAATTTTGTGAAAATAACAGTTTTAAGACGGACAGCAAGTAAAAAAACGACCTCTGTTCTTTGTAGAATTTATCGTGGTCCTTTTTGGGGACGGGATGGTGCGACACTAGATTTGGGGGGAATATTGAGAACCATCAAAGCCCATTGAATTTTTCATTATTCAAGAAATGTTCTTGCAGAACCGCTTCCGTGCAGGCGCTCACCGACGTCCAATTATGGGTTCTCGATCGATCGGTGTTCCAGATGATCACGCAACGATTGGGAATGGAGCGACACTCGCAATTGATGAACTTTTTGGCGAAGGTGAGAGTTTGATTTTTTGATAGAAAAGACCTAGAAAAAAAAAACGTGGAGAAAAAAGAAATTTTGTGTTTGCACGAAGTATTTCTGACGAATTTTTGATTGCGGATTGTCGAAAAAAAATGAAATGACAAATGATTCGATGAGGAGAGGGGGGAATTCACGTGCAACATCGAACAGCCCCGGTGATCTATGTTATCGACATTGATCTTTTTTTTTTCTTCATGTGATCCGGACGGATGCTATAAGAATTAGAATAGACTACTGTAGTAGTGGTGTGGGCCACAAGAATGTTCGGAAAATCTTTATCTGGGTCTGAAATTCCGGCAAATGTGTGATTCATTTGATTTATGCAATGAAAAACCCGATGTTATTGAAGATGAGCCGAAAAACTCGAAGAAAAAATATGTCGACTATTCAAAATTTATCGATTATTTTATTTAATTTGATTTTGAACCGCCTGGATACTGTAATATTGCGCGTAATCGAACCCTGAGCCACCTCAAATGCTCGTTCGTTGAGTTCCGACTCTCGCTGGCGTTTTTTTTTTGGTGAGCGGCGCTTCTCGAATCAGCACGCCCCAGGAGCACACATAATTCGTTGGGACAACAATGGAATGCGGGTAGACATTTCGACTCGTTCGTCTCGATTCGATCGTCAAATGAATCATTCCAATCGTAGCCCTAGATTTGTCGCAATTAGCCAATATTCAAATTATCATGAGGGTTGTTGTTGTGGCGACGAATCGACAACGTCGTCGTCGGAAGCCGGTAAGATTCGGGGAAGTGCAATTTTGGTGCAAATTTTGCGTTTTCGAATGAGCGTCGAACAATTAAAGTGAATTGCAGGTGTCGATATTCGAGAATTTGTCGGAAGACCGCATCTCGAAAATGGCGGACGTGATGGATCAAGATTACTACGACGGCGGCCACTACATTCTTCGGCAAGGCGAGAAGGGCGACACGTTCTTCATCATCAATTCGGGTCAAGTGAAAGTCACACAGCAGATTGAAGGCGAAAAAGAGCCGCGCGAGATTCGTGTGCTCAATCAGGGCGACTTTTTCGGCGAGCGAGCGCTTCTCGGCGAGGAGATGCGAACGGCGAACATCATCGCGCAAGCGCCGGGCGTCGAGGTGCTCACACTCGATCGCGAATCGTTCTTGAAGCTCATCGGCGATTTGGAAACGCTCAAACGCGATTATGGCGACAAAGAGCGATTGGCGCAGGTGGTTCGCGAGCCGCCGAGTCCGGTCAAAGACGACTTCCGCGACGAGTTCGCCAATATCACACTGAAGAATGTCAAGCGATTGTCGACGTTGGGCGTCGGCGGATTCGGACGAGTTGAATTGGTAGGCGATTTTGACGAATCGAAACATGAATACTGATTGAATGGTTGTCAGGTGTGCATTAACGGCGACAAATCGAAAACGTACGCGCTGAAGGCGTTGAAGAAGAAGCATATCGTCGACACCCGACAACAGGAGCACATTTTCGCCGAGCGGAATATCATGATGGAGACGAACACGGATTGGATTGTCAAGTGGGTGATGCGAGCTTTTGATTGCGTCTAATAGACATTTTTAGGCTTTACAAGACATTCCGCGATAGTAAGTACGTCTACATGCTTCTTGAGGTGTGTCTTGGCGGCGAGCTGTGGACAACGTTGCGCGATCGCGGCCATTTCGACGACTACACGGCGCGATTCTATGTTGCGTGCGTTCTCGAGGGACTCGAATACCTTCATCGCAAAAATATTGTGTATCGCGATTTGAAGCCGGAGAATTGCCTATTGGCGAATGACGGCTACTTGAAGCTTGCCGATTTCGGCTTCGCGAAGAAGTTGGCGTCGGGCCGAAAGACGTGGACGTTCTGCGGCACGCCCGAATACGTGTCGCCGGAAATCATTTTGAATAAGGGACACGATCAGGCGGCCGATTATTGGGCGCTCGGCATCTACATTTGCGAGCTGATGCTCGGACGGCCGCCGTTCCAGGCGAACGATCCGATGAAGACGTACACGCTGATTCTCAAAGGTGTCGACGCGCTCGAGATACCGAATCGACGAATCGGCAAGTCGGCGACGTCGCTAGTGAAGAAGTTGTGCCGCGACAATCCGGGCGAGCGACTCGGCAGCGGCTCGGGCGGTGTCAACGACATTCGAAAGAATCGATGGTTCATGGGATTCGATTGGGAAGGATTGAGGAATAAGCAGATCAAACCGCCGATTATTCCCAAGGTTGGCTTTCAATTTCTTCTTTGTATTTTTTTGAAAAACAATTTCGATATTTTGCAGGTTTCGAATCCGGCTGATGTGACGAACTTTGACAACTACCCGCCGGACAACGATGTTCCGCCGGATGAGTTCTCGGGTTGGGATGAGGGCTTCTAGAGAGTGAGAGAGAGAAAATAACGGAAAAGAAACACATGAATCACTTGATATTATCATATTTCCTCAATTAATTATTAGATTTTATTTTTATTTCTTTTCATTTTTGCCAAAATTTGCCAATTCTTTGATTTTTTTGTACATACCCCCATCAAACAATCCGAGCCAGTTCTTCCTAGTCGGCCAGCATTTTTTTCTTTTTTTTTATTGCCAAATTTTCATTTGAAACAAAAAAACGCGCCCTCCCACAAACCCGCCAAATATAGAATGTTTTTGTTGTTAATGGTTTGTTGTGATCTACCCTATTGTTTTTTTTTCTTCATCTTTGCCTCTTTTCCCCCTCTCTTCATTGCAGCAGCTCTATTCGATCAATTTGTCGTCGTTTTCGCGCTACCCAGTAGATCATTTACCACCTTTTTCTTTTCTCCCTCTTCGCTGATTTTTTACGTGTCCGATTTTCCCTTCTTTTCTTTGTCTTCTTCTTCATTTTCCATTTTTTCTCAATCAATAAAATGTGGCCCATCGCTGAAATTCACCCCCAGCTTTTCCCTTACCCTCGTACTTTTTTTTTTTCAAGAAAAAATTTCGAGCGATTCGAATAATAAGAGATTATATATTGAATTAAATTCAAGTTGTATCGTTTTTTTTTCTTTTTGAATTCCCGCCTTGACCGTAGGAAATGTAAAAATCGGTCGATATATCGGATTTGTTGAAGATTCGAAATGTGCGCAACTTCAGATTTGAAGATCCGATCATCGACGGAGCTGGATGATCCACAAGCATCAACCTGAAGAATTTATGATCCTGATGGATGATGATTCCACAGGAATCTGGAGCAACGAGAATAATATCGTCCAGAAGATTGTCCGCAGATGAGAATGATTAGTTTAGCATGAATTCGTTTTTGTGGAGATTTTTGGTGAGTCTCGCAACGGCAATTTTTTTTTCGAAATCAGAATCGTCAAGCTGACGCGTTCGCATTATTTTTTTCAAATTTAAAAACTAAATATCGGTTTTCCCGAAAAAATAAATTGGAAAAGTTCAAAAAATGCACTTGGATAAAAAAATGAAAACTGATTCTTTAGAAAAAATGTGTAAATTAAAAATTGGGAAAATTTCCAAATACTTTTTTTATGTAACAAAATATGAACACCAATATTTTTCTCATTTTCTTTTCCGCACTTAAATATAATATTTTCGAATTTCATAAATCGCAAAATTCAAAAAGCGATAAGACGTTTGGATCCTGAGAATTTGGATTTCGATTTCAAAAAAAAAAATAATAATAATCCGCATATTATTATAATGATTATTATTCATCGAAAACCGCTTATCATCAAAACACCACAATTATTTGTATTCAACAAACTACAAAAATGTCTCGTCGCAAATAAAGCTTCATCATAAAAAAATGACATATGTACAAATTGGATGGAGAGAGAGAGAGAAACATACAAAATAATATTATATATATAGTTAATTAATTTCGTTTCAATTTATTTTTGTGCGCGCTTCATAAGACCCATTTTTGTGTTCAAAAACGTCTGTCGCTGATAATTGAGATTAGGGTTTAAGTACATAAGGGGGCGGGGGTGTGAAGAAACAAAAAATTTGAATCACAGTGTAAAACACCACAATAGCAAGGAATGAATGATGGAGGTGTCGAGGATCATACGGGAAACGGCGGCGCGGTTTGCTGCTGCTGCTGCGCCTGCTGCTTCTGCTGATTCATTCGATTCGTGTTCGAGCTGAGCCGCAACATTTGGAGTTGGCGGATCGCCGCCGCCGCGTTGTACGCCTAAAACCGCATTCTCATACATTAATTTGCCGCGGACGCGGCCGGGGAAAAAACTAGTCCGCGGCCATTATTATATTTTTTTTGGCAAGCGCGCAAAGTGTGAAATGTGAAAATGCTATTAGAAAATGAAATTTCCGAAATTCTCGGACTGTCAGAATTGATCGATTTTTCAATTACCTTCTTCCAATTGCGTTTCGCCAAGCTTTTCTTGAGGTGCACGGCGACGGTGCCATGAATGTCGTGCGTGTAGGCGGTATTTCCGCTGATCCTGAAAACACGGGAGATCATTCAACGTCAGAAGAAACATCGCCGTCGGGCCTACCATGGATGCGCCAGCGCCTGCTGGCAAGTGAAACGCATTTCCGGATCGCAGCACATCAAATGCGAGATGAAGTCTTTCGCCGAGTCGGAGATCTGATCCCAATAGGGCGCGTCGAACTCGTACTCGCCTTTGATGATCTGCGCGAACAAATTCGCGTCGCTCTCGTCGTAGAACGGCGGATAGCTGAAAACAAAAAAGCGATATGCATCGTGTTCGGCCCGTCGCGACTCGTACCCGCATAATAGAATATAGGCGATGACGCCGATCGACCAGACGTCGACGGCTTTTCCGTAGGGCCGCTGCTGTAGGACTTCGGGCGCGACGTAGCCGGGCGTGCCGCACGCCGTCGCCATCACTCCCGAGTCTTCGGTTTTGGACAGGCCGAAATCGGAGATCATGATCTTCGAATCCTCGTCCTGATTGTAATAGAGCAAATTTTCGGGTTTGAGATCGCGATGGACGACGCCGTTGTCGTGCATGAACGCGACGGCTTCGAGCACCTACAAATCGGAATAGAATTCGAAGAAGAAGAAGGAACCTGTCGTATTAAATTCGACGCGTCCTGTTCGGTGTAGGATCCTTTGGCGACGATTCGATCGAACAACTCGCCGCCGGTGACGAGCTCCATCACCAAATAGACGAACTGCTTCTCGTCGTAGGTGTCGTAGAGTTGAACGATGTTCGGATGCCGCAATCTGGAAAATCGAATTTTTGATATGGTCTTCTTCTTCTTCTTCTTTTTGTTTTGTTCAACTCCTGATTTCTCGCTTGAATGCCTAATCGCATCTCGCGACTGAAATCAAATATGCGTCCTCAGAGCGAGAGTGCGATGAGAAACCGAGAGCGACGACGGCAATAAATTCACGTGGTCCCGCGTGATGAATGAATGACATCAATGTTTACGCGATTATTTACTTATTGGTGAAGCGCGCGTGGGGGGGGGGGGGGTAGATCAAAAGCAATGCGTTTCGTTTCGCGTTTGCGGACCCTCATGATTTCCCCCACTCACTTTCTGAGCACTTTGATCTCATTCTCAAGCGACTCCTCTTTGCCCTTCAGCGCTTTTTTGTCGATGCACTTGACGGCGAACATGTGGCCCGGATCGCTTTTGGACTCGGCGAGGAATACCTGCAACAACAAAAAATTAGAAGGGACCATTTGGACCCCTCCGAAAACGAGGAGAAGCTCATTTGGCTGTGTCTTGATTACTTTTTGAGATGGTTGTTGTCTCATGGGACCCAAAAGCGAATTTTTTTTTTGTGTGGTCCCTCTTCTCCAACTCTTTCATGAATAGAAGAGGCATTCATGAATACGTAAAAGATCACTGAAAAAAAGGACGCCCTCTAAGCGGGGGGGGCCGTGTTCGAAATGACCGGTGGCCTAGGTTTTTTCCGCGGCCATCCCATATTATCAGTATGACTCAACTCGGCGAAATTTCACAAAATTATGAAATAATAATAACAAGAGGTTGTGTATTTTTATTTTTGCCCCCCCCCCTCCTCATCGACCATAGAGGGTCTGGGCGCGTGATATTGCTTGTGCTTTCGCCATGGCAACACGGAGGCCGAGCGCGCGGCGCCATGGTGTCGCTCCCCCCGCCCCCCATTTGCCGACTTTCAGCCTTCGTCGCACAATTTGTAGTCAGATGAATATATATTCGAAATATTCGCCTTTGGTGATTTTTGGTGTGTCTCGCGACACGTGCGCGCTTATCAGGTGGCAGTGTTGGGTTGTCCGTTGACGCGACACCAGGGCTCTCATCGGCTAGCCGCACTCGCCGCTTGAAATTCGCGAATACATTGTTTTTTTTTGGTTGACTCATTTATCTTGAGATAACCATCTGCGGACAATTGGCGAGTTCGTCACCGGACCCAAATTGGTTTGTTTACGAGCAATTTTCGTGCGCGCGCGCAAGAAAAAAAAAATTACCCGACCAACTTTTCTTCGGCTGAAAATTTCTAGTGATGAACATTTAATAATGAGATGATCCGTGGCGAGACCCTACCGTACTCAAAGGCTCAATTGATCAATTAAAGGAGGGGGGGGGGTTGAAACAAAAAAAATTGGCAGCCAATTTTGTTGTGAAAAACGAGAGTCTCACCAAGGGAAATAAAATCAAGCGGAGTGGTTTTAATGGTCCCCGATTGAAAACTGAGCCAACGCGTGCATGATTTTATTTTGTCGGCGGAAGCGCATTGACTTTTGGCTTATTTGGAAATAATGGATGAAATGGGAAATCAAGCGCAAAACGACTTCCCTTCAATGAATTGTGATAGTACGCAATTTTGCGTCGGGTGGCAGCACACACTAGTAAATCTACGCAATCTGTTTAGCTCCGCAATTTGTCGTCTCGGTGTTTACGTAGGCGCATTTGAAATCAAAAATAGGTGCGATGAGCATTTCAAATTTTCATTGGAGAAAATGTGAAGACGGATAAGCGCTAATCTTTTTTTTTCCCCTCGATTTCTAAACAGCAGCTCACATGATTCGAAAACCCATCAGTTTCCAATTTTCGCGATGCGAAACGATGACGTCACGAGGTGAATTTTTGTTTTTTTTTTTTGGTGGTCCGATACAGAAGAATGGTTATTTCAACAAAAAAAAATTGGGCCCTCGAGATAATTACACATCGATGGAGGAGGCGTAGAGAAAAAGAGAATGGCAGAGACGAAGAGGCACAAAGAGAATTACTCGATTTTGGTCCCTATTGATTTCAAGGGACCATTTCGAGTTTTGAAATGGAATGGGCTAGAATGGCGAGAGATGATCTTGAAAATCGCAGATTCATCAAACCAAAATGCTTTATCCGGTTTTTGAATAGAAGCTTGAATAGAGATTATTCAGTGATTGAATCGGACGAGCTTGAAAATGAGCGGCTCACCTTGGAGAATGCGCCGGTGCCGAGCACATCGCGAAACTCGTACCTGTCGCGAATGCCGTGCGCGCAAGCGGCGACGTTCACCGACGCGCCGTTCGCCGTCGGCGCTTCTTTGCGCTTAAACAACGGCATCGAGGCGTCGGGGGATTATTCTGCAATTAACGCCGTCGGCAAATTTGTTTTTTTTTGAGACAATAATAGTAATATGGAATATGTTTAAAAGGGTGGTGGTGGTTTAAAAAAAAAAGAGCTGAAATGGAGAGAAGAAGCTGAAGAAGAAGAAAGGTGTTGTCGTGGTGAGGCAAACAGCAACCGCAAAAATGGGGCGAGCTCTCCGCTCGCGAGCGCGCGCGCCGAGATGCATGAGCCTCGATGGAAAAGCGCCGCCCCTCTATTCCTCCTTCCTCTTCCTCAGCCCATTTCTAGCCTTCGAGCTCTCTCCATCTTCACTAGGGAGACCCACCACCTCGCGCGCCCCTATCCTCCGGCGGCGATGGAGGAGGTCGTCTAGTCATCGCGCTGTCCTTATAAGTAGTTTGTATCGCCGTTAAAAGCTCGCCGGCCATAGTCATGATGATAGGGGGAGAGGAGAAGAATGATTGAGTGCAGCGAATCAAAGATTGACTGCCAATTACATTGAGGCCGATTGATGGCAAGGAGATTTTTTTATTTCTCTAAATCAGCTGCGGACAAATTTTTGTTCTTTGAAAATGGCAAATAAAAAGCAATAGAATTGAGTGGTTCATTCGAAATTTAGAAACAATTGAATTGTTAAACAAAAATGCATCTGCGGACAATTTATTGTTTCCTGTGAGGAAATTGCGAGAATTGATTGTTGAAAATAAAATTTACTTTTTTTTTGGAAAAATTCCAGCACTTTAAAATGTTATAAATCAAACAAATGGACCTTGAGCATTGGATTTTATTATTAATCAAGCTGGCGGGAATTCTCGTCTCAAAAATAGGCATTCATAAATTTTGTTTGGCGGTTTTCAGTGAATAAAATATCATTTTTGGGGTTTTGATGTTTCAAAAAAAAACGAAATTTGACTACAGGACCCCATTCTTTCATTTTTTTAGGGTTTCTTTCATGAAATAAATTTACGTGATATTTTTTTCTATTTAAACATTCATTCAAATTACTGTAGCAGGTGTAGGCGTGCAATCACCAAAGCCCAAAAATGCAGAGCCAAAATTTAATTTCGTTTCGTCGCCCATTTTTTTCCATTTTCTCCATGATTTTTTTTCTTAAATTATGTTCATATATGAATATTGATAATGCATAAAATGCTCAGCGAGGCTCTATGCTCACGCAATCCGATTACGCGCCACATTTCGTAGAAACTCGTCGTCGCCGCCAAGATTAAATTAATTCCTAATATGGGGCCCAATATACGTATATATATATTTTTTTTTGATATTGTTGCTGCCGTGCGATTTTAAACACAAGATGACGACGTCATCAGATTCCCCCATTTTGCGTTTTTTTTTCTATTTACGGATTTATACAGGTGTAAAATTCATGTTTCGGAGACGTCAAGGCACATCTCTCCTGTGGGATTTATGCGTCAAACCGTTGCACTTCCTGATTTCTTTGACGTCTAAACGGCTAATCTGAAATGAAACATCGCCAACAAGCTTCTGGAAACATGTTTTGTTGAAAAAAAATTCAAGGAACCAATAATTCTAGATAATGTTGCTCCGCATAATTACCCGCAGCTAGGAAATCTAACGAATGAATTTACTAAAATTTTAGTACCATGTCAATTTTCTTAATTACTTACCTCATTGCAAATTTTTAAGTACAAAATTTGAATTTTCACTGGTGCACCGAAAATGCGTCAGTCTCCTCTCGCGTTGACCCGTCGAGCTCTTTTTTCGAAAAATTTTTGTGCGACGCACTTTCTTACGATTTCTTTACGTTTTTCTTTCAGAGCCCCTGTATATTGCAACCAAAAATGTCGAACATGGTAAGAATAACGCCTAAAAATGGTAAAAATGTTGAAAATGTTGCAGAAGGAGGAAGGAACTCGACGCAAAAAAGAGTCGGTCGTCGATTTGTCGAGATTTGTTGATAAGAAGATTCGCGTCAAGTTTCAAGGTGGAAGAGAAGGTAAAATTGTTTTTCTTCAACTGAAATAGTTCATCAATCTTTAAATTGATATATTTTCAGCCAGTGGAGTCCTCAAAGGCTACGATCAACTTCTGAATCTCGTTCTCGACAACTGCGTCGAGTATTTGCGTGATCCATCCAACCCGAGTGTCATCGGTGATGAGACAAGGTAATTTTTTTTGGAAAGAATGAAAGATTATCGGATTAATGTTTTAAGCCAAATCCAGGAGAAAAAAATGAAAAAATTTGACAAATTATTCATTGGAAAATCTCAAGAATAAGTCAAATATCATGATTTTCGGATTTAAGAAATATTTTTTGAGTTTCTTTTTGAATAAGTGCAATTCAGAATTTTTCAAGTATTTCAAAATCTGAGAAATTCGAAAGACGGCTATTTTCATAGTGAAACGCCAAAGATTATGAGTCTAAATCTTTTAAAATGTGTAATTTTCTTCGAAATCTGCCAGAAAAATTTCTGAATCCAATTTCCAGACCACTCGGCTTAATCGTCGCCCGCGGAACCGCCGTCACCGTCGTGAGTCCACTCGACGGAATGGAGCAAATCGAAAATCCATTCGCCGCCGCCACCGACGACTAATCTCACCCAAAATCATATAATCTTGCAACAGTTTGATCTCGATTAAACACATTTTCATATCGAAACAGTCGATGAAAAACATAGGAGATGGAACAATTATAATGATCAATAGCAAAAGAGTCAGTAAAAGTCCACAGTGGAAAAGGTGGTGGGGCAGTTTGAACATATCCCTATGGGCTTTTGAAAGACTCTAAAACAAGCTGCGGTTGTTCTTTTTTCCAGCAAATTGAACAGATAAAATTGAAAGAATCGTGTTTTGTAGAAAAATGTAAAAAAAAAAGTTAAGAATGAATAAGTTGTGGTAAAATGCCAAAATACACGAATATAAAGTTGGAAATAAGCGAAAAAAAAGTTCGTCTCGGTTTTATTCTCATTTTGCGGTTTTCAAGGCGGAGTGGGATTCAAATAACTAGTATTTCGAGTCCTGAGTGTCAAGTTATTACGTCTATATTTATGGTGAGGATTGGATGTTGTGGTTTTAGAGGGAGAGAGAGAGAGAGCAAAAAAAGGTATTATACAAAATGTATATACATAATTACAAATTGGGGAAGTGGTTTTGTTTCGGAGGCTTCTTCTTTTTCCGATTAGCCGAACGCCGGTTGCGACGTGTAGACGATGTAGACGAAGCCGTCGGTGTCGCGCTCCTGCTGGTACAACTGCGACATTGTCATCGAGTTCGACACCATCGAACGCTCATTGACGAGCAGGAAGAACGCCTGATGCGGATGAAGTTGGAGTCTGAAGGCATCAATCATTTGTTCGGCTAGCTCAAACATCATTCTTATCGGACTACCTTCGGCGAACGATCGACATCAAATCGGCGACGGTGATATGATCCGGCACGAGGAATTTGCAGCGATCCATCAGCGGAAGGCTTCTCTCGCCGTCGAAACGCTCAATGATGACAGGAACCTGAAGTTTGCAATCATTTCCTATTTGGTCCAAAAAAAATCGAATGTACCTTATTCGGCTGTTGTCTTCTGATCTCCTCGGCATCCTTTTGGCGCTCATCTGAAAATTTTTTTTTCGGTCATGCTAGAAAATTTTTGCCGCGAAAATCACTTTCCAAAAAATTTCAAAGCGTACAACTATATCAAAAAAGTCCATCTGGGTACGGTAATTCATAAAAGCCTCCGGAAAACCAAATATTTAAATTCAAATTTGAATAATGGTCCCTTAAACACAGTTCGCTGTTTTTTGTTCTGCGATGCAAAGAAAATTATTTCAAAATTTTTTGTTTTCCTTAAGAACCTTATAAAAAGTTTACTAGAATTTTTGAAAATTCAAATTTTTTTGAAAACCACTTGGAGATTTCTCTAAAAAATACCAAATTTTAACATGATTGACATTTAAAGGCGCATAAATTACATTGATTGGTCTTATATTTCATTTTTTTCCTCCGCAACATCTCTTCATTAGCGAAAAGGTCATTGTCGACGACGACGACAAAAAGTGTCGTGTCCGTCACACAAAGGCAGGTGTGCACGCTTCATCAGCTGATGTTCACATGTCTCCTCTGCGTCTCTGACGCCGCGCTCGAACAATTATTGTTTCGACGCGACGATTCGTCTTCAAATTTTTGTTTCGAGACTTGAACAGAAATTTTTTTTGGAGGGGGATTGATGCTGCTGGTTGACAAATATTTACGCGGGTTTTCGCTGTTTCCGAGATATATGTATAACGGTTATTGTTGGGTATTCGATTACATGGTAGAAGCATTATACAGGCCTAGCAATTTTGCGAAACCCGGGGGGGGGGGGGTCCTGCTGATTTTTGATCGCTATAGTCCAATTGCTAGCAAAAAAACGATGATTTTAAACCAATTCTATAGATAAGATTGCCGAAATTGTTATGAAATAGAATGGTCCCGTGACGAAAAATCAAAAGAACATACGGAATGGGCGTCTTTCCTTGAATGTCGGCACGATTCCATTCAATCCAGATCCGGAACCTGAAATTGCTTTTTATTTCGAAAACAATTTTGTTTCAAATGACTCCCTACCGGTGTGTGAACCCATGATTCCAGAGGAATATTGTTGTAGTGCGGCTAGCATATAGGCTTGAAGATTCGTTGGAATGATTCGTGCGGAGAGCACAGCGAACTTGCGGTTAACGCGTGATGATGACTGAAAAATAAAATGAGAATGTGGAATGTTTTGAACAGAAAATGAATGGACGACTTTTTTTTGGCGAAGTTTGAAAGCGAAAAGGGTCAGACAGTCTGCCGGTGTGTTTTTGCGGCGCGCATGCCGCACAAAAATCTATAGCAGAGACCCCCCCTACCACATGATCACGAGAGTACGGCGACGAGTTAGCACGCAGTCATGTGATATGCGCAGACGACGAGAGCAGTTGGGGCGATGGAGGTTAAAGACGCAGGCGGGCGGCGGCGGCGGCGACGCGAGACCAATTTCGCATTTCATTTTGGCAGCACACATGACTACCGTAGTGTTAGATTCGCAGGCGAAATATGGTGTTTTTTTCGCCCGATGATGTCTTTGAGAATCATTATGATGAAAGATGATCATCATCTTTGTGGAATTCGAAAAGAGGTTATGATGGTTGCAAAGAACTCAAAAATCGATGTTGCGCAAACTTTATACTAACAAAAATTATTTTATTTTTTTTAACTGAATGAAAATTAATTATTTCGGGAAATTTCATTCGATTTTTGCATCATTTTTTACCAACACTTTTTTTTTTACGAAAATCTGGTTTTAATAGGAATTTTTCCAAATTTTAATCTATACACAAAGTCAATTCAATGTTCAATGAGCTCTCAAATAATTTTCGAAACGAGAAAACATACAGAAACAGCCAAAATATGAAGATTTTAAATTAAGAACAGATTTCGAACGAATTTCACAGTAAAAAAAAACACTGTACATATGGGATTTTAAAACGAATCGACTATTTGTCGCATGCTCCTTTAATTGGAAAAAAAATTATACGGTCAAATAATTTTCGGCAAAAATCTCAATTTTTTCTCATTTTTAAAGAATTTTGAAAAGTTGGAAAAGAAAATATTTGTGGCTCATGTGATGGAGCAAACGCGCTCCACGGACACATTGGAATTAAAATAATCGCTTGTTATTTATTTCGAGACACGTCGATATTTAGCAATTTTTCCCATTTTCAGAACAATTTTGAATAATGAAATGCATGCTAGAAGGAGGACGCAGTCGTCGTCCGATGAAAATTCAATAGGAAGTCGAAGGAGATCCTCAAAATTATCTTGTAATTAATGAACTTTGAAATGTATGAAAAAAAATGTTTTCAGTTATTCCTGAGGATTCTTTACCACCAACGGGTTACTCGCTGAAATCTGTAATCATAATATGTATATTAGTTTCGATTTTGTGTCAGGTACGATATTTTAAAATTGAAATTTTTGGAGAAATTTTAGAAATTTGCAGACTTTGCTACCGGTTCTTGTATCACATCTTAATAGTGTAATAAAGGATTTTGTCGATCGAAAAGGGGTAAAAAATGTGAATCGTCGAGCATTAATCAGCACGGGTTCGGATGTTGAACAATCTCCGGCAATTCGAAAGCCAGCATTTCTAGTGGATCCCATTTATGACGAAAAATGGAAGGTTTGACGGAAATCGTTCACAAATTCACACAATTAATCAATTTCAGGGGACAAACTATGCGATTCCCGTTCATACTTCAACGGATCGCGAGGATCAGGAAGACGATCCTGCCAAGATCCAAGAAGCACTAGCAGCCGCCAAAGCGGCAAGACGATCGCGGAAGAGCGGAAATCTGGACAAGGCGCTCTCGATTATAACTCACGCGATCGCACTAGCTCCAAATAATCCCGAAATTCTTATCGAAATGGGATTGGTTTGGCGAAAAATCGATTTTTTTTTTTTGAAATTTCATACGAATTCAGGTCAATGAGGAAAGTCACAATCTAATCGAGGCCGACAAATGCTATGTGAAAGCATTGGCGTTCGATCCCAATCATACCGAAGCATTGTCGCTTCGCGCACGAACCGGCCCGATTGTGAGCGCGATCGATAGGAAAATGCTCCAAAAAGTGCACGATTTGAGAGACGAATTTGCGCATTTACAACAATCGACAGCATTGCGAAGGCTGATGAGGTGATAATTGATAATTATTTTAATTTTCGGTTATTTTTTTTAATTTCAGAGAGACTTATTTCCTATATGTTTATCATACAGTGGCGATTGAAGGAAACACAATGTCATTGGGCCAGACAAGGTAAGGAAGCGCAAAATTGGAAAAAGAAAGTAGTTTAAAGGCGCACACAGAAGAGCATCACGCCAAGACCTCTCTCTCTCTCAATATATGGGAAAAAATAAAAAGAAAAATTTTACTGCATTCCCCAAAATCTGCCCATTTCGTTGCCTCGACAATGAATAAGCCAAAAAAAGATTTTTCTGAAATTCCAGAGCAATCCTTGAGACGGGAATGGCGGTGCCCGGAAAAAGCATTCGCGAGCACAACGAGGTTATCGGCATGGATGCCGCCCTTCGCTATCTCAACAGCACACTGCTGGCGATGGATCATGAGCAAATCTCGCTGAATGTTGGTTGAAAAATTTGTTTTGTCGTCTCGCAACAACAAAAAAAAATCATCCTCGCGAGATTTTCAGGATATTCTCGAAATTCATCGGCGAGTTCTCGGCAACGCCGATCCGATCGAGGCGGGAACGCTGCGAAAAACGCAGGTCTACGTTGGTCGATTCACACCGGTGGCACCCGAATACGTTGAGGAGCAAATGGAGGAGTTTGTCGAATGGTTGAACGACGCGCACACGATGGCGATGGATCCGATCGAGCGCGCCGCAATTGCGCACTACAAACTGGTTTCGTTTCAGGACCATTTTGAGAAGAACAAACAATCAATATTCAGGTTTTGGTGCATCCGTTCACCGACGGAAACGGCCGAACCGCGAGGCTTCTCCTCAATTTGATCATGATGCGAAGCGGCTTCCCGCCGGTGATTCTTCCCGTCGAGACCCGCGCGGAATACTACGCGACTTTACACGTGGCAAATCTTGGCGACCTTCGACCTTTTGTTCGCTACGTCGCCCATCAATCGGATGTTTCCATTAGGGTAGAAATTATATTTTTTTTGTGGATTCCAATATTCGTAAGTCTATTATTTTCAGAAATATATAAATACGATGCGAACATCGGAGAAATGTATAGAACGAAAAGCGGAGGAGCTTGGAGAATCATGTGATAAATCATAACCTATACATTTTATAGGAATTTCAGCAGCTGTTTTATATCAATTCATACATATTTATCGAATTATTCGTGTTGAGCCAAGAAGAAGTTGCCGGCGATTGGATCGCCGAGCTGATATTTCTCCATGAATTGTCTCACGTTGAATTTGGCGCGCGAGCTCGGCTTCGGCACACTGATGCGGCGGCCCTGATGCTCCCACATCAGAATGACGTAGCGATGAAGGTCGGTTCGTGGTCCCGGCGCCGGACTACCGTAGGCCATTTGGTGTTGGCCGCCGTTGATGCCGTCGATGATGTTGCTCGCCGGAATGTTGCAGACGAGCCAGTGGAGCCATTCGGCGACCGATGGATTCTTGCGCGACAAATTGTCCGGATCTGAATTTGAATTTATATTTCTCGTTTTTTTTTGATGGACGCCAAACCTATCATAAGAATAGTGTAGATGCTCTCAGGATCCGCTCCTGGAAGAGCCCATCTTGGAGCATTCTTGAGATTGCGCACCTGAAGTGTCATTCCGGGCTCGACTTGAATTCCATCCCAGGTCAACTGAAATTATGCAAAAGATTGGAGAGAAAACAGGCTGGCGTTAATGCGAATTGATCTGCGGACATTGTTGCGGTCTCCTTGCATAACTTACATGAAGCTTCTGCTTCGGCGGATTCGGAATGATTTTCGGTGTGATCTCGTGTTGAGCAAAAGCGGCCGCAATATCAGCCATCTGTAAAACGACTGAAATTCGAACATCTGGCTGAAAACGCTATGATGGGGGAAGGAAAAAGCCGAACAGCTGGAACGTTTTATTAGTTTCGTTACAAACAAAAGACCTGGAGAGGGGGGGGGGTGACAAAAGAAAGACGTTCTAATTTTGAAATGGCGATGATTCGTGACGAAGTGGCGGGCGGGGCCCGCCCGCGAGCTTTTCCCCCCTATATATTACACACGAAAAGTTGGTTTACACTTTTGTGGATGACAACAAGAGCTGAGGTAACAGGCGTCCCCCTTTCAACAAGGTTTTTGAACTGCTCATCATGTTGTTAATGATGATTCGCTTGTTCGGTGGGTTTATTGATTGGCTCGGCTCGGATGGTTTGGTTGAACGTCGATTTTCGAATTTCGCGCGCGTATCCAAATCCACCTTGATGTTGGCTGGAATTTTCGAAAAAGCAATTTTTTTTGGGCTTATTAAAATTGTGTGCAATTTTGCGTCATCGTGTATACAGACAAATTGGTTTCCCCGCGTTTCTCAGGCTCATTTATTCGTCACCACATTTGAAATTTAAATCCAAACGACTAATAATTGCCCTTCGCTTTTTCGCCGTCGATAATCTCTCGAATATGAATCCAATCAACTTCGACCTACAACAGATGAGATTGCTCAGAAGAGCCAATTCGACGCCACCTCGGCCATATGTTTGAGAAACATTGGGTCGGATTCTTTTTTGCCAATGTTCTGAAGGTATTTGGCTCGATATCCCATCACGACTTCCAGAAAATCCTTGCTCTTCAACGCGATTTCCAGCGCACTAGAAAAACTCGAGCGAGTTTAAAGGGGCATCGATGAAATGGCGTCGTACGTACCGTTTCCAGCGAAACATTTGAATATTGATCATCAGCGCCCGAAAAGGGTGTCCGTTTCGTTCCAAATACACCTCGGCATCTCCAATTCGACCCGTCAGAAGGATCTGCATCGCGTGCCGCACGTTCTTATCGCTGTTCTCCTTCACTTCATTGATCATTGCCACCTTTTCGGCCTGAATTTCGACAGTTTCGCTTCATTCAAAAAATGTCCGCAGATGGATTTTTTAATATGTCATTTTCGTACCTCATTCAACGCCGCGTACGCCGTTTCAGCAGCATACATGTTCTTGTGAAGAAGTGCGACGCCTGCTAAAAGAGCCCAGAGGGTGTCGTCCTGAATTGCGAAATTCCCAACAAAAAATCCAAAGGAACAATTAGGTCACATTAATATTTCTTCCCAGTCGAATTGCTTGGTCCCATTTCGATTCGTTGGCCATCTGGACGATGGTCCCAGCGAACGGACTGATTCCAACGGGAATCAACGAGCCATCAGATTTTCGGACAATTATCGTATTTGACGAAAAGCTGAAAAAAAAATCGTTTTAGAGAAAAAATTTGACAAGACCTGATGAGTTGTGGAAATTTGCCCAAATTGCCGACGTTCTTCATAATTGTTGCTTTTTGCATCAAACTTCGATCGAAGAACGCGATATTTGGAAGAGGCCAGATTGCTGAAAAAAAGATTTTTTTTTTGAGAAACTTCAATCCTTCTATATTAAGCGTGCTTCCATCATAAACTCTGCGGACTTGCATTTAAATCGCCGCCTAAATGGTTCAATATTACCAATTTTGCCTTCGGTGACCCCACAAAGCATATTGGTGACGTCATTGAATTTGAGCTGCTCAATAAGGGAGCCTGAAAAGTGGGATTTGAAACAAAAAATCGAATTTCAACAACCTATCCTTGAAATCCTTTGATTTAACCCAAAAGTCTTGACAATGAGAATATAAACAGCTCCAATTTGGTCTCGAAACGCCATTAGCCGGTCATTGAGAGCTCCACACTGATTGATAGTGAGCTCAACGATATCATACTGGAAATTCAATATCAGAGTTGAATCCAAAAACAAAAATTCTAGAAACTTCATGGTTGTGCGATCCATCTCCTTGCGATTTTCCCGTATTTGGCTCAAAAAAATGCACAATTTTCGGATCGCCGCGATCTTGAATCGCAATGGTGTCCATTGAAAGGCTCACCGTCTTCGCCTCTAAAAAAATACAAAAATGTTGTTTGTAAAATCGAAAAAAAACCTAATAAGGCTAACGCATGTCCAGGAGGATTAATCGTTGACAATTTCCGTCCCTCATAGCTCATTATGATCACAGTCAATCCATCGGAAACCAGGAAAAGCCTTAAATGCTGTTCTAAAACCTTCTAAAATACGTGTTTATTGCGTCACGATGTTTGCACACATCTGAAATTTTTTTAGATTGCGAAAACCTCAAAAATTTGATCAATAAAAATGGAAAAATAAATTTTTTTTCGAATTGCGTCAAAGTCCGCAAACACCGAACCCGCAAGCAGCGCACACTACGCGCATTTGCAAAATTATCGATTGAAAATCTCACTTTTCGCATTGAATAATCAAATTGACCGGCATTTCCTTGAAATCCACAATAATCGGCGTGTTCCAGTTTTTCGAGCTATAAATATAAATAAACGAGTTGGTGACGACAAGCAGATGATCATAGAGTATCGAAATTTTTGAGATGCGCTCTTTTGTTTCCAGCTTCTCCTTCGCTATCTCGTTGCTCACGTCGCGCACTTCAATGACGGTCCTTTGCGTTTGAACCACCTCGAAATTCTGATATGTTAAGCGTCTAAACTCGTTGATTTGTCGTTAATTACTATTAATTACCTACTTGTCAATTATATGAGAGTGGAACATTTGGCCAGAGGCGGTCGCAATTGCCAATTGGGTGCCGTCTGGCGACCAGCTCAACGCCGTCACCGATCCGCCGCTCATTTTCTCGAGTGAATGCGACCACTGAAACCGGAGCGATGTCCGCAGCAGGTTTTCGATAAATTCGCTTACCCCCGATTTGTCGCAAAGTCGAAGAATGTTGTGCGAGCCGACGGAGAACAGCGTCCCATCGCCACACCAGGCGAGGCTTGTGATCGGATAATCATGAACCGATGAGCTGAAGAGAATTTGGCCGAAACCGTCCCAAAGCTGGAATTATTGAAATTTGAATAACCGCGAGAAGCCATTATTGTACTTTGAACTTGCAATCCTCGCCACCCGTGATTATCAATGCCGACGTTGGGCTCCAATCGCAACACAGCACAATTCCGTCGTGCGCTTTCCATTTTAAAGGCGCCACCTGCATCCGAAGACTCTTTATATAGCAATGATCCGAATTCGTGTAGAGCACACTCGACGAGCTCGAATCCCACGCGACACTGAAGAGCCAAAATGAGATTGACGGCCTCGATGGTTGTCGGCGGCCAGATCACCTGTAAACCGCTGTCGGGAATTGCGCGAGAACCGATCGAAGCATTCCATTCCTCGACCACATCTTCACGAATCCATCCTCGCCGCCGGTTAGCAATCCGGTGCCGTCGGAATTCCAGCGAGCGTGCAGAACGGCGCCTGTGTGCGCGTCGATCGATTTTTCCGATTTGCCGGTGCTTTTCGACAAAATGTGCACTTTGCCTAAACCCGGCGAGTTGTCCGCAGATGACATATTTCATATTTCATTTACCGTTTGTGGTCGACACCGCCAGCAAATCCGAGCTGCCGTCCTTGTTTTGAGGTCTCGGAAACATGTGAAGAGTCGTCGGAAAGAAATTTCTGGAAGAGCGTCGAGATTCTAGGGGACCATCTCGAAAACCTTACTCGTCCATGTTGGCCACCAGCGTCGTCTCGTTCGTCGTCGTGTTCGTCCTCAACAGCTGATGGTCATCGCCGATGGAGAGAATCTGCTCGGGACCCGACCAGCCGACGGCATAAACGCTCTCGTGGTGTCGAAATGAGCGCGATGAGACCAATTTGAGCTTCATCGCAGTGGTTCGTCGCAGTTTCGTTCAAATCAGGCACGCGTTTGGGAATACGCGCCCACGGCCGTTGTCATGGCGACGCAGTGGCGCAACATTGGATTCGAGCTGCGGACAATTACAGGGAATATGAAATGCCTCGTTGTCTAGCGCCCTCTCATCCTCCCTCTATCTATATTTCTCGTCTTTTTCTCTGTGTCTCTCTCATATTGCTCTATCGTTTGTAGTATGATCGCGTGCATCAGGAATTCTATTTGGTGACAAACACAACAATCTGCGGACAATTTCCGGTTTTCTTTGGAATACCTTTTTTCCTATCATTCTTATCATTTTATTGAGCCAATCGTTTGGCAACATCAGGTGGCCGAGGTTGACGTGGCCGTGGCCGAAGCCACATTTATATATATTGTTTGGTAATTAATTTGATTTAATTACCCATGTTTGAGGTAGCAATTAATTATTTTGGCGCATTCTCTGGTAAATTAGTCGAAATTGATTTAATTTTGAGATCGAATTTGATTGAAAACGATTTTTTTTTCGAATCTGATTAATTTTCATTCATTCTTGATCAATTAACATTCGATTAAGCGTTAATTAGTGGGCGTTAATTGTGACTATTTATTTCCTAAACGCTGGCAATTGAAAATTGCAAAATTCTCAAAAAAAAAACTGCTCAAACTCTCAACCAATTGGCTCATTCAATTCGACTTTTGATAGTAATAGTTGCCACCGATGCGATTTTCGATTCTCGTCGAATAGTTCGCCGTCGAAAATGAAATATGACAACAACTAGGCTGCAATTATCTAGAGGGTTGTCTGGAGATATTGAACGCGGCGATACCCGTCTAAACAATGGCAAAGCATCCAGGCGAACGTCGACGTGAAGAAGATGAACCATCGATTCGTGTGAAGGGTGGTGACATAGTAGAAATTGAACACCTCATAGAAGAATATGAGCCCTTGAAGGCTGGACTGAATCATGCCGATGGCGAGGATGAAAGTGGGAAAAAAGAACACTTGCCTGCATGAAAAACCGAATCTCCATTTTGCGATGGCTCTTGGAAGCCGTCGAGCTCGACGCGGCGCGCTTATGATAAGCGATAAGCAGCGTCAGCGTGATGAGATCCACACTGCTCATCATCGCAAATATCGCCACACTCGTGTAATAATCGGTGTAGATTGTGATGACGTAGCCGCATAGTGTGTTACCCCACATCCACGTCCAGGTCTCTGGGCTGTACGCGGCGAAGCAGGTGGTGTACCAGAAATATGGTGTGATGTGAGCGATAGCTATTGTCCAGATAAAGCCGATCACGAGGGCGGTCGGCCGGAAGGCGAACAGCTGGGGAGCCTCGAATCATTTTATTTTTTCGTCACATACAGTGCTGGCCATAAAGAAATCAAAAAGTGGTTTTTTGAGCATAACTTTTCTAAAAGTAGTCCAATCACTCTGAAATTTTTGGAGTGTGTCATTACGCACAAATGCAGACAACAAATTGCATCATGCTTGAAAAAAAATTTTTTTGGGATTTTTTGATTTTTTCACACTTTTCAAATCACCAGCCATAGTTTTTTTTATTGTGCTGCATATTTAATATTTCAAGTTGGGAATATGTTTTCAGATATGGGTAGACGTCAAGGAGCAAAAAAAAAACATCTGTAGAGATTCAGAAAGCCATCGTCAACGGCTTCAAACAAGGGACATCCGCGAAAATGCTTGCTCAGCAATTCGCCCTAACCATTTCAACTATTTCGCGAATCCTAAAACGATTTGATGAACAGGTAACATTTTTAAAACATATTTGAACAATTTTAAATGTCTAGAACAAATGTATTGTTCGAAAGTCTCCTGGAAGACCGCGTGAAACAACTCGAACCATGGATCGCAACATTGGTCGGGCCGCTGTAGAAGATCCTAAGAGGAACGCAACGATGATCCAGATGATTGTGAACTCTCCAAACGATCCAGCACCATCTAAGAGAACCATTCGTAGACGTTTGCAAGAGATGGGGCTCCATGGGCGAAGGCCAGTGAAGAAACCATTCATTAGTCTTAAAACTTCGAGTTGAGTGGCGTAAGGCTCATCTTCACTTGGGACCATAAGAATGGGCAAAGCGCATTTGGAGCGACGAATCTAAATTTAATTTGTTTGGGAGTGATGGTCTTACATGGATTCGCCGCCCTATTGGCACCAGGTATCAGCCGAAGTACCAACTTCCAACGGTCAAACATGGGGGTGGTTCAGTAAAGGTATGGGGCCATTGAGACGAATCAATGCAACGATGGATCGTTTCCAATATGAGGACGTGCTGGAAAAGACAATGCGACCATGGGCGCTTCGGTTCCTGGGTCGTGCATATGTTTTCCAGCAGGATAACGATCCAAAACATACATCACTTCATGTGCGCAATTGGTTTCAACGGCGCCGTGTGGATGTTCTTGAGTGGCCAAGCCAATCCCCGGACCGAAATCCGATTGAGCACATGTGGGAGGAGCTCCAGAGACGTCTTAATGGGGTCAGAGCTCACAATGCGGATCAAAAATTCGCTCAAGCCATCCCACATTCCGTCATCTTCCGACCATCCCACATTCCGTCATCTTCTGGAGTCAATTCCGAGAAGATGTCAGGCTGTCATCGATGCTAAAGGCTTTGTCACGAAGTATTAAGCCTGCGTACATCATTTCATTACCTGCTTGCAACTTTAAGACCACTTTAGATCTTGTTTAAAACGGGTCACTATTCACCGGTTTCTGTTGATTTTTAATAAATTGATCTTTACTTTTTAATTTTTCAAAAAAATTAACAACTTATGTGTTGAATCACTTTTATTGTTTTATTTGTTGTCTAAAAATTTCAGAGTGATTGGACTACTTTCAGAAAAATTATGCTCAAAAAAACCATTTTTTGATTTCTTTATGGCCAGCACTGTATCACAGAACGTGGAAATTGCTAGTTTTTGCAGAGCATCGAGATTGAAAATCAGACAACCTCAATTTTTTTTTGCTAGAATTTCAAACAAAGCCATAAATGAATGGGAAACGCGTGGGTTGATATGGTCCGCAGTTGGCAGAAGCTAAAAGCGAAGAATTCAAAGCGAAAAAAGCAATAAATTAAAATGACCTTTAGTTTTGAAATATTTTTTTTTCGCGCCAAAAATATTCAAATTATGGATTTTCAAATGCAGGGAAAAAATTTGAAAATAATAATTTTTCTTTTTTTTTTCTGAAACACAAAAAGAATCGAGCGTCTTGAGTAATTGTGGACCATCGAACTTTTCATGAGGCGGGAATTCAAATTTCGATTTGGACATTGGGAATTGGGGCTACCGTACTACGGATAACCTGCGAATCAAACCACAGGCTGATTTTTTTTTTCTGAAAAGGGAATTCCATCAAAATCATCAAATGTGTGCAAATTTCAAGAATCAATAATTACTATTTGAATTTCCGCGTTGGGTCTCGTATGGAAACCTTTTAGAAGCGAATTTCGTTTCGAGAATAAAATAAATAATTATGATTTTTGCTTATTTAAAATAAAGCTCCACGAAAAAAGAGGTCTCAGTGCGCAGTGTGCGCCTTTAATCAATAGGCTCGTAAATCTACATCTTTAGTTTTGCGCCAACCCCACAGGCATTTGTTTTTTTTTTTGGCATTTAGCCAATTTTCCAAATTATTTTATTTAAAGGGCCCAATTAATTGGAAGGCCGCGAAATTCAAAAATCTCCAACCTTGGTCGGCATCGCAATCGAGATGACTCGATTGAATGAGATCGCCAAATGCGAATAGCAGCACGCGTTCCAAAAAAGCATTTGAAGTTGTCCGAGGATTCTGCCGAATAGCGTTGCGGTGTTGTCGAATTGCCTGAACCTCGAAATGTGTGATTAGGGCGCAATTGGCGACACCCGACCATAATGTCGCCGGAAACACCCAAACGATAAAGACGAGCAGGGTGCCGAAGTTGGCGATGGTGTGACTGAAGCAGAGCGCGCCGAACGCGTTCATCAAATGCGGCGAGCGCAGCACGGTGAGCATGGCGAGCGCGTTGAACGCCGCTCCCGACGATGACACCTCAATGCGCCTTTAAATTGCGGACGACAATTGATTGGGCTTACCAGGAAGATGATAATGGCGGCGAGCGTTGACTCCAACATACATAAAATAAAATATATATTGAAGATATGGTGTACTAGGAGCCTTTTGGGCTGTTTGGCTCCCACGCCTACCATCGGAGCACGCACATATATAGAAAATAGAGCAACGGGTTCATTTTGATTTTTTGGCCCTTCATCAAATTTCTCAATGGGCGATCGAGCACAGACCATTTATTTAATATTTGAACCTTCCGCCTCGGGTCTCGCATTCGATGTGCGATTTTCCCCCGAGACGGTTTATATTGAACAATTTGATCTCCCTTATAAGGTGCTTGCAGAAATGTAGGCTTTTAGCTAGCATTCTAGATGAGAATTTGAGTGCAAATTACTTCAAAAATGTTTTGAAATCAAATTTTTGATAAATCATGGTAATCCAATGAGTAGATCTTGTTTCAGGTTTTCTGAGTACAACAGATTATTTTTTGGCTCGAGACTCAAGAATGTTTTCTGATTGCTGTTTCAGAAACGACAAAAATATACTCTAAAAATCACATAATATAAATTTTAAAAAACCTTCTATAAGAAGCTTCGCGCCAGAGCGACTTTGAACCCACGACCTCCACCTCGGTAAATCTGAGTTCGGAGCGCAAGTTGGCTCCCATGCGGGCGCAATTAGGCGTCGCAACTGCTCCCGTATTAGGCCCGATCTGGTGCAACCAAGAACGGGAGCGGCCACAACTACTACTGGCCCAGTTCGGGTGCAAATCGGCCACGAATCGCACCCGAAATTGCTTGCCCGGTTCCTTTGCTTTTTATTTTAGCTGCTCAATATTAGAAAATTTCATTAATATATAGTCGCCGACTGCTGTACGCGGGTAGATTTACGCACATGCGACTTGAAAAGGTCTCGCCACGCGTGAACGCTTATTTTGCTGTTTTCACGTGAACTGCTTCATTTTTCTTGATGAGTTTCGCATTTCTTGGAATTTCCAACGTCGTTCGATTTAAAAATTATCGAATCGACCCATAAAATGCGAAATAATCAGTTGTGAGACCATTTCGGAAGACGCGTTCCCGTAAATCTACCCTTGCACAGCTTCGCCGGACGCCAAATATACCATTTATTCAAATATACACATACATAAAATTAAAGTAACACAAGATTTGAAACAGTTATGAATGAAAATATGAAAGGAATATGCAAGTGATATAGATAAAAGTAGAATATACGATGCAGATGAACGGATTTTATAATAAAAGTTGGCAATAAATTATATTAATTATTGTAAAGGAAAACCCATCATGTTCTATCACAAAAACTTAATCTAATACATCAGCTCCACCGGAAGCCGTGCGTTATTAAATTCTTTATTAAATCCTTTATTAAATTCTTTGATTGTAATGCACCATATATAAACCCCCATAACTATCAATCTAGGCCTCTTTCCTTCTTTCATGAGTCGCACATGTCGGCTCCGATTTTACCAACTCTCACCAACACGATCCACCTCCAAATTGTTCGAGATTTCCCCACTTTAATGAAGAAATAAATAGTATTTTCTTCGAGCGTTATGTTATTTTCTAACGTCTATTAAAAGTGAGTGAGAAATAAAGGGAAGCACCGCCCTGCCACTATTCGGCAGGACGGCAGCTTTTTAACCCCTTTACTTTATTTAAAAATTGAATTGAGGAATGAGAGCCGGGGAATAACTGTTTTTTATTACTTACAAGACGAAGTTGCAAGAAAAGCCTCCGTGCCTCTTCACCTTCAAAAAATCGACAAAAAGCAAAAAAAAAGTTGTTAAATTGGAAGCGATTTCGAAAAAACGACGCGCTAATTCCGCGGCGCACAATTTTGCAATTTTCGGGTCTCTGCAAATCGCGGGAGTAAATCGGGCGATATCACTCAAGTTGGTGCCAACTGAAACCAGTGATTCGGCCCCAACAACTGCGCCCGAACTGCTCCCGGCTCAGATTTACCGAGCACGATTATTCCAAAAGTTGCGCCACTGCGCCATTGCACCTTACATCAACGCCCCTATAACTTGATTACAAGTGCCACACAGCTCAGCATCGGGATTTCTCAGCTTAATCATGAATGCCTTCGCCGCAAACGACTGGTACACCACAAATAAGAGAGAAGCAGTTTGTAACTCTGTACAACACTGCAACTGCGCTAACAGACGAAAAATAGTTAAAAAATAGTTTAAAAAATAGTGCAGACTTTGGATGAAAGAGGGATCTGTAACAGATCTATTTTCAAGTCTATTTTTCATCAGCGCTTCATCTATTTCTCAGCCATTCTCTATCTATTTAGCATCTTGGATTCATCTATTTTTCATCCATTTTATGTCTTGTCTCTGTCCCTCGTTCTTGCATTTTTCATCAGTTTTCTATCTATTTCTCATCCATGATTCATCCTTTTTTTAACCCATTTTTGTCTACTTCTTGTCTCTTATTCATCTATTTTGCGTCTATTTTTCTTCTGGATGGTTTTAATGAAAAAACAACAGTAAACGGAAAACAACAAAATAAAAAAAAAGAAAAATACAATAAATTGTTTAACATTAGAAATATCAAATTTCAATTAAATAGAAAAATGCTGATTGAAATATTCAGCGGCATCGGGCTTCAGTTTTTTGAGTTGGTGCTCTTTTCCAATTTTGATAGCCAAACTATGCGCCATAACTTTGCTAGCGTGGTGAGATCCTTTCTGATCGTTATAATTTGAACGAAGGCGATCGCTAAAAGTACATGGTGTTATTTAGTGAAACATTCGCATAACTACATGAAAGTAATCGCAGACTCTTTGATTTGCACAGCAACTGAAGTAGCTTGATCCGTCGTTGGAGCAATATCTAATCCAATGAACAATGCTTCTTAATTTTTTTTAACATTGTTCACATATGTATGTATTATCAGAATTACCAGATATCATTTGATTAACAGCAGAATCCATGTGGAGATATTCCAGACGAGCACCAGGCGTTCCTAACAAGGTATAAGCTATCAGGTAGTTATCCTTATCGTAAATCTGCAAAATATATATGAGCTCTATCTAAGACAACTTTAAACCTCGGCAAATACATGACGCACCAGTTTCGATGCCGATGTCAGAAGGTTTTGACCAATACTTCCGACAAATTTTGAGCAGATTTCTGCGATATCGACAACTACACCCGACGGCAGTGTGTATTTACAGTGTTGGTGATTCAATAAGCAGCCTTGGAATAGGTAGATGGTCTCATCGATATCAACTTTATTCTGAAAAAGTTCACTGCACATATCATTATGCATTCAATACCTTTTTCCAGATGCGCGTTCGATATTCGTCTAGTCTATTAAACTGAAAAAAACTGTATAGTCCATTGTCCGAGCAGATTAAAATTTTCATACCATAATGGCCATCCCGCACATACTCATCCACATTTCATTCACGCCCTCATCTTTCTCTGCTTCGGCTTTTCTTGCAAAAACGTCCACGTCAATTCCATTTGTTGCGTTTTTTACAAAGTTATTTACTGAACTCTGGAATGAATTTATCTTTAACAGCAAATCTATGTTCATTAATTGTTACCTTGACTTCATCGTAAGATTTCGCTATGTCGCCACCAGAGAAAATTACACGGCGTGCAAGCTGTGATGCGTTGAGGTATCCATCTTTAACCAGCGGCTCATTCGACTTCTAAATTGAATGAAACATTAAAGATATTGGTTGTATGGCAAGGTGTTCCGAGTGCGACGAAATAGTAGACGCAGACACCTATACACTCTCACTAATGCATAGGCGAGTTTTCCTTTGCATCTCTGCGCCTCCATCTCACTATGAGAGGGAGGCCCAGCCCCTTTTTTGGGAGTTGGTACGCTTGCCGCTTTACAGGCCGGATGCCTCCGGGCACCGGCCCATCTACATTTATTCACAATAAACCATATTTAATCACACTGTGGATATCTGGTCAGCTAGTCAGGGCATTGACAGGTTAACGGTACTCTCCCGTATGGCGCCGGGAGAGGATGCGTTACACGAGGCAAATAAAAGTGAAATTAAGAATTTACCTTGTTTGTGCGGACATGGGTAACTATATCCAAAGGATCGCGCTCCGTGGTTGGCTTATTCCGATGCAATGCATTTGATGATGTTTCGTAATACTGTAAGAAAGACGCCAGAACAATATTAGTAAAAAGAATAAAACAAAATTACATCATAGTATTTATGAGGAAGATGTGACCTCCGGTGGCTTCTTCTCTGAAAATAATGCAATATATGTAATTTTGAAGCTTGTTTTTATTTTTCCTATGTCTGTGATTACTGTTGTTGTCCGTGTTCATAATTTTGTGTATGGCATAATTATTTAATTATGCATATTTTAACCCCTTCCAGAAATATTTCAACATGTGACCCACGAGTAAAATCAAAGTAAAACATACTAAGAATACGTCTTCAGCCTTATTTGTCGATTCCATATCCTCAATTAGCGTACTTCCTTCTTCTTCTTCTTCTTCTTCTTCATATAATTGTTCTATAAGTACAAAAATAGCTTTAAAAATACACGAGTGTCGTTAATTTTTTTTCTGAGTGAAACTAATTGCTTATCGTCGAGAATATTTGAAAAAAACAAGTGTAAATAAAATGTTGTACCGTTGAAATGTTCTCGTGGCTGCAGGTATTCAAATTTTTTCTTCTTCGACAATGGTGAAGCTCTTGGTTCATGTTCTGCCATGCTGTTCCTAAATTTACATTATCCGATTTAAATTACTGTTTAAAATGTATTGTTCAAATAGGTTACAAACCAATTTAACGTGAGAAAATTGATGAATTCAACGACATGATAAACGATTTATATATTTTTTGACATATATTTAAAGAGACAAGGAGTGAAAAAAATAGTAAGCCTTTATGCATGATATCCGCATCCTGTAGAAACGCACATTGCGATGTACCCATTCGATATTTCGATCAAACAACCTATACCAACAATTTCATCCAGACCGATAAAAACCTCCTCCGTTGAGAACTTCCCGTTGCATAAGAATGAGTACTTCCTGCAGAAAAATAAAATCGATAGAATACAGTTTTAGAGAGTAGTTTTCTCACCGCACAATCTCATACAATTTTCGATATTTCAAGTTCCTTAACCACGTGAAACTGTTGTATTCTTCTTCAAACTTCTGGACGCAACACATCCATCTTTCGGCTTCTTTGAAAACATAGATAAATCTAAAAATAACGTCATAAAAATATATGAACGATCATTGCTCACCTGCAGACTCTCATTGAAGAATTTTTGGTGAACAATATATCTTTCTTTGTGTGGATTCCAAAATGTTTTGACCGAATGATTCCAAAATTCAAGTGGTACGCTCCAAACGTGTTTTCTCCGTTTGGTCCCATAATATCTAAAGGTTTCGAAGCTCCAGAGAATGGAGTTTGCAATGATGGCGCATATTTACAAAAGTTGTTCAATAACGCCGATGGGCTTTGTGACAATCTTCGTTTAATCTCTCGTTCGAGGTTCACTCGCATAACATATCTGTAATATTCATTCGTGTTTTTTTAAATATATTTTAATACCTATGAAGTACAATTACAGGAAAATTGTTTGTAATATGGGTACAAAAATCCCGAATTAGAAATTTGTACATTGCTTCAAATGACGCAGTAGATAAGCACGCAACGTTTCCAAACATCTTGACGTTGTCAACGTAGTGGTAAATGAATTCCTATATATGAAACCATGATTGCGTTGTTCAAATATTTTGGACATACATGCAGTTTGATTGTGAAGTACGTTGGAGAGTTATCCAAAAAACATTTTTTTTGCAACGTCACACAAGTCAAAAGTATCCCTATGGTTCAACATTCCATTCGTGCACATATTATTGAAAATAAGACCTAAAGCAATAATTGCACATCGTCCATCTGAGGGTAAACTTGAATTGCAGATAGCAAAAAAGAAAATTTGAAGTCTGAATAACTATAAGAAAAATCTAAAACATTATATCTGAAACATACATCTAGTTTTTGCCTTCCGTTAGTGAGCAATCGAGTCAAATCGGCTCCTTCAATTGGCAATTGTAGATGTTTGTCGAAGTTTTCGAGCATGGTTTCATCGCATTCGAACATTGCAGATTTTTTCATTGAACATCTAAACTTTTTAGGCATGAGCTCTGGAATTTCTGCCGTTTTTTTGGTCACACTTAATTTTGATACCTTTTAGTATCAACATTACAATTCCATCTGAACAAGTGTGAAGAACATCCAAGATTGTATTGTACGGCTTGACATATTGCACCATTTTCGCCGCAACAGGACCAAATCCATTAACACCGCGAATACTATCTTCTAGAGTCTTATCCCCAAATCTGTCCAATCGTCGATCTTAAATCAATATAAGCGATGAATAAGAGGGTTTAAAATTATTATTGATTATTACCGTTTCCAAGTAGTGGTTTGTGCAGAGTTCCGTGAGAGTCGCAATAAAAACAAGCTTGTGGACTTGAAAAACCGCTCATTCCAAGAATTTTTCTTTTTGCCTTAAACTGAAATCTATAGAAATTTTCATCACTTAATCCTTACTGGTTGGTCAGAAACGAGTGACACGAGGTATGGAGAAAATAAAATATTGTTTACAACAAATGTTGACCCTTCGCCTTCCAATCGATTCATTATAATTTCCGTGACGGTATTCAAAACAAGGGTTGTTGGATTATTAGCTTTTAATTGCAGCATTCCACAGACTACAAGATTAATTGAAAGTTGCGACTTCATTGTAGGCAAATCCACTAACTGTAAAGTAATTGGCCACAAACTTCCTCTAAATGGCACATCTTTAATAAACAAATAATAATAATACCTGAAATGTCCTCGGGGATTGACGCCGTCCAGACTTAGCACCATGCTCAGATCACAATGATTTTCATCCTCGTATTTCCATGAACTGGAAAAAGAACTTCCTTGAAGATTGTGTGTGAAGTTTGGTGCTTTTTCCTTCAATTTCTTTCGAATTTCCATTATATCGTCAAAGGACGACTCCACAATCCCGCGAATTTGTTCGGTGAGAGGCAGCATAAGAAAAGTCGCCAAATCGCCGCAACTGAAATTGATCATAATAATGTTTGAAATGTGGTATATGTGTTTACCATTCTTTCTCTCTTCGACATCCACACTTTTCGCATATTGAACGCTTCATAATATTCTTCTTGAAATCATACCACAATGAGCGGGCTCTTTCAATCGGGATGAAGTTTTTAATTGTTGCCAGTCGTCTCAAAAAGCCTGCAACCATTTTTTGTCTTTGGAAAAGTATTAGTTTTACCATTTTCTGTATCTTTTTCGAGTACCGAACTATACATGCACAATAATAGTTCATCGGCCAATTCCGATACACGATCATGTGCGGGGTAATTCGGTACGCATGACGGCCCGACTACTTCGGAGAATTCTTCAATTTCGCTTTCAGATCGTTCTCTCATGAGAAAGGATGTTGTTGATGCATCATTTTCATTATTTTCGTTGTTCGACGATTTGTTTCGAAGTGAAAGCCGGGCGTTTTTTCGAGCAAAGACCACACGTTTGGTCGGCATGCATCGCGAACCAGCAATTTGATCTTAAAATAATAAACAATCAGCAATATTAATATACGAAACAAACCTACCTTTCCTCAATTTGAGACCTTCTTTGGGTAATCGATGGCGAAGAGTTTTAGGCATTTCCAAAATTGATTTTTAAAAAAATTGTAATTAACATGGCGCCATCTGCATTCACATTACGATCAACTGCACAATTCCATCTATTTTTCACCCTTTCAGTGTCTATTTCTTATCATTATCTTCTATCTATTTTTTCCCAATTTTTCATCTATTTGTCATCCATTTATCGTATATTTTTCACCAATTTTTGAGATAATCTATTTTTCGCCCATTTTTCTCCTAGTTTTTATCTACTTTTCCGAGTAATCTATTTTTCATCCACCTTTTCACCATTTTTCGTCTGTAGCACAGTTGCAGTGTAAACCATTCGAATTGGACTTTTTTTTTTGGTAAGGAATGGGCGGTGCCGTCGCAAATTATTCAGCCCATCAAAACTACACTATAAATTGGTCAAAGAATTGCGTGCGAAGCATCACCAAAACAATGGATGTTCGGCGATTTTTGATCCCTTCGATTCTGCTGATTGTTCCCGTCGATGTGTGCTTCGCTTCCAGCGGCACAACTCCGGTCATGGTTCGTTTCATTTTTTCCCCTTTGGAACATTGTCCGCAGATAGGAATTGCTATATTTTCATCGGTTCGAATTTTTCGAATCGCCTCAAAAATATTTAAAATCGTATCGAACCTTTATTTCTAGGGATGCCCGTGCTCTGTAGACAGTGTCGCGCTTCTGTACAGCCCTGGAACCGTTCCAGGCCTACCGACAAGTGTTGAGCCTATCGCGACACCGTAAGCCCAACGTTGAACATTGACAATGTCCATGATTTTGCAATTTTTAGAACTTTTGATGAAAAAGAGTGCCCGATAAGTCTTGATATCATGTGTACACCTCCTCCTGGTCGAACTGTCTACATGAATGTAATTTTTTTAAATATTATTTCTCAAATTTGTCAATTTTCAGTTTCAAGACTTTATTGGCGGTGTAATACAGACAAACATGGTCACTTTAACATGCATTAACGGAGAATTCATTCATTCCGACCCAGTTTTTGGAGAGAAGTAGCATTAATAAAAAAATTATCGCCGCAATATTAATCGTTTTGCAGGATAGTTGTTTCCGTGGAGTGCATGGCCGAATAATTCACAACAAATCACCTTTAATAAACCTTAATAATGCTCTAAAATTGTTAATAAATCTGTTTTTTGCTGGTTTAGACATAATTTATTTATGGGAACTACGGTATGCATGAGAAAGTGTGCAATGGTGTATGTCGGTGTTTGCACATGCCCTCAATTTCCAGCGATTTTTTTTTCAAATCATGGGCGATCTCTAATTGTCAACGTGGCCTACTATTCTAATTTAACGTGTTTCTTTTTTTTTAAGATTTTTTAAAAAATCAAATAGGGAAAATTTGCTGAATTCAAGGTAATATGACCGATCGGGAAGTGAATTTATCAGACGTTCTTCGGCAAGCATGGACTTTGGATGAGTAATTTTTCACCAATTTTCCCATCATCAACTTATTGCCGCATTTTTAGCGCAAACGACACCAACGTGGCGACTCCAAATAAGAACAATTCGAGTCCGAAACCGGTAAGAGAACTCAATAAATCCGTCAAATTTAATGAAATGCGTGGGGCCTTCGAAAATTCAAGCCGTCGAAATAATTAAGGAGAATTGCGCGTTTTTCTGTCGCATTCAAAACGATCAAAGTTCAGAATTCGCAAATCAAACGGCAGACGAAGGAAAATGCTAGTGTGCTCATCACGCCCGAGTATACTCCACCAGCTTCAAACGTGTCGGAGCTACAGCCGCCGAAATTGTTCACGCCCGTCGTTCAACATCATTTCCCGCAACCGCACGGTTTCCGAATGCAAAACCTACCAACGTATCGGAATATGAGCTTCTTCTACGGAAAATTGGTAAATGAAATTTCTCGAAACAAACAAATCTATATATGATTATCTTTTGTAATCACCTAGTGATTATCCCGTCTGAAATTCTTAAATGAACATCGAAACGATGGAATAACTAAAAGAAGCATCAAAGATTGGAAACTTTCAAAATTGCTTTAAAAAAATTTGTCATTTTCAGCAACCAGCTCCTCCCGCCACCGTTGTGACACCAACATTCATCAACGGATTTGCGCGCGCCGCCCCAACGACAAATTGTCCGGAGAAAGGTCCGAGTTTTCGTATGCTTTGTGGGACAATGGTTGACATTGGCTACGACGGCCAAAATGATTCATGAGAAGGGGCGGGGGAGGGGGGGTCGCGCAAGCGAATCCCCAAAACCGCAATAAATATTCAAATTATATTCGATGATGATGATGATGTCTCGCGATATTTCCAGGACTCGCGTTTAATCGGACCCCGACGACGGCGTCGGCGACAATCGGCGGCGGTCACGACAACGACGCGTTCCCCGAAAACTTTTTGGAGGAACATGATTTTGACGAACGCCCGAAAATGGTAATATTACACACCGAGTGGCGTGAATTGTAAAATGAAAGTTTAAAACGATCGAACAATGAAGAATGCATTGTTCTTGAAATTGCGGCAACTTTTGAGTTTTTTTTTAGTAATGTGCTTGGGTTCAAAAATCAAATTTGGCGTTGAATTTGAGAGAATGCGCCTTAAAGAGGTCTCGCGTGGATATTGAAAAATTTAGACATGCGTCAATTGAAGAGTTTTAATGATTTATTAAAATAAAATTAAAAAATGGATTATGTTTTAAGATCAATTTAATTATGCGATATATTTTAAAACTTTCATAGAATTTTTTTTCAATGAAGTTTCAAAAATTGTATAATGATCTTCGTAGAACCTAAATATGTCGCACCGTGCGCCGAATGGTTATCGGTTTCCCACTATTAAAATTGAAATTTGAATTAGCGTCACAAAAGAATACGATGGTCCACAAGTTTTTCAAGGCCCTCGTTTTTTTTTGCAAATTGATAAAATTTGATGTAAAACATTTTAAAGAAAGAATGATGGCATATTCCACATGTCAAAGCTAGCTTAAAGGCGCATCCCATCGATTATTTTCTCCCCGCTGATCAATAAAAATGATGGGAGGCGCGGCTATTTTCGAAATGCATAGTTTCGACGAATTGCCTCAAATTTCATCGGCCGACACAATTGTATAAGTGTTTTCTTTTTTTTTTGGTTGCTTCTCTCAACTTTTTTTTTGCTCCTTTTTATTTTTCGTCGCAAAAAAGCGAAGAAAAAACAATGCGGTGCCCATTCATTTTTGGACCATAATTTATAACATTTTGAGAATTTTAAGCGGCGCTCAAGAAATTCGCATATATATATATATATTTTTTCTTTTTGTGTGCATGTGTGTGTGCTGTTGCACACATTTTTGCAAGCGAGCGCCCGCCAGCCGAGAGGACTGGCTGGCCGTATTTCACACATATGTACGTATATTTATAAATACCTTGGTGTTATATTGATTTTGACAAGAAGCTGGCGGCGCCGGGCTCGCGCAACAAAACGCAATTAAACAATTTTTTTTCGACGTCGTCGTTGGCGTTTTTTTGGCTCTTCCCACCCGGCCGTAAATTTTGCCGCCGACGACTCATATTGAAGAATCTTTTTTTTTTCATTTCTCTCATTTTACAGCCATCAACATCATCATTTTCTTTTTCTTCTTCTTCTTTCTCTTTTTTTTTGCGTTCTTCTACGTTTTTTTTTCGACAATTTTCCTCGGTGTTTTTTTTTGGGTCTTAAAGGTCTTCGGTTTTTTCTTTCACGTTTTTATCGTTCCGCCATGCTATATAAATTGAGGAGGCTCGCACAAAATCAAATTTTTTTTGCGCCGTCATTGATTGCTGATTTTTATTTTCACGAATTTCAATTGCGCGCCGCGATGCTCATAATGCGGAAAGCAGTAGGAAAAGACGACGACGACGAAGAAGAAGAAAGCGAAAAAAAAATTATAAATGAGCCGGGGCATGAGGGCGTGAGACGTGCATTTTTCATTTCGTCTCTAATCTGGCGCCGCGCGCATTGTTGCCCAAGCGAGATCCGTTGAAATATTCTCATTAATAGTTTGATTGGCATATTAAATTGATTATCATGGTCCGTAATGACGAAAAGAAGTTGGTCGGTTTGTGTGTGTGTTCCTAATGATCCCATTCCGAGCTCCCGATCCCTCGTCGCATTCACATTCGCAAGCACTATCCTTTCTCCTATTGAAAAGTTGTCAATGTTCCAGGCGCCGGCGGCGGCGGACCCAAATGCATCATCATCGGCGACGACGAAATCGCGCGGCGTCGGCATTGGCGAAGTGTTGGACGAGTTTTTCGTGCGACGCCGACGACGCAATGGCGACGAGAACGCATCGGCGGCGAAAAACGACGATAGCGATGATGGGTGTGGAAGCGATGGCGATGGCATAGAGAAGCACGCGACGGAGGCGTCTGGCGATGGCGACGAGACGCAGACGGTAGGATGGGGGGCGGCGCAGTGTGCCTTGACGGGCGACCGAAACGTTGCGTTATTTTTGCAGGCGATGATGAGGGCGGCGAGACGCAGACGCGACACATCGATGGCCATCGCGGCAGCGGCGGCGACAACGACGACGGCACACGGCGATTGTATGGGCGGCGAATCAGCAGCGACGCTGCCGTCGTCGTCGTCGTCGTCGTCATCGACGACGACAACACTCGCAACCGCGGTGGCCGCTGTGGAAAGCAGCAGCATTGCTAGCAGCAGCAGCAGCAACAGCGGCAGCGGCGGCAATAGCACCCACACCACCAACGCCAATACCAATACAACCACCACCAGCACAAGCAACGCCAAATCGTCGTCGTCGCATTTGGAGAAATTGCTTCAGCAGCCGGCGAGACGGCAAATTGTTTATCAGCAAGGTGTGTGTGTGTGTGTTTGTGTGTGAGTGAGTGTGTGTGTGTGTAGTTGGTTGGTTGGTTGCCCCGCCGGCCCGGCCCGGCCATTCTACTGGCACTGGTGGTGGTTTTCATTTTCTCCTTCTTCTCGTTCATTCCCATTTCCCACTTTTCTTTATACATATTTTTTTCTTTCCATCTTCTTCTCCTCTTTCTTCGATTGCTTCTTACGGTTCACATTTATTTATTTGTTCAACGCGTATGGTTTGTTTATTTACTCGGCGGGGTGTTATCGTTGTTGTTTTTTTTTTCGCTTAATTTTTGTAAATTTTGGACCCTTTCTGAACCGGCTTCTCTTTTGTGCTTCAACCCTTACGGCTGTTTCGTCCTCCAGGAGCCGATTTTTGACCTTTTATAGTCGGGGGGCAATCATCGTCATCATTTTGATCGTGGACCGATGGGAAAATGAGAGCTAATCGGGTGTCGGTCACCTCGACCGGGGTGTTCGTTGTGAGAAAATTGAGCGTATCCCATCGAATTGTATTTTTATTTCATTATATCAAATGTTCATTTTGAATTTGGGGACCCCCGCCGATTGGTTCTGCAAAAAAAAAAGACTCAAGACATATATCATATTATTTTTTTGTTGTTTAGAGCCGCCACAAAGTGTTGTGCATTCGGAAGCGCCGCAACAAATATTGTACAATATTCAGCTGGGAAGCGGCGCGCAGAAATCGACGAGCTCCATGTTTTATCAGCCGCAACCGCAGCAGGCGGCGGCGCATCACGCGCGGAATACACCGCCGCCGGGATATCCGCAGGTAGTAGTAGTAGTAGTGTTTGATAGATTTTGGTTGTTGCTGAAAATTGAATTCTTTTTTTTTCTAGGGATTCATGCGACCGCATGAAGAGGAGACGAGGCAGATTATGAATTTGGACAATCAGCAGGCGCACAATTCGTCGCCGACATCGTCATGGTAAGCGTTTGTTATCATTATAATTTTTTCCATCAAATATCGATGAATGCGTTGAAATATTGCAAAATATTGCTATGAGTCAAAAATCATCCGACGGATTTCCTTTTTTTCGGTTGCTCGGCGAGTTGCCCATTGAGAATGACAATTTTTTGCTTGTTTTCTGTCTTTCATCGCTGAAGTACTTATTATCATTGAAACTGGTTGTTGTAAGAGACGATTACTGTCGAATTGGATGAAATTGGTTCGATAATCCCAACATAATCATGTCGTGTGCGTGTATGTGCGCGCGGCGCGTATTCATGCCCGCCGGCGGCGTTTCGAAGGGGGGGGCTGATGGTGATGGGGGTTAGGCAGGCAAGCAGCTGGACGGACCGACGGACGGACGGACGGCACCTAATTTTGCATATCTCGGCTATCTCTACGATTTGCGCTGATCCCTAGTTTCCCGCGCGCTCTCAGAAGAACATGCCAAAAGCATTGATGGTTGTTGTAGTATGGGGCTTCTTCTGGTGTGAGGCCTTGAGGGGGGGGGGGTTTGGTTGGTTTGCTCCATCTTCGCCTCTCGTCACTCGTCACTTGTTCGTTTGGCTAACGCGCGCTCGGCGCACTAGCTCACATGCACATACACACATACATACACCCTCTCTTCTACTACTATAAATGCTGCTGTGACCATAAAAGGGAGAAGAAGGGGTTTTTTTTGGTTTCAAGAGGAGGAGGGGAGCGATTCGTCGTCGAATGCCTTGGTCGTTCTTCATCAACTTCTTCTTCTTCTTCTTAGTGAAGCTTGGCCAGGAGTATGCTTCTCATTCTCCTCACATGACGGTTTGAAGACGCATTTCCCCAAGGGATGTGACAGCACACACACACACATACGGCCGGACGAGTTTGGCGAATGGTTGACAGCATCAGAAGGAGAAGGAGCATGAGGAGAGGAAGATGAAGCTGAAGGTGACGATATTTCGGCTTGTGGAGGGCGGGGGACGGTTGGGAACTTGAGAATGTTGTGGATTACTGTAGCACAAGTCTCCTAGGTGAGTTTGAATTTCCGCTAATGAATCTTGCTGCCTGCCGTTTTACCCTTTTTAATTATATAATCGAGGCGAGAGGCCTACTTAAAATGGGACCCTCTCGTTTTCGCTTTTAATTGACGTCCGGCTTGGTTTGGGCTTCTCGACTCGCCACCACCCGCGCGTTATACGCCATATGTATTGGTTCAGGTTTTAAATTGGATAAAGGTGCAGCCCAATGCGTGCGTGCGGCAACGCCGACGACGACGACGTCATTCATCTATTCGAGTAGTAGTAGTTAGTATTCGTCGACTGAATGGGAGAGTTGAATGAGAAGGCGGCGCGTTGGGGGGGAGAGGGAGAAGTCCCGAACAAAGCGCAAGGCGTCGGCGTCGACGCAACGGTGTTGCGCAACCGGCGCGTTGCGAGATTCAGACGAGCGGCAAACAACTAGGGGGAACGTTTCGCTTTCACTTGAGGCGGCGCTCGCCGTTGTTAGAGTGGGCAGAGAAATTGATTGGTTGTTCGGCTCGATGGTGAAGCGGTGAGGCATGAGGCACACGCACGCACGCATATACGACAAGCAGAGAATACACTCAACGCAATGGACCAAGCTTTCCGCTCGGCGGTCCCCCCCCCCTCTCTCGTCTCGATTGCCTCGCGGCTATTGCATGTACCCTTTCGAACAACCACCATAGAATTGAAGATGGGGGGAGGGGGGACCGATTTGATGGAGGGGAAAGAATCGTATTGAAGATTGCTAAAACTGAAAATTTCAATTGCTACATGGATTTATGACTATTTTGTTGCAGGAACTCACATCCCCAACAATATGCTCAAATGTCGCCGATGAACGCTTATCCGCCACGCGGACCGCCAATGTATGCGCCACCGCCGCCGCCACAAATGCACCATCATCATCAGGGCGGCGCGCCGCAACCGCCGCCAACGTCGAATCCCTATTATCAGCCTCATATGGTAGGCGATTTTGTTGCGATTGCCGAAATTGATTCGTCGTTTCGTTTCAGCCGCAGGCGCCTATGATGCCGCCGGGAATGCACGGCCAACCGCAACAGCAGCAACCGTATTATAGTACACAATCGCCGTTGACTGGTAAGAAACCCTATTTTTTTTTTTGAATTTTTAAGAAAATTTTGATTGTTTGAAGGCACACCGCCTACAATGAACTATGGGAATACGCCGATGCCGATTCCGACCACCAATGGTAATGGGCCGGTGTTCTCTTTCACCAAACCGAGGGCTAGCGAGTCGAATGCGACGAATCGGCGGAAAAAGAACCACAATAATAATGAGATGGTTTGTGACATTTTTTCCCCTCGTTTTCTCTCTTTTAAACTAGTGTAATTTTGCTATTTTCAAGGGAAACTCGCGTTTGGAAGATGGCGATGCGGCGGTGTTTCCCGATATGAACGATTTTCCGCTATTGGATGCGATTCAGTCGAAAGCCAAGGTTTGAGATTTGCCTTTTTGAGATTTGCCGCAACGAATTTTCAAATGTTTTTTTTTGAAGAAGGAAGCTGGTAGAAAACCGTGCCGACCGCATTTATGCGAGCAATCGAGAATGCTCATTTCGCGAGTGGCTCATTTCAATCGCGAATTTGTCAAACGGTAGGAGCGTTTTTTTCTTTATATTTTTAATCCCTTTGACCTCTCCCTCTAGAAGTCTTTAAAGTAAACGTATATTACGGTGCTAATATACATATCGCATCGAGACCTCATTCTCAATTTTGGGGCCGAGCGAAAAATTTATTTGACGATTTTGATTGAATTTTGACTGAGTATTAAGCATTGGGCAAAATTACCGTATTCATCAAAGGCGCATGACGTAATTTGCAAATTCAAGATTTAAATATTAAATAAATTAATGGTCAATGCAAAGAAAATTTAAAAAAAGAAAGAAGGAAAAAGTTATTTTAGTTTTAAAATTAAAAAAAAAAAAACAATTCCCCTGCGCATTGACCCTTTAAACATCTAACATTATGTAGGAAAATGTAATAATTGAGAATATTGCAATTCAATAAATTATATTCCATCTGCGGACATTTTTCGCATGCCGCTTAGTTCTCGAAAAAAGAGCACACTGTACACCAAGATCTGTCGCTAAATTTTTTTTGGTGTTGAGCCAATTTTCCGACATCACACGACGTCGAAAATATATATTTATACATATATCCATACGCATAATAATAGCAATTTATATGTATGAATATTCCCGAGGTTTATATATGCATTTATATGGTGTTCGCCATGAATGTCTGTCTAACTGCTCGTCTAGGTCAGTGGGGGGGGGTGTCCAATTTTTGCCGCTACTCAAGCGCGTTAAAGAACCGAGCTGAATGGTGATTCTTGTAGACTCCCATCTCGCCATCCGCTCGCCAACTCGCCAATGTCGCGGCCCGATCAGTGGACGTCGGCGATAATGGGAATCTCGTTGGCGACGGTGCGAAAGTGCCTTGATATGGCCACCGAGGAGGAGGTGTTCACGAGATGCACCGATAAGAATTTGGTCAATTTGACGGTACTTCAACGCGATTCATTCGATTACGTATGATGATTTCGCGATATTTTTTTGTTGCAGCCTGCCGAACGCGTTGAGCGTGACGAGTTGCTCGCGAAGCTGTCGACGGTTTTTGAGGACGAGAAGGCGCTGGGAGCGGGCACAGCGAATCTGACGATTGCGGAATACTCGCCAAGGTTGGTATTATTTGAAGAGCATTTTGGTTTTTTTGTTTGAAATCGCCTTGTCTCCTCCCCGAGAAAAAAAAAACAACTGAGCAGCATTTTGTTTTTAGACGATCCTACTCGAACTCGCATGTCTCGCGGCAACCCGTCGAGGATAAGACGAACACCATGATATACATGCCGAATGGCGACAATAGCAATGAGACGACGTTGCTGAATCTCGATGAGCATTCGAATTCGAGCAAAGGAATTGCGACGCCGACGCCGAACGCCGAATCGGCGCCGGAAATTGAGACTGGTAGGGGAGATTTTTTCAATTTTTTTCCATTTTTTTTTTACTTTTTTTCAGAGCCGATAATTATTGAGCAAGCGAAGGTTGAGGAGCTGAAGCAGCCATCGCCGAAAATTGGAGCTGACACGCCGAGAGTTCGCGGAAGGCCGAAGAAGGTCATGGAAATGAAGAAGAAGAGAGCGTCGGTGGAAGCTAGCGAGACGCTGGAAGATGTGAGTTTTTGATTTGACGTTTCTTTTGAGGAGAGAGCTCTTATCATATCCGTTTTTTTTTAATTTTCGCACTTGAACTTTTTGAAGTTCCGCAATTGTTGTTTTCATTATTATTTTTTTTTTGCAGAAGGATGAGCATGAAAAAAAGACTGAGGATGAGAACGAAACGACTGATGAAAGCGAGAAGAACAAACCGGCGATTGAGGAGCAAGAGGAGCGAGAGGATGACGCCGCGTCGAGCGAGGTAATTTATAATTATTTTGTGCTGTCTGTGTGTGTGTGTACGAGTGCAATATTCCATCGTCTCGTTGTAGGGCACGAATCGCAGTGAGACGGCGACGCCTGAGCCGAACTCGGTGGCGTCATCCAACGCCGCTGTTGCTGCGGCGACGACGACGGCGAACGCGGTGACCGCGAGCGGACGACCGCGGCGTGGAAAGAAGCGAACGATTGAGAATGAGGAGAACGTGGGAAGTGGACGAAAGAAGCGGGCGGTGAACAACAACGCGAAGAACGCGATGGAAGATGATGAGAATGAGCACAAAATGGTGACGAGGTGAGTGTTTTGTGATTGTTTTGGGCGGTGAATTGTATGTGTCATTCCAGAGGTAGAAGCCGTCAGCCATGAGCCATTTCAACACACGACACCTCAAAAATGATTATAATTGCCTCGTCTCAAATCAGGTCGATTTTCAACGCCAAAAAGTGCCATGTGGTTTTTTTTTTCGCCTCCCACAGTGTTGTTTTTTTTTGTTTTTTTTTCTGTTTTTTTTCTTTCTTCCCCTCATTTCTTGTTTTCGCATTTTTCCTTCACCAAAAAAAAACGCGCACACATTCGAGATTATTGTTTTTTTGATTTGAATTTTTGTCATATGAGAGCCAGCCAGCAAGCACCTGTACTGAAATGTTCACTTTTGCCTTCTTCCCAACCCCGCCGAATTTTTGACTATTTTTTTTCTTTTCCCCCTCTCTCTCCGCCTAATGACTACTTGTTATATGTGGATTGTCTGTAAATTTATTGAGTCTCAAATTTTTTTTTTTCGTGCATTTTTTTGTCTGCTTTTTTTGTCCCGATTTTAAAGATTTCTTGTTAATTGAATTATAGCGACCCCCCCCTTCCCCGTTTTTTTTTGAATTTGAACCCGATCCTATACTATACCAGAGAAAAAGAGAATATTTCCTTATTTGCAGTATTATGCATAGCCCGGGTATTTGAGCTTTATCGTCTTATTGTGTATGATGATTGGATGGGTCGCGTCCACCGATCGCGTACTCAACTTCTGAAATGTTCAAGTTTTAGAAGATCCTGCAACCATCCCCTTCCCCCCCCCCTCTATAAGTAACATGTAATAATAATATAATAATATAAATGTGAATTAATAATACGTTTTATTAATAACTATAATAATTAGCATTTGTCCAGTTTTCGCCACCCACCTCCCCATCATCCCCATGATTTTTTTTTACTTGACCCTTTTCGTTTTGACTAGGACCCTGGGGAATGGATTTCTTGTATTCTTTTTTTTTCTTTCCCCACCCCCTCCCCTCGCCCTTTGAAATCACCTCCATGTGTTATTTGTAGCCTTTTTTTCCGAAATAAAGAGTGGAAAATAAGACAATTAATTATTTTTTTTTTTCATTTTTCGCGGAAGATTCTCGAATAATTTTATCTTGGTGGGAAATCGAATATGTTAATAGAAAAATTATTTTTTTGAAACTCATATTTGCGATTGGGGTTCTACGCGAGTTTCCCGAAACTTTTATCCTACCAGTACGACACTCCAAGTACACAGCACCCTCGATTTAGCGTGTCGGGGCGACTTTTGTTATATTTTCAAAAATGCACACTTTGAGTAATTATGCACTATTTTCGGAGAGCGGTAATTCAAAATTTCGAATTCAAACAATTGGAATTCGCGCCTTTAATGAATGACCGTATCCGTGTGCGCCTTTAATTACCGTACCCATAAATGCGTTAAGAATTGAAAAAAAATAAGATGTGAGCTTCACCTTGAAATTTAACGTGCCTTCATCATCTAACAGGCCTGAATATGCTTTTGAGTCGAAAAATCTGATATTGAAAAACGAATTTACAGAAATCGCGTGTTTACACCTTATGCATTTTAATCGACGACTATTTTTAAACTTGTAATTTTGATTGAGCAGTTTGAAAGTAAAATGTTTGGAAATTCCAAGGTCATTGGGTCTGATTTGAAGTAACACCCAAAATTATTGAAAATTGCGGACTTGTGCATTTTGATTGACGAAACTTTATATGCTGTTTACGGTGATTTTTTTCCTCACAATAAATTTATTAATAAATATTTCCTTTCCATTTTTCAAAATTATTTTTCCAGTTTTTATATTTTTTGTGATATTTTATGATTCTTTAATTGAAGAATCATATCGAGTAAAGTGGGTGGAGTCCTCATGGCTTCTTTTTTCGACAAGACCATCAATTCTCACATTTTCATCTTTCGAATAAATTTTTTTCCCATTGTCTTTTATCATTGTAATGCTGTTGGCTGATGGTCCCTAATTCTCCGCCCATAATCGTAAATCTGCTCGAAAGCATCGGGGAGGCGATGAAATGAAGCACATGTGATGCCCAAGTCTCGATGGTCCCAACAACAACAACAACAAGAAGTAAGCATTGTAACTTGATAGTCGGAACACCGTGGCAGCCGGGCGTGTCGTGTTGATAGCGGTCAGCAAGCTGCTCAAAAATGAGGAAAAAAACAAATCACGGGGTGAGCTTGGCGTAAATTTATGACATTGAGCGGTGCTGCACACTGGGGGGCTCGCCGAGCCCCCCCCCCCTCCTCCCGGCCGCCCTAGCCGACTAATATTTTTGTGATGGAGTAGCAGTAGTAGGAGTAGTCAATCAACGCCTTCGGAAGGGGGCAAATTTCAATTTGCGCCACCTTCTTTCTCGTTCTTCAGTTGCGGTTCTGAAAAGGAGAAGGAGGGTCTCGAGAGGATTGGCACGCGCGCGCGTTTTTCAATTTATCGCGAAAAATAATTTTTTAATTGATTCTCGCCGATTTGAGATTGCTTAAATAGGTCCTAACTAGCAATAGGGACCAATTTGATTTTCTATTCTCAATTTGTTATTTTTTTCCTTCCTTCGCTTCAAGACCTTCTTACTCTCATATTTTCCATTGCCTCGTTCTTCAATCATTTTTTTTAATTCAAAACTATCCGCTTCTATTTTTTAAAAAATGTTGTCGCTTTACACACTGACGCAAATTTGCACACATTTTATTCCACTAAAAAATTCGTTTTCAGTGTGCTTTTCAGAAATGCTCATATTTCGATTTTTCGCGCTTCTGAGAAGTTTGAAAAAAAATTTTTTTTAAATAATGCTGGTAAATTTTATAGAACAATGCAGAGAAAATAAAAAAATAAAATAGAATCATTTTTTAAAAATTTAATTTTCGTTCTTTTTTTTTAATTTTTAATTTTCATTTCTAGTTTCAATGATTTTTGTTACCTCGCTCTTTATAAAAATAATTTTCTACAGTAACATTTTTTCTTTCTGTGCAAAGTGTCGTGGAATACAGTGTTTCGGCATGCATACGATTTTTCGAAAATTCTAAAAATTAATTTTTTTTTCTTCAAGATAGTGTTTTTTTAAAATAATTTTTCTCAAAATAGTCACTTTTCAATTTTTTCAATCGAAATCCCCACAAATTTCTAGCAAAAAAAAATTCCCTCATCACATGAGGCCCATAAAACGGCACATATTTCTTCCTTGCGGACCGGACCATTCTCATCGAATGTGTTGCTCCAACAACTCTCTAATCAAGTTTCGGCTCGGAATTAAAGAATTCCGAGTCACTTAAGGGTTACCCATTGGGCGGTCTTACAACGAAAGAGAGAGAGAGAGCGGGAGCGAATAATTCAATTTGTGCGTGGAATTATCAATGCGACAACTCGGCTAAGGCTCAGCGCGTTCACACATTTTTCAACGGCATTTCTTTCCTGCTCATCGAGTTTTCTGAAAAAAAAAAACTATATATACTCAGCGTCCGGCGACAGATGTAGATTTACGGGGCATGCGCCTTCGCTATGGTCTCGCACCGACTAACTGGTGACTTGCATTTTAGAGGGCATTCCAATTTTTTTAATTTTCAGCGAAATTGAGTTTTCAAAAAAAAATGACAAATTTATTAAGAAAAATTGAACGGAAAATTTTCAAATTTGCATTTTTTTTGTATTTAAGAAAATGAGAAACTGATTAGAACAAAAATTAAACGGAAATTTTATAAATATGCCTTGGCGAGACCATTTCGAAAAGCGCATCCAATTCCCCTGCTGGCCGACATTCTACCGGCTCGATCGGAGCTCAATGGTGTCGGCGTCTCACCAATGTGTCTATTTTTTTTTGTCGTTGGTTCGAGAAACAATTAGCAGCGTTTCCCATTCAATAATCCCACCCACTCTTTCTCTATCTTTTGTCATTTTTATGACCGCCGCGTTTTGCAAAATTGGTTTTCGCGCGCGCGAGAGAGAAAAAAAAAACCAAAATGATGAGAGGGACCACAAAAAAAATGAAAGAAAGAAAGGAGAAGCTTGCAGCACAAGTCCACCAAATTGTATTTCCGATTGACTCGTTTTGTACTTCTCAACATTTGCCACTTTTGTGACATATCAAGACACTTTTTTTTTGCTCCCCCCTTATTAGATTTTTGTTTCGAGCCAATGTCAAAGTATCCAAGGAATGCTGTGCTATGAATCTCGGACAGCTAGAAATTGAAAAATCATTTTTCACATTCTTTTCCTGTGTAGATTTACGGCTATCTTCAGGAAATACAGCTTTGCGTCTTGGCGCGAAATATGCTGTAGATTGGTATATGCTTGATACGCAGCCAAATAGTGCAGTTCCGATTTTTGCTCACCGCCCTTCCCCCAATGAAAATTATTCCATTACATTTTGATTCTTGAATTTTGCCTTTCCAGCGAGTTGTCCGCAGACGGCATTCGTTAACCTTGCAAGCCGGCGGCTCCTTCAATCATCGTCGCGTGTCGACGCCATCTAAAAACAAGTTTTCCACTATGCGCGGCGCCTCGTCGCAAAAGCGGACACAATCGAGCCAATCACGAAATTTTGAAAAGCGGCCATCGCTCGACGAGACGCCGACGCTCATCATCTGCTATTCTCGTTTTTGATGGTGTGGCCGTCGTCGCCGGCGCGGAAGTGCGTGCTGTTTCAATCGGCCGTCGAAAAATGGTGTTCTGATTAGTCTCAAGCTTCTTCTCATTGCTCTTGACGTCAACAAATTTTGTTTGCAAGCGATTCGGCGAAGTTTCATTCCGAATTGTTGCCAAATTCATTACTCCGAACCCCAACAATGTCCGCAGATGCCAATAATTATGTAAATATGCGTTTGTTCCATTGCCAATCTCAAATTACACCTTTTTCCCTGTGCCACCATACTCCTTTAAAAATTAGCATTCTCTCGTCGCATTATGTAAATGACGCCTGTGCTCGACGGTAATTAGAATGCTTAAACACTCCCGCCATCTGCTCATTGCTCGATTTCGATAATTGCATTGTTCACACCCGTGTGCGCTCACGGTTTTCCATTTTCAGTTATGCTCGCTCGTCTTTCACTAGTTGGCAGATAGGATATTCAAATGGAAATTATGCAACGAATTTTGATTTTCGCGCAATTTTGCGTCGCCGCCGCGACGAGTTTTGAGGCGGTCGCCACGGAAATCGGTTCGCTCTTCATTTTCGTCACCTAAAAAACCGATTGACTCGTTTCAGCACCTCCAAAACTACTTAAACAGTCTGAAGAGGTTGTCTGGTTTCATTTAGAGAAGCCTGAAGATGATAGGCACAAGCTTACGTTGATATGCGAGGGCGACGAGAACACTGACAGGTTTGTGGGGGGAATTTTCAAATTAAATGTGTGCAATTTCGCGTAGTGGCATTGCACACTATTTTCGAATTATTCTCATTTCTTGCGCATTTTCTCATTTTCTAGATATCAATGGACGAAAAACGGGAAGCCGCTTGCAATTGATGATCACTCCGGCATCTCCTGGGCCGACGCGAGCAAAACTGGAACGATTATAATCCAAGAACCGCATTTTAAGCATGAGGGATTTTATCAATGCATGGCTTCCAACATTTTTGGAACAGCGCTCTCAAATAAAATTCATCTACGATTAGGAGGTGATTCTAGTATGTTATTAATTCAGCACAATTCGTTTTCAGAATTGAATCATTTCCCAAAACGCCCGATTCGTGTAATCAAGGCGCGCGAGGGTGAACCGCTCACCATTGACTGCCATCCGCCAAGTGGCACGCCAAAACCAAGAATTATATGGCTTTATAGGTAAATTCAAAAAATTGAATTTTATATGGCAATTTAAGGGATGCGGAGGAAGTGTCGGTGATTGAAACAATTCGTTCTCGTCACATCACCGTTGACGTCAACGGAAACCTCCATTTTAGTTCTGTGGAGCTTTCCGATGGAAAACCAGTAACATTTTAGATTTTAGGGGGTTTTTCTTGAAATTTTCTCTTATTTAGAATATCCTTTATGAATGCGCTGCCACGTCGCCGGTCCTTCATGGCGAATACAGGTCGGGAGACAAGATTCGGCTCGAAGTTGAGCCTTCAAAAGGTAAATTGGAAACATTATTGAAAATGTCGGCTAATTGATTCAAGACAAATCGTCGCCTGTTCGAAAACTGTTTGTGAGCCCATCGGAGGTTACTGTGAGAGCTGGAGAACAGTTGAAGCTTCAATGCATTTTTGGCGGAAGGTATTTTGATCGAGACACTACTACTACATTGTAAAAAATAAATTGCCAGACCACTACCCACCGTTTTCTGGTCGAAGGTTGACGATGAGATTCCCGCGGATCGAGTGCACGATTTGTCGGCAGCTGAAAGCGATTTCGGAAGAAGCCTCATCATTGATAACATCCATCCGAACGATGCCGGCAGCTATGAGTGCCGAAGTCGGCACCTCGTGCACACTGTCAACGTGAAAGTGATGGCCGCGCCGTTTTGGGAGTTCGAACCGCCCAAAGATCTGGTGATGGCCGAGGAGAGCACCGGCGAGATTGAATGCCTCGCCGGCGGCCAGCCGATTCCGATCATCACGTGGAGTATGAACGGCAAACTGTTGCACGAGCTCGCCGAGGACTCGCGACGAGTGCTCCTCGATCACGGCCGAATTCTGCGCGTCCGAAATCTCAATCACGACATTGACACCGGCGTTTATCAATGCAACGCGAGCAATCCGCTCGGCTACGTGTTCGCCAACGCGTTCGTCCAAGTGCGCGCTCACGCGCCCGTCTTCCGAATGCAGGCGGCGAGGAGCTGGAAGGTCGTCCTCCACTCGACGGTGGTGTTGGATTGCGACGTCGACGCCGCGCCAGAAGCCCTCGTACGCTGGGTGGACGCCGATGATAGGCCGCTTCAAGTGGTCGACGGCAAGAATAAGGTAATATTATTTATTTACAACAAATATTTCAATGAGCAAATTGCAAATATCATATGAAATAGTGGAGAGCTGGCGACTTCTGTAATTTTTTAAGAATTTAAAATAGGCCATTTGTATGGGAAGTGCTCACTTCTGCAAGAAACCGCCACAAAGAATCCACTTGAATTGTCATTGGGCGCCTTCAAAAAGTCGACTTCAAGCGTTTGGCCTTTTCGATTCAAAAATTGGCGATCCATAGTGGTTCGGGCATGTCTAAAATTCTAGCAAAATTTTCGAAAATATTAAAAAGAAAATGTTACGTCTCGATGCCCATTCCGGCATAGCCGTCATGAATAATCGTCAAATTGCTCATGTCATCGAGGTGGGCTGTCAGAAAAACGTCGAATTGCGAGTTGTCGAGAGCGGCGTTGAAAATGTAGCGAATGCTTCGCGATTCCGCGCGAACGCGATAGTTCGGCGAGAGCGCCACCGTGAAATCGCTCCAGTTCATCGGAATGGTGATCGTCGTCGATTCTAGAAGAAGTCAGCATACATTTCAAAATCCCAATTTTCAAGCGCATTTTAAATGTCTCGATTCACAATACTTGAACGCCTCCGACCTATTTTGTATGGCTGCGCTGTCACGGCGAAATCGCTTTTGGTGACGGCAAGAAGTTTGCGAAGCGTCACAACGGGCTCGGCGATGAGCATCGGAACAGTTGTGCGCGATTCGGCTTCTCTGTCGATTTCAATTGAATTCTTATTTTTTGTTTCGAACGCCTCACTTACTCGAGATTATAGATAGTGTAGTTGCGATTCTGAGCTTCTTCCACCCCTCCCGCCGAGATCACCAATTGCGTATAGCCATTGATGTCATCGAAGTGTGAGAGTTTCACGGCTCCTTTTGGGCTCAACAGCGTTATAAAGCGATTCGCAATGTTGTTGGAATCGACGCGAATTCTCATGGATGTCGTCAAATCGTAGACAGTGGCGACTGCAAGCAAATGTGGGCTCGATATGATTTGATCTACCCCCCGACAAAAAAAATTACCATGATTATCGCTCAATGGCACAAAGTAAATGATCGCCGGCTCGTTGGATGGGCTCTTTTCCGAATTTTTATTGATCAATGTGAAGCGGAGCACCGATTCGCCGTAGACCGGCAACTTTTCGCCATTCTCGCTAAAAACGTTGGAAGCATCGATTAAGCTGAAAATTTGGCTTTGGAAGGTCTATTAAAATGCTGGCCTAGGCAATTTTTATTCGAATCTGGAATCCCGTCGATGCCGATTTCAATATTTCGATCATAGCTTCGAGAGTCTTCTGTATTCGATGTCGCCACGTACACCTAGATGACGTCGTACATCTTCAATTAGATTAAGCTTACCACAGTATTCCTGGCGAAATCCAAGGTTAGTGTCGAATTTGGCTCGACATCGCTGGCGAACACGATTCGGCTCATTTGCTCCAGTGGAGCCGCATTTGAGAAATGGCATAGGCAAACGATGAGCAGAAGAAGCGAACGGCGGCGGCGGAGCATCGAGGTGTTCAAAAAGAAAAATGGCGGAATGGCTGACACAAATTTTCTATCGTTTATTTTTTTTTGTCAATATTGATGGGTGTGATAAGACGTCTCCAAAAATGCCGAAAATGGCAATTCAAATAAATAATACACATTTTTTTTGTGTTGGCGGGAAAATTCGATTTTTAAAAATCTTGCAAGAAACGAATTATGTCGTCGTGGAAATTTGAATTGCCGCTTTGGGTCTTGTGTGGAACCCAATTTTTAAAAGGATTGATGAATTTTACGAGTTAAGCGACTCAAAGAGAATTTGAAATTTCAACAAATTTTTGACATTCGGCAAAATTGAGCTAATTCCAAAATGAAAATCGATTTCAGCTCTTCCCCAATCATACATTTGTGATCTACGATGTGAACAGCGCCGATGAAGGCCTCTATTATTGTAATGTGAGCAATAAGTACGGAATCAATCGCGCGACGAATCGACTACAAGTCTACAGTAAGTTTTTGCCACCCTCGACTTATTTTTGATGTTTTGTTGTTCATTGCTGTTTTTTTCTTTTTTTGAAATGGCGTTTGAGCTGATAACATCATATAGTTGTGTGTGTGTGTCAACAAGTGAATCATCCCATTTTCAGAGCCCACATATTTTGTACGCATTCCGACGCCGAAACGATTGACATTGGAGGCTGGCGAAACGGCGGAGGTTCTGAACGAAGGGGGGGGGGTTGAGAGAATTTTGACTTTTTCTTTTGGTTTTCCAGGTGTTTTGTGAAGCGGTTTCCGATCCTCGCCTTCCAATCAAATATCAATGGACGATCAATGGCAAATTGCTCAATGAGTCGAAATATTATGAGTAAGGCCGACACTGCTGTTGTTTTTTTTTTCGTTTGAGCTCACTGAATCGCAAATTCCAGAATTCTACCGGATCGCCTCCGCTTCAAATCGGTTCGCGGACGGCACTCGGGTATCATCGATTGCGCGGCGATCACCGACGTCGACGTGAAGCTCGCCTCGATGCAGCTGATTGTCAAAGATGTGCCGGCGCATCCGATCACCGAGCCGGTGCACTGCACCGAGCGCAAAGCCTCGATCAAATGGGTGCCGGCGGCGGATCACGGCGACGCCATCAAAAAATATGTCGTCGAAATGTTCACCGATTTTAGAAAGGTGATTTTTGATTGTTCTTTTTTTCAACTCGGTTACGGTAGTTGACAATGTGTGCATTACACCGAACGCTTCAGGATAAATGGGAGGTGGTGTATGAGGAGATCAATGTGAACAAGGAGCACTTCGACGTCGACATCACCCTGACGCCATGGGTGAATTACACATTTCGCGTGATTGCTCTCAATTCGCACGGAAGGTCTGATTTGAAGATTGAAGGCCAAGGAAAAGGTAAACTATCGATGGCGACATTGGAATTTTGAATAATTTTCCAGAAGAATGGCTTACGTGTCAAACGCGTCCCTCATTCCCGTACACGAATCCGATAAATGTGAGAGGCGAAGGCACGGAGCCGGACAATCTGGTGATCTCGTGGAAGCCGCTGGATCGCTACTATTGGAACGCGCCCAACATGCAATATCTCGTCAAATACAAACTTGATGAGCCCGGACACGGATGGACGGAATTCCTGGTGGAAGACTCATTGGCGAACTTCACCATTATACGCGATCAGCCGACGTTTCGGCGGTATTTGATCAAAGTGCAAGCGGTGAACTCGATCGGGCCGAGTATTGTCGAGCCGGAGACGTTGATCGGTTATTCTGGAGAAGACGGTTTTTGAGTTTTAGGCAGCGAAAAATCAAATCAATCAGATTTTTTAGTTCCTGACGATCCGCCGTCAGATTTTCGAATCTCGCAGCATATCAATTTCACCACTATCAATTTCACTTGGAGTCCTGTCGATGCTTCAACGGTCAATGGGCACTTTTTGGGATATGAGGTTGTAATTTCACAACAAATCTAGATAATTTGTAATTTTGATTTGTTGGTTTCTTTTAGATTGAATATTGGAATGTCGAGAATCCCCTACGGAAGTATTCCGTTAGAATTCCGGCGAATCACACGTACAAGATTGTCACCGGATTCCAGGCGATCACCAATTATAGTGCTCATATTCGCACGAAGAATCGACGCCTTCGCAGTCGACCCAGCGATTTTGTGACGTTCTCGATGCCGGAAGGACGTAGGATGATTGTTGATTTAAAAAAAAAGCACTATCGAATTTTTTTAACCCAAAATTTGCAGCGCCCGGCAAAATTCACAATTTTCGCGTGCATTCGGTCGGCTCGACGGCGATGCTGCTCGAATGGGAGCCGCCAATTCAGCCGAATGGACGAATTCGCGGCTATTTCATCAAATTCCAGGATGAGCGAAGTGATTGCTGTTTCAAAACGCCTCCTGATTTCATTGTGTTTCAGATGAAACCGAAGAAACCTACGTCATCCATAAGCAGAGGCATTATCTCCATGAGAAGAGCAAACCGGATACCGGCTATCGGGTGTCGGTTTGGGCGGAGACGCGCGCCGGCGAAGGTCCGCCGACGCTGCGGCCGGTGAGAACGTGGCCGCCGCGCAATCCCGATCCGCCGGTGTTCAAAGTGACGAACATCAGTTTGGACGCGTTCACCGTCGAATGGTTGCCCAAGAATTTCAGCAATTGGAAAATGCCGGGCGCCGCGTTCTACTTGAATTACAGCGAGCATGGTAATTTCGAGAAAAAATGAAAACGTTTCGATTCTGTTCGATGTTCGAATTTGTTTTCACAGGATCGGTGATTTGGCAACAATCGGAGGTTGTCTATCTGCCCGAAACGAAGGTCGAGATTCGAGGACTCAAAGAGGACACCAAGTATTTTTTGCAAGGCGTCGCCAAGGATGGCGCCAGACAAAGTGAATCGATCTATTTGCCGATTCGGACCCACAATCGGGATTACGCGAATCGTCTTAAAGAAGGTTGATTGGTGCTATAAGCGATTTGGCAAAAAAAAATGTGGCGATTCTAGACTCGCTTCGAAACACCGCGTGGTTTATTGCGATTCTGGGAGCGTTGGGCATCGGCCTTTGCACAATTTGCTTGACATTCTTGTGCGGCAAACGGAATCGCGGCGAATCGAAATTCTCGATCAAGCGAAAGGTTGTAAAACGCGTCGGATGATCGTCGACGATAATCGAATTTTTGATTTAGGAGATTGAAATCAGCCATCAGCAGGATAATGAAGAGGAGAAACAATTTCTCGAGTATCAATACGGGTTCAAAAATTGACGATATCCTTGTGGTCAGGAAGTTTTGCTTACAATCAATGTCATATATAATATATATTTTGTTGCTTTTGTGAAATTGAATATAATAAAAAATGATTTAATCGATGAGATTGCAGCAGCATGAGCCCATCCAGGTGGATAGATAGACGCACGACATGCAAGTCACACAGTAGGAGCAGCAGGAGAAAATGCTCTGGCAGCAGTTGGCGGATTGTTGGGGTTGTTGTTGGTAGCTGCAAGAGTTTTTTTTTGGTCTTGCAGCGAATTTTGAACGAGACGCTTTATATGGAAAAAAGAAACAATTTCTGCATTGCCATTTTAGGAGGAATGCTCTTTTTTTGGTGAAAAGATGATTTCAAATGATAGCCAATTATGTGCAATATCAAAAAGAAATGTGATCTTTGATGTAAATCGCGGTGATCTACGAAATCGATAAGCGATTATGAATTACACGCGTTTTTGAAGATTACGTGAAGATTATGGCGAAAATCGAACAATTATGGGGGGCTGGTTGTCACATGCGTTGACACGTGGGTTGTCCTTTTTTGATTTTTGGAAATAAAACAATAGCGCTGAATATTCATAATAAATTACGGTGCTGGGAGGTTTCCATTAGTCTTCCATGCAAGTAAAAATAATTTGAAAGAAAAAGGAAAAATATGCCATCTGCCGACAATTTTCCGGTTTGCAACTTTTCTGACCGCACTTCACTGTTCTACTGTGTGTATCATCTATCATCAATGTGTGTGACATACAAAATACAGACAAGTGATTTCAACGCGGTGTATGAGGAACATTCTCGATCGTTGAAAAACAAACGTGTTGCCGCTGATAGTGCATTCGAAATTTGGCAAATAAAATTGAGGGCGAATTTCAGGTTTGCGTTTGTTGACCTTGCGATGCAATTGATATTAATTATCGCCTAATTATACTCACATTATTGTCGGCTGCTGTTGTGGATAGGGCTGCTGAGTGTGCACATAACCGTTTGGTGTGTTATAAGCGGGCTGCGATGGATAGAAAACCGGATTCGACGACATTTCCTCGAAAATGCGAATGAGCACTTTTCAACGTCTCGCGGACCATCGCCAAGCAACGAGGCCAGCCAAAAAAAAACAATAGAATTTCTAAACATCATTTTATTCTAACCGACAACACGCCTAGAAAATGAAACACCATATTCGACAAGTAGTAAGGCAAATTGAATAGCACCTATAAAAAAAACGAAAACGTACATATAAATGTATATTGATAAATATGAGAAAGTGATTACCCGATCGAGTAGCCAATTGAGCAATTTGCAAAAAAATGGTTCGACGACGAAAATGAAAAGAACAACACCCGATTTGAATGACAGTGCGTTGCGACCAGTTCCAAGTTTTTTTTTAATGGCAAAGGCAAGGTCATGGAGGCAAAAACGAACAATAATAATAAAGCTGATATTATATACTGAAGAACTAGGACTACGAAATTGTTGGCTTTTACTTTGTCACCGGCAAATTTTCATTGGTGCTCGTCATTTTCTCGGCGGACTTCGCCGACCGGGGATGTAGAATTGCGCGACGGCGCAGCACTCGTCGTCCGACTCATCCACAGATTTTCCCCAACGACGCTGCTGTCGACGTTGACTCGATCGCGGGCATGGGATTGCTGGAAGCTGACTACCCATGCGGCGATTGCTCATCGGACTCGTCGCGCCGAGACGCGGCGACGGCTTCTCGCCGGCGGCAATGTCGACGACATAATTATGACCGTCGTTGTTGTCCCAGAATTGTTGGCCGCCGACGGTGTATTGGACGCAAAACTCGCAGCGACCTGCCTGCAGAAAAAAAAACAAAAATTTGAATTAAGAAGAATTTTGAAGAAAAATTAAAAATGGCCGAACAAAAACTTAGGTCACGGCCATTAAATTTTTTTTAGTTTTCAAATTCATTGCTCACCTTAATTTTCAAGGGCACCGCTATAGTGAAATTGAAGGCGTCAATATCATCAGTGGCGAACATTCGATGACTATAAGCCGCTGGAATCTCATTCTGGCTGCTCCAATCATCAGTAGTGTAGCGTATAATAACCTATCAAATTTCAAGTAAGCTTCAAATTGCTAAAAACCAAAATCGTACATTCTTGTCAAAGGCAACATTCAACAAATTGACTTGTCCGACGATATTGGAACCTGCGGCGCGGAGTGCCGACACACATACTCGATCGGATCGCGTCTTATCATTGTACTCCTTCTCTGATCTATAGGTGAAGTTGGCGAGGACGAGTCGCGGTTGTCCGATGCTCATCACGACGCCATTGTTGAACGACGAGATGTGGATGTCGTCAAACGTCTGACTGAGGTCCTCCTCGACGACGAAATGATGATTCTCGAGGTCCAATCCGAGTGAGTCAGCGAATCGCACGCGCTTCTCGCATTGTTTCGAGCGCGATCGTCGAAGGGCCGATGGAAGGGTCTTCGAGCGACTGCTGCAAATCGAAAATTCACAATTAATAATTTCAAATGATTGCAAATGAGTGAGGGACCATCGAAGCGCCGGACGCCATAAATCATCGTCATCATCCGATTGCACCATCTAGTACTAGCAGCTCTATCGAATATTAGTGGCACGATGGAAGTAGTCGCGAGAATCATTGCAATTCCACGGATGCCAATATATTTAAGCGAAAAAATTGTTGATTTGTTGTTGTTGTTATTTGTTTGGGGGGCGGAGCGTCGTTGACCAGCGGACGCACGTGGAGGCGCGTGCAAAACGCGCCAAAATGCACGTAAATGTTCGACGAGATAGTTCGATGAGAGTCGAGAAACGGATAGAGAATGTGCGGGAAGACGAAAGAAACCGCTGTCTGCTTCAGACATCGCCGACAACAATACTATGACGCTCGGATTGACGTTGGGAATAATGGGGCGGAGACGGAGGGCACGTGGGGCGAGAATGATGTCAGAAGCTGATGCCCCCCCCCTCAAGATTCGTTTTGATTTTTGAAAATGATGCGAACCCGGAAGCATGTCGGCAGCTTGCACTTGTGATAAACGACTTGATGAAATTTAAAAAGAAAAAAAGCGGGATTAATATTCAATCAATGAAAAACAAATTTTTTGATGGTCCCACACCCAAAATCATCAATCAACCAACTCACAATCTCTCATTGAACTCGACGTTTCCGTCGTCGGACGAGAATCCCGAGTCGGGCGAGCACGGCTCCGACGAGCACGATTGCATCATGAGAAAATCGTCGACGTCGTCGCAGCCGACGAACTCGACGACCAAATTCGCCATCTTCTCGACGACAAGCAAGTCTGGACGTTGCTCGGCGGCAGTGTTGAGCATCTGCAATCGATGAGCACAATGAAGAGGCGGGGCGAGGAAAGAAAAAAAAAGTCGAAAAAAAAAACGGCAACAAAAAATCGAATCGTAAAAGGGTATTCGAGAGAGAGAGAGAGAGTGTGCGATTTGGAGAGACTGAGACATTTCCAACAGCACGATTAATTGAGGAACAAATGTAGATCAAAAATGTGATGGAGATCACGATGGCCGTCATCGGCAAATGCAGGCCCAGGATGATTGAGAAGTGCGATCGGTTGAATGCCTCTACCGTACGACATCGAATTTTGTTTGAGAGATGAGATGGTGAGGTGGGCGGAGCGTTCGGCGTCGGAAAAAAAAAGAAAATGTGTTTTGCAAGTCTTTTTGGTGGTGGGCGGAGCCTGGCCTGGTGAAATTGGAAGCGAGCAATGCAGCGATTGAAATAGGATTTCAGCGAAGGAGCCCTTTAAGAAGTGATGGCAGCCAAATCTTTGCTCTCTCGTGCAAACACACATTGATAGTAACCGGTTCGAGTGCTCATTCGCAATGCTTGAAACGGACCCCCCCCCCTCACCCACCAACGCACAATTGTATACAAACTGAATTATCTGGCGAACGACACCAATCGATATTGGGGTGGCGAGGTCGTTTGGGTGCAACTTGGTGGGTGGAGGTGATACGATAGAAAGATTTGGAGTGGATTGTCCGCAGCATGTATAATGGAAAATCGAAGGTGGCAATATATAATTGAATTGATATGCGATGCCCTATTGTGTCTGCGAATCGATCGAATAATGGGTTTTGTGTCCTTCGACACAAACAACGATGAAGCTGGCGATGGTTCACGTGCACAACTGTTTTCAATGATGATTTTTGCGAGATGATTCGAATTTTACACTGATAGTGTTTGCATAGAGTGCGAAAGATCAGAAAATGTGTGTGGTGGGGGGGTTGAATGGACTTTTTGGAAATGAAATCGGAGGGCTGAAGCACAATTTAATGGTCAATAGTTGACCGGAGCCAATCTTCCTCATTTTTTTGATAAGAAGCTTGATATATACGCACACCTTCAAAGAACGACCCGAAATTTCGCCTAGATGTTACATCACCCTGACAGCGGGGCAAGACACCAGCTGGCGCTGGCTGTGTGGGACCCTCGTATCGTGATGTTGGGTTTCACGTGAAACACGCGAGAAGCTGATGATACGGTAGCACGTGAAAACGCGCGATTCTCAAGATAAACACCAACGGCGGCAAACAATACCGAAAGGCTTCTTTTTTTTTTTTTTTCAACATTCCCACTTCTCTGGAACAATTCGAGGTGACAGGCCGACAAAGAAACTGAATTTTTGCTTCTTTTCAACTCTGTAATTTTTTTTTAAATTTTGAAGTGGCAAGGGTTGTTAGGGGGTTTGTGATTTATGGAAATCGTGCTGCGGACAAATTCAGGAGACAAATTTTGAAGCCAACTCATACCGACTATACTAGAGATTTATGGAAATCTAGCTGCGGACAAATTCAAGGGACAAAATTTTGGGGAGAGCTGATTATGCTATTCTAATTATATGAAAATCTTGCAGAAGAGAACAAAAGTTAAAACCATCTCGTAGCGACTATACTAGAGACTTATGAAAATCTTGCTGCGGACAATTTCAAAGAACAAATGTTGGAGTCAAGTCGCGCCTGCTATTCTAGAGATATATTAAAATCTTGCTGCGGACAATTTCAGGGGTGACAAAAGTTGAAACCAACTACTAGAGATTTATGGAAAAGGCGACAAACTAAACTGTCGACACATTTCGAAAAAGAAAATGGTGATGATGGATGAGGTGGTCCCGCGATCGCGCCGCTCCGCTACAGTACACCCAACACCCGTGAGGAGAGGTGTTGGGGGGACGCAATGAGACCTCATGAAACAACCAAGTCGAGACACGTGAACAAGTGCTCGTCGTCAGCCCAGCGGCGTCGAAATGAATCGGAATGACCGAGATTGGATGGGGGGGGGGGCGAGGAAGACCCGCTACCAAAACGCCTTCTTATCATAACATTTGTTTTATCAGTTGATATGGTGGCGTGTTCGGTCGTGGCCCTCGCAATTCATTTATATATATATATTTATGTACAATTAGATTCGATTCGTGACCAAAGAATTCGTTGGTTGGATGGATTCTTTGCGGTCATGCGCCTTTAAAGGTCCACTAAAAGATTGCCGAAGTTTCGAAATATCCGAGTTTGACGATAATTTGGTAAATGATATGGCATGCCCCTTTAAACTAAAACAAAAAAAAAATCAGATTTTCAATTAATTTTGAAAATTTCAAGACAACATCGTAAATTTTGGGATTGGTTTTTTTAGAAATGAGAAAAAATAAAAAATTCGCTTTAAAAATAGATATGAACATCAAGGAGATTTAAAGGCGCACGAGATATGTGGAATTTAATTTTTTATTCGATTTGGTTGCAGCTTAAAAGAAAATCAAATCGCAATTAAAAATGTCCGCAGATGGATAGCCTTGGTTTCGAACCGAAAGACCATTAACTGATATCTGACAACATATCCCATACATTGCGCGCGGATTACGGTAGATCGTGCAGGGCGTCACCGCGGCGGCGTTCTTTCCAAAAATCAACATGTTTATATCAATTTGATCAATTTTTGAACGACGCCGCCAAACAACGAAAAAAAGTAAAAAAAAAAATTTTGCCGGAGACGAGAGCGACAAAATTGTGAGTGAATATGGCTCGCAGGGGGGAGCATAATCAAATCGCTGATGCCGGGAGGGTCGGCTAGAGACGGAGAGGATGATGGATCTTGTTGTGACGGAGCACCAACTGTTCACCCGGTGTCTAAAACCCATTGAACGCTGCTTTTGATTTCTTTCGGTTTTTTTCGAGCTTCAAAAGTTGCCACACAGCTGCTGCATTGCGGACATTTCGGGTTCTTCGAGAACAATTTTGACGGGGCTGAAATACGATCGCTGAAAACCGAAACGAAACGCATTTCCCAATGGAATTGATGATCTCGAGTTTTATGTTGTTTTTCGAAATCATTGAAATGTTTTAATGAAGCGCGACCGCCAACCGGTCGCGAATAGCCATAAAAATGGATCAAAGACTTTTCCGTTTTTTTATTTCTTGATTCTGCAAAGAAAATGGCCGTGAGATTTGGAACGAATCTATTGGCCGGTCACTATAATTTTCTTGGTCATCTTCAGCGAAAATAAACACGCTTATCTGGCGATTTTCGACGCAAAGATGATGAGGTTTTGCGCGAAATTTCGTGAAAAAATAAAATTTGGCGTTACGGTAGGGAGATTGTACGCAAACACGGCAGCAGAATAGGGAACAAAGCGAGCGGCGATTTCTTTTTCCAATTTTTTTCTACCTAGTTTTCTAGAATTTTGTATGCTTATTAATGAATTTTATATTTTAAATATATTTCAATTCGACATAGCACAAAAACTAAATTGAATATTTATACTGTGTGTAAATATTGGCAGCATTTTAATGGTAAACAGTATTACGGTAGGAATTATCAGCGAGACATTATCAATTTCCCATCAAATTTGTTTTCGCCTTCTGCAAAAAATCTTGCAACACAATTTCTTCGTCGATTTCTCCAGAATGCTCCATTATTTGACAAATTTTGTTTATCGACGCCACATGTTACAATAGCAAAAACATCAATAAGTGAAGTTAAGCTGAACTCTGATATTTTGATTTTTCGGCGATGAAGACGACGAAGGGATAGAAATTCTCCGCGTTTGCTTTTTGCAGATAATACGAAATGAAGACGTTTTGCAGATTTATCGGGGGTCTCAAAACTCTATTGTATCCAAATATCGGTGATTTCAGCACCAATGTGCCAAAAATTCAAATGTGCGAAAAACGCGTCAGGTCACGCGGAATGTGCCAGTGTCACATGACTTGCCCATTTCGCGTCGTTTCTTGGCGTTTCGAATTCATTCTTTCTGCGCGTGTTGTTTCGTCATGTTGTCGTTATCTGTTTATGTTTTTCCCCTATTAATTATTTTATTTTTTTCCAGACAAAATGCCAAAGTACTATTGCGATTATTGCGACACATTCCTCACGCACGATTCGCCGTCGGTTCGAAAGACGCACAATGGCGGAAGAAAGCATAAAGATAACGTGAGACAATACTATCAGGTAGCAATTTATTCCGAAATATTGTTTCTATTATTTATTTTGTAGACATGGATGGAGGACCAAGCCCAGAAACTCGTCGATCAGACAGCGAGAGCATTTGCAACAAACAGGGTATGAAAATTATTTAATTAATAATTTCATTTAAAATCATTTTTTAGATGGGTGGCGCTGTTCCGCGAACAACAATGGGAATGTCGGCAATGCCGCCACTTCCACGACCAATGGGAATGCCGCCACTTCCAATTCCAGGCCGTCCGCCATTCCCAATGGCATTCCCACCAGGACCACTTCCGCCAGGATTCCCAGCCGCGCCGATGATTCCAGCCGCCGGGCTCGCTCCACCAGGAATGGCGGCTCTTTTGCCACCGCGTGGCGCACCGGCACCATTCCGTCAAATGTGATCTCGGAACCTCTTGTAACTATATTTATTGATTCCATTCATTGTTATTAATAATCTATGAATAATAAAGCTGAAAATCAAATCATCTCGATGTTGTGTAGTTGGTCGACAACCGAAACTATCTTCAATGAGAAAAATGAAATGAAGAAGATGAAAAAAAAAGAAATAAATTAAAGATGGGCGACGACGAGCGGCGCCTGCAGCGGGAAATCATAAAAACGTTCCAGATGAACGCGTTTGAGCTGAAACGCGAAGCTGTCAATCTTTGTGCTCAGCTTTTCGCCGGTCATGATAAAGATCGAAGGCAGAGATGGATGGCGAAAATGATTGAAGTGCTTAAAAAGCAGTCGTGTAAGCGAAAAAGTCGAATGTTCTCAAAAATTTCATTCATATAGTAAAATCTTCGCTGGTGTCCGAAGAAGTGATCCGCGACGTTTTTCGCCAATGTAAATCCAAAGGAGCACAGGACCCGTAAGCTCAATCCCCTTTTTTTGGTCTTTACATTATTTTAATGCCATGTTTTCTAGTGGCAAACTTCTCAATGTCTTTGACGCATTTTCCTTAAAAGCATTCGACTACGATCAGGATTTGAAGAAAATGGTTTTGAGGTATATATCATAAATATATACGACGAAAAATTTGAATTGTCGCTTTAGGTCTTGTATGGAAAATTATACTTAATTTTTTTTTCGAAGTTTTGAATTGTGTGTGTGTTTTTTTAAGTTCTTTTTGTTTTTGCGGCTCGCACCTAAAAATTCGAAGGTTATCGACTAAATAATATAGATTTACGGGCTGAATGAAATTATAGGCGCATACACCACGCAGCTCTTTTTTTTCCGTAGTTCCCAATTTTCAAACAATGATTTCTGGAATATTTTTGGAAAATACATCGTCAAAAAAAAATTTTTTTGGGAATTGCCTGCGAACAATGAACTAAATGCCAAAAAAATCGATGGCGAAAAATGAAAGGTGTAGATTTACGGGCTGGTTAAAGGCGCACACCACGTGTCACTATGACCTTTCCCTGAAATATTCGGATTAGAATCTTAAAGATTCTTTCAGGGAACGAAAACCGACGATCGCTTGCGATTCCAGCTCGTTCACGAGTGCGGCCAAACAGCGATTCTTGCTAGTCAAACAGGTAGAACAATTTGAAATCAATTGTTCATTGGTTGAACCATTTTTGTTCTGAAAGTCGCTTCTCAAATTTTCAGCGCGCCAGCCGTTGCGCTTCACTGAAAAACATCAAATTCACCACTTGCGAATGCCTGCTGAGCTCGAACAAGACGATACCGAGTGTGGTGATACTCGGAATGCTCACACAACAAAAAGTAGGGGACAGCGGAAATTGATTTTTTTTGTTGAGAAAAATTAATTTTTTCAAATTTCTTTAGGCGGATTGTTTCCATATTGAGGATTTGACAGGCTCGATTGAAGTCGAATTCAAAGAAGACACCCGATTCCACCACGCGCTATTCCATGAGAACTCCATAGCGATTTTTGAGGTTTCTTTTCTGTGTTTTTTTTTTTTAAATTTAATTCTTCTAAATCTAGGGCAACTTCGAATATGGCGTTCTAAAGGTGAACGAAGTGGCGCTGGTGCCTGTCGAGTCTGCGGAAATCACAAGAAAAGAGCTGAGCTCGAATGAGAATTGGTTTGGCGGCGATGAGAAGGTAGTGGATGATTGGAAGCTTCTCGGATCTAATATGTGTGCGCTTTTTTTTTGAAGATCGCGTTCCGATGCAGCGATCGCCACCGTGCCGCCCTTCTTCAACACCCCGACAGCGCGATCATCATGGTGTCCGACGTATTTCTGGATGATGAGCGCGTGTTGAAGGGCATTTTCGCGCTTCTCGAAGGCTATTCGCAAATTCCGCCGATCGCGTTCGTCTTCTGCGGCAACTTTTGCTCGCAACCGCGTCAGAAGGAGACGATGGCGTTGATGGATCGCGGATTCCGATGGTAGAATGATTCCTGAAAAACGAAACGTTGGTATTTTTTCTTGAGGCTTGCCAATCAACTAAACGAGTTCAAAGAAGCGTATCAGAAGACGCAATTCATTTTCGTGCCGGGACCCGATGATCCGCTAGTCGACATGGTGAGAGAGCGTTTTGTGTGCAACGATGACGAATCGGAATGGAATTCGCCGAAATTCAGCTGTCCCGTGCAATGATGCGAAAATTGTTTCCACCGATTTCAGGTGTTGCCGCGTCCGAATCTCCCATCGTCGCTGTTCAAACACGTGTCGGCCGTCGTGAATTGCACGTTCGCCAGCAATCCGGCGCGAATTCAATACGCGTGTCGTGAGATCGTCGTGTTTCGCGGCGACGCCATCAAAAAAATGTGCAGGTGAAGGGAAAAAAAAGATGCAAAAACAAAACAATTTGCGAATGAGTGCAAGCCGTGCTGAAAATGATATCGTTTTGTAGGCATTCGATCAACAAAATCGCGGCCGACACGATACCGGCGAGATACGCGAAAAGTGTTTTGAGTCAGGTTCGATGAAAGCCGACACGACAGAGATGACTCGGTTGTATTCTGTTTTAGGCGCACCTCTCGCCGCTTCCCAATCATATCCAACCGGTGTTGCCCGATTATAGTCATGCGTTGGCACTTCATCCGCTTCCCGACCTTCTTGTCGTCGCTGATCGCTTTGAGGCGTTCACCGAATCGGTGACGGGTTCCGGTAGGCGTTTGATCGTGTATTATCGAATCAATGAGAAAGACAAGACGAAAAGAATAGAAAAGTTGTTTATTCGTAAATTGCATTTAGTTTTTCGATAATCAGAAATCGCGTCGGGCCGCCGGTGTTCGAAAATCGGCCAATAATTGTTGTTGTTGTCTGGAATGCAGAGTACTTTCGTAAATGTTGCAAACGCGCGCCATCGTGAACTTTTCGCGATGTCTATTTTGGGCGCGATATAATTTGAATATTTCAAACTATGGCATTTGCCCGTCTTGCAGATAAACATTGGAGAATAATTAAATTGGGACCCCGACGTGCAAAAGCGGGTTGTTTAATAATAGGCATCGGCGAAACGACAAAAAAAATATAAATGAGTGGAATTTTTGTTTTGTTTAATCGCCGCCCAAGTGCAAAATTGAATGAAATCGAAATTTCTCGTCATAGTTGATTTGATTACTTGAAAAAAATTGTTTTGTGTTGATTTTCGTCAAAAAAAATGCTATACACTTTTGTTTGGTTTTGATTTTTTTTGTTGAAGATTTCAATTTCAGGCTGCATTGTGACGAATCCAGGATCATTCTCGCGAAGCAACTTCACGTTCCAAGTGTATTATCCGAATCAGGGAAAAGTTGAAGCTTCTCAGATTCCGGCGAATTGAAATCGTTGTAATTATTTTGTTGAATCCTCACATTCCTTCCCATATCGACGAGTTGCTTTTCGATGATTTCATTAATTCACCACGTTTCTCACTGTATCTCATGTATTTTAAAGGAAATAAACTGAAGTACACCAAAGGGTTTCGGGATGCCAGAAAAAGGAAACCGCGCGAGCACCATTAACTTGCTATTTTTCACCTGAAAACGCCGCTTCTGACTTTTCGTGTTTTCATTTTTGTCAGAAACTGACGTGCGCCGAATGCACATTTTCTTCATATATACATAAATTTATTAATATTTTGCATGATATCACAATTCCTTTTGTGTGGAATTGGTCGAGTGGCAGGTGGAAATTCATCGCTATATAAGGCCGCGCGCCGATGGTTGGCCGCCAAAGCCGCGCCACATTTTTATTTTAGTGCATCTCCCTTCATTCGTCACGCTTTGATCTACCGCAGTCTACAGTAGTAGCTGTGTGTGTCGTTTTGATAGCTCAATCCCGTTCATTTATTTTTTGGCGGCATTATTATATTAAATGCCTTTTTAATTATGCATAGCATAAATTAATATTTAAGGCATTTTTGCAGGGTACACACACACAAAAAAAGTACGGAAATGTTGAGAAACGGCTCACTTCTTCTGTGTGTCGCCGTCGTTTTGGCGATTGTTGCGTTGGGCTCGGCGAACGTCGCGCTTGGAAGGTAATTAGCGATAATTTGGAGCCGAGGCTAATTAGCCAATTTTGAATGGACATGAAGCCGGCTGGAAAGCGAAACGCGGCGCCGAATATTGTGGTGAATCGTCGGACGCCTCAGGACGGTGAGAATTCAGTGGTCCGTTGAGAGTTTGTTGAGAATTGACGTTTGCAGACCGCACGTGTAATCTGAACACGTTCGCGATGCTGCAGAGCCGCTATGAGCAGCTGCAGGAGGAGCTGGACGAGATCGTCGTGCTCATGGAGACGTGCCAATTCGTTCGCGCCGCGCGTTGACAAGTTGTACATTGGCTTTTATTTCTGAGCAAATAATCAGCATAATAAATTATACGATAATAGTTAATAACACAACAGGAATAATCAATAGGTAACAAACAAAAAAAAGGTGTGTGAGTGAGAGAGAGGTGTGCTCGTTAGCACTGTTCAGACACGCCCATTGATGCAATATTTGTGATTGTTACAACGATGATCAATCATTATTAACATTGTGGCTCGCTATGAACTATTGCTTTTTCTATTTGTATTTTTGTTGATTTTATAACTTACTTATATTTTATTCTTGCCTCGTTTATTAAATAAAAGGTTTAATTACCCAAGTTTGAGGTGTCAAAACATTGGTGCATCGACAATTCGAACTTGGACGCAAACGTGTGCAGCAGAGAAGCCACTCAGCTGTTAAGTGGAACGTTTGAAGTCGACGACATTGGTGTGAAGTCGAAGACATTGGTGGGACGTCGAAGACATTGGTGTGAAGTCGAAGACATTGGTGTGACGTCGAAGACATTGTTGTGAAGTCGAAGACATTGGTGTGACGTCGAAGACATTGGTGTGACGTCGAAGACATTGGTGTGACGTCGAAGACATTGTTGAAGACATTGGTGTGACGTCAAGAATTGGCTGGACGTAGAAGTTGGATAATTTTTGGACGACTTGGTTATCACCCTGACAACAAGTGATACGGAGCTTTGGAAGCTCACCAGTTTGCCTGGGTTTGGAAACCAACTGGTTATCGCGGACGACAAGCGGAGTCGAGCAGTGCAAATTTAACAAGTCAGTTTATTTACGATAGATTCACCCTGTTCTTCCTTTTTTTTTTTGAGATAATCTTGAATAGTTCTAACATTTGTTTATTTTCCAAATTCGTGTTGTTACCACGTAGGCCTGAGGGATCTAGTTCGGAAAAGCCGACGGCTATAGGATTCAGAAAACTTCCGGAATTGCAATACATTCACGAAATTGCATCATCTTTTATTTTCTAATATCTTTTTCTTATCTTATCGATTCAGCTCAATATTAATCATCCCTATAACGCTAAAAATAATTGGATTTCTGGTTGCCCGTTATAATTGCATGACTAACATATAACTTTGCTGACAAAATGTCAAGTCTGTCGAGTCTGTTGGGGCTATGTACCAAGGCAGAAAAATTGTTTGAAGAAGAGTATTTAAAATTAGTTGCTAAGCAAGGAGTATGGGAGAGTGTAGCTAGAAACCATGAAGCGTTGGAAGAACTGGTGGATGAGATAGAAGAAGAAATGTATAAGATGGAAACTCTAGCAACGAAGGTACAAACAAGGTTGGATAAGTTGGTTGAGACGATAGATGAGCTTGAGGAAACGACACAAGAGGACGAAATAAAAGTGAAAACCAAAATGATGAAGAACGAAGAAATTCAAGACAAAACTGATCGCATGACAAACTTGTACCGACCGAAATTATTCACACTGAAGAAGAAGTTGAAAGCAAACACAGGAGATACAAGAAGACAAAATGTTACGGGAAACAAACCGTTGAACATCGGACTATCAGAAATACGAATACCAGAATTTCATGGGAATCCAAATGAATTCGTTGCATTTTGGACCATATTTGAAGAAGCCGTTCATATGAATGACAATATGTCAAATGTGTTGAAATTTTCATACTTGATGAATGCATTGAAAGGAAAAGCAAAGATTGCTGCAAGCAGATTCCCAGTAACCAATGAAAACTATCCGCAAGCAATTGCCTTTATCAAGGAGAAATTTGGAAACGACAAAATACGAGTGAAAGAATTGGGAAAACAACTCAAGAATTGTAAAGCACAGTCGAGTAAGATCGAAGATCAACAGATGTTATTCGACGAAGTAGCGGCAACTTTGAATCAATTGGAAACTAGCGGAGAAGCAATGGATATCGAAATGACCAGAGAATTGATTACGAAGAAATTCTCGCGAGAGATCCAAAAAAGTGTCTACCGAATGCGTGAAGAATCACCGGAAGATTGGAATTTGACCACACTGATGAAAAGCCTGGAAAAGACTTTGAAAACGGAAGCGAATGTTGAGAACGACTGTGAAAACGAACAGGTCAGAGAAGTGAAACAAAATGTGGTTCGAAGAAATATAGTTAACGAAAAACAATTCCGGTGTTATTTCTGTGAGAAAAATCACCGCGCAGACAATTGTCTTAATTATTCTTCTATTGATGAGAAATGGAAACGAATTAAGGAGCTCAAAAATTGTTTTAATTGTTTAAAATCTGGGCATTCCTCAAGAGAATGCAGAAGCGAGAAATGCAGAAACTGTCAAAGAAGTCATCATCGATTGTTGTGCAAAAACATAAATAACAGGAACAATAAAGCACAAAAAACAACAGCGAAGAAGAAAAATGACGGAGGGAGTCATCAAAACGTTTCAATACCAGTACGACAGGAAGATCAACGAGAAGTCAGTCGAACACGTCAAGCACATCAAAATTTTGTGAATGGGACAGGCGACAGCTATTTACCTACAGTTCAGATGTGGGGATACAGCCCAGCAACGTCGGAGTGGAAAAAAATCGTCGTGATGCTTGATTCTGGAGCGAATTCGACATATGTGAAAAAGTCAATCGTAGAAGACTGGCAATTGGAGATGATTCGCGAAGAATGGGTGAAACTACAAACATTCGGACAAATCGCGAAGAATCCAGAAAAATACCAAGTTGCAAAAATATTGATAGACAAAGGAAACAACCAAAGAATTGAAGTTGAAGCGACAGTAAAAGATTATCTTGTGGAACCAATCGATAAACCAGTGCTGGATGACCGTGATTTAAAGTTCCTGGAAGACGAAGGTATCACTATCAATCCGGAATGCTTAAAAACAATATCAGATCCCGATGTAGTTGTTGGTAATGATTACATTTATGAATTCTGGATGCAGCACACACTTCCATCAGGATTGACATACATCTTAACCACAAATGGTGCAGTAATCACTGGACGTAGAGCTGACCATGATGATATGAAGATGAAACAGGAAAACTCGACACGACGAGTGAATACGGTAGTGCGCAACGTCGTAGAAAACGTCATTGAATTTGAAGAAATGAAACAAGGAGAAATCGCTGGACCAGTGAATGACGAAGTTCACCAAGAAAATGAATTGGTACTAAAACGAATTGAAGATACAATGGAAAAACGAAGTGATGGATATTATGTGGAGCTACCGTGGAAGGACGGAGCTGAGACTCTACCAACAAACTTCACATTAGCATTAAAAAGATTGGAAAGTGTTTTCAGATCCTACCCTATTGAAATACTACGTAAGATTGACGAAATTTTTAAAACACAGTTGAATCAAGGAGTGTTAGAAACAGTCGGGAATCCGGAAAAGTCAGAAGGAATTGTTCATTACAACCCTCATCGTCCAGTGATCACACCAACCAAACATACAACGAAGGTTCGAGTAGTAATTGACGGTTCAGCACACTACAAGAATGAGTCTTCACTGAACGATTATCTTTTTCAAGGACCAACAATGATGCCTTCATTGACAGGAGTTTTAACACGGTTTCGAACAGGAGAAGTAGCCATCGCGGCGGATGTTGAAAAGGCTTTCTTAAACGTCCGAGTCATAGAAAGAGACCGAGACGCAACGAGATGTCTTTGGGTCAAAGAGGTTGAGAAGAGCATGACACCCGAAAACATGCTAATTGTTCGATTCACTCGAGTAATATTTGGACTAAACTGTTCACCATTTTTGCTAGCAGCAACGATTCATAATCACTTGACAAAAGATAAAGAAACCCCTGAAATCGCGCAATCAATTTGGGAAAACTGTTATGTTGACAATGTAATCTTGACAACTGATTCATCAGGAACGGATATATACAAACAATGCAAGCGTCTGTTTAATGAACAAAATATGAATATACGCGAATTCATGTCGAATTCGAAGGAATTCATGGATTTCGTTGCAGAAAAAGACCGATCAACTGACGAAAACCCGAAGATTTTAGGAATTTCTTGGAACTGTGATCAAGATGAATTGACGTTCCGATGTAACATCAAAGACGAAGCCGATGGGAAGGTGACGAAAAGAATCGTATCACAAGCAATTGGAGCAGTATACGACCCGATGGGAATACTTTCACCTCTTATGCTGCCGCTGAAACTTTTTTTGAGAAAATTATGGAATCGAAATTTGACGTGGGATCAAACACTTGACGAAGATCTACAACTTGAATGGGACACTATTAAGCAGCAAGCAAATGGATTTTCGAAAACATTGCCAAGGAAAATCATGCCGAAACATGGGCCAATGAAAATAATTGTTTTTGCTGATGCAAACATCAATGCAACTGCAGCGTGTATTTACGTGATTGATTCGGAAGCACATCTATTGCGCGCAAAGCAGAAGCTAATTCCGAAGGATGATGTATGGACGATTCCAAAATCGGAAATGACCGCGATTCGAAATGCATGCGAATTGGCGAAAGAAGTTTTACATGATTTACAAGAAGGATCGAAATTTGTGGAACATCTCATAATTTTTTCGGATAGCGACATGCCCATTGATGCAATATTTGTGATTGTTACAACGATGATCAATCATTATTAACATTGTGGCTCGCTATGAACTATTGCTTTTTCTATTTGTATTTTTGTTGATTTTATAACTTACTTATATTTTATTCTTGCCTCGTTTATTAAATAAAAGGTTTAATTACCCAAGTTTGAGGTGTCAAAACAAGAGGCACCGTTTCTCTTTTTGCGTGGATGAATGCAAAAATAAAGATGATTTGTTTTGGAACGGCGATTGGGCACAAAATAAAAAAGAATCACTGGCAATGCAAAAAAATGGGGTCTAGACTCGGGAAGTCGAAAACACGGCGTTTCGCGCGCCAGCGCGCAACTTAACGACTTAACTCCAACGCACCTCAACGTCTCCAGGCGTCAAGTGCATATAAAAAACCGCATATGCAACTTCCCGAAGACTAAACGAAATGCGTAGTACCCCGCAAATTATTTCGATACTGTGGCTACAATAAAATTAAAGGCGCATGGAGCAAATATTCAATAATACAAGCAATGTAGACACAATTTGTTGAGCACCTATTATTAAAGGATTATTAACAAAGCATAAAAAGAAATGGTTTGAAAGAAAAGTTTGAGATTCATAGTGAAAGACGGTTTCCAAAAAGTATGGACAAAAAGAGTAGATCAAATCTATAGTATACTCTTGTGTTGGCCGGGATGCGTTCGCTGATGATAATCCGGCGTCGGAATCACGATGGTCTGTATACGTCTGAAAAATAATCGAATTTTTTTGGAAACCAATTTCAAAGTTCTTTTAGAGGGGTGGAAAATTGTAAGTTAGAAGGCCACACGTTAAAAAACCAAAAAAATTGAGAACCAAATAAAGCCATAGAGAAAAAAAATAACAAAAGAGAAGAAGGCCTCCCGCTTCGAGATTATCTCTTACTTGTGGTTCGCGGTAAATTCGATGGTAGGATTACACGACTGCAATGATGTTTTTTTTTTTTGGTTTTAGATATTATTTCTTTTCCAATTTTTTTTTGGTGAAAATATGATTTTGACTCACTTTGTTACTGGATCTAATCGACCTGACGGGTTTATTGCGTACATTGATTCCTCTATGCTGAAATTTACACGTTGAATTTTTGTTGGGGTTTCCTATACGCAATTAGCACGCGCGACAATAGTGGTTCACATGTGCTTTAGGAAAACTTTTGGGCTGGCGCGCGAGTGTCCCGGGTTCGCCCCGACCCCTCACACTCACCTAAAGTCACCTTCATACGCTGTGCTTCCCGGCGGCCTTCCGTACCCATACGTTCGATAGCCCTGCTGGCCGTTGTTGTTGGCGTTTCGCGCCGTTGGCGCGCCCATCGAGCCGCTCTTCATCGTCAGATCCTCGTCGGAAATCGGCATCTCCAACATTTGCGTCTCGTAGATTTTGTCGAGTCGCGCCGCGTCCATCGGCGGCATGTTCGGCAGATAGACGGTGTGCGGCGGCATCGCGCCGCCCACTTTTTGCGGGTACGAATGCGAGAAGTTGGACGAGTGGCGCTGCGAGTCCTTGTAGCGATTCCAGAAGATGCACACCGCGCAGATGCCGACGAGCGCGCCGACGGCGATCACCACCGCCAATATGATGAGCACTGCAAAAAGGCAGGCTTTTGATCTACCCTCCCCCAATTATCATGGTCCCTTACAAATGCTGGCCGTCTTCCAGTTCGTCGGCAGAATGCCAACGCTCGACATCGCGCCCTCATCGCCAGCGTCCTCGGAGATGCGCTCCAATCGGAACCACGGTTGCACTTTGCCGGCAATCAGCTGCACGTTCGCCGGCTCGAACAGCTTCCTGCAAAAATGGATTTCTCGATGCGCGTGATCCGTCCGGATCTCACCTTAGATCTTGCTTCTTGCAAATCTTCTTCGTCGTCGGATTCACCGCATACCAATAGACGTCGGTGCGAATTTGGTTCTCGATCGCCGTGTGCTCGATCATCTTCTCGATCGTCAGCAGATTGCAAGCGCCGGTGAATTGTCGCGTCGATTTGATCATGTCCTTCTCATGCTTCTTGAGCTGCTGCGGATTCAGACCGTAGATGATCATCTTGAATCGATTCGACGAGCCGATGATGTTGACGACGACGTCGGCCTTCGAGCACAACTGTTGGCCGGATATCGGCGAATCGCACGCCGACACGCGGAACTCGAAGAATTGCACACGATTGCGTTGAAGGATCGTCGCCATACTCTGCTTCGTGCTGATCTCGCCGAACGGGCTGATCGAGAAGTATTTGGAATGCGCCGATAGCGGATCGAGCGCGTAGTTCACCAAACTGCTATTGCCGAGATCGGCGTCGTCGGCTTTGACAGTGAGCACGCGTGTGAACGCGTTGGCCGTCGACGACACGGCGCCGAAGAACGTCGACAGACCCAAATCGGAATCATAGACGAATCGCGGCACGTTGTCGTTGACGTCGAGCACGGTGATGGCGACGAGCGCGTAATCGGTTTGCGCGCCCGACGTCACGGTGACGTTGAGCAGATAGCGTTCGACCGTCTCGCGATCGAGCTCCATTTGCGTGCGCAGCTCGCAGTTGCCGTCGTTGCCGGCGGTGACGCCGAACGCGCCGCGATAATTGCCCGACACGATGTTGCAGATGATGAAGCGCGTGTCGGTTGGCTTGTTGACGACCGACAGAATCTGGACGAGATGCGGCGGTCGGACAGCTTCTGACACCGACGCTCTGGAATCGACGAGATTGCGAAGGTCGGTCGCGATCGAGAAACGAGGAACTCACGTGTAATTCCGCAGACTGAACTGAATCTCGCCGGCGTTGGGCGTGTTCGACACCGGACTCGCGTCGGGAATCAAATGCGAGCTTGTCGGCACCACGTTGATCAGCACAGTGGCCGTCGAGGACAGCGGCGGCATTCCGCTATCGGCGCCTTCAATCCGCAACGTGATCTTCTCGCCGGCGAACGCGTCGATCGGCCGCGCCAGCGTGATCAGACCGCTTTCGGCGTTCACGTTGAAGTGGGCTTCGAGGCCGCCGGCGCTCACCAAGCGATACCTTATTCGATTATTCGGGTCCTGAAAATGTCCGATGTCCAAAAGAAGCAATATCGAATCGGAGGCTTACATCGCGATCCTGATCGAACGCGGCCACCTGACCGACAATCGTGCCGGGCAGCGTGTCCTCGTTGACGTCAAACTCGTAGTTGGCGCTCTCGAAGTTCGGTATCCAATCATTCTTGTCGCCGACATTGATGGTGATGCTGACGAAGTGCGCCAACTTCGGATCGACGTCGAGCGATTGCGCTTCCGACGTCGACACCTGAATCGTCACCGTTGAATCGGTTTCGGCGTCGAGCGGCTTCAACAGGTTCACCGAGCCCGAATAGCTCGACACGCTGAACATTGTCGGATCGCCTTTGTGGAGAACGTAGGTGACGACGCCCGGATGGCCGTCGGGATACGTCGCGTGCGCTTTCGTGATCTCGACGTTCGACTCATTCTCATCGACTTGGACGGTGATTTGAGACGGCTTGAAGACCGGCGCCAGACGCTTCTGCTGCTCGACGGTTGTCGTTGTTGGCGACGGCGTCGTCGCCGTGGTCTCCTGAAATACTCGACGGTTACAATCCGAGAGATCATGGCCGGGGTGTAATCTGATGGCTGGGTGTGTGGGTGTGAGCAGTGCACACATGGTTGTGAAATGGTCAAGAGAACCTCGTCGATCTCCTCGTGCTCCTCTTGACCAAAATTGTCGGTGGTGCTCATCGGCGACTCGTGCTCATTCTCATGCGTACTCGCCTCAATCGGCACCAGCTCCTGATAATCGGGAGCCGCTTGCGTTGTTGTTGTCGACGGCGACGCGATCTGGTGAAGCTCATCCTCGTCATCATCATCATCCTCACCACCCTCATCATCATCATCATCATGATCGTCGTCCTCGTCAGTCTAAAGGGAACAAAAAGCAACATAAAAGGCAGCGGAGACGAATCAAAACAAAAACGAATGGGAGAGGAAGCGGTGGGGGAGGGGAAGCAGCGAAACTTGCGTGACTTACCTGACGATTCGGATTGATCGTTGGGAATTGCGGGAACTCGGGCTCGACGGTCTTGTTCGGCTCGGGTTGCGGGAACGATGAGAACGATTTGGGCGAGCTCGTCGGCTCCTCCTCCTCCTCGACGCTTGAGGTGTACTCGAAAATTTCGTTCTGCAACACCCACGATTCATTGCCGGTCACCATAGGGCCTACCGTTGGCGCCGCCGTCGCCATTGTGATCAATGTGCCGAACACGGAGATCTGAACGTCGGCGCGTGTCTCGAGCGGCGGATCGCCGTGATCGCGCGCCACCACAACGATGTTGTGCTCGCCGAAGTGGGCGGCGTTGAAGTCGCCGTTCACGCTGATCACACCATCGTTCGAAATGGCGAACAGTCTAGAATTGGTGTCGATTCCGATAATGGGAGACGCTTACTTGTTGTGCGGCGGCATGATCCTCAACTCCAATCGGCCATTGTCATCGGCATCGGCGTCTTCGACGCCAACCTTGCCAATGATCATGTTGGCCGTCAGCTGTTCGATGTCGTCGACGCTGAGACGTAGGCGAATCGGCGCTTCATCGGTGAACACCGGCGCGTTGTCATTGACATCCTGAATCACGGAATAGCGAGAATCGCGAATTACAAATCGCATACCAGGACGGTTATCTGCACCAGCGTCCAATATAGATGCTGGTCAGGATTCCGACTGCGCGTCTCGACTTGCAATGAGTACATGGCGGTCTTCTCGCGATCCAAATAATCGGCGGTGACGATGGTGCCCCTAAAATGAAGAAAAAGCCATTATGATCGAAATGGTCCCTCCCCGCAATACTCACATGTCATCGACGGCGAACTTTCCTTCCTCGTTGCCGCCGACAATATTGAAGTAGGTCAGCTGACTGGAATCGTCGCTTCCCAACGACACCACGACGGTGTTCGGCGGCGTGTTCTCGTTGACCTCGGTGACGAACGTCTGAATCGTCTCCTCGGACTCGGCGCTCGACGGCGTCGTCGTCGCGATCGTGTGCGGTCGGAACGTCTCCATTCCGGGCAGCGGCGCCAGCGAGGAGAACGTGACGATCGTCGGATCGGCGGCGAGCACGATGACGATCGCCTGCGAGCTTCGACCGCCGCCGTCGACGGCGTCGATCACCACCTGATAGCGTTCGCCGGGCACCAGATCGCCGACGGCGACGAGCATATTCGTGTCGGCGTCGTAGCGAAAATGCGATTCGGCGCCGTTCGTCACCTGCGCAATCGTGTAGGTCACCGCGCCGAACGCGCCCGAATCCGCATCGCTCGCGACGACCTTGACAATCGGACGAGCGTCGCCGAACGCGCTCACGTTCGCCATATAGATCGGCTGCTCGAATTGCGGTGAATTGTCGTTGACGTCAAGAATATGAATGGTGATGGTGACGGGCTCGCTTCGACGCACCGGAATCGTGTTCACCTCGCGCGCTTCAACGTTCAGCTGGTACGTCGACGGATTCGGCGGATCGGCATCGATCTTCGGCACGTTCAGATAGACGTATCCGCGTTGATCGACGGCGAATATGGTGGCGCCCAAGCCGGTGAGAATGTACTGATAGGTGGCCGGCGGCATTCCGGGTTGCTGCAAAAAAAACATGGAAAAATCAGAAGGCAGTTGAGTTCAAACACCTACCAGATCCTCATCATTGACAAGAATCTGCAGCGATTCGGATTGCATGTTCGGCGAGACGCGAACCGTCGTGCCGATTTCGGCCGTCTCCGGCAAAAATCCCTCGGTCGATGAGACCTGCAGAACCGGCGCGTAGTTGGACGGAATCGGTGTGTCGACGATTTGCGATCGACTCGAATCGATCAACGACGCCATGAGAATGACAATCGCGATAGTAGTCGATTGGCGAGATTTCTTCGATTTCATCGCTAGTCACATTAAGGAGGTCGACAACGATTCTACAACAAAAAAAATAAGAATGTTCGAAGAAGGAAAAGTGGGCGGAGTCGGACATTTCAAAAAATTGGTATCAATTTGAGAGCAAAAAAAACAAGTGTTGAGCAATTCGAGTATAGTTTCTCGGTGAGAACCGTCGTCAGCTCACCTCGGGCGGACTTGGGTTCGTGTGTCGATTGTCTGCCACCCTACGCGAATCGCGTGCTCTTCGCACACGGGCGAAAGTGTTTTGAAACCTCGCTGCGGTTGGTCAAAAGACAAACAAAACCAATTTTGGGAGGTGGTAGCCGAGATGGTTGGGGGGGGGGGGCTCTTCATAAGGAGTCGGCGGGGAAAAAAAAACAACGGCTGTCGTCGATGAGATAGTGCTAATGAGCAGGCGAGCATTTCTGCCCCTTCAAAAAAAAAAACAATGCGAAAACGAAACACAAATAGACGAGCAAAATCACGGTGAAAGCTTCTTCTCGTTTAAATTGAGGGGGGGAGGTGTTTTACAATGCTAATTGCTCATCGCTGCCCAAAAATAGGCTGGCTCGCAAACATGGTAATTTGAGATGTCTGGAGGGGTTTCAAAACGGTCCAAAAATCGAAATCGAATCGGGGAAAAATCTAGTAGGTGGGTGGGACCATCGAATTTTTTGGGGAGAATTCGAATTTACCGAAAATCTACATGGGAATGCAGCCAGCGGAAAATTGGCTAGACTGGGGGGTTTGGGATTAGAGAGTTCGCGAACCAGGTCGAGGGGACCATCGAATTTTTTTAGGTATGCTAATTCAAATTTACCGAAAATCTAGATTGCCATGGAAAAAGGGGAAAATTGGCTAGAAGCCAACAATGCAAAACTAAGGGCCTAAATATTAAAGGCGCAAGAGGGACCTCTTTTTTTGCAGCGAGATGATCACTTCACAATGGTTCATAGCGAAATGAGAAATGAAAAACAATCTGCGGACATATAGCTGGTTTGGACAATTGTCCGCAGCATGATATTGACAAAGCCATCATGGAATGCGGGCAGAGCATTCATAATACAAGGATGATACCCAAACTGACCCCCCCCCCATCCATTCTTCGTTTTCGGACAAACAAAAGGAACAAGAGAAAACACATTTGTGGAAAAGATTAGGCTGCACACAAGCGCGCACCGCCAACTCCCTTCCATCGCCTACCGTACACACTCACGCTCATCCGATTAGGTCATGTCGGGCAGCGATGGATCAAGAAAAAAAAAACAACACGAGAAGGCAACTAATTGATTAACCATTGGCTGATGGCTTATCAAATTTTGGCGTGTTTGTGCTCTTATTGAAGTGCGGTGGGGGGGGGCTCCCTCAGAGACGGGGCGAGCGGGTGACCCCCCTCCCCTCTTCCCCCTTCCCCTCCTCGCCACCCGATTTGGAGGGGGTCAGCAAATCACGAAATGTACTTGAGAACTACTAGAAACTCGACTCGGTCATTTATATACATATTATAATGGTATTATTACAAATCGAATTGTCCGCAGATGGAATTGATCAAAAAAAAAAAGGAAAGAAAGAAAGAATGGCGGGGGCATAACACCTCGAGATGTGTTTACCCATATTCCGTTCACAGGTTCTCCAAAGCTTCGAGTAATCCCCTATCGTCGACATTATTTGTGAGCTCGGCCCGAGATCGTATGCAAATATTTTTCGACGTGCCGTTGGTTTGGGCTCGAGCGCCAACCGAGCCGACAACACCGGATGAGGGTTCAGAAATCGATTGGGATAATTTTTCTGGGGCGAAAATTGGTCGAAAAATTGCGTGTGGCCCGGGAGTGGCCAGGAAGTGGCCAGAGATGTAAAACATTTAGACACTAAAAAAAATGAGCAAAATTTGGCGGGACCATAATGAAATTGCATAACTATATATAGTATAATGATAACGAAACACGACGAACATTTTTGGGAGGCGAGGAGTGCCGGCCGCTGGGACCGTAGAGCACAAACACGAGTCCGAGTCGGACTCGGTTCGCCTTGTTTGCGAGAGCCTCGCAACTGACAGATTAGGCGACGACAGCGAGCGCGCGCGCGCGCTCTGAAGCCCACCGCGACCTTTTCCCGCGCGCAAGCCATAAAAGGAAATGGGAAGGCGGGAGCTGGACGAGCTTTTCTGGCTGAAAGAAGCATTCGAGGTCATTTGGCATGGCCCAATTTGGACTCGCCCATTGAAAATCTGGAATTTCGATTTTCTCAGGCGCCTTTGAATAGCGAAACATTAGAAATTCATTCTGGCGCGTCAGTGAAATGAATAAGACTTAAGAATTAGCCCATCTGCGGACGATTTCATCAACCCGTAGGCTGTCCGCAGCTGATTTTTTAAAAGTAGAAATTATTTTCAGTTTATGCATTAATTATTACAGTTTCAGACGAATTCTTTAAAAAAAATCATTTTCGAATATTTTCCATTGAACCCTGAACATGATGGTCCCGCATTTCATCATCTCCCAAAATTCTTCTCATGGCGTACCTCAAACTTGGGTAATTAAACCGGCGGCGTCTCATAGAAATCCTGCTGCGGACATTTGTTCGGGTTTTGGTCAAGTTTCAAAATTGTCCTCCACCCATCAATTTTTCACAGTAGCTATTCTAGAAAAATCGTTTTTCAGCAATTTTAATTGTTTTGCGCATTCGAAACCCGTCGAAACGTCCGCAGCTGTGTTTCTCGAAAATCGAAAATTTGCGTATGCTGAAAACAATTCCATTTGGCAACTTTGTAAATACTTGAGCCATTATTATTTTGTGTCTTCGTTCTTGTCCATATTTTGCATTTCTCAAAAAAAAAGAAAAAGCAAAAATAAAAATAAATTGGATATTAATTTATTGTGTAACGGAAGCTTTATCCATCAAATTGATCTGACGTCGAGGGTCAGCAGAAAAGAAATATTAATTTCTTTTTTTCCCTCATTTTTTACATTTCCAATTCAATCCGCATTGAATTGAAATGAATGGAGAACAACGATTTCGTGTTTTCGTCGTCGGCAAAATAAGAAATAGAAACAACACACACACAAAAAAGGGGAAGATATTGTTAACCCTCGTCTTCATTTTTCATTTTTTTTTCAATTCCGATTGACCCACACAAATCAAATTGCGAAAAGGGCTCACCACTTTTAGCTTTTTACCTTCATTTTTTTTCCAACCTACCCTTGAAATTTGCAAGTTTACCGCGGGTCTCAATCAAATTTCGAGGAGCATCGGGTTCTACTTCCGCGTGCCTCCCGTTTACTACTCTGGTAAATGATTCCGAGTCGTATACGAAGAAAGCTCAATCGTATACGCTGATATCGCTCTTCAAACGCGGCCAAATACGATTGGGATTTCTTAATATACGATTGGCATTTCTTCGTATACGATTATAATTCTTCGTATATGATTGTGATTTCTTCGTATACGACTACAATTCTTCATATACGGTAACGATTTCTTCGTATTCGATTGGGATTTTTTCGTATTCGATTGGGATTTTTTCGTATTCGATTGAGATTTTTTCGTATTCGATTGAGATTTTTTTCGTATACCATTTCACTTTACACTACTCGTTTGGCATTTTAACGCTTTTAAATATATGATGTAAAGATTTCTATACCTGTTTATTTAAAAAAAAATATGAAAGACAAAAAAATGAAAAAGAAAAAGGAATAAATAAATTAATTTTGGTTGGCGCATCAACCATTTTTTTCCACTGCTCGCGCTTTCGATCGTGAATTGTTTCTGAATTAAGTTCATTTGATTGATTAATCATGAGGCAGTCTTCGGCATGTGCAGATTTTGGAGAAAAACGCGAAAAATCTGATTAAGACTAGTTTAGCCGAATCTTTATAATGTTGTCGAGTTTCTTTAAAAGGTTTTTACTGCGTTTCTTTTCAAAATCTGCATAGGCCCACTAAAAAAGTGAAAACTCACAGGAGATAGGTCATATGACCGTGTACCAAATAGGAGATTGTAGAATTCGCCGTTTCATCAGCCATTCCATCGATGGTAACCGTCTTTTGTAAAACAGCTGAAATTAATTTAAACATATTTTAAACATTTTTCGCGCTATTTGAGCATACCAATCGCTGTGTTGACAAACCGAACTGGAAGCGTTGCGTGCGGCGGAGTTGGCTTAAACGATGTTGAATAATTCACACGATCGTTATTGGGAATTGTCTGAAGATATTTTTTGCAACTTTAAATAATTGTAAGATACCTTATCGACAAATCTGTTGACTGTAGTATTTATCACATGCTTCAGAGCTGCCTTCATGAACGGAATTTCCAAAAATATTTGGGCGACGTTGATGTCTCCTGTTAAAAGATTTAATACAAATTCAAAGCTTTCGAAACACAAAAAACCCACTATTTCCATCCAGTGATGGAATAATTATTTCTGCGTCTTTAAGATCTTCAGGGTTGTATACGGCGATCACGTCGATCTAAATTTAGAGAATAGCAAAATTTAAAAAATACTCACATTGTTTTTGTTTGGCTTTGCCGCGAATTTTTGGGATAAAGTTTCTATCTGGAAGTATAGGGTTTCTATAGTTTCTATTGTGGTACTATGCAGATTTCGCCAAAAACTCAAACAGCGGTAACCATAATTATAATGGTTTTTGCCGGTTTTGACGAGTTCTGATATTTTTTTACGGCTTTTGATGATTTTAATGCTTTTTTTCGCGGAATCTGGTACCATTACATTTGGAATGATTGAACAATAAATAAAACATACCGTGAACATGATTCCTTTCATTTAGAATGTATGGTTGTAGAATAACCCGGTCACCGAACTTCTCATTGAGGAGAAATCCCAATACATCGCCATATTGCAGTGAATTTCGCCAACGAAACATCACGACGCTAATATCCGAAGCAGTATTTCTTTGTATTGAGTAGTGTGAGCCTTGATAGCTGTATTTCTCAGTAAACAAATCGCCTTTTTGAGCCAGCATTGAGTACTTCAGTGGTACATCTGTCGTTTTTTCGATATCATCATTCTCCGAATATCGAAATAGCAGTTTTCTCAGTTTCACGATAGACACATCATGTTGTTTTCTCGTTGGGTCCGAATCAAGTCTTGCACGAATTTCGGTCGTCAAATCTTGCAAAATTGCAGCACTAAAATTTTTCTACGGTGTACAATTTTATAATAAAGCATACTTCCGCAACATTCTTTGCCCAATTCCCTTTGTGATTTCTGACGATAATAGTCGTTTCAAACTGTGAAAATAAAATCTCGCGAAGATAATGCTTCCCATTGGCCTAAAGCAAAATAATTTCAAAAATATGCAAAAACGGTAACAACCTCTCGACGTAATGACTCTTTGCAAGTTGTCACAGCTCGACATTGACACAAAATCTTCTTCCGCGCAAGTGAGCTCATCTTCAGACGATTCTATAGAATCTATAGAAATTAAATCTTGCTCTGTTTTTACTTTTAGTTATACCTGATGTTAAGTTTCTCTATTTTCTGAAAATAGTTATTTTCTTCATTTTTTCTGTTGTTATCACCTGTTTCTGTCTCGTTCCGATATTCCCTATATATTTTTTTCCATGATTTCTCGTGTGGTGTAACGATATCGCTTTCGATATGCAAATAGTTTTGAATTTTGCGACATATCTGCAAAGAAAATATAGATTTCTTAGAGCGGAGCCAGTAAAATGCACGATTTTTTTGGAAAGTATATATATTAAAACGCAATATACGCATAAAAATCGAATATGAAAAAATTCGAAAATTTTCGAAAATTGTTTTTCGAATTTAGACGTCAATTTTAATGCATGTCCGCAGTGTATCATTGTGGTGGTTACACTACTGTGATAAAATCCAAATCGTATACGATCCTTGCAATAACGTATACGACGAGGAAATGCGGATGTTTCGTATACGATTACAAACCATTCATCAGAATCGTATACGATCCTATACGATTCACATTAACTTATACGATTACCATTAACGTATACGATTTTAATTTTATCTTATACGATGAAGAAATTCGCTTTTTTCGTATACGACTAGGAATCATTTACCAGAGTATGGTCCCTCTAAATTTATTTCGTCGGTGCCAGCTGCAAGCGCGTGCAACGGGAAAATAGGTTTCCGATTTTTCTTTGTTGCAATTAATTCTGAAAATACTTTCGGCCGGAGCGCGCGCGCGACCTTCTTGCACTTGTACGCCATTCACACTGTTGAAGCCAAGTAGCGCGATAGCCGATTGGCTGGCCGCGCCACAGATAAACGGCAGCATAGGCACAATGGAAGCATAATGGAACGGCTGTGGATATCATAGGAATCTTATATGCAAGTTATATGGAAGCATAATGGAAGCATTTTTTTGCGGAACCGCGTGTTTCGTATATGGAATGAGCCGTATGCCTTCCATATGGGCAAATAAGAAAACAATTTGATTGCTGTATTCAAAATTTATTTCATATTAACACATTTATTTAATTTAAAATAAAAAAACAACAATGAAATGAATTTCAATTAAGATATAATCAAACCATTAGTTACTGGCAACTGCCGAACTATTCGAATCATTGTCAGTACTGACATCGAGCGGGACGCTGTAATAAGTAGATTATAATGGGCCTATTAATTTGAAAAACTTGTAAACCATTGTTACGTAAACTAAATTTTTCGAGAAAATACAATCAGTTTTTTTACATCAATAATTTTCTTAAAAATAAAAATAATTTATTTTTATTGCATTTTTGGAAACCCTTTAGTGCACAAAATAAAAAGTGAATTGGCGGAAGAAAGAACAACTCCAAAATTTGAAGCAAAAAGGCATTTTGGTTAAAATTTCAAAGACATATGAATACTCACATCTGAGGGTTGCTGGTAGAATCAAGCAGCTTCCTTAATTGCGCCGCGAGCGCTTCCGGCGCTACACCAAATTTCCTTTGAAGTCGTTGGCGCATTCTATCGCTTAATCAAATAAATAAATTAATAGTCATAGTTCAAAATCTTACAGAAGATTATCCATGACTTCTCGAACCATGCGTAATGCTTTCGCTTTGAAGTCATTTGTCGGTTGTTGCCCAAAGCCATGGATAAGAGCATCTGTAATATAGATATTTGCAATAAAGTATAGGATCTTTATATAGTCGGCGTCTGGCGACTTCTGTACTAGAGCCCCACTTAAAAAGATAAATGCCACTGAATGATATTGGTACGAAGGCTGTACGGCAATCGGAAATTTCGGCGATTCGGCTAATGGCAAATTACCGATCGAAATTTTCTTCGGCAATTTGAAAAACCGGCAATTTCGGCAATCGGCAATTCCATTGCCGCACAGCCCTGATTGGAACCAAATAATCAACAAGCTTTAAACTTAGGAAGTACTTTATAAAGACTTCATTGCGCATATTTTTCTAATTGAAACCATTTCTGGAGTCGAACAGGCCAATTTTTGATGATAACTTTCTTACAAATTGGGCGTACGAAGGTTTAGGAATTGGCGTTGATTTTGTTGTTTGTGAGGACTGTGGAGAAAAATTTTTTTGCTGAGTTGGCGAGTAAATTGGACTATCTGGATCTGAAGTGTCGAGCGAATTTGGTTCCATGTTAGGGACTTCTGGTTCTTTGTTATTGACTTCTAGAGCAGTTTCAGTTATATCTGACAACACTCTCGATCTTGTCTTCATCTGTAAAAAATTTCAAAACATTATGTTTTATTAAAAGAAAAAAGCGAGCGATAATAAAAAATATGTTAAAGTAAATAAAAATAAAACGGATTCGATGAGAAATTAAACACAATTCGATTGAGAAAATATTTAAATTCGATTTTAAAAGTGTCGGAAACGATTTGAAAACATCGTATCGATTTTAAAATTTTCGAATGATGATAAACATGAAAATGATAAACATGAAAATTTTTCCTTTATTTTTTAAAAACATTTTTCCTTTAATTTTGAAAAAAATTCTTTAATTTTTGACAAAAAAAAACACAAAAAATCTTGAAAATTCATTGAGAAAAAGCAAAAGGACAAAAATTTTGAAAACGAATTTCGAAAATGTGAGGCGTGGCCGCATTGTGCAAAGCGGCGCACGGTTTTGCAATGCTGCGGCACGCCTCTTCTACGCGCGTCTGCTACCAGTTTGAAGCAAATTGTGAGTAGTTTGCGATGCCAATTTCGGAAAAACCGGCAAAAATATATTAATACGACTAAATTGTAGTTGGCAATCTTTAAACAAAGTGAGGAACAGTTGACTGAATTAACATAAATCTGAGTAGCATAAGTCATTAAATGGTAGAAGCTAAATTTCGTATGTTGTGTATCATGTAATTTTCAAATTTTCATTGTTTATATGATAGCATAAGTTTTTTGTATTGATTTTTCTAGAAATTGTCTTGGTCTGCCGTCCAGACGCCAATTGTATAATGTGTAATGATATATGATTATTTTATCCATATTTCATCCATATTCGTTCCACGGCTCGCAAACACCGGAAGCATATTCATCCCGTTTTCATTCCATCCATATTCGTCCCATATTTCTTCCACAGCCACTAAGAATTACATTATGCTTCCTATATGGAAGCATTATGCTTCCGTTCCACAGATTTCCCACAATACTTCCATTATGCTTGCGTCGCGCTTAATCAGTGGCAGTTCTCTCGCAAATTGTTGTTGACTCGATACCCCGCTTATCAATTAAGGGGTTTTGCAGTTTTGTTTTTTCGCATTTTCGTTTGATAAATGAGCATCGTCGCAAAAAATTTGCACATAGCTCAAGCACGAGAAAAAAGAACTAAATAGAATTTGATTGAATGGGGGCGGTTGTGAAAAGAAAAGAGTTCTGGGAAGTTTCCCACCACCTGAAAAATGTCTAGCGAAATTGCCCTCATTTGCACGAAAAACGGCACGATGGATGCTACATTAATAAATTCGAGTATGTCATTTTTTTTCTCGCCAATATTTCCCTCATTTTTACTATGTCTTGCCAATGTTTAAAAGCGCAATGCTCCTCTTTGATTTTTGCTAAAACCCGGATGATTGTCGGCAGCAGGAGGGCACGGCTTACATCATGATAATTGTCAAGTAATTTTGTGCACAAATGCACGTACATAATTCAAGCACTTTTCTTTTCTTCCCTTAAGATGGATTCCCCGAATTTTTCTTTCTTTTTTTTTGGCATTCCATTCAAATGCACGTTATGATCCTTTAAACAAATTGTCTCAATTTCAGATTCCTGAAGGAATTTTTAAAAATTCGTCGTAAATTGCCGAACTTTTGGTGTGATTTTTTCGACTGTTTTTTTTTTGCAGACATTTCCCCAAATTTGGAATTTCGCGATGTTGATCTCGGCGACGTTGGGCGCCGTCAATTGTCTCGTCGTCATCGGCAATCTGTTGGTGTTCTACATGATTCTCACGAAGCGCTCGTTGCAATCGACGACGAACACGTTGGTGTTGTCGTTGACGATCAGCGATCTCCTTCTCGGAATTCTCATTCTGCCGTTCGCCATCATACAGGTAATCGTGGGGAGAAGCTTAAAGCTTCCGCCGCCCCAAAGCTCAAAAAAATCGAAAAAATCTTGTTTGAATTGCCGCCAACGTGAGTACCCGGAAAATGTCCGCAGCTCGATGTTCTCAGCGAAACTTTTTTCTCTATATGTGGAAAAATCTTGAAATTCAGGACCATTCTGGTCATTTTCTCATCGTCGCCGCAAGACCCAACTCATTTCTCGCATTGTGCGCCTTTAATCGAGATTTTTTGTTTGGAAATCTCAATTTCAATTTTCATGGAAATTTCTGGACATTTTAAAAATTTTTTCAAGGTATTTTTGGATAGGATGATTAATGGCGCACACGGTGAGCTGGAAAAAAACAATTTTTTTTGAAAATCAATTTTCGACCTATACAGAAAATTGCATTTTCAATTTTTTATCAAACGGCAATTCAAATTCAATTCACAAGCTGTCAATTCTTCAATGTCGTCGCCCCTCCCAGATTTGAGGGTTAACAAGAACGTGCTATCATCATAAACATCTGCGGACATTTTCCGGGATTTTGCAATGGTCCCAATTGGGCTCAGACGCGTCGAGTTTGCAGGAGCACAACGCCGAATGGCTGTTCGGCGACATCGGATGCCATTTGTGGCTCTCGCTTGACGTGTTCCTCTCGACGGCGTCCATCTACAATCTGCTCGCCATCTCATTCGACAGATACATGGCGGTTCGTCAACCGATCAAGTACACCATCGTCTCATCGACAAGGTAGCTTAGGCGGCCATTTGGCAAACTCATGCTGCCGACATTGTTCAGGCTCGTTCGCCTCATGCTATTCCTCGTGTGGGCGTGCAGTCTGCTGCTCGCCGCCGTCCTCTTCGTGCTCATCCACATCATCGAGGTCGGCGTTGTCGTCACCAACGAGGTCACCCAACACCAAATTTTATGAAATTCACCATCTTGTCGATTTCAGTGCCAGCCGACCGATCTGCCGTCCGAGTACATTCTATTCTCGGCGTCGGCCTCGTTCATCATCCCCGCGTTCCTCATGGTCCTCTTCAATCTCGGCATATTCCAGACGGTCGTGCGCAGCTCGAAGCAGAAGACCGTCAAATCCAACAACGGCTCGTTGAGGGTCCATCGCGGCAAGCGCAAGCCGACCATCGACTCAAAATCGATCATCAAGAAGCTTGAACGATCCGACACGCTTCAGTCGTTCGAGCAAGACAAACTCAATCCCGATGGTCCCGCGATGCGGACCCTCTTCTCGCACACCGTCGTGTTTGGGATTCTCGAGGCGAAAAAGACGAATCTAATCAATCATATAACCCAGTAAGAACCCGCGGGGTTGTCCGCAGCTAATCATTATCATATATATTGATAGGAGGAGAATGTATAGGCGGTCGCTTCGAACCGAATTGCGCGTCGCGCGGACCACCGGCGTCGTCGTCTCGGCATTCATCGTCTGCTGGATACCATTCACCACCATCTACGTGCTTCAAGTGAGACGTGACGTCGATCGACGAATCGCACCGCCCATCTGATTGCAGGCCTACTCGTTGTGCACGGTGGCCGCCGATTGTGTTCCGAATTCGTTGTTCGTCGTCGCCTTCTGGCTCGGCTACTCGAATTCCGCCGTCAATCCGCTGTTGTACGCGGCGTTCTCGCGCGATTTTCGATTGGCGCTCAAACGAATGGTGTGGAAACGACGCAAAAATTGATGATTCGAAATAGGAAATCAAAAATAAATAAATAAATATATATACATATTTATCACAACAATCTCAGATGGGTTTCATCATGGGAATCGATTTTTTTTTAAATGTAGAAAAAAAAATATCTTCTCGAAAATTCTAGTAGAAATTTCCATTATGAGAGAGAGAGTGTGTGAATGTGCGAGACGCCAGGTATCAACTTATAACCCCTATTATTGCACGCAGCGCGCGCCGGCGCAATGGCGCAGTGGCGAAACCTTTAGGCTCATAATCATGGAGATGGTGGGTTCGGGCCCGCGCGGCATATATTTTGATAATACTTTTTATTTTGACCAGTTTTTTGTTATAATAAACCTCGTTTTTATCTTGAAAAAAGGGGGGGGGGAAGGAAAACAATGCCAAAGTGAGAGACGCAGACAATCGCTCTGCTTCTACCGTAATCCGAAATTAATCGATAATTCTGGCTCAGCCACGTAGTAGTAGCAAATTTCCAAGTGTGGGGGTACTGTAACTACCGTAATCCTACAGGAATCGCTCAGACGTTTCTACAGCAACAATTTTTTTTCATCAAAGACAAGCTGAAATCGATAAAAATTGGGTACCGTAATCCTACAGTAAGACATCAATTCTGAGTGCCAATCGACGCGATTTTTTGTCGATATTTCGAAATCGATTGGAAAACTCGAATTTTGTGAGTGAACAACAAAAAAAAACGCATTGTAACCCGAGAGTCACACCCAAATCGTCGACGCCGTCTGCGTCTCTCAGCGCGCGCGTGCTCTCTCGGCACTGCCCGCGCTATTTATTCTATATTACTTTGTATTGATCGCTGATGTCGCAACCGCCACCGCCGTATACCAGTCAGCCAATGCCTTATAATCATGTAAGAGCCGATTCGAGACATTTTCCCCATATGCTCCTTCCGATTTCTAGGGCTACATGCCGCAGAATCAGAATCCTTATACGCCACACGCTGCCTATCCACACGGCTACTATAATCCGAATCAACCGCAAGTTGTGTAGGCGTCCATTGAGCCATCATGCGCCTTTAAACAGCACCTCACCCATTTTCAGCTACGTTCAACAGCCAGCACCTCAACGACAGGATGATCACAATTGCTGGCTGACGTCGCTTTTGGCCCTGTGCTGCGGTTGCCTTGTCGGAGAGGTACCGTACCCAAAGGGAGGCTGTTTTCGCTTCAAGACGCTTTCTTGTAGGTCTGCTGCGATTCGCCGATGCTTTGCTGCGTTCTACCATGCCCCATTCGGATACCATTTCGACTCCCATAAATTGGAATTGAAAAACAAAAAAAAAACAAAACAACAAGGCATATTCAGTTAATTTCGCCACGGGTTTCGATTGTAATAAATGTGCTCTAGAATGCGTATTCCGGTGTTTTCATCGTCTCAAAATTGCTCTCCGAGCCAAGATTGTAAGCGGACACCTGAAAAAAAGGTGGCAAAAATGTTTTGGAGTCGGGGTGGAGTCGAGCGAAAACAGCCCTGTGCGCCAGCGGCGAAACTTTGCATTTCACCATTCAACCTTCATTGCGCACGGGAGGAAACGGCATATATGAAACCGCGCATTCTACAAATCCCAAAAAAGGAAAATAATTGACCTTATCGAATGTGGACAATGATTGCGTTGTGTTGTCATAAGCAGCATCATCCGATTTCGAGGCATCCGTCGCCATCTGCTCGCGCTTCATCATTTGCTCTTCAGAAAACGATTCGGACAACTCGCTTCCATAATTCCATTTCCTCGGCGATATTTTCACCGTCGTCGGCACCTTCTTCTGAGCTTCACCCTCCCTCAACAGTTTTTCGACAAACGAGCTCTCGCTGTTCGACGAGAACGCCCACGACGTCAGCGAGTCGGCGTAGGAGTCGCTCGTCGATGGGTTGGCGATTTTCGGCAACGCGCCGAGATCCCAATTCTCGGGATTCAGCGCGATCTCTCGCAGAGCCTTCCGACCGATCTCGCGGATCTCCGGCGACACCTTATAAGGGAATTCAATGTCGAAAAGTCTGAAAAAAGAAAATATTGAATTCGAGCGCGAAAATTGTGACCTTCTCTTCTCCAAAAACGCTTTTCGCTTCTCCTCAATCGATTCCAAACTCGAGCTCGCATTGCTTGATTCGGTTGTGTAGCTGATTATGCTAACCATAATAATTATAATCAATCGATATACCTGATATTCGATTCGATTTGATTGCCAAGGTGGGTCGCCCAACGCGGCACCACATAATCATGAAGGAATCTCGCGAAATGGAAGCATTGCCGCAAATTTCGATTAATTCCGCATTCTGTCAGAGGATTACTGTAGATTAATGGGCGGAGCTTCGAAGGGTACGGTACCTGATTGCTCTCTTAATTCGTCTAAAGTCGTCCTACTCGGCATAGTTTGTTTTTTGCAAATGAAAAAAAATTGAGGGGGACGTGACGGCTAGAAAAAAAAAATAATTTTTCAATTATAAAAAACTGAAATTGTTATTTAAAGATGTACTGTATTCTCGTCGAGACCCGCCAATTTTTTTTGCCCATTTTTTCCTCTCAAAATCTGAAAAAATGATACAGGCATTTTTAATTAAAAAAAAATATTTTTTGAATTTCCAGTGTCTCACCAAAATTTTTCGCTGCGAGACCTTTTCAAAAAAAACCGCAACGCGTCTAGCCACATTGAGAAAGTATGGTAGCTTCTTGTTTTAGAAAATATTTCATCAAGCTAGCAGGACCATTTTTGGTCTGAGACAACCGAGGGGGGGGGGCATTTAGGTACAAACAGGGAGAAATAAGCCCGCTAAATCGAGGGGCGATGTGCAATTGGAGTGTCGTACTGGTAGGGTAAAGGTTTCGGCAAAAAACGAATCCATTTAGAATTCGTGAATTTCTAGAACCACAGTCTGCAAATGCGCGTCAACTCTGATGCATTCGATGTTTGCGGCAATCGGCAAATTCGAAATATAAATAGCGAATTTTGAATGTGAGATTTTGACGGGGCGATATTTTAGAAGCAATTATTGTTTTAATTAGTAGGCGTACTTAATTAGTCACTTAGACGATTCGATCATAGCATTCCAAGCGTTTGACTCCGTCAGCTGTTCTTATGATCGTCTCCTTCCGAATCGACACCGACCATCTCATGGAAGGCCTTCCAGAAGAGCAGTCCATCTTCCATCTGTTCCTCTAGCAGCATCATCTTCCTCTTCGTGCTGTGATGTAGGGGGGGGGGGTGCCGAACTTTAGCCATGATGATAATCTGAGGCCAACCAATCTTCGCTCAAGAGCTTTGGTGAAGGTCCAAGTCTCTGATCCGAATGTATGTGATTTGGGGGCGTCCCGAACTTTGCTCACAAAAAAAATTTTAGAAATGTTGAAACTCACTTACTTTTTTCGGTTCGCCCTTCACCTATTGAGTCGCACCATTTCAAGCTTTTCAACACTTTATTCCCGTTTTCAGCCGACTGGCTCCCCTGTTTAATTTTTCCGGCTTGCTAGGCCAAATCGATTCCGGCAGACTCTACTACCATCAGACAAAAACAATAGTGTAATTCGACAACAAAAATAAATTTATTTATTTCCGAACTATTCATTCTTGCCCGCGTGGGACAGCCTGGGTATGCTCCGCCTGTGCTAGACAGTTTAGGCTTATATGGCCATCAAGAGGTCCCCTTGAAATCGTGAATTAACAGGAAAAATAGAAGATTTTTGAAAAACAATTACCAGAACCATTTTCAAGTTTAAAGGAGCAGACTTGTGGGTTCCTAATAATTTCGTTGGGAACGAGTACGATTGAATGGAGGCGGGACCTTCAAATTGGCGAAATCAGTGTAGATTTAAATTTTTCGTTGACTGAGTATTAAATGCGCGTACGCAGTCTCGCGACGAATTGGCACACAGCCAATCAATTTTTTTTATCAATTTGTTTGACTCTGACAATACTATTTTTAAAATTTTTTCCGACATGAAATTGGCGAAAATATACAATTTCGGCGATTTCAAGGTTTTTTGTTAACAAAAAATTTTTTTAAAATCGATTTCCGCTGTTCAAAAGGAAATGAAATTGCCAGAAATAATTGATGGAATTGCGGAAGACAAAATTGACAAGTTTTCGGTTTTCGAATGAACTCAAATATTTCAAAATACAATTTTCTGCTTCAAAAAAAAAATTCATTTTCCACAAAAATACGTGTTTCGCTCAAAAATGCGCAGTTTTGCAATTTATGGTCCCTTTGATTTGATGAAAAATTAGTTTCCTGAATTTGGATATTTATGACATCACAATTCGAAAAAAAAAATGAAAATGCAAAAATCAAATATTGATTGATTGAAACAGTAAAAAATAATAAGAAGGAATGTGAACTAACAACTCATCTAGCATCGTGGTGAATAGAAAACGAAGTAATTGGTTTGAATGGTCCCTGAATTCTCAATAGGGAGAGAACACTTGATGGTAAACAAAAAAAATAGTAAACAAAAAATGAACCAAAAAAGAAACAAACAAATTGAGCGTCTGATCTACTTGGTGGGTATTGTACAAGGAGGGGGGGGGGCATTTGATAAATGGCACCGGAAAATAAATGTAGTAAACAAAATAATAAACAAACAAATAAACAAGATATATACTATATATGTATAGTTATGAGCCATATTGCGCATCAAATATTGCCTTTAGCACTTGCATTTTGGCAAGCTCCTTCGTCCTTGGATCGAGCTTGTTGAGCTTCATCGCGATCATTCGTCCGAATATCTCGTCCTCCTCGTCGTCCTGCCTTCGCGTCGCCGTCGTCGCCGCCGGCCATGAAGCGGCACCGGGGAACATGTTGAGGAGGGCGGCGGCGTTGCGTTGCGACGCCGCCGCCGCCGCATCCGATATCGAGGCGCGCGCGCGCTTCGCCGGCGGCGGTGGTGGCGGTGGCGAAGCCGCCGACGGCTCCTCTACAACAACACATTCAGCATTCAAGACGAGTTCTCGAAATCCACTCCCCCCTACCTTCTTTTACCGGCTTGTTCGACGTCGACGCGCTCGACGCCGTCGACGCCGCACTCGACTCGTCCATCGACGACGACGTCGGCGTTGTCGCGTTCGCTTCCGAATTCCGAATAAGCTCGCTCTCGATGAAATTGATGGTGGCCTCCATCGGCGAAACGTTGCCGCCTTTCGCGGCCGATTCCGGCGCGATCGCTTCCGACTCATCGGTGCTACAAACAAAAAATTTTAATCATCATCTCATTCTTCTCGGAATCGCTTCTTCCTACTGTCGATCTTTGAGGTGCGCTTGAATGAATCGAAGCGGCCGCTGGAACACCCAACTCGACGCCTTCTTCGTCAGCCGCTCTTTCTTCTCCTCTTTCTTGTAGCGATCGCGCAACGTCTTCCAGCGCGTCTTCACGTGCTCGGCGGTCGTGTCGAGCGCCTCGGCAATCTCGCTCCACGCCGTATTTCGCCACGCGATCAGATTGTAGCCCTCATCGGCCTGATCGTACAGATAGGGTCTCGATTTGACTTCGGCGATGAGCCGAATGTTGAACACCGGCGTCTCCTCGATTTTGATGTTGCGATTGCCGGACAGCAAAAAATTGATCTGCGAAAAATTCAATTTTTCTATTTTTTGAATTTCGCACTCCCTGGATTACTGTACCTCTTTCATCGCGTCCGTATCCATACAATCATCGTGCGAGTTCGTCGTCTTCTCATCGATCTCCTCCGAGTGTTCCGACATTCTGAAAACGCAGCCACATGAAAAAAAACAACGACCTTGAATGACCCCAACGCGAAAAATTGGAAAAACGAGGGTTGCAGAATCGATTCAGATGGATCACTTGGAACTTAGTGGATCGGATTAGGGGGTTCCGCGCGCGCGCGCGTGGCAAAAAATAGCAAATGTTCATTTCTTATTCTTCTTCGCGTTTTATGTTTGGTGGCAAATATAAAACGCACACACACAAGCAGCGAAAAAAAAAAGAACTGAAATGTGGACGAGGCGAGAGACGAGAGACGAGACGAGAGAGAGGCCGCGGTTGGGAAGCGGCGAGCGGGCGGGCGGGCGCAGGCGAAACCGAGTAACACAACGATGAGGACGAGGTGGAATTGCGAACAGAGGGCAGAGATGGAGAAGGAGAGAAACGAGTAAGCGTGGTTTTTGCGCGCCGACGAGACCCCCGCCGGCGGGTGCGGCGGGCGGGCCGCGCCGGCCCCGCCGGCAGAGAGCACGCCGAGCGGAGAGGTGCGTGTGCGTCTCGCTCCTCCGCCCCACCCAACGATATTTTCGACGGCTGGCGGAAAGAGAGGCGCTCGGGGTCAAAACCGTTTTTTTTGGTTGGTTGGTTGTCATCGTCTTCTGGTTTCGCGCGCGCGCGCGCCTTACTCTCTTCCCCCCCCCCTCCTCTCGCTCCTCGCCCTCTTCCTCCCGGGGGCGGCGCGCTTGGTAACTCGTGAAGACGATGCCTATTGAAGAGAAATTGGAAGAATCAAAAGAAAATGGAAATTGTTGGCCTGAAAATGTCCGCAGCTGAAAATTGGAAGATTCATTTCAAATTCGCCGAAAATGTTTGATTGCAAAAGAACGCGCGTTTTCAGTTTTTTTCAGGCGTTGTGCGAAAAAATTTTTTTTTTGAAAAAGCCTTTTTTTCCTACATTGAAATTGAATTTTTTTGAACCCTGAAAAATGTCCGCAGCTGAAATTGGGAAATGTTTGATTTTGCCGAGAAAAGTCAAAAATTCAAAATTTCCACTTGAACGCGTTTTTTTTGGGGGGGGATTGGGAAAATTTGAAAATTCCCGAAATTTTTTTTAAAGGACCATCATTAATTTTTATATTTTTTCCTACATTCCAGCCTCTATTAAAATGTTTTTTTTTTTTGAAAAAATTGCAAAAAAATGAAGCCTTGAAATCCTTACAATTGTCCGCAGCTAAAATGTGAGACGTTTAATAACACGATGGAATCAGATAAATTTAAGGTAGGGACGGGGGGGGGTTGGGGGAGCTGGGGACCCGAAAATTGTCGGCAGCAGAAATGTGAGACGTCGAAACCGATTCGATGGGGAGAAAAAAAAGGCTGGTGGCATCGCGCGTTGTCAATGCGCAAACAATCCGCGAATTCTCTCTCTCTCTCTCTCTCTCTTTCTCTCTCTCTCTCTCTCTCTCTCTCTCTCTCTATTTCATTGTGAAGTCGACGGCACCCCGCGCGCGCGCGGGCGCGCCAAAGGTCGACTGACTCAAAATTATTGTTAGGTGCAGTTGAGGGACCTCGAACATTGTCCGCAGCAATGCGAATTAACACAAATTTTCATATATGCGCCTTTAATCGAGAAGAAGCGAAAGGAACGAAATTTGCGAAAAGCGCACTTTGATTAAATTTTAACATTTTTGCGCAAAAATTTTGGTACTGTAGGCTTCGATGAAAACGTGGCCGTGGCCGAGGTTTTCCTCGGCCAATGTTCAGATTTGATTGAGAAAATGTGAAAATCGTCAATATTTGAAATATATTTGAACGCCGAATTGGGAACTGAGCGGAAACATGATTTTGCTCAACTCTTCGGATGATTCTATGGATGGTCCGATCATCCTCGTGCGGATTTTGCGGATTCATTGCAATCAGAAAATGCGGAAGGCGGAATTCCACAAAAAACTTGGGTTGCAATTTTACAATCCTGAAAAAAAAATTTAAAAAAAAAGAAAAAAAAAAGAAGAAAAAATTTTTTTCTTCTCCGTTCTTGATTGAAACGGAACACCTGTTTCTCCGCGAAACGGACAACATTTGTCAGAAAAAAATTTTTTCCAGCAGCAATTTTCGCCGCTTGAAATACATCTGCCGACTACTGGGTCTCGCGACGTCGACGTTGTCCGTGTGGAGTACACAACGCGCGAAGATTAATTCTGACGCCGGAAAATTTCGCGCTTTTTTCGCACATCATCGCAAATTTTTGTGGACAAATCAATATCATTAAAAAAATTGTCTCGGCCTCGATCGATGTCCGCAGATGATTTAAACAAAGCCCAACCCCCTTCAAACTGCTTATATGGGATTGATGATGGGAATTTGATTTAAAAAAAAAGTAAAAAAAAATGGAAATTTCAATTCGTTTTGAAAAAAATGATTTTTTTTTGTCTGCAACTTTGCGTCACGGTGTCTTCACAAATTTTCAATTTTTCAGAAAAAAAAAAGAATTTCAATTTCAAAATTTTTAGATTTCTAAATAAATCGAAAATTTGCCAATGAAAAAAAATGTGTGCAAAATTGCGTCAGTCTGTGCGCACATATAAAATCGGGGCCTTTTATTGAAGGTTCTGCACTTGAAAAATTCCTTGGAATCAGAAATTATGGAAAAGAGATTTGAATGAGTCCTACTGGCCTCGATCGATGTCCGCACATGGTTCTGTAGAATGGACGCGACCTCGATGATTGTCGGCAGACGGCATCCAATAAGAAAGATCACGTGACCTATTCGAAATGCGACGACGTGTTCCACAAAACGCTCATCAACTCATTCATATAGTTTATTGTTTGTTGCGATCAAACCAAACGCGCTTTTTGGATCGAGTAAGGTGTCTGATAATTGCCGACGAGCCGCTCGAATTTCAGAATGGTGTTTGCGTCAAAATTCTCACCCATCAAATTCACGGAAGTGGCGGCGCACGAGCGCGTCCTCGCGGCCATTCGCCAACACGTCACCGCCAACAACGACGCCGTCATTTTTGTACGGACCCCTACTAGGGGCGGGGGGACCCCATTGGTGATATGAATTTGGCGAATTGTAGATCGACGCCGAGACGACGACGAAAAAACGATTGTATCGCGAAATCGAGCCGGCTGTTGACAGCATCGCGACGGCGCTTGTCAAAATGTTACCCTCGGACATGAATGCGTCGAATTTGACTTTTTTCTTCTTTCAGAGGCTTCAAATCCGGCGATGTCGCCGCTCAGGTGATGCCCAATTGTCCCGAGTTCCTCATTTGCCTTCTCGCCGTTCAAAAATGCGGCGGCGCCATGTCGAACGCGAGCGCGATCTTCACCGATTGTAAGTGAGCAACTGCTGCCGACAACATTCCGGGCCCGCATCATTTCAATCATTATTCGTTTTTTTTGAGACGAGCTCCAATTGCAATTTCGCGATTCGGGCTGCTCGATCGTGTTCACCGACGAGGATCGCCTCGCGCGCGTCCGTCGCACACTCGACAAATGTCCCGGCGTTCAGAAGATCATCTGCTTTCGCACGTTTCCGCTCAAAACCGAATTTCCGGCAAACGTTCTCGATTACGCCGAACTTCTGAAGACGCCGCCGGAGGCGATCAACATCACCTATGAGTCGATCATCATCATCATCATTAGATGCTCACGTTGCTCTTTCAGGCCCGACTCGATTGCACTTTTGCCGTACTCATCTGGAACCACCGGACGACCCAAAGGCGTCATATTGACGCATAGGAATATCACAGCGATGCTCGATATTGCCGTCAAGTAGGTTGATGATCAACCCGACGCTCAATCCGACGTCTTCTAGCCATTTGGAGACTGAAGTCGGAAAAGCGATATTCGGCAATGAGAAGCCGGCGTGGAATAAGGAGCACGTGCTGCTCATGCTCCCTTGGTATCACGCGTTCGGTTTGAACTGTATGCTGGAATCGGTGATTCTTGGCATGACCGGATTGGTGTTCAAGAAGTTCGACTCGATCACAATGATGAATCGCATCAAGTTCTTCAAGGTTGCTCCGAACGTCGATCTCTCAATTCTTTGCGTTCTTCCAGGTGAAGTTGGCCTACATGGTGCCGCCGATGCTGATATTTTTGTCGAAGGACTCGATGGTGCCGATATTCAAAATCGATCAGCACATCAAGGTGATACTGTCGGCGGGCGCCACCGCCGGCAAGCAGCTCTGCGAAGAGGTGCAGAAGCGGTTTCCGAACGCGTGGCTGTGTCAGGCGTACGGTATGACCGAGATGGTCCAGTTCACCACACTGCCGCGCTTCGAGGACGGCGCTTGCCTCGAGACGGTCGGTAGCCTCGGACCCGGCTACGAGCTCAAGATTCTCGACAAGTACGGCAAAGAGGTTTGGCGGGCGGCTCGACATTTTGTGATGCTCGACGTCTCTGACGATTCCAGGTGACCAAGACGAACACCATCGGCGAGTTGTGCTTCCGCGGTCCCACTGTGATGAAGGGCTACTTTGGAATGAAGACGAATGAGATTATCGATGCCGACGGCTTCATTCATTCCGGCGATCTTGGCCTCATCGATGACAGGGGTCGCATCAAGGTGACGGGACGAATCAAGGAGCTGATCAAGGTCAATGGAATGCAGGTTGGCTGCCGACACACATCCACTTCGTCGCATGACGCTATTGAAGGTGCCGCCCGTCGAGATTGAGGACGTCCTTCTGCTTCATCCGAAGGTGAAAGATTGCGCCGTCGTCGGCGTTCCCGACGAGGCTCACGGCGAAGCGCCGAAGGCGTTCATCGTCAAAAAGGATCACACGCTGTCGGAGGCCGAGCTCACCGCGTTCGTTCAACGTTGGTTTCATCGGCCGACACACCGAACCGATTCTTTTTTTTCATCCTTTGCAGAGAAGCTCTCGTCGTACAAATGGATCACCGGCGGCTACGAGTTTGTCGAGTCGATACCGAAATTGCCGTCGGGAAAAATTTGCCGCCGCAAATTGAGTCAGGGTAGGTACCACAACAAAAAACCAATGATCACTTATATCCATTTTTGACTCTAGTTGACGTCACCGAAAAAACGGACACGTCGACGTCGAATTCGGAGAGAGGCGAGCCGGAGAAGAAATGAGATCGTGAATCAGCGACTAATGAAAATCGAAAAATTCAAAAAAGAAAAAAAAACATCAATCAACGCGAGCATCTTCTCTCTTCTCAACAATTTGTGATCAGTGATTGGCGAAATGAATTAAAGGCGCATTCGAGTTGGCATTTCTCCAAGCCCCGCCCATAATGCTTGCGTGAGCTCTTGCGTCTGAAGAATTGACGACTTGCTGCACTGTGTACTCCACGCGAGACCTGCTGTGCGTTTTGGCGCGTCGCGGCTCGCGAAGCGGTCGCATAAATTTTGAAATTTTTGGTTTTTTTTTTCTCAATCGAGATTGCTAAATTTGGAGGATTGTTGTTTTTTTTGTTGCGGGGAAACAATTGCGACCGCACGCGAACCGCAACGCGTCTGACGACATTGTTTTCGAGAATTCATTTTTTGTTGTTTGAGATTCTAGAGAGAATCCCGAGAACGTGTAGGCGAAGAAAAATTTGTGTGCAAACACCGTGACGCAATTTTTGCGGATTTTTTTTTCCCAAATGACTAGTCCGCAATAAATTACTGAAGATGATCCTTTAAATTTGGTCTCGACGCGAAATCGTTTGCCATTGAATAGCTCGGCGATTTGATTGTCAACTAGCGAATAATTCAAATCGACGAGCACCACAAATAGGGATTTGTACGAGAACACGATTGGCTTGATCGAGGCGGCGATCGCGCTGTGAACAATATGAAACGATGAGATATACATCATTAGGTATTTATAATTGCCCAATTTGGGCGGCGATCGGAATTTGATGAGAAGCACCAGGTAGAAATTGATTGAGATCGAGCACACAGCGCACCAATCTTGAGCGATTCGCGTTATTCTTGACCATAGCTCGGACATCATATGGAAGGCGAGACGAGAATCGATTTCAAGTCGAGTGAACTTCAAACTCTAGTAGTTCAACCTTTATTATTCGACGAGAACGAGCCAACGATGTTAATAAACCGGCACAAGCAATAAAAACCAAAAAAAAACTAATAAAAAGCGGGGGACTTGCATTCAAATAAATGTGGACTTCGGCCGCGGCCACCCCTTTGCTGGCCCCGACTGTATGATGGCGTGCGTCTCTTCGTTCTGCGCGCTCCACTATCTCATTTCCGTATTATATCTACATAACAAGAAGAAAAAAAAATAATGAAGGCGGTCGTCCTAATTGACTGCAAAAAATATCCGTTCCAATAAGCATTGTTGCCCTATCATCAATTCTCTAAAATGGCTTGCGCCTTTAAATGTGCTCTCGCTTCGGTTTTGCCGTCATTTCCAAGCACTGTGGAAAAATTGTGACGAGCTGAAAATTCGCGTTGCAAAAGCATTAGGTTTTCTGTGGGAATACTCTACCAACTCAAAACTGGCCCCCCATCCCTCTTCCCCCGATCCGATCCGATCCGACTGGAATTTATCCGATCTACCAGCTCACACGCATTTCTCGAACAAACCGCCGGGATTGCTATAAAACGATGTCGAACACTGAATTCGTCGGGGTTTTTTTTTCGGATTCTCAATGAACACCTTCAATCGCGATTCGCGATTCTTCTGTATAGACGGCCGAATCACTCCGACAGAGTTTGAATCGAATCGCGATTAGGTAGTTGGCCGAGAGAGTTCCATATTCGGACCAAAAAAAATTGACGAAGGTCATGCAGAGTTGAATGCGATTTCTGATAAGCCTACTGAAACTTTCCAGAAATATTCTGTGTTGTTTATCACTGGATAATTTATTTATGTATTAGCTTTAAAAAAAAAATTAATTGCCCATGGATTGTTTGTCGAATAATAGAAATTTTTTGAGAGCTTCATCATCCTCCCGAGCGATCGAGTAACCATAAATGAAGTGTATTCTAAAGAATCCGCAATAAAGCACTAAAAGTTTGTAATTGAGGTGCCCATATTTATCATAATCCCACTAATACACATATGGAATCTGTGCTCCAAATATGGGGCTAGAGGTGGCCAAGAACATCCCAAATCATTAGGTATTTATAATTGCTTAATTAGGGCCATCTTCGATCTCAATCGGATCATAGAAATAATGAGTTGAACCACTCGCACAGGATCAGACAATTCCATATTCGATTGGGGAAAAAATGAATTGGGTCTAGACGAGCTTGCACAATTTCCGGCTCTGCCAATTATTAATTAGATTCACTAAATCGTTTGCCCTTGGATCGCTTGTCGAATAATAGAATGCGTGCCAACCCTTTGAAGATCTCTGAAATTCCATTCTCACAATTGAGCGTCCGGCTTCTCACCAATCGTTGCCAATCGATACTTCTTAACAATGAAGATGGTTGGAAGGGGATCGATCGCTGGATAGATCGCTATGGTGATGCTGATGAAGGTGGTGACGAAGCCAAAGTCCATATCAAGTAGCGGAAGCATGTATAATACAGATCCCGGGATGTACATGAGAATGAATGGAATTGCTGTCTAGATATTACAGTCGGAATTTCGAGAAAATCAAATCATCAAAAATGCACCTGCATTACCAATGCCTCAAAAAGCTGCCGCTGTAGGCCGCGGTAGTTTGACGAGTTGAACTCTCGCACAATTTTGTAGATTCCCCAATAGCATTTGATTCCGAAGAAGATCACACAGAACGCTGAGAGCATCTGGAATCGATCGAATTTGCAAAACATCCGCCATTCATCATCATACTACTGAAGCGGTGAGGCTGAACATTCCGACGACTGTAGTGTAGTTGGTATAGCGGGTCCCGTTGCGATTCACCGGGAAGAAGTAGGGACCTAGGTAGACGATGTCCGCTAATTGGATGTCAAAATTTTCCAGCAACGGACCCCTCAAATGCAATTCCGTGCTTCTGTTATTTTTTTTCAGCACGCTCAATTTGTACCGTATGAGGTCTGAGAATTCGTCGAATGGTCCGAAGCACACATCGATGACTAGTATCCAGAATAGCGTGTAGAATACCGGAATGAGAAGCCATATCGCAAAATAGGCGCCCTCGAAATAGGATTTGAGTCTGAAAAGAGCGCGATGAGACTTGGTGGTCTGTCCGAAGGCGAACCCGCGTGTGATCGCATATCGATAAATGAAATTGATGCCGAACACGGCCATCGAGAACTCATAGAGTGCGCAAAACAACACTGAAATTTCGATGTCCGCAGATGCGCATCGTGATTACCAACCGACCGTTCAAGAATGCCGCCGAATCGCGGCCCAACGCGAACGAGCGCACGTCGACAAAAATGATATAGGCCGATTTGTAGGTATAGACGGCCGGATGGAGAGCAACGCCAATGATTGAATAGAAGATCTCGAATATTGAAATATACATCATTAGGTATTTATAATTGCCCAATTGCTCGGGCGATCGATAATTGATGAGGCCTAGTAGGTAGAAGTTGGCGAGAATCGCCAACACCGCGCCATAGTCTTGAATTTTGAGGACCACTTCGGTCCACTGAATCGCCATCAATCTGGGGGAGAGGGGGATTGAAGGAGAAGCTGAGCATCGAAAACAGCTATCCAATTTCCTGACACAACCATATTCGGCAAAACAATGAAGGGCAATGAGTTTTATTCGAGACGATCACATGATTCCAGAAGGTGTCTCGATACCCTCTCTCTCTGTCTCTCTGTCTCATCGACGCACGTGAATGTCTCGAGCTCGTGTGGTGCAAGAGAGCGATGCTCAGTGTAATGATGACGAGTGTGACCTCGATGTCTATCAGCCGCCCTTCGATCGACACACACCGCTGCATTTCGTTTTTCGTATCACGATTTCGTTTTTTTTTTTGCGATCGCCAGATTTTCATGCGCTATTCGCTCATTCTACTACTCCTATTCGGCATCGAATGCCTCGATTCGACGGCTCCGACAGCGTTCGGCGGCGTCGGCAATAATGAGGAGCCGGCGGTGCTCGTGAACGCCTCATTCGACAACCATATGAATCTGCACGTGTTCTTGAAGAAGAATGAGAAACTCAATGGTAGTGTTACGGTAGGCGTTCGCGAGACGTTGTTAAAGCCGATTCCAAAATTCACTCTAAGGGCTTCAAAATCTATTACACGCTGGACGCGAGCCAGACGATCGACGAGTTCCTCAATTGGAATCAATCGGAGGTGCTCACCGAGGAGTCGTCGCATCGGATTGTGCTCAAAGCCGACGAGCATCGCATCAACGTCGACACCGTCGTCCGAATGCGCGCCTCGGTGTTCATCAACAACAATGAGAGCAATTTGACGAGCGTGATTGTGGCTCACGCGCGTCATTCGGCGCCGAAATCGCCGCTCATCGTCAACGCGAAAATATTGCACAACTCGTCGGTGTTGATCTCGTTCGTGCCGCCCGACGACGTCGATTTGGTCGAGGTGAGCGAAACGCGGCGACGACTTCCGACGCACGCCTTCTTTAGAACTACACCATCTCGTACAAGAAGGTCGAGGATGCGAATTGGGATCACGTCAGCTTTCGATCCGACATTGACGGCAAGGTTCTACTCGACGGCCTCGAGCCGAATCGAACGTACGATGTGAAGATGCGTGTGACGGGTGGCGCGATTCCCGGCGATGAATCGAATGTTGTGAGGTTCTCAACGAATTCCACAGGTTGCGTGATTGCCTATTCGACAGTTCCGATCATCTGATTCTCTTTCAGCTCTTGCTCTGATCCGAATCAATCAGGATTACGAATGGACGATGGATCCACAGACATCCGAGCCGCTTCTCGTCAAGTGTACTGTCAAGTCGGCGACGCCAGCGACCGTCTACTGGAAGGTCAACGGCGTTCGCGTTTCGGTCGACTCGTCGTTCTACACCGTCACCACGACGGTTCACGAGGATTTCATCGAGTCGACGATTCGCGCGAAATCCCGGTAACTTGTCCGCAGACGGCAATTGGTATATGTCTATTTGTTTTCCGCTAGAACGCGCTCGGCGTCGTTCTCATGCGTCGCCGCGAACAGCGCCGGCGATTCGACAGAAGACGTCGCGGTGACGATCAAAGGTCCCGGCAGTCCGCCGTCGGAGATCACGCTGATCGCCGAGACCAACGGCTACACGCTGGCGTGGAAGCCGCCATCACACCCAAATGGTGTGATAACGGTTGGCTCCAATAATGAGTTCGAAAATAGAGAAAGCTTGCTCATTCAGAAGTACGTCGTCTACTACACGCTGAATCGCGAGGATCCGCTGTCGGATTGGACGAAAATCGATTTGGACGGAAGCGAGAAGTCGGTGAGAATCGAGAGCGCCACCGACGAAAGCTTCTACGCGCGAGTCCAAGCGGCCACCGAACTCGGCCCCGGCATCATTTCCGACGTGGTGGCGATGGAGCGAGACAGTGAGTGTCGATTCGAATCCGAATTCAACCAAACTCGTTGTGACAGCGCAACCGATCTCGCTGGAGATGGAGTTCAACGGCGAGCCGGCCGAACACATGAAGGCGTTCGTCGTCGATCCCGACGAGCCGCTGTCGCTTGAATGTCGCGCGCGCGGCAAACCGCGTCCGTCGATCGCGGTGGCGATCAGCGATCGTCGAAACGCGAGCCGCGTCGAGGTCGACGTGTGGCATCGTCTGCCGGCGACGTCGTCGGCCGGCGTCGTCGTCGGCGTCGTGCACAACGTCAGTGTGCTCACCACCAAATTTGTGCATTGTCGCGCCAAAAACTCGGCGGGCAGCAATTATTCGACGATCGAGCTTCGCGTTGACAGTGAGTGAGTTCGCGCATTCTCATTTTTTTTCTTCGTTTGCCTTTTTTCTCCGATCGCCCCGTCGACGCCGAATGCGCTCAAAAACGATTTCAGAGCCCGGCGACGCGCCGACCGGCGTTCAAGTGTTGAGTGTGAACGCGCTCGACGCCACCGTCGTATGGCATTCGCCGCAGTTTCCCAATCTGCCGATTACGGTACTTCATCATTCGCTCATCCACCGCGCAAAAGATGGTCCCATAATTGTAGAGCTACATTATTCTGGCGAGTAAGGACGAGGACGCCGACAAATCGCTCTGGCTACAGTATGAATCGAACGCGAAGGAGACGCAGATCAATCGGTACGAGACCCGATTTGTGTTTCGTATTTCGGAATCGAGCTTTTTCTAGAATGTTGCTCCAGACGAGCCATTTTGAGAAGTCGACAAAATACTATGTTTGTGTGCGCGCGAAGAATGACGCGGGTCTCGGGCCGATCAGCGACGTCACCTCGTTCTACACGCTCAACGGCGGTCCCGACGGCGCGCCGATGAAGCTGCGGGTGTTCATCAACGAGGCGAACCAGGTGATTGTTGTATGGAAGGCGCCCAACTCGTCGACGGAAGTTACAGTAAGCCACAAAATTAATGAAAGCGTCGATCTCGATCGTTCCAGGGCTACATGATCTACTACACTCGCGATTTGAGTTTGTCCAACGACGACTATCGATCATGGCAGATGGTGGAGACCAGCGACGAGTCGAATCGATTCAAATTCGATCACTCGATCGGCCTCAAACCGAAGACGTTCTATCGCGTTCGAATCTCGGCGAAGAACATCCACGCCGAAGGTCCGCCGTCGGAGACCGTCGAATTCGAAACGGCCTACTCGGAACTGCCGATACCCACCGACATCAAGACGGAGGTGCTCGATGACAACACGATTCACATCCGATTCACCGCCGTTCGCGATCCCGACGACTACTCGAAAGCCATTGACAATTATCGCATCGAGTTGTCGGCTACTGATGATGTGATGAACGCCGTGTGGAAGACGATCAAACCGAAATCGGTGACGATCGACGAGCTTAGCTCAATGGTAGGCGAGAATCAATGTGTCCGCAGATGGCATTTTTTTAAAAATTATTTGCTAAAGCATTTCCCATCTGCGGACATTTCGATTCTCTAAAATAAATGATTAGGTAGACGTCGAAATCGAGGGTGGCGACGCGATCGAGAAGAATCGAATGTATTGGGTGAAGGTGACGGCGCGCCTCGAGAATTCCGCGTGGATTGTGCAATCATCAAAACCGAGATGGTTCCGAACCGGACATGGAAGTGAGGAAGGGACCACTATGATTTTAATACTATCATGATGAGATTCAGAATTAGTCACCACCGTCGCCATATCGGAATCGCCGTTGATCGAGAAGGAGCCGAATTTATACGAAAAGCTCGTTTTGACGTGCACCGGCGTCGGCAGCCCGGCGCCGGTCATCACGTTCGCCTGGCAGAATCGATCGATCGACAACGGCACCGATGGATGGGAAGCCGTTGAGTCGATGGAAGACGAGAACACGATTCTGTATGTCGTCGGCGAGAGCTTGAACTCGATAATCTTGTGCGTGGGCGTTTCAGAGTGGTGCTGACTCGAAACAGTATTCGCGAATCGGGCAATCTCACGTGCATCGGCGTCAACGACGAGGGCAACTCGACCGATTCGGTCGAGATTCGAGTGCTCGGACCCGGCAGTCCGCCGGAGGGCATCAAGCTCGTCGCCTATCGCAATCAGATCAACGTGACATGGATGACGCCGACGCTTCCCAACGGCGAGATCACGGTAACGTCTGTCCGAAGAGCCAATCAAGCCGAATGATTGCAGAAGTACATTGTCTATTTCACGGACCATGAGAATTATGAGTTGTCGGATTGGCATAAACTCGAGACCGTCGAGCATCGCGCGAGCTTCGACGCGTTCGCGCCCAACCATCGGCATTTCGTCAAAATCCAGGCGGTCTCGCAATTCGGACCCGGCATCATTTCGGACCAATTCGTGTGCACCTCCGACGTTCTGTGTAGGACGGCTGAGTTGACGATTCAGTTTTCTCAATTTTTTTTTTTGAATTCCAGTTGAGCCTTTGGAATTGGAGATTCTCGCTGAGAACATTGTCGACTTCGAGGCCGAACCGAATCAGAATGTGCGAATCGTGTGTCGCGGCAACGGTCGGCCGCTTCCGACGCTTCACTTCAAATTTGGCAATTCGAGCGAGCTGGCGTTCGAGCGCGTCGAGCTCGCCGATGATGGAACGTTCGAGGCCACCGCGCCCGAGGTCAACTCGCGTCGAAACCTCACCGTCGCGTGTCGCGCCTCGAACAAATATGAGAATGTGACGATCAGTCGGATTGTCATGATTAAAAGTGGGTGAGCCCCCCCCCCCTCTACGACGGACCATTGCACCAACATTCTTTGTTTCGTGTTAGGACCCGGCGAGGCGCCGAGCAACATCACGTGGAAGTTCGATGAGAATGATGATTCGTTGATGTTCATTGATTGGAAGCCGATCGAGAATCCGAACGGTCGCAATCTCGTCTACAATTTGTATTTGTCGAATTTCAAGACGAAAGTGTCGGGACCGCCGGTGAAAATTCCCGAGGTGAGCAGCATTCAATCATCTGCGGACATTTTCATTTTTGAGATACCGCTCAACGTCAACGTCACACTCCGAATCAGCGCCGAGAACGAGTACGGCGAAGGCGAGAAGAGCTGGCCGATTGTGATACCGACGCCGAACGGCGGTCCGAAATCGCCGCCCGTCTTGTTGTCGCTTCACGCGCAAGCGAATCGCGTGCACGTCACGTGGCAGAAGCCGTCGAAGCCGAACGGCCGCCTCGTCGCCTACACGATCTACTTCAAGACGGACGAGGCGAACGCCGGGTGGAAGGTGAGCGCGACACGAAACGAGCCTCTCTCAGCGCCAAATTCCCCGATTTAGACGGTCGAGTTCGATGCGAACACGACGATGGCGGTGCTCGACGAGTCGCACGGGCTCGAGCCCAACCGCAAGTATCAATTGATGATGACCGCGAGAAACGAGCTCAATGAAGGGCCGCCGTCATCGGTAATCCCAGACGATTGGCACAGCTGATTGATTCATTTTCAGATTGTCACATTCGATTTGGTGACTTTCGGAGATGGCGACGTCATCGCCAACTTCACCGCCGTCTATCTCAACGAGACGATCGTCATCAATTTCGAGGCGTCGCCAAACTTCAAGGTGTGTCGCCGCTCGTTGTCGTATTCAATCAATGATTGCCTAGAACTATCACGTCTACATTCGCGAGACGACCGCCGACACGTTCGAGATGGTCGCCGTCGAGACGCGCGACGCTTCCGACGACACGATCGCGTTGCCCAATGTGGCGCTGAAGGCGTCGAGCGCCTACAAACTGAAATTGGCCGGTGTGCGCAACACACGCGAGGGTCCCATCTCGTCGGAGGTCGACGTACAGTACGCCGTGGCGACACCGCCGACGCCTACCGTAACCGCGAGGCGCAACATCGTCAAAGAGCCGCCGTTATAGCCAACCCATTCTCTTTCATCATTTCTCATTTCTTTTTTTCGTTCTCGGGTAGTTTGTTTTTGAGGCGCACAGCAAAAATTGAAGAAAAATAAAAATAAAAACTGGTTCCTCCCCCCCCCCCCTCCTCCCTTCTTATCAATCGGAATGTCGTCAGACGCGTTGCGGTCGGCGCGCGCTTTCCGCGAGTTCAACAAATAATCTGTGTTGATCATTCTTTTACAATTCTTTTCCGATATCAACAAAATTGCAATTGTTCAATTTATCATCGACTAGTAGCCCATGCATTTTTTCAAGACGGGAAACTCGCGCGGGAAGCCGCGCTCGACTTGTGGAATGATCGCCATCGCGCAGTCGACTTTGAAGCAATTCTGAAATGCACAACCAATTAGTTGAGATGCGCCTTTAAACACAAATCGAGGAAGCTCGAATGTCGGCTCAAACGTTTGACGAGCACAACGCGAACAATTCTTGCGGCATGCGCCTTTAAATCGACTCACCGCCAATTGCGTTTGCAATCCTTTCGCCGTCGGCGTCTTCGGCAAAATTCGCGCCATACACCGCTGACCGCGCTTCTTCAACTTCAACTGTGTCGCCGGATCAGTGGGCACCTTCTGAAAATCTCAATGGTCCCTAAATTATCGAGGCGAACCAAGGAGCAAACTCACATAATCTAGGCATTCCGACGCAATGATGAGAATCGCAAAAATCGCGGCAAACACCAATTTCGGCATGTTCACTTCCAAACTCTTGGGGCTGATGCGCCTTTAATCGACCATTTTGGGCGGGTGTCTTAAAATCAAGCGCCGCCCCCAACCAGTTTTTGTCCGAAAAAAAAACAACAAAACTGAAATTTTAAAACAAAAAAAAATGAAAGAAATGACCAATGTTCTGGAATCTTTATATCTAGTAAATAGTAGTAGATCAAAAAGAAACGAAGAGAAAATAAATAATTGCAAAAAATGAACAAGATCGAATAAATTAGAATGATAGAATTTGCTCGATATGCGGATTGGGGGAAAAAAAACAAAAACATTTCCTTCGGTTCCTCTTTTTTTGTCGCAAAAGGCACTAATTAGTGTAGTCAAAGAAAAATGATTGAAATTGTTGAAAATTATAGTAATAATTATGATGAATTATAATATTCATAATACTTTTGTCGCAAAATCATTCGACGAAATATTGATTGATTGGTGTACACAGGTGATCAACACGTTGGTCTCAAAAAAAAAATGAAAGAAAACATTTTCTTTTTGGAATTTTCTCTTGAAAAAAAAATGTTATTATGTCTCAAAGTCGGAATTTTCTCTGGATATATCGGATTGGAAAAAATAAGAAGAAGAAGAAGAAGAAGAGGAATAAAATAAAAACGAAAGCGCCGAGAGAAATATATAAATTATTGGTTATAGTAATAATAATAATAATAATTAAAATTCGCGCCAATTCATTTCTTTTTCTTTGGTGGCCATTGCCATTCTACATTATGATGCAAGAGCAACACTGCTTGTTCGAGTGGCCCGCACGACGGCCCGATTCCGGATAGCGGCGATTGATCTGACGCACCAAATCGTAGAATACCTGCAATCTCATTTTCCACGGCACTTTCTTGAAATCCCAATTTTCTGCATTTCCTTCTCAAAAAAAAACCTATTCCGCGAATCGCCATCAAACAATCCGATGACCCAAATTTGGCAAACTATTCTAAATAAAACACAAAACGCCAGAAAAAAAATCAAAAGACGTCATAGTTCTTTTTTTTGTATTTTTGAAAAACGAACATGATATGAATGATGATGGACCAAGTTTGGTAAACATCGCATTTCAAAAACAATTTTTGACCAAAAAAAAGAAATAATAATAAAATTTCGGGCGGCAAGTCCAAAGTCCAAAAAACAAAAACACGCACCTCGCTAACATTGATTTTCGCCTTCGCCGACGTCTCGAGAAACGCCGAGCCGAATTGCCTCGCCAGATTCTGTCCCTGATCTTTGCCGACGACTCGCTCGTCCTCCAAATCGCACTTGTTTCCAACGAGAATCATTGGCACCTGACGACAAAAAAAAACATCATCAGGTTTTCGTTTTAAGACCTTTTTGAACAATTTTAGTTTTGTGCGTTTCAAAAATGCGTCTCTCGCCGTTGAATAGCTAGCCTGCGCCTTGAAAACCATATCCATACCTCATCGGCGTCTTTGACGCGCAAAATTTGATCTCTGAGATCCATCAAATCATTGAATGTCGACTGGGCGGTGATCGAGTAGACGAGCACAAAACCTTGCCCATTTTTCATGTACAAATCGCGCATCGCTGTGAATTGCTCCTGCAAATCATAACAATTGAAGGAGAGGGGTCTTGACGCGACGACTTACAGTTCCAGCCGTGTCGAGAATCTCAAGCATACATTGTTGTCCATCAACTTCGACTTGCTGCAAAAAAAAAACAAATTCAAATAATTTTGTTTTGTGAGAATCTCAAAAAAAAATGCCCAACCTTCCTATAGCTGTCCTCAATCGTCGGATCGTACTTCTCAACGAAAATCCCTTGAACAAATTGGACCGTCTGAAAATTGGAGCGAAAAAAAATTGACAAAAATAAGCGATAAATGAGCATACCAACGCCGATTTTCCGACACCGCCGGAGCCGAGCACGACAATCTTGTACTCACGCATGGTTTCTCGCGTCGCGTGTGTGGCAACTCCTCGACCGATTCGGCTTGGCGCTGCTGCCTCACTGCAAAAACGACCTCGTCAACGGGGAAAAAATGCAAAATTTCGAGCCGATCAAAAAAAAAGAGAGAGAGAGGGAGAGAGAGAGGGATTAGTTGAATCATCATCTCATTTCAGTGCCGTGCCATTTTTCTAATATTCCGCCATTAACACGTTTCCGACCATTGACCTTTTAAGGGATGCTCAATCGAAAAGTTCACATCTATTTTCGGCAAATGTTAGGGATTTTGCGTTTGCCAGAGAATTTGATGCTAAATGTCAATAAAAGATTAAAATGCTGAATTTGGGGACAAAAATCAATTCTAAAAACGAGAAAGATTCGCTAAAATTGTCGATGAGTATAACTTAAAGGCGCACACAACGCGCGTCAAGACCTCTTATTCAATTGTTTTGACATTTAGCCGATTTTCCGCATGTCGATTATAAAGTCAATGTCGATTGAAAAAATACGACGTTGCATGAGAAAAAAAAACAGCACAATGCATACCAAAACAATTGAATAAATCTTTCAAAAAATTATTTAGAAAATCCAAATTGTGGCAGTTCCGAAAAAAATCTAGAATTTTCATGACAAAGATCAAAAAAAAAATTTAAAAATTGAATTTTTCCCTTTTCATTTTTTTTACTACCCCACAACTTTAAAGATTTTAAGGAAAAACATCTGCTTTTTTAAGGTTGAGCTCAAAATTGTGCATTTTTAAAACTTTTAAACTGGCGATTTTCAAAAATAAATTTAATTGCGCGGGCTGCCAATTAATTGGTCCCGTATAAAAAAAACAGGCCATCATACTCCATTAATTAAAATTTCTTTAAAATATAACCCAAATGCTAAAACATATAGGATACTCTTTCAAGTTATAATGGTTAAATGAGGCAAAATTCATTCCTAAGGATAATTCCATACGAGACACAAGGCGGCAATTCAAATGAACCATTAATAATAATAATTTTAGCATTATTTTTAAACGTTTAATCAATAAAAATGAATTTAAGTACTAGTCGGAGCCCAACTCAAATCAATATTGAATTTTTTGATTAAACCGAGCGACACCAAAAAAATGGGGGGCTGTGTGGTGAGAGAACCAAAACAATCGAATGAGTCATACACGCGTCACTCGCTTCGTTTTATACATTTTTTGATGATAATAAACCATAAAAATTTGATATCTAGGCAAAAAACGAGAAACCAGCAAAGAGAAAAAAAATCATAATAACTTTGTGACGGAAATTCGCTCAATTTCCGCAACGAATTTCCTGCGGCTCGCATCGGACCGCGTCAGTTGGCATTTTTTTTACTCGTTTGCGTGATAACGCAACATTTTTCACACACACACATACGCGATGAGCAAAAAATTTTTGTTTTTAAAAATGTGCCAATCGAGAGCGAATTTCGCAACAATTTTTGAGTGTTTCACTACGAAAAAAAAATTCGGCATTTTTTCGGATTTTTTTTTTCAGAAAAAGAGAAGCCTGTTATGAAATTTGAGATATTCAAATTTCTTTCTGAAAAAAAATTCTAGCTTCATCGAAAATTGCAGATTTCTAATGGTCATTACCTGAAAATTCAAAAATCGGGCCAAAATTTTTTTTAAACAGAAAATTTACATTAAATTTCAGCCAACATGATAATTTCCCTTTTAACGGTGGCGATTATCAATATATCGGATCAGATTGGATCAGATCGGATCGAATAACAATAAAGATGAAAATTTTATGAAGAAAGCAGAAATTGATATGACAAATGGATTAATGAAGATAACGTGATTGTCTGATTTCTAATCTTGACTCATTTTTTAAAAGTCCTGCAAAATGTGAAAATCAAAGCTGTTTTATAAATAAAATGAGTAATTTTAAATGACAAAAATGCGAAAATGAGAAAAACTCTCAGAAATGTGCAAATGAATTTGAAATTATACCAAAAGAATTTAGTTCTAAACAATTAATGAATTCAATAATTTCGCAAAATGTAGAGTATCGAGTAATTCAGCACAAAAAATGCAATTTTACATTGACAAATGCAATTTTATTGCGCTGCGTTCGAAAAAACATGAGAAATAATCAATAGAAGAGTGCAAATAAGCAAATCCATCGAAAAATTCGCGCATTTTTCAGTTTTCTCGCTGAAAAACCACAAAAAACCAACAAACAATCAATAATGGTGATTTGTGTGGCGGCGGAAAATAAATGAGCGACGATATTTCAAACAACCGTCCAATGGAGCGCGTTTGCAACCAATCAATTGCAATATTTTTGCAATCGATCAATAAAATTCAAAATCAACATAATTGTGCAAAAAGTGACGTTTTGAAACGGGTATCGAAACCGCCTAGCAAATATATGTATACACACAGGCAAGAGAGAGGCACACACACACACACCTCGCCATCGGTATCGATACTATACGGAGAGCGAGATGGGCGAGAGAGTGTGTTGAAACGAGAGACGCATCGACGGGGAAAAAAAAACGAGGCGTCGTTCGTCGGTTTCATCGCCGTCCATCGGAAAATTGAAATGATCGATCGATTTTCGACGACGAGGAGAATATGAGTGCATTTTATTCGGTCGGGGCCGACGACGCCTAATCGGTGTCGCCAGCGGCCACACATAATTTTACCATTATTATGCCCCCCCCCCCTCTATGACAGTTTCAATAGGGTCTCCAAGACAATTCATCAAAGCAGCGCCGTGAAATTGGGCTATTTAAAGGCGCATCGAAATGGTTATTGAGGTTGGCGAGGGTCGCGCTTAAAAGACGCAATTTGAAACATTTTCGACTTTTTTTTTTGGTTTTGCTGAAATATTTAATATTCACATAACAGGCCAAATAATATTTGAGAGCACTTTTTAATTAAACAATGAAATTCGGTGCAATCACGGCGTACGAACTCTGCGGACTTTAGGAAGTTATTTACTCACAAAAATCTAGAAATTTCTGAAATAATGGAAAGTGTAGACCACAAAAAATGAAGAAGAATGAAAGTGCGTGGTCGCCATACCCATAATGAAGTAATATACGGTGTATGTGGCGTGCGAGATGTGATTAGGAAAATGAAAATAAATTAATTATATGTCGCAATCGCGCAAATGCGCCTTTTACATTTGATTAATGCATATAGTTGGTTGACATTCATGCTTGTAAATGTCAACCGGATATTTATAGAACGGAAAAAAAGGAGACAGCAAAAAAGCGGATTTATTTCTGCACATGCATTCGACATTTAATGTGCACTTTTCGGCGACAGATTATATGATGATGGGGAGGCTCAAAAACGAAATGAAATGGTTGAATGGAGCGAGCTGGAAAGAAAAAAAAAGCGAAAGAAAGGCAATAAAAAAAGCGGAACGATGGCGTTTTATGATGAGAAAAATGTGGGACGAAATGAGCGGAAATCGAAAAATAAAACGATAGATTTGAGGGACGTGGCCGAGAAATCCGCGCAAATCCTCGGCCATTTTGCATAGATTTCCGGAAACGCGAATGTGTTTTGCCGTTCGGCGCGTTTAACGCCGCGCATTTTTTTTCCAACATTGTTTGCTCAAGAAAGCGAATGAACAAGATTAGCGGTTCGCCGACAAATGGAGAAGAAGAAAAAAATGAAACGGGTGTTCGATTCTCAAGTTACACGGACATCATCTGGCCGGCGTGAAATGATGCCAGATGTCATTTCTATCGAAAAATGATGCAGAAAAAGGTTGATTTTGATTTTTCAAACATCTGTCATTAAATTTTTTTTTGTTTCCCAAGGAAAATGAGGCACAATTCAACGAGCTCGTTCGTCGAATAATTAATCGAATCGAAAATTTTGGAACAATTGAGGGGTTCGGCGATGCTCAAATCATTCAGATTATTGAGAAGATCATCGAGATTTTGACGCCATTGTCGGCGACTATCGAAATTTTGTCGCCGGTTGTCGTTTTTGGCGACATTCATGGACAATTGGCTGACATGTTAAGGTTTGTCGAACTTATAAAATTGGAAATTTCATTTTCATACTCGGTTTTTGAAATCGTAAAACACAATATATACGTATTCATTCAATTCTGATTAATCAAATTAACTAATCCATCAAAGGTGGCCGTGGCCGAACCGAATTTTTGAGGACAATTTTTCTAGGCCACATTGCATATTTTTTATAAGGAAATCATTGCAGATTTGTCAATATTGTCGGAAGACCTCCACATTTTCAATTTTTGTTCCTCGGGGATTATGTTGATCGCGCTGAAAGATCGCTAGAGGTTTATAGAAAAAAAAAAACAATTTTTCGAAAAATGAAAAATGTCAGAAATTTGAAAATTTTACAAGAAAATTAATCGCAAAAATAGTTTTTTTTTTGTAGTTTAATCTCCTCCCAATCCTATAATCGATTTTTCAAGGTGATCATGTGGCTATTTTGCATGAAAATTCTGCACCCAAAAAAGGTGCACTTGCTACGTGGCAACCACGAGATTCGACGAATCAATGCGGTTTATGGGTTTCGAGAGGAAATGCGAAGAAAACGACCAAACGCCATTTGGAAATTCATGAATGATGTGAAAATCGCCATTCAAATCAAAATAATCGCAAAAAATTTTTTTTTGTTTTGAAGGCATTTTGCCAATTGCCAATTTGCGCCATCATTTCCCGACGAATTCTATGCATGCATGGCGGATTGTCGGAAAATATCAAAGATATTGGCACTCTAAGGGAGCTGAAGGTCCCACCTGCAAATAAGGTTGAAAGCTCAAAAACAAGAATTGCTTCAGAAGCCCGTCCAACACAAATGCTGCGAGGAAAGCATTGTGGTGGATTTGCTATGGGCGGATCCGAGTGTGGAGAGCGATGAAGTGAAATTCAATTCGGTGAGTCCCACTATCAAACTACCATAATAATATATATATATATATAGGCTCGCGGGATTTCGTGCACATTCGGCGAGAAGCTGGTGAATCAGATTTGCTCAAATTTGGGCATTGATATGATCATTCGCGGGCACGAGCTCGAGAATAATGGCCATCGATTTCTATTCAACAATCGACTTTTGACCGTCTTCTCGGCGCCCAATTACAGCGGATTGTTTTCGAATAAGGGCTCGGTGAGCATTGATTTCAATTTTGCCTATCCGATGTCGCTGGTTGAGGTGTTGAAAATCTCGCGAAGCTTGAAAATCCAAGTGGTGACGCTGGTGCCGGAAAAGAGTGTTGAATCGCTCAACCTTGACACACTTCATAGAATGCAAGCGATTAATGAGTTCGATCCGAGGAAGCCGGCGGCGAATCGTACGAATCTCGAACTTGGCCCCTCAAATCGTTTTCAGCTTCTTGCCGATCGCATCGATCGCACACCTCGTCGGGCTTCATCGCGATCGACTCGATGTACGCGCACGACACCAAAAATTGTCGCATCGTTGAGACGAGACGCGCGAGTTCGCTGACGTCAGTCGTTTGATGTGTTCGGAAGAGGAATGAATCTGAATCGATTTCAGAAGTGTGACACCAATTTGTCGGACGCCGCCAAGAGCGAGCACGTCGAGAGAAAGTTTGTCGAATTTGGAGATGAGCTCGAAGCCGATTTCAGCGTGAGAGACCTTTTTTTCCAGCTTCAATTCGACCATTTCATTGAGATGTTGCAAACGCGCTCCATTGATAATCGAAGAACACTTTTTTTTTCTTCTTCTTCTTCTTTCAGCGATGACAACATGTCGTTGGCTTCAATTAAACGCGTGTTGACGAAAGCTGAAGCTGAGGACTTGATGTCGCCAAAGGCGCCAACACCAACACCACAATTGGTGAAGAACGAGGAAACGAAAAACACGTTGTGAAAAATTGAATAAATTCATCTCTCTTGTTGAGGAGAATTGCGCGAAAATTGAATTTTTGAAATGTCCGCAGATGGTTCTTCTATTATCGAGTTCAATTTTCTATTTATCAATGTTGCAATTGCGCTCCATTGGGCGAAAATTTTGCGCGTTTCCAAGCTCCCATATATATATTTTTTGGGCCTTTTTTTTCCGACGAAACCGATTTTCTCGTTAAAAATGCGAGACGAAACGAAAAAAGGTCGTTTGAAAATGAATAATAATGCCAAATAAAAGGTGCTATGGAAACGCTGAAACGGTGGTGGCGTCGTCGTCGTCGGCGGTCGAATATAATTATATAGCCGTATAGTATATTCAGATGAGCTTCGACATCGGATAATCCCCCGGGTTTTGGAATCGATAATTCCCCCGGGCTCTCTCTCGTCTTGCAATCCGCACATTTTTGTTGTTGTCGCGCAATCCCCGAAAATTGTCCGCAGCCCCCCGTTTTTGCGATAATTCAATTCGGCTATCGAATTTCAGCTGCTTGGTGTCAAAATCCGAAGCGCTTTCAATTTCAAATAGGTGCATCGAATGGAGCTCGTAAAAGAGAGAAAAGGATGTGTATATTGAAATCTCATTCCATCCCCCTCTCACACACCAACGGTTTATTTTTTTTTCTTGCGTTTCGCTTCAGCCTTCAGCTTTACATTCCTAATTACCACCGTCTCGCGGCGCACACAACCGCCAATTATTAGCAAGATGCGAAAAGGGAGAAGCTGCCGGATTGAAAATTGAGATTTTCGCGTTTTTTTTTCGTGCTTTCCTCGATTCACTTTTTTTTCTCAATTCAATTTCAGACAATATGCTGAAATTTGCCGATAATACAATTTTTTTAAAACAGTCCCATTGTTTCAATGGTCCTTAGGTGCCGTGCTCCAATTGCTCGTCCTACAGTATTCTGACGTCCTTCAGAATCATCAGCCAGCTGAAATTGATCGCCAATTATGGGAACCCTAGAGGTCAAAAAAGAGAAGTGCGCGTGGCCCGTAAGAATGTCGGCAGATGGTTGGCGACTTCCAAGCCAACGGCAGGATTTGCCGGGAATTCGCCAATTGGGACCATCAGGCGTCGGCTATGGGACCATTTCAAGAAGTAGATGCTATTCCACCTCGTCGATCTCATATTTCGAGAAGAACGTGACTTGTTTCATCGACGGTGACCAGATTCTGAAATATACCGGCTGAGCAAACCGGATGAATGTCCGCAGCTACTTCCAACTCGCCGACATTGCACAAGAAGCCGTCATTGAGCTGAACGACACTAGCTAGCTCTCTGAAATCCAACTCCTCGAATCTCGTCCATCGGCACCGGCTTCAGAAGCATCGGAAATCGAGCCTAGGATTTTTTTTTTCGAGAAATCACTGAATCACCTCCAGAGCTCTTTGAGCTCATCATCGAATCTTCGAAACGCGTCGGGCAACTTTGATCAATGTGATCCGATTCCATCCGATGACGATCCCATCAATGATGGCTGCCGGTGGTACGATGCCAGGATTGCAATTTTTGATGATTCCAATTTTTTTTCAATAGAAATTGCCAAACTATTTTTAACCCGCAACATGTCGGCAGCTGCCAATGCATATACCAAAATCGCTCACCACAAAACGCTTATATCCCAAATCGTGGCGAGACTCAATTTTACTATTAAAGGCGCACGGTGGAGGTCGAATTCTGATCTCCTACAATAATCTCTGTTATTCCGCTTAAAGGGTGGGGGGGAGGGTGGATTAGGAAGAGGTCTTGGCGAGCCCGTAAATCGACACCATTCAGGTTGCTCTTGAAGCCCCCCGCTTCTCCAACATCCATTATAATACATATGTGGAAATCACGACAATGATTTTTTTTTTCGGCGCTCACGACTACAACTCGTCGGTTGCTATATAATTTATATCGTGAGACAATTTTTTTTCGCCTCCTTCTTCTTCTTACTCACGAGCATTTCGCGTTATCACGAGATTCAAAGCGCTCTCAACTCTCATGAATTATTAGTAATGAGACGTCGGCCATTCAAGCGCCACCACTCGATATCGGAGGGGGCGCCCGAGATTTTTTCCCACAATTCTACTGCCCCCCCCCCATGATCCCCCACGCCATCTGCGGACATTTCCATTGTTTTTTTTTTCAAATTTTTTTTGAGAAGAACGTAAAAGACAACAGAGAAAACAAAAATTATAGCGAAACGCGATTTGAGGGATACGAAATTGTGCATCGTTTCGTTGAAATTCCGGAAAGAAAATCTTGATTTATGTGTATAATGGATCGTTTCTGAAATGAAAATTGCGCCTCATTTTTTTTTCGTAAGGGCTCAGAGTGTGGAAACACCAATTCTTCTTCCCCCCCCCCAATCCATCCATCCATTCATTCGCGCAAAAATCCGATTTTCGCGCAGTTTTATCAAAAGGACGGAAAAAACGACGAATGGTCTCCGGGGAGCTGTACATTTATACAGCGGAGTTAGGCGGCGAGAGAGCGCACAGGTTGGCGAGACGCCGACAACGGATATCTATCAGTTTTTGCGCGCCTTCTTCTCCTTCCATTGCTCCTCGTCCTCGTCATTTCGGGCCGACGATTTTGGTTTTCAACTTTCTTTCGTATTTCAAATTGTACGTGGCTTCTCGATTGTCTCAAATCTCGTTATGACAATTCTCATCTGCGGACAATTTCCGTGTTTGAAAATTGCTCGCAGAAGACGAAATAAGATCGCTCTTTAAATTCTTTATAGCAATTTTCATCTGCGGACAATTTCGGGGTTTGAAAATTGCTAGCGAAAGACAAAACAAGCTTAGCCTCAAAACTTCTTATAACAATTCCCATCTGCGGACAAATTACGCAGATTGAAAATTGCACAAAGAAGGTCCTGCTGATTCGTCTTCAAAATTCCATATACCAATTTTCATCTGCGGACAATTTTGAAGCTTGAAAATTGCTCAAAGAAGGTCTTGCTGATTCGTTTTCAAAACTCCTTATAACAATTCCCATCTGCGGACAATTTCGGGTTTTGGAAATTGCTCGCAAAAGACGAAACAGTCTTGACCTCAACACTTCTTATACCAATTTTCATCTGCGGACAATTTTGAAGCCCAAAAGCCAAACTGATTACTCCTCAAAGTTCTCCATAGCAATTCCGAGGTTGGCGGGCGGATTACGGTAGCATTTCGTGACGGGACGAAACGTCATCGAGAAGAGAGAAAAACGTGTTGGGGGGGGGGGCGCGCTTCTTGACGAACGAAATCTAGTTAAAAATTCGCGCCCAAAAAAAAAGTTGTGAGCTCGAGAAAATCGCATTTTTTCTCCTCCCCCCATTCGCGCCTTGACGGCCATCGTCTTGCTATTGGTTTTGAAAAGGAAGGAAACCAGGAGAAGCGCGCGTCGTAACCAAATTTGGCGCTTGACGAACAATCGCAATCAGTGCCTCCCTTTTTCGCTTCTTCTTCTTCTTCTTCTTCTCCTTTGACTACTTTCAAGCTTTTCCCCCAAAAACCCCATTTTTGATTTTTCTTTAAATGTACCAACCCGTCAACTGTCCGCAGCACAATCAAAAGTGATCCTATTGGTTGCTTTTACCGTTTTAATGAATTTCTCAGGTAGTTATTGATCTGCGGACAAATTGCGGGTCACGTTTTCAATAGATTACTTAAGTTGATATTCATGAGCCGCCACATGTCCGCAGCACACATTTTGTATAGCGATGATGTCAGTGGCTGGCGGCGTTGGGGCCGATTCAATTCACATATAAACGGGATACCGTGTGAAAATCGCGACGTCTCGAATTTCAACGTCTCCCATATTTGGCTGTGGTGTATTGTGGGTGAGGGAGGGGGGGGGGTCCTACTAATGAATTATTTCACCATATTTTTTCATGCTTTACTACTCAAAAAAAGAAAATTCGAGAATTGATTCATCTTCTTTCTGGTTTGTTTTATTTTTGTTGCCTTTTTGAGAAAATCGCGACAGGTTGATGAGCCGTCTAATTGGTCCAATTGAGCAACGCGTGAATGCCTCACCAAATGAGCTTCATCATAGGCATCTTGCGCGGCTCAAAGCACTGCTAAGGCTTTTGGGGGGGGGGGGACGAAGAGGCGGCTCGAAATCAATCATGCGCATTTCGAATTTGGCACCACGGCGATCTGAGCCGAAATGAAGAAGAAGAAAAAACTAAAGACAATAGATGAGCCGAAATTTGGCTAGGGGCCTCCTCACTTTTTCTTTCATATTTGATTTTTTCATCGCAAAACCCAGCAACAACACTTTTTTTTGTTGTGTGCCGCAACCCGGAAGATTGTCCGCGTCTCAATTTCAATTTCATTCATTTCAACGAATTCCATTCGAACCGTTCGAGCGAAATTGCTCGTTTCTCGTTGAAACCCCGCCAACTGTCGGCAGCACAAAATTATTAACATTTTCAGACACCTCCCCCTCTTCCATTACTCAATTGATCAATGATGTGCGTTCAACTCTAATCGGCGATCATCGAAAAAATAAGGTAGGCTGGGCGAGAATCAAGCCGAAACGACAATTCCTCCCAACTCCTCACCAAACGAAAGAAAAAAAAGAAGGGGCGTGGCCCTGTTTCTCTGTTTCTCTCGCGTCTCTCAGCGCCTCATAGTCTCTCTCTCTCTCTCTCTCAGTCGCGCGCGCGCACGCAGTCAAACAACAACAACAACAGCAAAAGCAGGAAAAAAATAAAATTGAACGAAACCACGCCCCCTCATTTTTTTCCTTCCTCCAATTCCCCTCCTTCCCCCTCCAAATTGTTTTGTGTATTTTCTCATTTATTTTTTTTTTGTTGTTGCAATTTCTGCTCGAAATATTCGATTTTTAGGGAGGCCGAGAGAGAGGCTTGAAAAAAAATCAGGCGCTGAGAGACCATCCCTGCCCCCTCGATTCCCCCCCACCCGAATCACCAGAAAAAAAAAAAGAATGGGCTTCAACGTGCCGATCATCAATCGCGATTCGGAGGCGCTCAAAACCGACGCGAAGCAATGGCTCGAGAAGAATGAGAACCAGAAGAAGTGCGTGCTGGTGATCGTCTCGATCGCGCTTCTCCTCGACAACATGCTCTACATGGTCATCGTGCCGATCATCCCGAAATATTTGCGCGACATTCACAACTATCAAGTCAGCTTCGAGGGCTATCACAATGAGACGGAGGTGTTGGCGAACGGCACCGTGCTGGTGCGCTCCGTCGGCGGCCACATCGAGTACAACGACGAGGAGCTTCAATTGGGCTGGCTGTTCGCCAGCAAGGCCCTTCTTCAGATCTTCGTCAATCCCTTCTCGGGCTACATCATCGATCGCATCGGATATGAGATTCCGATGATACTCGGCCTCTGCACCATGTTCTTCTCGACGGCGATTTTCGCGTTGGGCAAAAGCTATGGAGTGTTGCTGTTCGCCAGAAGTCTACAGGTGAGAATTGAAGACGTCAAACAAAAAAATTGGAAATTCTCGAAATTGACGCTATTAATTATGTTGACACCATGCTCGACTACTAATTAAGTCCCCCCTCCCCTCTCTTTTTTTCGTCTTCCTCTTCTTCCTCCACGTTTTCCCCTTTGAGAATTTCGAAGATTGCCTTACATGATAGTGCAATGAGAGGAGGGGGGGGGTCGGACTAAATTGGAACAAAAAGCGAAACGAAGAAGCGAGCAAAATAGGTTATTTTTATGAGCACTCCACACTTTTCTTCGTCTTTTTTTGGGGCGAAAATGGCAATTTCGAAAATTGTCCGCAGATGAGCATATGCAAAACTTTTAATTAAAGGCGCATACAGTAACCAGACATTTAATAATTCTTTGCGATTACTCTATTCATTGAATTTGGGTCCTCGTCAATTGTCCGCAGCATAGATTCTCCAAAGCATTCCATCTGCTCGACAACTCTGCGGGCTACAAGAAAAAAATCTCCATCAAAATAGGATTAATGCGATTCGCAATTGCAGGGCTTCGGCTCGGCGTTCGCCGACACCTCAGGCCTCGCGATGATCGCCGATCGTTTCACCGAAGAGGGCGAACGCTCGGCGGCTCTCGGCATCGCGCTCGCCTTCATCTCATTCGGCTGCCTCGTCGCGCCGCCGTTCGGCAGTGTGCTCTACTCGATCGCCGGCAAACCGGTGCCGTTTCTCATTCTCTCGTTCGTATGTCTCGCCGACGCGCTCGCCGTCTTCACCGTCATCAATCCGCATCGAAGTGTGGCGGCGACGACGGCCACCGGCGAGAAGGTCCAAGGTTGAAACAAATCTCAGATTCATTCCCAACCCCCGGAATTCCAGGCACCCCGATGTGGCGCCTATTCATGGACCCGTTCATCGCGTGCTGCTCGGGCGCCCTCATCATGGCCAACGTGTCGTTGGCGTTCCTCGAGCCGACGATCACCACATGGATGGCCGAGGTGATGCCGGACACGCCCGGATGGCTCGTCGGCGTCATCTGGCTGCCGCCGTTCTTTCCGCACGTGCTCGGCGTCTACGTCACCGTCCGTCTGCTGCGCGTCTTTCCGCACCACACGTGGGCGATCGCGATGACCGGATTGGCGATGGAGGGCGTCGCGTGCTTCGCGATTCCCTACACCACCACCGTCATGCAGTTGATCATTCCGCTCGCGTTCGTCTGCTTCGGCATCGCGCTCATCGACACCTCGCTGCTGCCGATGCTCGGCCATCTCGTCGACACGCGTCACGTGTCGGTCTACGGAAGCGTCTACGCGATCGCCGACATCTCCTACTCGTTGGCCTACGCGTTCGGGCCGATCATCGCCGGATGGATCGTGACCAATTTCAGCTTCACCGCGCTGAACATTGTGATATTCGTGACGAACGTCGGCTACGCGCCGGTGCTCTTCTTGCTCCGCAAAGTGCACACCTATGACGCGCTCAATCCGCAATCCGAGATGACGCAGCTCAACTCGTCGACGCAAGGGGCAACCTCGGCCTACGGCCAACTCGACACCACTATCAGCAACTCGTATCAAGGATGGGACGAGCAGGCCTCCTATCAGAACGGACCCGCCAAACCCAACGGACCACCAATGTCGTTCGCCGAATCGAAACCGCAACCCGAGTTCCCCGCCGGCTACGATCCATTGAATCCGCAATGGTGATCGATTGAAAGTGACCAAAACAACAAAAAAAAGCGAAAATTGAGAAATGCCAAATTAATAGCTCCTAGCCACGCCCCTTTTTTCCTATTTCTAACCTAATTTATTCGAGTCAAATAAAGTTGTAATGAACGATTTCTTTTTTTGGGATGGTGACGGGCGGGACGAATTGTCGGCCAATATCAAGGGTTTCATGATTTTCAGATGGACGAGAAGACGTGCAATGATTGGTACGAGGTTAGTAGAATCTCACGCTCCCCCATTCCAAGAGGGTCCTCTCATTCATGTCTCCTACAAAAACGTCGGTAGATTCGTATCAAGTTAATGAAATTTTTCAAAAAAAAAAAACCGGCCCCGATAGACGGCAAATTCAATTAAGTAAAGCGCGATTTTCTGAGGACCACTTACTTTTCGTTCGACTCTCTTGAGGGTTTTATCACCCCCCCCCCTCCTTTCGGAATTCGTGTCTCCAACTAATTAGTTTTCCTTCGCCATTTGTTGTCGTGTGCGTGACTCCACCAAACAAAAAAAAACCAGCCGCCAAGGGTGTGACAACCCTTATTTGGGTCCCTCTTCACAAAAAAAAAAATTATGCGATTATTATTGAAAGGTCTCGCCGGTGTGTGGAAAACGCACGCGCGCGACATCTCGATTAAGGTAAGGCGGGATCGTGCTGCCGACATTCTTGCGGGCCCGCGCGCATATCCATATTGCAGAATTCGCTTCCGAAGCCTCCAGTTCCGACGCTCAAGGAGACTCTTGACAGGTTTTGTGCAAATAACGGACCATTTCGTTATCAGCGATGATCGATGCCGTTTAGATATCTCGAGTATGCGGCCGTCGTCGCCGTCGGTCAAAAAGCGTCGCTGGCGCCGACGCACGAAGCGGCCGCCAAGTTCGTCGAGCAAGCCGCTCCGCTGCAGGACCAACTTCTCGAAATATCGAAGAAGCACGTGAATTGGGTAAAAATTGGTCCCAAAGCGGTTGGTTGCTTCATCACGATTGTAGGCCACCAAATTCTGGCTACCCGAGATGTACCTTCGAGTGCGTCTGCCGGTGCCGGTCAACTCGAATCCCGGCTACATTTTCCCGCGTGCGCAATTCCGCTCGAAAGCCGACCATTTGAAATACGCGGCGCTTCTCACGCGCGGTCTGATCGAATTCAAGAACAAAATCGATTTGTAATCGCCGTTTATAATGGTCCCCCAAAAAAATGGCCCCTATTGCAGGAAGGAAATTGAGCCGGAACGCTCGACGGGCACCCAGAAGCTCTACATGTGCATGGAGCAGTACGATCGCATTCTGAATTGCTATCGCGAGCCGGGCGTTGTCGAGGACACCCAAATCCGAAAGCCGAAGACCAACAAGGGCAACGAGCATTGCCTGGTGATGTGCCGCAATCAAGCGTTCATCCTTCATACGCGCATCGATGGCGCACTTTTGCCGTTTGGCGACATTTTGCACCAATTGGAGAAGATCGAGGCGACGTCGGTGGTGAACGCCAACGTGAGCTGCGACACCATTGGCATTCCAAACGGGACCTTTTCAGAACACCGCCAATATTGGCGCGTGCGGGACGGGCGATCGCGCAGACGCGGCGCGATTCTGGCAAGAAATGCTCGACGTCGAGGCCAACGCGAAATCCTACGAATGGGTCAAATCGGCGTTGTTCGTCGTGTGTCTCGACATGGATGACACCATCGACTATCGATTCAAAGGTTTTCGGCTACTCGCGTGTAGATCAAACTTTGTCATGCGCAGAAAACGACAAGGAGGCCGAGTTTGTCGCGCGCGGCCATCACGTGCTCACCGGCCACGGCCCTCGCCGATTCGGCCTCAATCGTTGGTACGACGCCACCATTCAGCTCATCGTCTCATCGAGCGGCGCCAATGGTTTGTGCATTGAGCACTCGACGGCCGAGGGCATCGTCATCATGAATATGGCCGAGTATGCGATCAGACACGCGCAGAGATTCATGGCAAGCAATCTGGTGGGTTTCGATTCCGTGACCTTTCGCACGACACGCGCCTCTTGCAGATGAGCCAACACGTCGCCGCTCGCCGCGTCCACCCCAAATCGCTTACATGGCACTTCAGCGAGACGGCTCGCGAGTTGCTCAAGAAGCAAGTCGACACGTTCGACGAGTATGCGCCTTTAAACTATATGACACTATATTTTGATTTTAAAGGCTCGCCTCCGAGCTTGATCTCGACGTTCTCATATTCGACGAGTTCGGCAAAGACGCCATCAAGACGTGGAAAGTGAGCCCCGACGGATTTGTGCAATTGGCGATGCAGCTCGCGCATTACATGTAAGCCGAATTGGGCGGGGGAGTTGAATCGAATCTCGTTGCAGGACCCATGGCTATTTGGTGTCGACGTACGAGTCGGCGTCGATTCGACGCTTCCGCGCCGGACGCGTCGACAACATTCGCGCCAACACCCAGCCGGCGTTGGAGTGGGTCACCGCGATGGGCGATCGGTCGGCGAGCAACGCGAAGAAGCTCGAGTTGTTTCGAAACGCGGCAGCGAAACAGGCGCAAGTCACCATTGAGGTACGCTCGTCGCCCGGCGGTTTAAAGGCGCATACGATGACCGTTTTCGAAATTGCAGAATATTAGTGGCTATGGCATCGACAATCATTTGTGCGCGTTGTACTGTTTGGCTAGAGAACGAGAGGAAGCCACCGGTCAGGATATTCCCGAATTGTTCATGGATCCACTTTGGGCTGATGTGATGCGGTTCCCGTTGTCCACTAGCCAGGTACTGTAATCGTAGTTCGGATACTGTATTTCACAGCAAACATCAAGCTATAAAGACGGCGACGCGTTGAAACACACATATACGCAGTTAAACAAGCGCGCATAATGTCAATGATGGCGCAGTTGGTTGCGGGTGCGCTTGCTGCGCGAGGTTTTGCAAGTTCGTACCCCCATTGCCCTTAAATTTTTTTGCTGTCTTTTAAAACTCCCATCTTCAGGTGACCACCTCATCCGACATCACCGACAGCTATCTGTGCTATGGCGCAGTGGTGCGCGACGGCTACGGTTGCCCATACGGCCTGCATCCGAATCGAATTGTGTTCGCGCCGGCGGCGTTCAAGTCCAATCGTCGAACCAATTTGGCGAACTTCAAGGCGAATTTGCGACGCGCTTGCCTCGAAATGAAAGCCCTGCTAATTTAGAGGACGACAAAAGAAAAAAAAAAAAGCTATATTTTGATCTATATTATTTTTTTTCCAGTCGAATAAATATTTGTAGAAATTGAGAAAAAAAAACAATGATTCAAGAAAATTGTTGAAGAGCAGCGTGGCGCGAAATTTGTCGTGTCGAGACCCACCGATAGTACTTTGGGTGTCGAACAAGCACAAAAACAAACAATTCGCATCCACTCGGCGACAAAACCAATCCAATTCTCATCATCTGTACACTGCTAACTAGTGTTTTCTTCGCCGGCGTGAGACGCCGTTTAAAGGCGCAATTCATTTCGGTTCGATTAATGCGCCTTTAAATAACCAGTTTCAAAAGCGTAATCGCGGTATTTATTAATAATAATTCCGACCCTTAATCCGTCGTGTAAATAAATGTACATAAATTTGTTCGACATCCAATTGTTCAACTTTTTTCATTTCACAAATTTGTGCTGCGGACATCTTCGCAGCCCCCGTTTGGAAATTCACATATCTAAATTTGCTGCTGCGGACAATCTTGCGGGATGTGACAATGTCAAATTTTCAACAAAAATCCCAAATTGTCAAGTTTTTCAAATTGTGAAATTTTCACCAAAAAAATACACATCTTGCCATATTTTTAAAGGCGCATAGCGCCAATTTCTTTATTTTTGATTTTCAAAAGAAAAATTCATGAAAACGCACGCATAATTTCGATTCCATTTATAAATATATATTATGCGTTGTATAGTATATAGAATGTGTTTTCCGCGGGCGTCCCGCACGCATTATCTATGCGATCAATTAGAAACGGCCGGCCAGACCCAGTCACCCAAATTACCACCAATTTGGCGTCTTCTGAATTCATCAACGTCTTCGCCCCGCCCCCCACGTCGAAAGGTCGATGTCATTGGCGAAAAAGAAGCGCGCCGTTTTTTTTTTATTTGTCGTCCTTTTTATTGCCATTCGTTCGTTTCACATTCATCATTTATGATTTCGTCGAATCGATTGCTTGTTGTCTGTCGCCAACACCAAAATTGTGCATTATTGCGTCAATTAAAGTGTTGAAATAATTTTTGTTAAAAACGCCACGTGTTTCTTAGCTATTCCGCCCTCAAAAAATTGCCGCAATTCAATTTTAAAGGCGCATTCGACTATTATAGAGAAAAATAGTGTAATTGAAACGTAATATTTGAATTTGAAGGCGTCTAGAAACTGTGATTCAAATTTTCAAAACGCTCATTTGACCTTCACAAAAAAAAATCAATTTAGCAATTTCCAAAAGAAAAAAGCGAGTCTCGTTATCAAATTTCGATTTTTGACGATTGATAGACACCAATTTCCACCCACAACCCCATTCGTTATTCATTGCACACTTCCGCATCAAAAATCAACCTCGAAAAAAAAATGGACTCCATTCTTCTCTTTCGGCCAAAATCATTGGCGTGGTCCGAAATTCTCATACATTGCGAATTGGTCGCGGCGAAATAGTGCGGCGAAATGAGAGACGAGCACACATTTTAAAGTCCTTGAAGTTCGGCACTTCTGCGAAAATTGTTCGCTTCTCTTTCGTTGTCGTCTTTTTCTAATAATTCCCATTGCCTAATTGACTGTTGCGCGCGCCCGGCCTCTTATACGCCATTAACCCTCCAGATAAATGTGTCTTCTATGGCGCAGGCGGTAAAGCTCGCGGTTACGTGCGGCGTGTTTGCCCGAGTTCAAAACCATATGGTGGTTTTCGCGTTTTTTTCTCTTTTTTCGTTACACAGCGACAACAGCTGTCACCCGGCGACACCGCCGTTATTATTCTGCTTTGACCGGTTTCGCCTCATCGTTTGCGTTTTTCTTCTTCTTCTTCTTCTTCTTCTCATTATCACTACTATTTTGTAGACAAATGTTCGCCATTCTCCTCCTCATTTTCCCAATGCTCGCGTTTTCGGATTATTGCGGCGATCATAAGATACCGTATGGTGTCGAGGTGCACAAAAACGGCAAATTGCGACTGTTGTGCACACGGCCGAATTGTCACGAGAAGAAATATGCGGTAGAGACGACGCCATTTTGTGCAGTGCGCCAATTCGTAGGATTTCAGGAGTGTCCGGAACGAGCCGATCAGCAATCGTGCACCTCCAACTCATCGTGGGTCGGCGGTCTCGAGCAGAACGCCGACGGCGAGCTGACGCTTCGCTGCTGCGAGTACGATCTGCTTTCCGAATACGCGACAATCCAATTTATGGATGTAAGTCGACACGGCCCGCGAGATGTCCGCAGATCGATCTCAATGACACACCCAAATTTTTTTTCTCGGAACACCGCCAACATTTGGAGGCGGCTACGGACCATTTCAGTTTTAGCCTCGCGTTTTGCAGCTTCCGATTCACGCCGGCGAGTATTTCGAGGGCGAGGAGAAAATGGACGGCGACGCGGTCGTCGAGTTCGATCTGATTGGCAATATTGTGCCGAAAATTGATGAGAATGGGTAATTCTTTTTTTTTGGTTTCCGTCACGATGGGAAATTTTAAAGGCGCAAAATTAAAAATTTAAAGGTGCATACAGAACCTTGCATATTTAAAGGCACAGCACAACCATATAAATTTAAAGGAGCAGCAGATTCTCAACATTTTAAAGGCGCAGCACATTCTAGAAAATTTAAAGGTGCAGCACAACTTCATAAATTTAAAGGAGCTGCAGATTCTCCACAATTAAAAGACGCAACAGATTCTTGCCAATTTAAAGGCGCAGCGCAACCTCATAAATTTAAAAGCGCCCAATATTTCAATTCTCGCAACCCCGAAAATTGTCGGCAGCTTGTTTTTTTTAATTCAAAATTTGCAGCACATCCTACCTGCTCACCGTCTATCGCTATCATTGCGGCGACATTCCCGACGCGCCTCCGAACTGGTACATTCCGAATCAATGGCCCTATTTCAAATGATCCCCCGATCCGATCCGATCCGATCCGATCCAACTAGTCCGTCACACACGGGTTTCCGCTCGACTGTCAGGTGTCAATTAATTGTTATTGCTCTCGTTGTTGTCATTCCTAATTTATTCTAACCTATAAAATTGTGAACGAAAAAAGGTCTGAAAGTTTAAAGGCGCATTAGAAACCAAAAAAAGAGCGACCTTAAAGGCGCATATCGTTCAACAAAAAGCGGGCGTTTCGAAAAATGTTGCGCAGGACGATTGCTGCGATAACGTTTCAATCGAAACAAAGGCCTACGCAAGATTCTCGAAAGCCACCGAACATTCCAGAATAATCAATATTATATGCATATAGTTAAGAGGGTCGATGGAGGAATATTATAATGAATAATTAATGGATGACTCATTCGATTTAAAGGCGCATCGCCAGACCCAAATGAGCCGCGATTGTTGGTGGTGGGGGGCGAAATTGTGCGAATATGGCGAGGGGAGGTTCGACTGACTGTGTGTGTGTGCTCAATGAATTGTTTGCCGAGACATTTACACTCCATATATAAATATGTAGTTTTATGTATTACCTCAAAATAGAGGCCCTATATTGTCCTCCTAATTGTGTGTGGGTGTTTGAAAACGGGATCAGACGGCGACGAACGCAAACAAGAATTTTTGGGGACCGCCCATTCGGTTCTCGCCACGAACACTGGATTACTGTAGAAACGCCAAAACCACAATTGCATTGGTGTCAATTTACGGGGCTTATTAAAGGCGCACAAAATAATGGAGATCAACGAATTGGGTCTGACAATTTGAATCGAGGCACACCATCTGCGGACATTTTTGCGGGCCACACGCTTCGCTCAAAAATGAAATCCGCTCGCTGCGTGATCGCCTCGAATCTTTCATTTTTATTGATTTTCTCATTTCAAAATCATTGGCACCTGAGAATCATGCGATTTTCGACGATGTCGGCGATGAAGTACGTGCTTCAGACATTGACGAAACCCGAAAAACCCGAGGTGCTCAAGTTTCTAATCGACAATTTCCGTGTGGACGAGCCGCTGACTCGAGTGAGTGCCGCGATCCGATCCGATCCGATCCATTTTCTGGATTTTCGTCTTTAGGCGGCTCAAATGAGCCCGAACGAGGCGGAAATGTGCTTCAACGCGGTCATGGATCGCTGCTTGAAGCATCCATTGTCAGTGGTGGCGCGTTGTAAAGGTTTCGCAATTTTGTGTCTTGCTCCACATCATCGTCACGTTCTCCAGAATCCGACGAGATCGTCGGATGTATGCTCAATTCGGTGTGGCGCAAATCGGACGCGTTCGACGACGTCGCGGCGAAACGCGACGACTTCACGTTCGGCTCGGATCGTTTGCCGACGCGAACCGTCGCCGAGATTCTCAACGAGGTGCACTCGAAATTCTGGAGCGTTCGACCGCGTCACGACGTCGTCATTCACTTGTAGGCGTCGACGATGACATCGAACGACGTCGTCGGATTTTCAGCGAAATTGTCTCCGTCAGCAAACGATTCCAACGTCAAGGAATGGCGTCGAAGATGCTCGAATGGACAGAGGACGTCGAGAAGCTCAAGGTGAATCGCCGCGAGTTGTCCGCACATCGAAATCATTTTCAGTCCGTCAACGCCACGGCGATCATGGCCGAAGCGACGTCGCTCGGCAATCAGGTCCTGCTTACCCGAAAAGGGTACGAGGTGAGCAACCCGAAAATGCGATTCGCCACTCGTCGAGTATTCAGATCATCCATTCGTTGAAGCTCAACACGAAACGCGATTCTGAAGGCCGGCAGATTCTCAACTGCGACAACGGCACCGATCGGGTCCTTCTCGTCGTGAAAGAATTTGAGTATTAGACGGAAAATAAATATCAAACCATCTGCGGACAACTCCCTAGTTTTGTTTTTTTTTTCATTTTGCGTGAGAGAGAGAGTCCAATATTTCATCGCGCTAATCCCACAAAAAGCTCCCTCGATCGAAACTCGACGGCCCATTTCCATAGAAGGCAATTTTTGGTCCCAACTTTTTTCTTTTTTTTTTGTTCTGGGGTCCGAGATGTGCCGTCAAATTAATCGGCGAGCGATTCGCGCGCAACTCGAACGCGTTTGCGATGTGCTCGCGAAGCTCGTCGTATTCATCGTGTGTCTGACGTTGATCGTCATCGGCGGCGACGACGCGAATACGGTGTGCGCCTTTAAGTCATCAATCATTTGTCGATTCTCGTTTCGGTGCAGGACCAACAACGCCACCAGCATCAGCATCGTCGGGTTTTCCGCAAAAACGAGTCGGTGCCTTCGGCAAGTCGAATTGGCGTCTTGGGAAAAAAAACCAAATCTGTAATTTTTTTTTGTTCCAGATTGTTCGACGCTCGTTTCGAACGGCGCCTTTGGAACGAGCGCTGAGCAACGAGGAGCACATTTTGGGAGTTTTTGTACGACGTCCAAACTGATGGCCTAGTTTTTTTTTCCTCAAAAATTTCAGCCGCGACGTGTCATCGTTCGCCACGAGCGTTCGAAGCGCGCCGCAAGCATTACGGTACCCTCCTTTAAATTGTTTGCTTCTACTCGGACGATGCCAAGGCTTACGGTATGCACCTTTAAATTTGACGATTGATTTTCTAGGCCGCCCGTATACGCAAAACGATTCGAAATGACGAAGCAGTACGGTATGCGCCTTTTGAATCCAAACGTGTATTCCAGGAGGCCGCTCGTCGAGGAAAAAAAACCTAGTAAAGACACCTGTCCGATTACGGTATGTCCCTTTAAATGCCAATCGGAAATTTTCCAGACCGCCCGTCCAATTGAAGATCGCCAGAAGCTGCAAGCTTGACTTCTCTGCAAATCCCAAGGCACCTTTGGTCCGAATCCCACTAAATCAAATTCATTTTTTTTTGGTTTTCCATTTTTCGCAAATAAAACAATCAAAGATATATTGTTGAAAACTTGACTCAGTCATCAAGCAAACGCGCTCCATCGCCAATTCGGTCTCGCGGCGAATCGAATTTCAAAACAGATAATAATTTATGTCTCGGTTAATCGTTGAATATTATGCGAACCACAAATACATGATGATAATCAATGATACAATGAAATGAAATGTAAAGCAGATGAATAATTGTGATAGCCATAATTGTGCTCATGGTAATTAAAGAAAGGGCTATAATTGGGGAGTGGAGAGAAAAAAAAAACAGAATTTTGAGTACCCGATGAATGGCAGGAGCAGATATGAGAGAGAGAGAGAGAAAAGAAAAGAAAACAAATTTGAGATGAATCAATTTCTAAACATCAAGAAGCTCCTTCTTCTCCGATTGAGCGACACTTTCGAATGAGTCCGAGTACTCATTGTCCTCGAGTAGGGCGTCGAGGCGATCCTGCGACACCACCGACGACAGCAGGAAGCCGTCCGAGTGCAGAATTCTCAGGAACAGACTCACATTGATGATGAAGAAGCACAAGCCGCCGCCGAAGGCGATGAACGCGAACGCTCTAGAAGTCAATGAGGATCGGTTTCGCAAAAAGGATCGCCTACCGATGCATATGATCGAGATTCGTCCACGCCCAGCCGACCAAAAATGTTTGGACGAAAAATCGAAAGACAATGAAGGCGATGAGATTCGCGTATGAGATCACCTAGAATCATCATCATTCATGGGAATCGCGGATTAAAAAAAAAACGGATACCTTGGAGAATCCAATCATTGACGTCGTCGAAAGTTTCGAGATGTGAAGAATGGATCGAGCATGAAGGAAAATCGATGACATCTAAAAATTTTGGTTAATTGAGCCTCTCAAAATCGATACCGTTTTAAATTTTATATTAAAAATTTCAAGAAAATCATAATTTTATTTCAAAATTGAGCCAAAAATCGCGATTTCTCTTCAATTTCACAACTCGAAAATCCAATTCTCTCACAATTTTTTTTCAGCTTCAAATTCCAACAAAAAATTACCTCCATGAGCATCGCCCAATAGGCATACAGCAAGAATTTCTGCGAGAGCACCGCCGTCGAGAGCACAAAAATCGAGGCGGTGTGATGGAAGAGCAACACTCCCGTCGAAATCGACAATCTAAATTCCATCAATTAAATTAATTACTCCCAATTATTGGCTATTTAATTGGTCTCACTTGTCATTGACAATCAAATCGAATCCGTCATAAAAGAAATATCCAATCGATAAAATGATGATTTGCGAGTCGAGATTCGTATAGTAATGAAGTGGCGAAGCAAAAGCCAATCGAGTGTTGAGGCAGAAGAACGCCAAAATATAAACACCTGAGATCTGTAATTAATTCGCATAATTAGGCAATTTAATATAATTATGCTCACGAATGAATGAATTAGTGATGTCGTCACGTTGATAAGACGCTTCCGCTTGATTCCCTCCTGATAACTCGTCCAGCAATGGGTTGTCACTACTGTATTCACGGCATACCTTTAATTTTTTCAAGGTACAAAATATTTCGAATTTCCATTTTTTTCTTTCATTTTCATTAATTCTAGTCGTCAAATTTTTCAAATTTCAGACGATTTCTCATAAAAATCTTGCAAATTTTGCTTATTTTCAAATTTTCGGTTTCAAAATTCAAATTTTTTTTAATCGGCAATTCTCAGAAGGACTTTTTCCAAACATTAAAGGCACATTTGCTCAAGTCCCCTGTTTTTTTCTCAATTACTCTCAAAAAATTGTCATCTCCGAATTTTCGGCTTCAAAATTTTTTTAATGAAGCTATTTCGAAATTTCCAATAAATTTAGTTGAAATTTGAAACGGAAAATTGCCAAAAAAATGCTTGAAACGAGATTCGAATTATTTTTGAAGAAAATTCAATTGTTAATTGAGAATTAAGATATTCTTAAAAGCGTAAAATTATCTGAAAATTCAAAATTTTGGGCGCCATTTTTTTGGAATCGGAAAAAATTAAAATCGGATTTTTGCAATGCAAATCTGAAAAAAAAAACAAAGTCAAAATCTCACCACAACACCGCGTAGAGCATGACAATCGGAAGGAACGTCGAGTTGAAGAATCCCCAATACGACGGCGCGACAAGTTCGGCACCATCTGAACCCAATGATATTTAATTCAATTCCATTCGAATCATTTCGATCGTCCTACTATTAACACCGAGGTCGGTCCAATTATCCACAGCGAACACGTGGAACTCGGTCGATTTGATCTTTTCAATCGTCTGCGCCTTTAAATCGACCGCCTCCATTCGATGGCTAAAAGAAAAACCGTATTGGAAACGCGAGAATTGGCATCATCGAATGAAAAAAAAACGAAATGAGCTGAACGAGGCGAGTTTGAAGTTTTACGAGGGCAACGCCTTGCGATTTCTTATCTCGTCAACGTTTTTCGGTTTTCGCGGTGAGAATCAGAGATCAAATTTCGTGATGAGCTTGGGAATGAGCAGGCGACTTCCGATATCAATTTCTAAAATTGAAAATATGATAATAATGCAAAAATTTAATGAAAAAAATCGCTATTTTGCATTTTTAGTGACGAAAACTGCAAAAAAATTAATTTCTATGCTAAAAATATTCAAGTCGCGTAATTTTAGTCTAAAAAAATTTTAAAAATTGCAAGGACACATTCTCAAGAAGTTTTTAACATTTTCAGTAATTTTAATGCAATTTTACGCCAAAATTCATCAATTCAAGCCTCAAATAATGATAGAAAATACAAATTTCCGGCAAAAATTAATATAAAAATCAAAAAGCGCGCAAAAAAGGAGAAGTGTGCGTCCGGAAACAAACGAAAATGAGTCATTTTCGACAAAAAATAATCATGACGATGATGAAATCAAAAAAAAAACACACACACCTACTCGTGTGATTGATCAGCTTGGTGCAAAATCAGAAGAGAGTGAGAGAGCGTGTGAGGCGAGGAGTGCGCGAGGCGGCGAAACAAAAACCCATTGTGGAAAAAAAAATGAGGCGTCGAGAAATCGTCGCCCAAATATGGCGTGATACCACAAAAACGTACCATCCCATTTTTTTTAAATTAAATTCCAATCAACATGTCAATTTCCTTCAAACAACGATTCAGTGAGTGGTCCAACGCATTTAAAATTGCTGCTAGTAAGCAAATCGAAAAAAAAACAAAACAAGAAAAGAAACGAATAAATTTGAATGAGTGCGTTCGAGCGCCGATTTGATTGTTCTAGAATGCCTAGAGAGCGAGAGGCTGACAATATAAATAACACAGCTGAGCTCGAGCTCAACACACGAGCTCCGAGAGGCCGAAATCGAAAATCTGGCGCGCACAAATAAACAATGACGAGTGCGATGTTTTTCTTCATAACCATCTGCGGACATTCGTCAGAGTTTCGTAGTAAAGCGACAGCAAAAGAAGAAGAAAAAAAAAGTTTGAGTATAAATTGAAAATCGACAAAAGCGTTTGGATCGAATCTGCGATCGCCATCAAAAATCGCCAGTTTCCGGACGCTAGATTTTCGCGATCGATAAACAAAAAAAATTGAAAATGTTTCGCAAATTTTCAATGCCATCTGGACGATTTCAAGTTTTTCGTTCTCTTCGCTCCGAAAAAAAAAGAATTCCAACAATTTTGCGTGGCGGCTGCCAAGCGACGAATCGCCCAAAAAAACTTCATTCGCCACGGGACCTTGAATGGAATAATTTATTAGGAGAAGCGCGTGGGGAGGGGCCAGCAACAATGTCCGCAGCTAGAAAACTTCTCAGAATATAATATTTCGAGATTCATTGAGAAACTAACGTGTCTCTATAATATTTTCGATTTTTCTCAATCAACTTTAGAACCTATTATAAGATTTTAGAATTTATTGAGATAATTTAGAATTCGCTTAATAAATTTTAGAAAATCTTAAGAGATTAAAAAAAAATATTTTTAAATTTAGCGATTCTCAATAAGTTTCAGAAAATATCAATAAACTTTAGAATTTCTCAAAACATTTTAGAGTTTATTATTGAATATTTGATTCTTAAAATATTTTTATTTGATTTGCCTGAGTTCAAAAACTGATTCAATCGATGCCGTGAAACTCGTAAATATTTACACATCTGCTGACAAAAACCAAGTAGAAAATAAAGGGCGATCGGCAACTTGTTGCAAAACGCAAAACCCAAAATATTACAATATTTATTGTTGGCGAGTTTTTTTTTCGTCACCTAGAGCACACTCATTTCCATATTTGGCATTTGAAATACAACTGAAACATTGCGATAATCTGATAAGAAGAAAAAAACAACCCGCGTGTTTGAATTCACGAACAAAAAAAAAAGACAGGGACGATGAGAGAAGAATGGAACCAATAAACGATTCCATCCCGCCAACTCATCACCTTCTAACAATAGTGTGAACAAGAAAAATGACGTCGTATCACAAAAGTTCGAATTTTAAGTGAGCAATGAGAACTGAGAATTAGCGATATAAATAGCACCGGAGATATCAACAAACGAAAATGTCACCAAAACAAAAAAATGAGAAGAAAAAATCAAACAAATTAAACAATCGTCGCCGTTTTCGGCGGTTTCGACTGCTTCTGCTGCTGTTGCTGCTGTTTATAGTAAGAAAGGAGGGCTTCCATTTGCGGATTCGTGCTGATTCCCATCTTCGCCGTCGCGTTCGTGTACGTCGGAAGCGAGCCGCGCGCCGTCTGATGATTCGTTCGACTCGCTTGATGCGATGACGCCAAAATTCCATTGCGATTCGACAATTCCGATGCCGAGTACGGTTTTCTGAACAAATCATTTCATTGATCATCGATGCCCAAATAAAATGAATTATTGTAAAATTACACTAATCGCTTTCTCTCTCTCTCTCATTTTTCCGCGCCCCATCCCATGTTAAAATATTTAAACAAGAAAAATTTTGAAAATTGTAGGAATACAGTATTGATACAGAAATCACACGCTAAAAATTAATCTAGAACCTCATATTCTGAAATTTTGCATTTGGACCCCCCCCCTCCACTTAAACACTTATTTAGTATCTACTTCTCCCATTCCAGACACCACTAGACAAATATGATGCTAATTTTTTTCCATGCGCCTTTAAGCGTGATAGAAAAACTTGAATTTAACGCGCACATGTTACAATTTAATGATTCTTGCAAGAATTTTTTGCCGTAGTACTGTAGGCCTTGAACGACTGGCCGTGGCCGAGTATTTGTTTGTTTTAATCGGCCATACGAATTTTTCTATTTAAAGCAATTATTCGAAAAACTACAATTCGGAATTCGGAATTGAACGTCGTCTAGACTAATTAGGTCAATTAGCGTATTTCGAGAACAAAAAAATTAGTCGCCTTGCGATCTGATTCCATTTAATTTAAAGGCGCATAGGACAAAACTTCTCAAAATAGAACATTTCGCTTATCTTTTTTCTACTCAAATTCCCAAATTATTTACCCTGACATCAACAACGTGGTATGCGGCGGCGCAACAGGAAACGTGGTGATTCTTGTCGTCACATTCTGACGACACATGTCATCCGATGCATTATTCATCGGCATTCTGGAATAAAAATCAAATTGGCTCATCGATAATCGCTGAGTGAACTCAACCTGTTGCCATTCTGCTGTTGCTGCTGCTGCTGCTGTTTCGCGTACCGTCGATCCAAGCTCGCCGTCGCGAATCCCGCCTGACACGATATCGACGACGTCAGTCGCCGCACATTCGGATTGCCATGATAATACGAATGGCAATCGCTCGTCGGCGTACAATCATCGACCTCATCGTACTCGGCGAACTTTTGCGCCGCGTCGTTCAACGGAATCGAGTACGTCGACGTCCGCCCAATCGCGCCGTTATCAGTGCTTATCGTGTGCGCCGATTGCGCGCGCTTCCGCTGAACATGCTCGTCCTAAAATTCAACATAGACCAATCTTCCATATAAGGCTCGCATACCTGAATGGTCGGGTAATGCGCTTGCCGATAGCTGCTTCTATACGACGTCGACCGGTAGCCAACATTTTCATAGCTGAAATCAGCCAATTTATTCATTTTTCAACAATCAATCTTTTTATAAACAAATTTTGCTTTAATTCTTTTTTTTTCAGCCCAATTTGGGCATTACTTCTTTATTTTCTCAAATTCAACATGTTAGTTTATTATTGCGGAAGAAAAAAACAAAAAGAAAAAAGCAAGACAGGGTTGTGATAATATTCTTTTTCTTTTTTTAACAAAATCATAATCGTCATAATTATATCATGAAAATAATTGAACACAAAAGAGAAATGAAATCATTCTATGTGCGACATTTTTTCGAAACCGGAAAATACTCGAAAATCAGCGAATTTCGCCGAACGACTAACAGCGGATTCGTCGTGGATGCGTCGCACATCAGCGGATTGTCGAGAAGGTGATGATCGTCGCCGCATTGTGTCGCCGCCGCTTTGCGCGACATCGGCCGCGGCGGTAGTCCCGAAGCGCTCAGCGAATCGCATCCCGACGACGTCGTCGACGACGACGAGATGCCCGAATAGCGTTGTTGAAGCGAATGACGCGAGAGGGCGCTGAAACGATGAATGAGAAGAGAAATCGGCGGTTAAGAGAGAAGCAATTTGTTAAAATCATAAGTGTGGAGGAGAAGGTGGAGGCGGAACCAAAGGGAAAAGCTCAAACCGAATCCTCAACAATCTCAAAAAAAAGAAAAGAAAATCGATTGCTCACCTCGGCGCGCGTCGCGCGATTCGTTCGCTTCTCTCCTCATTCTCATTCTCCTCGTCCTCCTGCTCGCGGCTCCTCAAACTCCTCGACAAATCCGGTATCGATCCTCGCGGCGTCGTCGGACAGCTCTTCGTCATCGCTATCGTCATCGGTCCGCCATTCGCGTTCGCCGACCACGAATCTGAAACAATCATCAATCGAGCCAGTCGAATCGAATCGCGAATCCTACTAGAGCTCGCGTCACTCGCAATACTGCTGATGTCGGGCTTGCTCGCCGAATATCTCATCTGTTGCAATCCCTGCTCGAGACGATTCAGCTTCTGCCTAGCCGCTTGAAGATCCTTCTGCCGCTTCTTCCTCACCGATTTGTTCGTGTTCTTGTCGGTGGCGAGTCGCGAGGCGGCGGCAACAATTCGCCGATGCAACTCCACGTCGGTCTCCATTTGACTCATTTTATCCGCCTAAAAAAAAGATAGAGATTGAGAATATTATAATAAATCAATAGATAAATCAATTCCAATCATTTCTCATTTCAACTTTTTTTGTATTCAAAAAAAACTAAGACGCGCTGTTGATTCGTTGAACCAATGTCCAAGACAAATCTCAAAGAACCGTAAGTGCTTCACAAAAATAGATGAATCTCAGAGAGTTTTATTTTCCAGTGATGACAGTCAAATGTCGCTGACCGCCTCAATCTATGCCGAATACGAGCGGATTCTGTTGCGCGTCATCGACACGAAACCGCTCAGCCCAACATTCCCAAGGCATTTGTTGACCGAGTAATTCGTCGTCGAACTGCAAAATCGACAACAATCCGAAAACATCTCCTCAATTCAGACTCTACATCGCTCGCACGATCCTCTTCGCCGCTTTCACACTCGGCGTACGAATCGGCAGCCTTCAACTCGTCTACACGCTCGTCGGCGCCGTGTTCGGCCCGGTGAGCCTCTTCGTGCTCACCTACGCGATTCTACCGGCGCTCGGCGTCTACGCCGCCTACGCGTACTATCAAAACAAATTGAAACTCGACGAGATCCGCGTCATTCTACTCCTATGGGCGATGAGTTGCGGAATGCTGTCAGCGACGCACAACATCCACTACAGCCTTTCCGATTACGGTCAACCGACCTATTTCATGCCAGTCATCGTCGGAATCATGGTGCATGTAAGTCTCTCTCTCTCTCCTGACTCTCTAATCATTCTACCAACAGCTAATTGGAAATCGTTTCGATAACGATCGCAAAGGTCTAATTGTGGCAAGTGTCGGCAGCGCGTTGGCCGTCTCCGTCTCACTTCTCATCTGTTTCGGTACAACCAATGAAATGCTCGAAACCTTCACCATTCCAACATTAGGACAATTCTCGTTCAGCGCCTTCACGTCGGTGTGCATCGCGACGCTCAACGCCGTCGTCGGCCTACAGCTAATGATCGCTGATCTCGTCGACAATGGCAAGTCGAACTCAACCCATTCATCTTTTGATCTCGTCTATTCTAGGACACAACGTGAGCGCCATCTACACACACGTCGTCGGCGTCATTTTCAACATGGCGAGTTTTTTGTTCACCACTCGGATTATGGGAAAATACGTCTCGGACCCATCAGCGAACAACATCGCGCGCTCAACACCGCTCCATTCGGCGTTGAGTGTTTGACTCGAAATATATTTGTTTCCAAAAAAAAACCTGTCGGACTCACCTTGTCCGCTTTGATCAAATCGTTCGGTATCGTGTAGGCGGTGCCGACGCGTCGCTTCAATTTCGGCAACTCCTCGCCGGCCTCCAACGCCAAATAGATCTCTTCGGGCAGAATGCCGGTGATCTCGCCCTCGGCGATGCAAATCTCGCGCAACTCTTTCATTTTGACCGCCAACAGCTCGCGGAGCTCGTCGAGACGCGCTCGCGCCGCCGCGTATCGCGCGCGATCATGAACCAGCTCTTCCGGCGTCTTCTCTGAATTCTCAATGGTATATTGTTTAAATTTCGTCACATGGGGTCTCGCATAGAAATTGCAAATTTTAAAGAATTTTTACGATTTCTAATGAGAAAGCGAGCGCAATCTAAACTACCGTAATCTCAATTATGAAATTTTAAAAAATTAAAATTACTTAAACATTCAAAAAAGAAAAAAAAAACGCAAGATCGACTCACTATGAAACGACGAACTACTGTTGGTCTGCGTTTGCGCAGCCGCCGCCGCCGATTTGCCGGGCGGCGGCAGACTCGACGTGCTACCGTCGCCAATTTTCGCCGACGGCATCGTTCCGCTCGACGATGATGAACGCAATGAGCTCAACGACGGTAGACTACTACCCAGCGAGCTGCTACTCGTCAAACGATTCAGCTTTTCCGTCAACTCGTGGTGATCAATCACCGAACTACGCGGATTCGATTTCTGCAAAAAAAAAACAAATCAATTGAGAAATATGGGATTCGAAACAAAATCTGAAAATGAGGTGAGAAGGTGACAAGAATGAGTGGATTAGTGACAGAGCTCCTCCTTCAAATGACCAAGAGCTCGAGCAAGTGGGAGGGCGGCGCGCAATCGATTGCGCAACCACCCACCATCCCGCCACCAATTGGCTCCGCCCATCGAAAGAGCCGAGGAAACAACAACAACAACAACAATTGATGATGATGATGGCGATGACAAGCAATTGTCAGGTGTTAACTACCTGATAAATGATGATATAGTTAGGCTCCTCAAGCGAAAAAAAAACAAGAAGAAGAAGCTAACAGCGTGTAACTTGCAGTGAGCGAAAACCCTATTGGTCAACGATTAAAAAAAAAAGAAAATGGTTCAAAACGTGAAATTTCAAACCCAAAATTTTTGGGACATGGGAACTTTTTCCAGAAAACACCATCGATTGGAAATTCCGCAAGCTAGTCTTGTGCGAAATTGGGGAAAAAATTTCAAACCCAAACGTTTGTACCAGGGCTGTGCGGCAATCGGAAATTTCGGCAATTCGGCAAGTTGCCAAAAATAAAAATTTCGGCTATTAAATGTTTTCAACGATAATTCGAAATATAAATATCGAATTTTTACGCTATCCCAAATTATTCAATGGACATTGATTTTTGTTTCGCCGATTTTTTTTTTGATATCAAATTGCCGAAAATAAAAATTTCGGCAATCCGGCAATTCGAAAATTTGAAAAATCGGCAATTCCATTGCCGCACAGCCCTGATTTTTACCTTCTATTATTCTACCTATTAAGAGTTTTCACAAAAAAATAATGGTAAAGTGACGATTTTCGGAGAAGCACTCAAAAAAAAAAAAACAAGAATAGTTCCAAAATCTGCAGAGAGAGGGAAAAAAATAAGTCAATAATATATTTTCAATTCAAAATTTTTCAAAATCGTGCGACACACTGAATCAAATATCAAACAGACCCCGAGTGCAAACAGAGCCAATAACAAAAATCAAATTTTAAATCGCGCATGCTGCTGCTGCTGCTGCCGCCTAATCTCTTTATTATATGCTTCGTTATTATTTTTTTTTGCGCTCTCGTTCAAATCGGCCCCACTCCTCTCACACCTGTCGTTGATTGACCAACAAACACGCGATCGCACTAAGTATCTCGTCATGTTTTGATTGGCACACCCACAAAACCACCCGATTATCTCAACACACATCGGCGGCTCGACGTGCTCATTTTTCAAATTTCTTTGACGATTCAAAAACGAAAACGCCGCATTGTTATCAATTCAATAGGCGTCTCGTCAATACAACGACAAATCAAATCATTTGAAATATATGACATCTCGAACAAAGCAAAAATAGTGGAAATTCAAAAAATGTTCGTTTCAGCATTCTAATTCAAATTAAAGGGACATGACTTCCACTCAGGACCCAGGTAAATGTGAAACAATATAAAAAATTAGATCAATTCTGGGAATCAAGACGACAAGATTCATTCAAAAAAAAAAAACGCGCCACCCTGGTGTCAAAACGCACTAATGCCAGATAAGACAAGAAGACATAATCCCGAGGTCATCATGTGTCGACAGGTGGAGCAGCAGACACGAGCCCGACGTCGTCGTCGTCAATTCCCCGCGATCATCGCATTATTATTATTATTATTAGCATATATAATTAGTTCAAATACCATCACCATACGGGATGAATTCCTAATTAGAAATGGATTGCACAATCGAATTGAATTTGAGACAAACTGATCACCCAACCCCTCTCACTGTAGTATGGGAATGTGCGCACGCAACAAACGCCCAAAAATCCGAGACGATACCTTATTATGCTAATTTGCATTTACATAATTATACAGTATAAATAAGTAGGTAAGGGAATGGACCCCCCAAAAAAAACAACGTCCAATCATAAATCACACAATCGGGTGGCCTAATTGGATATAGAGAAAACCGAAAACGCGTGAATCGCAAAGCGACAAGCGAAAGCGGTTAATGGATCGACAATTTGCTGACAGTGTGTGAAAAAAATTCAGAAGCAAAATTTAAGAGCGACGACTTGACAGCAAAAAAAAATCGTCAAAATTCTGAGAATTATTCTATGATCATCGCCAAAAAGGAACACCAAAACTTTGAGTAAATGTGGACCATTGTATTAATTGAAAATCGATCATTGTGAATCCAAACAACGTGATAGTAATACACTGTGACTGGTGGATTCTTACTGTCAAATTCTCAACACTGAGAATATCATGAAATTGGACAATTCTCGAATCGGATTAGGCTGATTAAAAGCAACAAAAGCGATGATGGTGAATGATGTGAGATAAGCGGACGCCGCGCGGAAGTGCGAATCGACAATCTCAATGACGACGAGAGGCGCTTTCGAAACACAAAACACCACGCCGAAATACAATAAAATCCATTAATTATTATACAATTCCTGGAGATGATGACACACGCACGCGGAGACATCTGGCCGCATCGGCTACACGCCCAAAAATTTACGACTATCAAAATATGCTTGAGTATTATTACAACATTCAAGTAATGAATGAATGTGGATGAGGATGAGACGCGAATAATAATAATAATAATAATAATAATGCAATAGTAATGCGTAATAATTCTTTCATGAAACCAATATTTCATAGAACTCCGATCGACCGGCCTACTTGGATTCACCACCCACCCAATTAACTGGGCGCGAATGCGCCAATTTTGGCGACAAATTGAACCCAATAAAACAATGATGGAGTTGGTTGTGGAAATTCGAAAAAATTTGAGATTTATAGAAGATTGACAATCTCAAATCAAGGAAAACATTTTTTGAGGTCAATTAAAAATTAATGTGAAACGTGATTTTTAAGAGTTGAAAATCGCACGTTTTAAAAATTGATGATACAAAATAATATTTTTGAAAAAAGAAAATCGTGGGAAAATGGCAATTTTCGAGAAAAAATATCTCAAATTTGGTTTTAAAAAAGTGAAAAATTGGGCCATTATTTCAAAAATCCTAATAAATGACGATGATTCAAACCAAAAATTGTTCAAAATCGAAAGAAAATAGAGAGGCGCACCAAAAAAAACTGCGAAATGCAATAAAATCTAAATGGTCGCAACAAGAACAATTCCATTTTTTCATTCTTTTCGCCCAAGACAAAAAAAACAACAACAACACGAGGAAGACGAATGAGATGAGTGAGCCGTGGTGTGTGGTGTTGACGCTTCCCAAAGAGTAGCGTTTTAAAGGCGCACCAACAACTCCCACGGGATGACGACGGGCATGGGTTCCTCAATTTCGACAGATAAGAATGACAAAAATGGAATTCGCGAGCCGCAACAAGGAAAAGAACAAAAAACAACAACAACGAAACTCAACACAAGAAAAAATGAGTGAATGAGTGAATGAATGAATGAAGAAGAAGAAGAAGCGGAAGTGGGGTATGAGTGACAAGACCGACGAGAATGAGCAGAAAAAATAAGCGGTTTATTTGATGAATACATTATTTCAACCTTTCGATGAAAAAAAATGGAAATTGGGTTTTGTACAAACAATTTTTCTAGGGCAATTTTAAAACATCACATTTTTCTGTTTCAAGAGAAATATTGATAATTGTGGAAGAAGGTTGTCGCGGTCTCCAATAAATTGGTTATCGTGGTCCCGCGAAAATCGGGGGGAGGGCAACACTGGCAAAAGACTTCATAATACAAGAATATGAAGAAATTCTCTAACAAGACGCTATGAAGATTGTGAATAACCAAAAATTCCTTTTTGAATTTTCATTCCAATTAAACAAAAGTCCAACTAACCAAAATTCAAATAAAGATTCCAATAAATAATATAAGCAAAATCAGTCTATTTTTTCCGCAACCATGCCGCGTCGGCTACCAATAATAAAAATTTGGCGAAACGCAAACACAAAACTATCACTATTAGGCCAATAATAATAATAATAATAAATAGCGCGGGAGGCAAATACAAACACACACCACGACACCAAACAAGATAAGCATCAACACCAAATGCGGCAAAATTGTACGTATGCAAATGTCGAGTGACCATCAAAATGGGGAGAAAAAAAAAATACAAAATATTGGCAACATCGAGTGAGCGGCATAGATCACAAGAGCGCCTCATCTGTCGGCTCACCGCGCACCAACGCCATAAGGCCCCTACACGAAATTTGATATGAGCTCTACTATGCGTTTTACAGCCGCCGAGCGGCGCACGTTTGAATTCTTGCGCCGCACGATCGACGAGTGTGAATTCGACGAACGCGCGGAATGGAGCCGCCGAAATCTGGTGGGCCGAAGCGCGTTCGCCAAATTCGATTATTCGCTCCCTAATTTGGGAAAGGACCCGCTTGCTATCATGCATGTGCTCGAACACACACACACACAATCAACAGCAACATTCGTACCCGCAGAAAGACGAAATGGAAGGACAGAGAAAGACGAATGGAGAAGTGGAAACGAGTATAAGTGAATAACATTAGTGTTCGTTTTCGGACTTCAAAATGCACATTCAACTTTTCAAACTACTATACTCCTCATCCTCCTCCTGCAGGTCCCGTGCTATTAAAGAAAAATCTCTTCGGGACCCCCCTCGAAGCACAACTGATCGCAAATCATCACTCGAGCTATTCAAAGGTCACACTTCGTCTCGCGCGCTGATGAGCTCTTGCACAATGCGGCGATCAATTGATATTTCGAGCTTTGAGCACAACTCGTCCAACGTTCGCTGTTTATTTTGTTATTTGAGACGAGATGAATAGGGGAAAAAAAATTATATAAATAGCCTAAAACTATGGCCAAACGCAACATGTTTCGTTTCAAATGTTCACCGACGCGATTCTATTTTAAATAAATTAAAAATTTTCGAGATTCTAGAAATCTGGAGCCTCTGAATCGAAGCCAAAAGCGCCATCAATTACCGTCACCAACAAAAAAAATGAGGGGAAAAAGAACGGTCACCACAAACCAGCCAACCAACTCAACCGATATCAATAACCAAGTAGAAACCGGCGGTGCTCGTCAAGTAGCGTGTTTATCCGCAAAACCCTCGCGGGGCCCAACAAGAAGACAGTACGTATTTACCCAAAAGACCTCTCAGTTTTCTTTATACATATATATATATATATACCCCACTCATTGTTCTCTCTAGCGAAACCAAACTTCAAGTGGATCAACATCAACAACAACAAGCAAAATGCGATGAATTGCACGAAAATGAACTGTATGAATGTTTGGATAAATTAGCCCAAAAATAGATTTTAAAAAAAGCCAATCCCAAATGTGGTGAACATTTGGGGGAGAACCAGAACGAACGAACGAACGAACGAAAAAAATAGAACATTGGTGTAATTTATGCAGAGGAACGGATTAAAGGCGGGGTTGGAAAACATCAAACAAAGCGGGACTCGGGTGGGTTCTTTTCGAAATACTCTTTTAACTACATACATGTCTTTTTTTACTCGTCGCAGCTTCGACTCAACGACACGATGAGACCGCACAAGAATGAAATATTTGGAGTGATGAGTCATCGAAATAAAACAAGTTCGAAATTGAGGAGAAATGAGAAATGGGCAAAAAAAACTAAGTTCCCACAAAAAAATGACAGATTTTTCTCTTTTTTTTTTCGATTTTCCCTGCATTTACCCAAAAGATAGTTCAAAAGAGGTTTTTTGGAAAATATTGTTTTAAAAGAATGTACCATATGACTCAAAATAAAAAAAAAACAGATCGAAGAATCAAAAATGGATATAAAGGAGAAATGCAAAAATGCAAAAATGTAGATTCGACGAAGAAATAAGAAAAAATGACTATTTTGGTTTTTTTTTACCTTCAGCATTGCAAGACGAAAAGCTTCAAAATATTCAAAAATAGCAAGAAATAATCGAGACAATATTTTCAGCAAAGAACCAGATAATATAGCATGGAATTTCACAGAATCCTCAGATTCAAAAAGGCAACAATCAAGAAACGAAATTTTTCAAAGAAAATCTATGCTATTAAAAAAGTCTCAATGAGGCTCAAACTCATCAAAAAAATTAATTCTATAAGAATCATCCCACAAAAAAAGCAAAAATCGAATAATGAGAATATAAAGCACAATGTGCACTAGAGGGAGGGGGGGGGATAAAAAAAGCACATAGAGCTAACCTGTATATATCGGTGCTTGTACACCGGTTTCGCCGTCGCGACCATCTCGCTCATCGCCTAATAAGCCGTCATTCAAATTTTGCGTAGGAATACGAATATGTGAAGCACAAGGGTTGGGGGGAGCGGCGGCACGACGATGGCGGCACACAACACAGTACCAACAATTTTTGAGCAATTCGTCCGTTTGTCCCGTTTTCTATTTGCGTGTTGTTTGCATCAATGTGTGTGTGTGTCCGTCCGTCCGTCCGTCCGTTTGTTCGTTTCTCTTTCTCTCGTTTCCCAATTTAAAATCGCTGGCGGGCGGGTGGGGACGCGAAACGATTGGCGATGGCGGATGGGTGTCAGCAACACCACGCCCACAACACCACCACTAACGACCTTGTTCGATGATTCGCGCGCCGGATGTCCCCACCGCGAGTATTAGTAGTAGTAGTAGTAGTAGTAGTAGTAGTAGTAGTACAACAAATTATAATCCAATCGCACCTTTACTATTACTACCGCTAAAACCATGTACCATCAATTCCGATCAAACGGCAATTAACGATTCCGACTCCTTTTTGTCTTTGTTCCCCCCACCCCCGTACCAAAGACAGAGAGCTGGACGACCTTGGCACGGCTATTGATAATCCCCAGCCACCTACCATGGATCACATTATTCCGCGCATCTCGCCACCCCCCTATCTCCCTTTTGAACAAAGCCCTTAATTAATCTAAAAAAAGAAACGACGAAGAAGAAGAAGAAGGCCCACATAGTTATTATAGTAAATTCCGCGAAAATCTAGCTGTCGTAAAAGCACTAATAGGCGAACACACATTTCACATGAAACGCAAGTGAGAATCAGCCCCCCCCCCAAAAAAAACACGCATATGAGAAGAAAATGACAAAAAAATGTTGATCGAATATCGGGGAAAACAACTAAACCAAAAATCTCACCAATTAAAAAATTACAAAACTTCAAGGATAGAAGGTCTCGTAGCGATTTGATGACCCGACAGTACCTAAACCTCTACAATTTCTTGTAGAGTCCCTTGAAGAGACACCATAAAAGAAGGACACCATAATGAAACAAAAAATTTTAGGTGCCACTTTTCTCGGTTCAATTTCAACGTTAAAAAATACCCGATTACTGTATCTGGGCCCACATCGATCTCTCATTCAAAAAAGCATTCCTCAATTCAATGCCTCTTATTGTACTCGCGCCTACCCAACTCCCCACTTGTTGGCTTCTCCCCTCCCCTCGAATCGTGTTTGCTTTTGTTGTTGTTAAATCAATTTCGGTAACGAGAGGTGTGCTTCTCCAACAGATTAGCAAGTCCTTCTCTCTCACTCTCCCTCTCTCTCTCTCTCACCATCACTCCCTCCCACATTGATCTTTTCTCGTCACCGCTCCATTATTTTGCAACATCAAATATGGTCAAGTTTCAAGAATGAAAAGATGAATCTGTCCCCCCCCCATCAACCTCCAAAAAAAGAAACAAAGATTCTCAAGGTGGCGGGCCAACGTCAGCAGCAAGATCCAGAAGCTTCATCATCTCCTGTCCGCGTGCGGTTCTCATGCCGGCAAATATTTTCAAGTGCACAACACAAACACACCGCCCCGAACTAGCAGCAAACCGAGCAAATGTCGGCTCGGCGGTGGGCACTTTAAGGTCGAACAACCTTACAACTCTTTTTTTATCCACATCGACAATCATTAATAAATGATGAGAATTGCAAAACGTTGGGAGTTTTCGAAAAATGGGAGAACAATGAAACAGAAATGAGTGCAATTTCAAATTGTTTTGTCTCAACTCCCATGGAAACCGTCAATGAAGCTAATTGCAACTCTCAAAAAATTAAAAGTGTCTACAAATTCCAACATATTCGTTTCAACAATTCAAAAACGAAAAAAAACCAATTTGCCAAAAAATTTCAAATCGTGCCACCACCATCATTTCAAAACGAGAAAATAAAGGTTTGGGTCAGTTGTGGCGCCGACTGACAACCCCAATGGCACACAGTGAGCATGAGGAGCTGGAGGTGCAGAAAGAGCCAGAAGAAGAAGGGGGCGGGGACAAAAAATAATAATAAATGACACGCGGCTGGCCGGTTGGGCGCGGTATTGCTAGAAAAAAAAGCGTTTAAAAAATCGGTGCGAGTAGAATAATGAGAAAAAAAATGATGGAGACGAAGCGCAAAAACAAGAAGAGGACCATCGAAAAACAAATTCACATGTTTTTCATCAAGAAGCCGACCACAATGATCTATGACAAATCGATAAAATTCTGTTCTCGGCATTTTTACACTCTGGAGCCCTTCAAAATCCTCAATGAGCCTTAAAATAGGACGCGTGAAACAGTGAAGTCAACTACAGTTCGGCTTATGATCCAAAAAAGAAACCAATAATATATTTATATTCTATTGCAGCACTGGATTATTGCGCAACTCAATTTGGCGCCCACTTCAAATAAATTTGAACCAAATATGACATAATCCGATAATAAAATGCTCATTTTCTCATGGTGACCGAGAATTTTGGGGAATTATTAAAGCAACAACAACAACGTCAAAAAAAAGATACGACGAAAACTAGGAAAGTCAAGATGTGCTGTGGGAAGGCAAAAAAAACGGCTGGCTGAGAAGAAATCATGATGATTCGTTGTCATAACGACCGTTATGAGTTGTCGAAGTGGAAATAACGAAATGGGACAATCGTAAAAGCGGACGTACCCGTTTCAATGCCTTTTGATCGAGAAAGAATTGGTGTTGCGCGATTGCCGACGACCAAACCGTTCGACACAGAAGCGATGACGAGCACGTGAAGTTGTAGATGAGCGGCCGAAATTGCTGCTGATGATTGCGGCGGATCGTCGTGATCACTCTGAAAATTGCGACAGATACCGTAATCCAACGATTCGAAATTTGCACAATTTCAATTTTTCAATATTCATAATCCTTATTGTTTCTGTGTAGTGTAATTCAGTCGCGACACGATTGAAATTCTAGATATCACATAATTAAATCAAAATTTTTAAAAAACGTTTCGGGTCTCGGCGCGAACAAGGTTTTCGGGAGCCTAAGCCCAAAGATAGCTTAAATGTTCACCCCTCCCTGCTTTTTTTGACATTAAGCCAATTTTTGACGTCGTCTCATAAAAATATTAGGTTGTCGCGAAGAAAATGCACTTTTACTTCGAAAAAAAAGAAGATTTAAGCCGTTTGATTAAAGACCAGATTTCTAGGGACCAACAACGAATATCGATGACGAGAGGTTTGTAACAAAACAAAAAAGAGTCGAACCGAATCTTGTCTCGATTCCGTTGAGAACGCGCCTACAGTAATAAAGGGTCTTATAGCACGCCTTAAAGAAACATTGATTGGGGGGGGGGGGGCTCACGACTCAATTCCACCAAAAACGGCGACCAACAGAATGCGCATTCGGACGTCTACCGTAATTCCGAAATTGCGTTCAAGACTCGCCATATTTCAAACATCTCATTACAAATTCCAATTTGACATGTTCACTTCTCCCCGCCTCCGTCAACCCAAAGACGCGCACCCAACAAAAACCACCATACATACAACCACCGATACGGTGGCGGCGACTCGGCGCGCAAAAATTTCAAACAAATGACACACATTTCATTTATCTCGTGCGCCTTTAAACATCAATTATTCATACAAGTCGGTGACGGCGGCGGCGACGGCGGCAAACCACAAATATTCAAATTGTGCGCGGTGCGCGGCTCATTGTGCGCGCACCATCGCAACAATCCACCCACCACCACCAACAACAAAAAACACCCCAAAAAAGTTACCTAATCGGTTTTGCGTCTACGATTAATCGACGCGGACTCTCAATTTTCGGCGGCATTGCGCAAAAGAGAAAAAAAACGCAACACACAGCAGCACAAAAAAAACCAAAACTCGGTAATGCGAAAAGAAAGAAAATGTGTTGCGCATTATTTATTTAACCCATTTAGGAGAGGGCGAACGGCTTCCGCAATTTATGATCATAATAATATGAATACGAATAAGATATAGGGGAGAAACGATATTAGCAACATTTTTGTTCGAATCTCACCACCACCCCGACTTCAAATACGATTCTCGTCTGGAAAACATTTTTCGATAAATTCAAAAAATAAGGATGTTTTCTCGGCTGGGGCTTTTCATTTTTCAGTTGTAAAAATGAATGAGTTAACATTTCCAAACAAAAAACTCAGTTTCATAGTATTTTTCGAGCCAAAATTTATTTAAAAAAAAAATCGATAAATTAGTCTATTTCGGAGAAAACAGCTTTCAACGCAAATAAAGCAGCAAAATCCAAAATTTTTCCAAATCAAAAAAAATGTTTCATCGAATAATTCGAAAATTGACTCCCCAACAATTTTCGGCTGTAACCAGATTTTCGATTGATTTTTGGCAAAATTTCACAAATTTCCGCTCAATTTTCCCATAAATAATGACTTTTTTCGGTTCGCACCCACAAAAAAAAAAAACTCACTGCGTCGTCGGATGGCTGAATGCCTCAAATAGTTGCCTATCATTCACCAATGTGTCGTCGTCAATTCGATTATCCTCGTTCTTCGAATCCCTGCAATACAACGCCGAATTAGCGAGTTGAAAACACCAAAAATGACGATTTTCTCCGTGCCCCACTCCTAATTTTTCGACTTCCCCACATTTTTTCTTTGGGTGTGGTCATTACCGTTTTGGTGGCCGAATTTCAATGGAGAACTTGTTCTCTCGATAGTACAAATTGTCGATATACCGCCACTGGAACGCCTAAAATTGATTTATTTCAAATAAAAGAACAAATTGTACAAATTTTTATCAGTATTATTTCGTTTTACGAAAATAGAGCGTCGCGCCGCCTGACACACTTCGTGTCGATGTCTGAGTCATTACATAAACATTTTTTACCATAAACGGAGTGATGACATTCATATTTCGACTTCGCTTGTACACATAGACGCCGTTGGATCCAATCGACACCAAACACTTGTCGCCGTCATCGTTGAGCAGCTCATACATTCGATAGCCGTATGATTCGCTTCGTTCAGCGATCTTCAGAAATCTAAATAAAAATGAGATGAATGAAGATTCAAAAATTGATGGCTTATATGGGCAAATCGGGAAAATATCAATTTTTAAGCTTATTCTTTCATTTTACTGAATAGAAGAAAAACAGATCAATGGTTCAGAATCCTTGGTTAAAGCAGATTTATCAAATAATAATCCATTAAAATAGAATTATGACACTATTTCCCACAAAATTCAAAAATTCTTTTTCAGATTGCGCAAAAATACAAGTTTTGACACGTTTTTAAGAAAAACATCTGAATTGCACTATTAAAAAAGCAATTTTTGAGAGGAAAAATGAACAATTTAAAATCTTTGCCAACATCAACTTTCAATGGCAGAAAATCATTGCCAAGGCCATTAGAGATATTCTTCTCAATTAGACACCTTCAAACGAATTCATTTCAAGGGTTTTTAGAGGCATTTCAAAAATGATGAGAACATGTATGCATTGTTTGAAGCACCAAACCTCATGATGGCGGTCCCTTGCGGCATTCGTCGACAATTGAGAAATCGCTCGTAGATGCGCTTCTCGACCTCTTCGCCGTCGCTCTTCAACAGTATGTAGGATGGGTGCGAGTTGATCAACACGCGCGAGATCGCTTCTCGAATCGTCTCCTCTCTGCAATCAGAAAGATGAAAAAATAATCCCCCAAAAATCCGGCCAAAAATGTTTTCTTCGTTTTATCACACAATAAATTAGCCGGGTTCGTCGACCTTCACACCAGCGCGATGAAATTGATGAGAAACTCCCTCCATATATTTGGGAAACACGGAAGAAATCACGAGATATATATATCAATTTGCGGGGGATTTCGGAATTCTGGGAACAATGAAAAAAAAATAGTGGCGACTTACTGGCAATCTGGAGCGAAAAGCGCCACTAGAATTGCAGCCAATTCGTGGTAGTCGTCAAAGTTGCAGATCAATTCGTGCTGAAACACGCAGTTTTTTTCCAAACATTCTTAACATCGAATTGTTACCCTAATAAACTGATTCTGAACTTCTAGAAAATAGAATTTCGCTGTTGAAGCTGATTGCACTTCAGAGATTCCTTCGACAAAAAATCGGACATGATGACTTAGAATCAAATTGCCGTGCGGATTTGCGGACGCTGCTGCGAGATCCTTGAGTATCAATGAGGAATCGAGCCAGTGGAAGTTGCCGACTTCGTCGTTGATGCTCAATGCGAAAAATCGAGAGTCAAGGTTTGAAATTTCGAATTTTTCCGCAATAAGTCCTAACACGTCTTCAACCGATAAACGCGAATGAAGTGTTACCTGCAGATCATAAATTAAAGCAACATTTTTTTTCAAATCAATAATCGAATTTGCCTCAAACGTTGAAGAATCCAATAGTCGTATAATTGCCTTTGGGCGGTGCGGTGAAAAAAGGATGCTTCCGTTCCGATCGGCCATCCAGACTGTCTGGTTTCTCGAAAATTAGCTACGCTAAACCTGCAACAATTTAATTTGTTGATTGAAACGAACAAAATAGCGCGAGAAAACCGAGAAACTTCACGTTTTCCTGGGAAGAAAATCAGGAAAAAAACAGAATAGGAATGTGTGCAATTACGCGTCGTCGTGTTTGCGGGAAGCATTATTAATACTCAATCACGGTGAATATTTTAAATAAAAGTGCAAAATTCAATAGAAATCGTTTAGGAATTAAAGAATATTCATAATATTAATTTCAGATGATATCGATAGCGAATAATGACACAAAAAATGGATAATTAGAAGTTTGAAGAACAATAAATTACAGTAATATATTTAAAGGAACGTAAAAGAATACAAAAATAGTTTTATCTGGAAAACTACTGTAGTAGCATTTTTGCAAAAAAAAATTGTCTTGTTGCTCAAGTTTTTTTTCCTATTGGCATAATTCTCGTCGTCAAAATAATTTATTATTTGTCTAACCTCAAGGTATTGTTCAAATACCTCAATGAATTACAGGCAATAAACGTGTCAGAATTCATAAATCGAACGTAATTAACGGGACAGGAAAACGAGAAACCGCGCCGAACACACACAACCACATGTTTTTGTTGTTTTCAAATCAAGGTCGAGCCAATTCAGTAGCAGCCAACAAAAAAATTGACGGGGCGGATGGAAGAACAAGTGGGGTAAAAATTGGTGAGCGATTAAAATGAAATGGTTCGGACATAATTGAATGACAGCACAGGAAACAAGGACCATCAATAAACGGAGGACCGGAACACACACACACACACACATAGGCACACTGAAGATAAACATCTGACATGTTACATTTCAGTTAATACCTCGACGATGCCGCCGCAGCCACGGCTCCTATCTCGGTAATCAATCTGAGAATTCCGTCACTAAAATGATGTACTAGGCTCAAACCAATGGTTTTCAGATTGCGAAACATTGATCTTTGATGAGTCATGAAAGCGCTAATCAATCAAACAAACATCGAGGATTCCTAAGGGTTTGCAGCTGCAACATTCATTCGTCAAGTTTGAATTGCAAATAAAAGTTGTATAAATTACTATCGTGATGAGACCGGTGGAGGTATTGTGACTCAACCATCAGCCAAGTTATATACATATTAAAAATGAGGCGGAAGTATACATAGGTAAAATGGAATTGTATTGAGCAGAAATTCAAGGCGACAACTGAAGAAAGCGATGAAAACCAAGCTTTTTGCATTTTTTTTCGAACATCGAAAATGACAAAAAAGGGAATACTAGTTTGAAATTTTCACACTCTAAGCCATTCCAAAAAAAAACGGCAAATGTATTTTTTTTCGGTGGGAAACAGAAGAGCAGGCAAAGAATGTTTCAAATCGGCGCGCGCATCACAAAGCAAATTTATTCGAAATAATTGCGGGCGCCAACGTGAGAAAATTGTGCACTTTCACCTACAGAAACCAAAAAATCAAATTTTAAATAAATTATTGAGAAATTACTTTTTTGAGAAGAAAAAAATATATAATGTATGCTCAACTCTAAGCATGATTTTCTAATGAAAATCACAAAAATAATTAAATTCTATGAAAATCGATCGCAAGATTGAACTTATTAGGCAAATATCAAGGTGAGGCCAATTCTAGGAATTTCTCCAAATTCCAGAAAAAGGTTGACGTCGGTTTGACTAAATGCACGAAAAAAAGGGTGCCTCCTATCAAAATCAACGCAAATTTCAGCATTTTCAGAGGGAGAAGCTTATGGAATGCGTGTTGTACAGCAATTCAGAAGCTAAACAAACAAGGATTTTGTTTTCTCAGCCATCACACAACACAACACAATCAGTGGCGAAACATGTTATCAGATGACACATAAAAAGCTAAATACCCTCAAAAAAAACGGTTGGAAAGGTGTCATTAAATGTCGTAAATTAGTCGACGTCGTTTCATTTTCTCTCCACTGCCATTTTTCGGCAGGTTTCTTTTTCGACGCTTGATTTCTTTTTTTTCTGTTTCTCGTTGTTGCCTGGTGACAGCTGATTATTTTTCGCGAGAGAAAATTCGCCGCTATCGAAATGCTGATATGGAGTGGAAGCCAAAAAAAAAACGAATCTCGTTGCGGATTTTTGATCCGAAATTCAAATTTTCTTCGGCGAAAATATGATCGATGGGGAAAAAACGGGTCTCGCCAAGAAATTTTGAATAAACCGCGACAATCGATGGGGTTGGAATTTCAGTGCAATAAAAACACAACTCAAGCAATGCCGACGATTCGAATGTGCAAAATTAGGTCAACGATGCTTATGCGCCTTTAATTGGCCTAATTAAATGAGCATCAAAAATGTTTCGAAACGCGCTGGCGACCTGGGGGTGACGGTTGTTGGTGTGAGGTGGAGGAGGACAAGGAGAAGAAGATGGGCGAATGGCGCCCAGGCAAAGATTAATTGGTTTTTGCGGTCGGGTGAGACGCACGCGCGCCCGCCCGAGGGGCGCACAAAAACCGCAAAGAAATCAACATTGATCGAATCGGATCGGATCGGATCGGATCAGCGGGCGGACGAGAAGAACACCTCAATAGATTTTTGAAGAAAAATGCAAATAATGATGATAACACTTGAGGGCGCGCGAAAAGTGGAGGCTACTTGAAGCTCACTGGGAGGATTTTATTAAAATAGATAGCATAGTTAGTTATATATGAAAGCATATGAGCCAAATAGTTAGCATAGTTAGGAATCGTTTTACAGGTCACCGAGCGCTCCTTTTTTGGCCACACACACACGAACACTCATGCATTCAAAGAGAGTAGAGGAGACTGCCAATTAAACATGTGTTCGCGTTGTGTTTGTTTTATTATTATTACTATGCGAATAGTTAATAGCATGTGCGCGAAATTAGGCTGCCCCGACCTGCTGAATGATGCGCCGCTGACTCACTAATCGTTCCTTCGGTTCGCTTCAAGACCCCAATGTAAAGCTCCGTCAAAATAGGAAAAAAAAAGATGGGACCCGAATTGTTTTTCTGGATATGGTTTTAAAGGTCTCGAAGCGAAATTTCCGCAATTACGATGACGATGTTCAAAAAAGTCGCACAATGTGGGTCAAAAGATGGGGCGGATTAAGCTAATCTCAAGAGTAACCCCCCACAACTATTTATATAACTAACTATACACCGCATATTACTATTAATAATTTGTGGGCAAATATTTAAGCGCTAAAATTTCGAATATCGGATTACTATGCGGGGAGGGTGAGCAGCCGGCCGTGAGCCACGTTCTTGACCTTGCATGTGCCAAAAACCGAACCACTCAAGATGGTCCCTTTGAATACATTTCGTTTTACAAAAAGAACGGCGACGCCGACACCGCCAACCCCCCTCCAGATTCGTCGATGTGCGGACCCGTATGATGAATTCAGGTGAAATGAGGCGAATCGATTGCATTTAAAGGCCCCTCCCCCCTTCAGGAGTCACGAAATGGCGATCGAATTGAAGCGTATGATTTGATTGAAACCTCTCTCACCGCCAAAAAGGCCGCTATACCGCAAAAGCCAAAAAAATACATATAAAATTGAATTGAAATGAATTGAGTTTCGCGGTTCGCATTGGCGCGTAATTGAGCTGAAAATATTCTTGTAGTCCATGATACAAGTGGATAAATTAAAATATAATGAAATATCTTTTTAAATAAACAAATTTAGCTTCTGGACATTTTCAGAATTGAAAATCTAAAGTTTGCGGGGCCGATTAGAAGATCCACAAGGTTAAAAAGACGACTCTGGTAACTCAAAACCAATCGGATCCGAAAATATTTGGTTCCGGAATCAGCCTTATCCGATTGATAATTTTACGGATAAGATTGGTTATTTGTCGAATCCGATTCGAATTGAAATATTAAAACAAATCGGATTCGAATAATATACAATCGGAAAATACCCAAAAGACCAATCGGATAAGAAAGATTCCGGAGCGGATCTGATTGGTTTTGAGTTATCAGAGAAGTTAGCCAGGCGTTTTTCGTTTTCCTGAAAGAAATCAGGACCGAAAAAAATGAAAATAAAATTTTGTTGGCAAATGGCTTGTTTACTTTACAAAAATCGATAAAAAATTCCATAAAATTGGGAAATGCATTCTTATTTGAAAGGAAAAGCTAACATTTGGGTCATGCTGCTTTAAAGTTGCCAACATCTAAACTCCATATCAAGGCCGACACGAAACCATTTCTAGGCGCGCTCCATTGCCAACTAAAAAGCCAATTCAGCGCGCGAGATCGCCCATAAATCAAATTTATGTGATTTATTGCGAATAATCAGCCGTAAAAGAAACATTCCGAAATAAGAGAAATTAAATTAAAGGCGCACGGAGGGGGGGCGAAATTGGATAAGCCAACATTCATCCCCTCAACTAATAATCGAAAATATAAGTCGGTAACGATAATTATTTAAAGGTACAGAACCCAGAAAGATAAAGCAAGGATCATGGTGATCAAAAGTAACTCAAATTGATCCACTTTAAGATTTCTAATTACGGACCTTTAAGAATGCGCGGCAAGAAGCAGCAAAAAAAATATTTTGGCGGGCAAATAAATGACACAACAAATTCAAACAATAAGAAAATGCCCCATGTGAGGTCATAAACAGTGGTGTGGCGGAGGAGAATGGAAGAGTCAAGTGCGTGTGAGGTTGTCAGGTGAATGACAACACCCTCCGCCACCCCCCAAAAACGCCACAAGTAGCACATTTTCAAGGACGACCATGACGATGCTGCGCGCGCGTCGATTTTCGAAATTACCTGGCGTCCCGCCAGGCCCGTCTAAATCTTAATTACCTATAATAACATTAATCGCAATGCCGATACAGGGGGGGAGACTAGTGGCCCCGCTAGTTGTCCGCAGCAGAATGTTCAATATTTTGATTCACCTAATACCCACCCATAATTATGAGTTATAGCGATTGTAATTAAGGCAATCTCTTGCCTAAATCCCTTTAAACCCCCCTCCCCAAGCACAATAAACAGCGTTTTGAAAAGTTGACAATTAACGATTGTCGCCAACCTTCCAATTCGCCCCAATTTTATAAATAAAGAAAAACAAAATTGCATCAGAGGTGCGAAAGCACCAAACAAAAATTATCTAGTTTTGTGCTCTTTGAGCATTTTCTGGAAGTTCTTTCCGCCAATGCACTTCTTGCAAACCGGCAACATGTCAAATTCAGCGACTTTATCTCTTAAATTTATGGCTAATTATGATAAAAATCAAAAATTCGCCCTCACTTATATTTCAAAAGCTTGTCACAAAATCTACATCGATAGCAACCCCTGCAGAATTTCTTCCCAAAATAGTCAATCATCACATCCTCTTTCGGAATCGAATTGCAATAGAAGCATTTCATTCCAGTTATCTGCAATGCCCCATTAAAATGTAAAGCTTACAAACGAACAAAACAAAACGATACCGCCGCAAAATCACTTCGACAATATGGCTGTTGATTCTTCTCAAAATAATCTTTTCCATGGAATGGCACTCCGCAAATCGAGCATCGAAAATGCTGAAAATCATCTGGACCATTCAAGAAATTCCAATCCAACAAAAAACTTTCCAACCTCAACGTGCCAATGTTTGCCCATGGCAAGTGTTGATCTCTCAATTAGCGGATCGATCGGCGTTTTGCACGCAAAACAAATCTCGCACTGAAAATCGTAGCATCTTTTGCACAACAATTTCTTGTTCGCCTGACGCGCTTCATTCGTCAATGTCTCGCTGACAAAACAAAACCATAAGCGACTACTGTAGGCCACTACAGTAAACCACTTACTCGCAATTTGTGCAATTGAAGTGATAGGCATGGTAGGGGTCGAATTCGATCAACAACAAATCCTCGTCATCCACCGTTTGATGACCTGAATTTCATATACATAATTGACCCCAATTTTCAAGTAGCAATCGTGCTGCCGACAATTTTTGTCAACTCACATTTTTTGCAATTATAGATTTTCGCCTTGGGCATCAACTGATTACAGGTGAAACATATCATTCTGAACGATGCAATTAAAATCTTCCAATCAAATCATAGATTTTACTTTCCGGCATTCCTGTAAATACCTTCCGACAGCGAACCATCGCAGAATTCGCATCGGAAGCATTTCGGATGAAAGCTGGAATTCAGCGCGCGAATGACTTGACCATCAATGAAATCGTCTAGTGTGAAACACGTTTTGAGGCAAAATTCGATAGAAAAAAACAAATTTACCACAAACCGAGCAAATCGGCGAGTACAGTGCTCGAAAATCATGCTCGCAGTACAATCGATTGCCGATTTGGAAGAATGTTTCATGCGCTATCGGAATCATACACTGTGCGCACCTGAAAGCAGACAAATTTCGATTTTTCTTTTCAATTTTCTAGATTTATCTTGAATCTTACATGAAACATTCGACATGCCAATTAGTAGAGTCGACAATAAAGAAATCTTCTTCGGCTTTCAAAGCAATACGACATCGCTCACATTTTCTAGCGTTCAACCTGTAAATTATTGATCAAATCAATAATCAATGCACCAATGTCGCAAAATTAAATATTATCGCACAATTTCTAGGCCATTAGAAAATCAAACAATAATGTCTCTTTTTTTAAAACCAAATTTTCAAATTCCCTTAAAAAGCCTCGAAAAAAACACTTACCCGCTGTTCCTTTGCTGAACAATTTTCGCCGGCTGCATGTTTATTGCACCGAACAACAAAAAAAATCGATGAACGTAAGGGGACGTTGCTATCAAGGCAAACACATCAGAATGCCAGAAAAAAATTCGCTGCCTTATCATCATTGTTGTGAGTCATTCGTCGATGGTCAGCGGTTTTTTTTGTTGGCTCACATTTTGCTTCGATTTCAATTTTTCGATTTTTCGAATTTTTCGATATGCACGCTTTCCTAAAGAGAAATGAATCGGTTAGTGGCGATTTGATCAATTCAAGAAAATTTTTGATCAAACTATCTACAAAATTTCTGCGCGAGCCAAATAAAAGAGCATATTGGCTCTTTCTGACTTCGAAATAATGTTCTTATCGCTAAATAAGAATGAAGCATCGATTTTTGCTAAAGAAGGGTCCTCAGTGAGATCAAGCCCATCATCCACAACTGACAGCTACTCAGATTAATGAAAGTCAATGGGACCCGAAGAAAAATGAAACAAATTAACCTGATTCGACTGAAAAATAATTGAAATTCGATAGAGAAAGTGTTTAAATTCGATTTGAAAACTTGGTTTCGATTCAAAAATATATGCAAAATTCACGTGGGAAGCGGCTAAAACTTTGAAGGTGCATATCTCGATAACTAGAAGTCGCGCAGGTAGGACCCTAGTTAATTCGATTGGAAATTTTCTAAAGAATCTGTATGCAAAAAATCAAATAATTTTAAGACGGACAGCAAGAAGACCTCTCTTGTTAGAAATGAAAAAAAAGAACAAAAATATTAGCGTATTTCGTATTTGCTCCCTATACGTTAAGATGGTTCGTAATTTTTCCGCATTTTCTTAAAGGAGCAATACGACGTCGACAGGAATATTGACATTGTTCATATCATTTTTATTTTTCTTCAAAAATAATCGACCTACTCTGCGAATTGAAAAAATACATTATTACTTATTCAACGACGTTAAAATTGTTTTAGCTGCAGAAAATCTTTCCAATTCGCAGGTTCAGATATTTGCGTTTTCATTCTTGAAAAAAATTATCTCAGCTTTTTTTTACATTTGACATTAGAACCAATTTTCAAAATAAAACTTCACCTTTTTGTACAGTGGAAATCTTTGAATCAAATAAAAAAATATCGAGACCCGCACAACTAAAAAAAACTTACCGAAAGCAAATTTCGTCTATCTTCAATTAACACAAACAAAAATTACAAAAAAATAAACAAAAAATAAAAGGGCTGTATGTCGACGATTACTTTTTTTCAAACCGCGATTGACAAGAATTCAAGACAAGAACCAAACCACACCATCGTAAGAAAAAAAGTTCATGAAAAAGACACTCGAATTTTTGAAGTCGAGACCATTTAAAACCTATAAACTAGAAGGGTGACGTTGGCAAATGCGCTCTACAACAATACTGCGTCGATCGCGAAAGCGAAGTGCATCATCGGCTGGGATGAGACAGTGTGCTGACATAGGAGAATATGCGGACACGCGGCGTCGTTTTGTAGTTGTTTCGAAAATGCGCTCTATTGCATGGTTTTCACCGATGCTAGGGGGCACTATAAAAGGCCAACGGATGCGCAATTTGGTCAGTTCTCGAAACTCCTCGAGTTGCGGGAAGCTCGCAGATCTTGCGGGCTCCGCGTGCCCCGCATCAGCTGCGGGCTCCACGCGCCCCGCAAAATCTGCGGGCTCGTCGTGGCCAAGGATTCACTCGGTAAGTCACATTCATCGCTACTCCTTTAACTCAATGCCATTTATTGCAGATCCGAGCGCCACAGTCGTTGCTCATTCGAGCTCTTCTGATGTCCTCTGTTGAAAGTGTCGGGGATTCTCGACTGGTGCGACTCGGTCAGCCAGTACTAACCCTACTGCAGTAACGCGTCCAGGCCGACGTTAAACCCATATTCATGAGTAGACATAGGACGTGAAGATGAGCAAGAATGGGAAATGGCGAACGGTCGACGCTGCCCGGGGCGTCGAGTAGAGCGAGGAAGTGGATTCATAAGGTAAAGATGGAATCATGATCTATCAGAATAATTCGAATCATTGCAGGCATCTTGTGGATCAAATGGATCGAATCGGAAGCGACGTCGAAGAAGAAGCGACGAGGAGGAAAGGCAAAGGCGTCGGGTATTTGGTATTTTTGGCCCGGGCCTTTTTTTTTTACTTTTTTATTATTGTTTTTTATTTTTCCTTATTACCAGTCGTACCACTTACGACTCTCCCCCTCTATATCCCACCACTTGGGATTCCCACTCTCTCCTCTCTGTACATTCGTACCACTTACGTGTGTACATGACTGGCCTCCCCTTATTTTTTTTAAATTTGTATCTTTAGGTATGTTTAGGTATCGACGCTGCCGCCGCCGCCGATGGTAGGATCTCGCGGGTGAATCGACTCACCGGCACACATCCCATAATAACTCTAAGTTTAAGTCTCTTAGTACCTCTAGTCCCCTAACTTCTAAACCCGCCGTAGTCGGCACTCCCTAGGTCGTAGTCGACCACCCATAGCCGTAGTCGGTTACTTCCCAAGCGCCGAGGCTCCCCGTCCCTCATAATCGTAGTGCCGAAGCGTTGGCTGGATGGCGGCTTAACCGTCGTATCCTAAATTCGGGTGATTGGCCTGGCAAGCCTTTCAGCCCTGATTCCGTAGCCGGGAATCGAACCCTACCCAAACGTCCGTTTCAAGTACTTTCGAGTGCTTGGTGGGCGTTATGGATGGTTATGCTTTAGAACTTTGCTTCACCGGGTGTCCTCCATACTAGTCAGGATGTCATCTGGCCCAGACCTATATTGACGTGGATTGGCCAGCTATGTCAATATGTCCAGCCTTTCGGGTGCACATGGACCGTGCTTCTTAGCATGGTAGCTTGCTACTTTGTAGTGGCTTGCTACTACTTTGTAGTAAGCTGCTGTGCTGAGAAGACAAAAACCACATTACCATATCACCAGTAGACCCGGGGCCCAGCCAGACGTGGCTTGCACAACCACTTCTACTTCTATTATCCTCGGATGATAGTTGTGGGATGTCCTTGTGTGATCCCCATGGTGGGATCGGCGATGACCCACATCAGGTTTCGGCCTGATGCTGGTGAGCCTCTCCTTCAAGTGTCGAGCCTCTACGTGGCGAAGGAGATCAACTGACTCGGTCGAGTCAGGCTAATCGGCACACCGTTTCACGCTGATCGAGGATCTTCTTCCTCAACCGGGCGGCTTCTTCGCGACCTTTTTACTTTTTCAGACACTCATACGTAAGAAGACATACCTACTTTCGATTGAATCAGCTGTTTCAAATTAGATTTTTAGTTGAATCCATGTCGGAGATACGGAATTGAAGCTGTTCATGGAGATGTTGGAAGGTATTCTGAAATATTTATTGAAGAATAATCTAATGTATCAGAGATTTGGAAAAAATCGGTAAGTCGATTTTGGGATATTCAGTTTTGACGGCAATCATCGAAATTCTCGTTCTGCCTACCCGCGTAAATTCGTTGTCTTTCTTACTACTACGATAGTTCGCGAAACCCCTTTATTACATGCGGACCACTAGACTCCGCCCATCGACTGGGCCGGAAATGGGACCAATATTCATTCTACCCTTCAATATACATATATTTGGAGTAGGTCGCCACTCCCCATCATATTCGGATCTTTTTCTAATGAAGAATTCTAAGGCCTTACGAGAATACAGTGGACGCAGACCTGCGGTCTCCTACTATTAGGGACCATAGTAACCCGCATCCTTATCATGAGGGCGATGCCGTTCTTTGTGGCTGATTCATACATTTTGAGATTTCACATTTATTATAGTCACTACATTTTAAAGGAATCCCCTCGAGAGCTATTTAAAAATAAAAAAAATACTTGCCGACATGAGAAAAATAAATAAAGACTTACCGCAAGTAGGGCCGTAGATTCGCATCCTCGAATTAGAAAAAAAAAACAAAAAAATCAATTAATAAAATAAAAGGTTTTGAGATGGTTGTTCTTCTTCTCGCCATATTTTTTGTTTCATCGAATTGATATCAATGCTCTGACAATTTGGGGGTCATAACGCCTGGAACTTCAAAACCATTGGAAGAATATATTCAAATTTCAATGGCCATGGCACAATGCAATCGTTTTCCTGCATTTTGCTAACTGAAAATAAGAATGTATGAATTAATCTATGGAATTGCGAGTAAACACATCAATAATATCCTGGACCAATCGCAGTCTCGTCAGTCATCGTCGTAGGTGTCAGTTCATGGAAATAAACGAATAAAAATCATTACAAAGAAAGTTTAATTTGTCCCTAAATTTTGCTTGAAATATTCTCAAAACCATCAACATTTTAGAGAAACTCTCGAGATTTTATTGAAAATCTTCTCAAAACAAGCTCAAGCTCAACAAGCTTCAGCTTCAAGACAAAAACCAAGATACACCATCGCAAGAGAGCAATCTCGAAACCCCGATTCCGCCATCCGCAAGTTGTATTAGACTGCATTAGACGAGCCGAACATCCACGCGGGATCCGAAGGGGATCAGAAAAAAATTGAGGGAATTCAGAAGCAGCGGAAAACAAGTCTGAGTTCCAAGCACGACTGATTGCTCCTTGAAGTCTTGACGCAGAAATGAGTTTACCATTCACAGCTCGGAGTGGGATCTTTTCATTTGTTTTTTTTTTTCTTTTTTTTCTGTTTTTTTTCTTTTTTTTTACTTTTGGTGACAACGGACGGAATGGTTGAATCGAGTTCCTCGTAAATCTCCTTGTCCCGAAGATCCGCAAATTGCAGTTCTGAAGTGGTCGGGAAGCGGCGTGGAAGGTGATATTACATCAAGGAGCTGGCGACAGCGACATCATTGGAGCATTGAACAGGGAAGATGCTGGTGGATGTCATCCGAACATCGAACGTCCACATCATGAAAATGGTCCCTTGGCTTCATAACAGAATTCGAATTGAGCACAGCTTGATGGCAGGTGGTTGTCGTATGAATTTGAAGTTGTCTGGCTGCCGGGCTGCTGGTGGATGTCGATTGAGTTGCCGTTTGAACTTCTTGGTCAACGTTGTCACCATTTTTTTTTCTTTTATTTTATTGCCCATTCATCCCGAGCTGATCAGATAAAACTCAAACCTTGTCAATTCCACAAAAAAGCTTCCAGCCGAAACTTGTCGCTCATTCCAGCTCGCCGAGCACCGAACTTCGTCAATTATCGCTGATAGCCTCAAGACGCCTCGCGAATCCACCGCTCGCCTGACGCAGCCGAACGCAATTGCTTCAGGGTTCTTCGAAATGTCGAAATGGACCGAGCAACAGTGCAGCTCAACTCCCATCTATTCGCATCGGCTCATTTCACATTTGCCTGTTCGAAGTCAATTTCGCTTTAAATCCTAAGAGCTTCTTAAAATTTTAAATGGAATAAAAATTTAAAAAAATGGAAATTCAAAAGTTTTACATTTTCTTCAAATACTCACCGTTCCGCATTTGACTTGAAGAATAAATAAATTATGAAAAACATTTATTCCACGTTAAAACCGAAAATTTTAACGAGAAAAAGAAAGAAATGAGGAAAATGACGTAAAATGGCGTGGAAAACAGAAATCCGGACAAAGCAGGCGGGCCGTGTGCGAACACACAAGCATGTTTGTGCACAATGCGCGTTACTTGACGACACTTCGAAATTTCATAAATTTAAAAGCAAGATTTGCGCAATTTAAAAGTTTTCCGAAAAGAATTTGAACATAATTGTTTACTAATTATTAGTAATTAAATCTAATTTTCTATAAAACCGCAAAAATCTGCCTAAAATAGACATCCTTTCTAACAGAATTGAGAAAAAAAGAAAACTTCTCTAATAGCCTTCATTTCAAATCTTTAAAAAAATATTTATTCAAAGCTTCAAAACGTGATTTTCTTTTCCCTCGATGCTCAACGCCAATGTCCGTGCTCTCGCCATCGTTTCAGTCCTTTTACGGACCACTTGCATTTCCAATTTTCTCAAATGCCTCTGCTTAAATTTGTGATGGGCGCGTGCAATCTATTGGAAAAGAAACACTCGGAAGATGGCAATTAAACGGCAATTATCGAAAAGGTGCGAAATTTCACACTCACCACTTCATAGATAGTGTACAAATAAGCGATGCCGCCGATGCCGGTTAAGATACCGCCAACAATTTGCAATACCAAATAAGTTTTTCTCGAAAAAACCGAGTCGTTGTCAATTCTGGAAATTTGTTCTGGACCAGAAAAAAAAACGGTTTCTCTTTTTTTTTGTTAAAAGGATCATCTCCACAATCCTGGCGTTTTCTGCTTCGACTTAAAGGCGCATGCGTAGATCAAAAACCAACTTACGTTCGCGTCGAAATGCACAACAAAACTAGGCCAAGAGCCAACACAAAACTGCACACGATTGCCTGGATGTTCATAATTGGTTTGAGAGAAATCGCAAACCGAGAAATAATTATATTAATAATTTCCTTTATCATTTTTTTGCCGCTCATATCTAACGCCGAGCCATAAAAAATGGGTCGCTCTCAACCCAAAAATGGGTATTTATAATTATAGAACAAAACCGAATAGTATATAGTTAGTAGAATTGTGTGTGTGATTTTTTTTTCAATTTCTGATTTATTTCCCCTTAATTCTCTTCGCTTCTCAATTATTCTACCAATTTCCCTTCATGTATGTCTGATTGTGGTTCTTCTGCCAGGCTTCCGTGTAGATCTGAAACATTTCCAAAATTACCGTAGTCGAGAAAAAAATCGTTACAGTAACCGTTAAAGGATCAATGTAGGAAATTTTCCAACATTCGTGAAGACTTTGAGAATAGGCGTTTCCGATGGAAAAATGCGACCTATCGCGACAAGACCAATCTCAATTTTCCGCGTCATGCGTCTTTAATCATTGTTTTTTATTTTTATGAAATAAGCGATTTGGAAAAAACAATTTGAATAGTTTTCAGAACTTCAAAACATATTTTGCTAGATACGGTATTTAAAGGCGCACGCAGCGATCAAATCTTGTAGTCGCGAGATTTTTGCTTCATTCATTTTGAACAAAAAGCGCCCTTTTATTTTTTTTTTTCAGCATACCAAGAATGCGAGAGCCGGAGTCTTGTTGTATTGAGCCTCCATTGAATCGAACACCAAATCGGTGAGCTTATCCATTTTCGTCTCATCCATCTCCTTGAATTATCAACATTGATTAATTGATTCGATGGAACGGCTTTCAGCAAACCTTCATCGAAATGCACAACGTGAAATAGACGAGCACATAATCATAGGAGTTCTTCTCGCGGTTGTCGAAATATGCATAGAGGTTTTTATACTGCAAAGACAAAAATTCGGATGGGAAATTATTGAATGCGGAAAATTGTGCCAAAAAAAACCAAATAATGTGGTCTTGGCCCAAAAATGAAAGTGTAGATTTACGGGCTAGGATAGGTTAAAGGCGCACCGAGACCTCTTTTCAATTTTTTTTTCGCTTTGGTCTCGCGCCGACCAATTTATTATTTTGCATCTTATGGTTCGTTTCAATAATTTTTCGCTCATCGCCGTTTCGAAAGGCGCACGCGTAAATCTACAACAATAAAATTTGAAAAAAATTCTCAATTTGGTCTTTTCGGGTCCAAAAATGTTCAACTATTCGTATTTTGAGGGCATTTTTTTGAATTGGGAATTTTCAAAAAAAAATCGGACCTTGTTCGCTACAACAATCCTCTTCAAGGGCATTCCGAAATTTCGAAAAATTATGAAAAAAAAGAGTATTTAATTAAAATGAAATTTTTTTCCCTCGGGTAACTCAAAACCTAATCGGGTCCGACAAAAGTTGGACTCCGAAATCAACCTTATCCGATTGGCGACGGATAAGATTAGAAAATTGCCGGATCAGAATCGAATTGAAAAATTAAAATAAAGCGGATTGGAATAATAACCAATAGGAAAAGATTGATTCTGGATTCAAATTTTGTCGCATCCGATTGGTTTTGAGTTGCCAGAGTAATTAAATGAATCACCCCAAACTCGATCACTCAAACGCTGGAGGTAATTTTCAAACGCTTCTCCCAATTTTTGAAAATCGTTGATTTTTCTAAAGTATAAATTTAATTCAATATATTGTCGAGAAAAAAAAAACGGCTGAACGAAATTTAAAAAAATAAATCTGTCTTGTCGCAAAAAGGCGTGCACGTGTCTACGTACTTTGCATTTTAACGTACGCGCAGATTACGGTAAGACCGTGTGTCAATTTCTATTTTGCATAGATCCACACCGATTTTACGGTGTAATTTCGCAATAACAGTCAAATTTCAATAAATTCGGCCCCCCCCTCTCACTTTTTGTGCGGTGGCCGCGTTATAGAGTTTCGTGAGTCCCGGCGTCAGCACATCCCACCATTGTTTGATTGCTTGCCTCTGAAAATGCGTTGACCATTTTCTTCCCATAGCCCAACTTCTTACATTGTTCACTAGAGCGATGAGCTTTTGCCGACTGTAATTGGCGTTGTCGTACTGCGACAATGTCTTCGGGTTGGGTTTGCCCTGAGCTCGCCAATTTTAAAAGCGTCGGAAAAAAATTGTACCTGCTTGTTCTGTGTGAAGAATTGATTGATCGCCGTTCGCATGACGGCAAATTTTCCGATATTGTTGTTGAGAGCCTTGGCCAGCTGGAATTAAAACCATATTTGGTTGGCTACGATGGTTGGGTCTCACCGCGAACACGTTGGCGTTGGAAGCGTGCGGAATGATTCGCTGAATGGCGGCCAGTGAGACGGACTGCAAAAACAAAATCGATAGGGACCATCTGAGGGTCGGCGAACCCCGAAAGCCTGCTGACTAGCGCATTGTTGGACATTCAAGCCGAGAATCACTAGCAGAACGCCGAATTGAATACAAAAAGCCATCGTGATCAAAAATCGGTCTTTCTTTTCTTCCTTTTTTCACGGTGGTACCGAAAAAATGATGAGGGTATGGCGCTGAAAATAAAACAAAAAAATTTGAAAAGGAGGATGGGGGGGGTCGTCGAACGATTCGCAAATCCGCCGAAATCCGAGATTATCGCGAATGTCAAAAATTGGCGCGGGCCATAGTCCCCAAAAATCAGCGATGAACTTTTTTTTTTTTGGTTGCGATTGATTGAAAGTTTCGAAGACCGCACCAAACCGGTGATCATGAAAAATTTTCCGACTAGATGGGGATTATGAAGGGTTCCAAACGTTTTGTGACGATTCCCATTATGATCATGGACAGGTTGAGGGCGATTTAATTATTTCATATCACCTTTTCCATATGCGGACATTTCGCGGGTTTCAATTGATCGAAGGAATCTGGCATGCGTTTTTCCATCTGCAGACATCCCACGGGTTTCAATCCAACGAATTGACTAATTAATTACTTAGTCAATCTCAGCATCAAGAAAATAACAATTCTGTGTGTTAAATAAATTTCCATCTGCGGACATTTTCCCCAGAAAACCGTCACCATCCAATAAGTTTGCGGGAGACTCTTCAATTCTTCCATCTGCAGACAAGTCGCGGGTTTCAATTCGTCGATTCCCTTCGACATGGCGCCGTGTCATCGATTTCCATCTGCGGACAATCTACCTGGCTCAATTCCCACCAACGTTGCTTCAATTTCTCCGCTCGGCCTCCTACGCTTAAAGTGTAATATCGCGATTGGCAGTTTTTTTAAGTGGCTCGTCGATGGTGTGAAGAGTGTGCGATGCGGAGAGACGCCGACGCGCTATGCCGATTTCGCCGACTCGGCCACAGTGGTCCCAAGTCTTCCCCCCTCTCTCTTTCTCTCTCTCTCTCGAAAAACGATCGATCGATGGTTTTTTTAAGCACACAAATTTACTTTCAGGTAATGTCGACCATCGCCGCCGGCCGATTCGCCAAAGAGGACGTCGACGCTGAGACGAAATGGTGGAAGGAGTACCCATCCAAGTGAGCGTTGATGGTCCGTTGAATAAATTCATTTTATGATGGTCCTTTAAAGGTATTATGTTGAACGCGCGCGTCCGCAGAACTTCTACGACGACTACATCACCAACACATTCAGCAAGTCGAAGAGACTCGCTCGAAGCGCGTCGTTCACCAACATGACCTACATTAAGGTATTCAATGCTGCGGACATCTCACGCGGTTCGTTTTCAGGACAAGGATATGATGGATTATCCGATCCACAAGTCCGATTCGGTCTCCACGTTGGCTCCGTCTCTCGCCCTTCCCCAATATTGCCGGTAATCGAAAAACCCGCGAGTTGTCCGCAGCTCATTGTTTCAAATTATTAAATCACTAGGGAAGCGCAGAGAATTGTGCACACCGTGCCCGTCTACAAACCGCACGTCCACAATTGGTATAACAACAGCTACAGTAACGCGAGATTCCAGGTTCGACGGGTTACGGTATTCAAAGGCACATGATTGTCGTTTTAGGACACGCTTCGCGAGATTGAGAAGCCTTATAAGCCATTGGACCCTTACATCCCGGTCTATTCCACCCACGTACCATTTTATACCTTCCAGACCCGCCGCATTTTCTTCGATGAGGTAGGCTCCGCCCATCATTAGGGTCTTTTCGATTCAAGAGCCCTTTTTCAACAAATTCCAATTTCGGCCAAAATATTGGATTACTGTAGCTCCATATTCGACAAAATTCGCGAAGCCCATCTCGCTTCATTTTCACATCGATGATCGATTCATTTTGCAGAATGATCGCCAAAATCAGCCATATTTGAAGGAATCGCAAAAATATTTGGATCGCTACGTGAGCTCGCGCCTCAAAGCCGACGACTACGCGAATCGATTCGCGTACACCGCGTATGAATGGCGAAAACCGCAAGATCACTCGTTCAATCGCCATTTTATGACCGATCAGCGAGTAAGTCGGCGAACACTCGCAAAACCATACGGGTTCGCATCTGCGGACAATTTTCGTGTTGAAAAATGACTGATCCCTTCAAATTGTCCGCAGCTAGCTTCTCATGTTAACAATGAGATGATTGCCGAACAGCGGTCGGCGAATGCTTTCATTGAAATCCATCTGCGGACACCAATCGAGCTAAAATCGTTTGCAGGTGTTCGTCTCAACGCCAACGGCAATTCCGTTCGAGACCTACGACAAACTGGCAATGCGGCGTCTCTACAAGCGTACCGGACGATTCTTCTTCTAACATTTTGCGTTTGCACTCGAATTCGTCGAAAAACGAAAACTCAATTTTTATTTTTTTTTATTTTCTTTGTCTCGATTCAATAAAACGAATTGTACACTCCATTTTTTTTTTCTTTTTGATATTCAAATTTCGCGCCGCGTCTTATCAAAACGAAAAGATAAAAGACTAGGCGTTGCTCTTTTGTGTGCCACACAAAAATCGATAAGAATTGCCCCGTCCAGTTTTTGAGGCTCCCCATCCCCGCATAATGTTCGGACCAATTTGTACCGGCATTTTTTTGTTCCTCGCCATTTGGGGATCGATTTTTATGGTATTAATTCCTTTTTGGGTTTATTTTTCCCTAAAACAACTATTTTAGGCGATTCTCGGCGCATTGTTCTATAATCAATCCGTCGGTTTATTCGAGGACCTTCCCAAAGAGGCGAAAAGCATGGAAACAAAGTCATGGAGTGCGCGCGTCGACAATTTCAACTCGTAAGTTCTTCATGACATCCATCTGCGGACATTTTCAAATCATAATTTTATCTTTGTATAAAACCCATCTGCGGACATATTTCGAGCTCAGTGAATAACGATTTCGTTCATTCCACAAATAAATTTTAAAAATAACCCATCTGCGGACAATTTCCAAAAACCATCCCCAAAAATTGTCCGCAGATGATTTTTGATATGTAATAACCTTGAACTGGGTGAACTTCCCCACCTTCTTGCAGCCTCTACCAGCAAAACGCCTACAACTGCTGGATCGCTTGCGGCGTCTACGTCGGCATTGCGCTTCTCCTCTCCCTCCGAGCGTGCTGTCTCGTCAAACGATAAACCAAAAATCATATAATAAATTCAAGAAGATAAAAAAATGTGTTTATTTTAGAAAATATGAAATCTATACTCTGTAAATACTTAGTATAAATACTTAGAAAGCAACGCAGCATTTTCTAATCTAATATTGTTGAAAGCAGCAATTGTTTGTTTGTTTGTTTGTCCATTTTTTTTCTCGTCGATTAATCTCAATTAGGCCGGCGCGGTGGTGGTCGTCGTGTCGGTGACGGTCTTCTTCTTGTAATACTTGGTGGTGACGTGACGCGAGATGACACCCGGCTCGAGCGGAGTCTCGACAACTCGCTTCTCCTCCTCTTTGAGCAGCGACGTCTCGCGGCCCGGATCCGCCGACGTTTGCGTCTCGCGCTTATAATGAACGTCGTGTCCGCTCGCGTCGCGATAGCCACCCTGAAGCCCCGATGATTGTCGGCAGCACAAAACCACCAACCTCCGTGTTATTATGAGTGTTCGAGATGCTTCCAACGGGAAGCTTCTCATTCATCTCAGTCCTCTTATTGAACACATCATCAACCGATTGGGCATTCGACAAATCCTTGTAGCTATGGGTGACATTTGTGGTCGCCGCTGGAACGGTCCTAGAAAAAAAAAATAATTGAACAATAAATCAAATTCGGGCTCCTCACGTGGTCTCGGTCTTCTCCGAATAGTTTCGCTTGTAGTTTCTCGACTCGCTGTACTGCGAGAGCTGCGAGACCGGCCGGCTCGTCTCCTCGCGTCGGCTCTCCTCTTTTCGGCTACTCAAATAGTTCTCATATTGATAAGCAGCCGGTTGCGGTTGCGTGTTGTTCGACGTCTTCTCCGTGTGCGACGTGAAGCTCTCATGATGATAGCCGGCCGGTTTCGGCGTCTCGTTCGTGCTGCTCGTATAGTTATAGCTAGCATGGCGATTCAGCGGTTGAGCGCCTCCGTTGGTTGTCGTCGTCGTCGTTGTCTTCTCCTGCTTATTATAGCGGCTTGAAGAGAATTCGGTGCTCTTGAATGATTGACCACCCGGCGAGTGCATAATAATTGGTCCCTATATAGTTAGCATAATTAAACGACATACAAGTGTCTTCTTACAGTTGTACTATGGCTCTCCGTATGATAGCTATAGTTCTGATTGCCACCGCTTGGAATCGCAATCGCCTGGCTAGGCTGATGAGAGGACTGAAAATAATTGCTAGGGACCATTAAGGACCATCAATCCAAAGCTTACACTATTGTTAAAGGTTCTCTCACTGTGGAAGCTGGTCGAATAGTTGTTGCTAGCTGGCTGAGCCACTGGCTGCTGAGTGGTGGTAGTCGTGCTATGAGTCGAGTAGGTCTTGTTATAATTGCTAGCCTGAAAACTTCCAAATAAGGAATCTTAAAAAAAGCTAGTCGAGTTTAAGGGGGAATATCGCGCCTCATAGTTTCCAGTCGGTGCTGGAAGTGGAATCGGATCGGTTTGCTGTTGGTGGTGATGGTGGTGGTGGTCCTGCAACGAAAAAGGGCACTCGAAAAAAACGACATCAATTGGTTAGCAGAAAAATTCTATTCTATTCGCAAAACGAAAAATTGAGCAAGCAAAAAAAAAAAGAAAAAAAGCAACGAAATGAGCGACTAATAAGGGACCTCATGGATGCTGATCTCGGATTTCACGTCCGACGCGATTTCGGATCGATCCGATTGCCGCGATCGGCACACCTCGCTGAACGTTCCGGCCTCCTGGAGAGATGAAAAAAACAACAAGAATAACGCAAAATTTCGGTTGGGGGAATCTAGGGTTCGGAATCTATCTAATCTAGGATTGAGAGAGCACCTGACGAATCGGAATCGAGCGGCTCAGCGGCGAATGCAAATCGCGTTGGAATTTCTCAGAGAACTCCATTTTCTCCTAAATTTTGTCGGGCATAAGACACACGCAAAAAAAATATGGAAGAAGAAGATGAAGGTTGTAGAGAGAGAGAGGGGGCAGAGAAAAAAAAAGAATGATTCGCGTGTTGGTCAAATTACCTGTAAACGGCTGCCAATGTTGGACGAGGTGTTGTAGGAGCTCTGCAAATTTCAGATCACTTCTTCAAGGAATCCCAAAATTTGATAGTCAATAACTGCCAAAGTCATCTAGGTGATTCTCGATGCTAGATTTTCTACAGTAAGATTGAGCCCTAGTCAGGGCTCAATCCATTCAACTCTTCGCCCCCTACGAACCATCTATCATTCCTAGTTTACACATCTCAAAAGCAATGCATTTTTTCCCGCTCAACCCCTAGAACTTTCCGCTGAGACACATGTTCGCTTACATGCTGATGCTGCTGCTGCTGCTGATTGATGATCGGTGGCTGATAGTGCGGACCATTGACATACTTGTCAGCGTGCGATTGAACATAGTTCACCTGATTGGTGTTGTAGCCTAAAATGGGAATGGATGATGGGATTGTCATCAATAGATGAAAACGCCTACCAGTGTTGACAAGATTCTCAGGAACATGTTGCGATTGTGGAACCTACAAATCAAAAATTGAATTCATCAGAAGCGCAACAAAAAAAATTGACGACAAGACTCACATTTGAGGTGGTGGTCGTCGTCGTCGATGTATATTGATAGTTCTGCGAACCGTTCATCGGCTGCTGGTAGAAGCTCTAAAAACCAATATATTTGAATGTTAACATTCTTTGGGATATCATGACTTGCCTGATTGTACGAGTTGTTCATGTTGTCCGCCTGTCGCTGCCACTGCTGCTGCTTGTGTTGTGCCTCGGCGAGCCATGACGGCGGCATGCCAGGCGCTACCTGCAAAAAAAACACACAAACATATACACTCAATACAGCTGTCAGCTTCATCTTCTTCTCGCTGCTTCTTCTCTCATCGTAAACTAAATACTGTGTTCTTCCGTGTTAAATCTCGCGGTTTTTTTTTTGTTCAAGATTCCATTAATTCGAGAATCTCAGCAAGAGAGAAGAAGATCAATGGGACCATTAACAAGACTAATAGAAGATTTCAGAAATCGCGTATTTCGGTATCTTGCGACAAAGTGTAAAGAGAACCACCCGCTCCTTCCGTGGGTGTTCGCTCATCTCTCACACCCACCTAGTGAAGAGGATCAGAGAAAATAGCAGGGGTCACTAAAAATCAGAAAAAAAACAACTTCGTACCCTCTCGGAGTAGGGGCGGCTCAGCTTCTGCTCGGTCTCGAACGCCCGTCGCTCCCATGCCTGACGACGCTGATCGACATTTCGACGCCAATTCGGCTCGGTGATATACGTCTGAAATTTTAGGATTCGTTACAAGAATTTCACTCATACATGGAAAATGTTATAAACGGGCTCCGAGTATCAATGAATATATCTAGAATATTGAATTAGCAACGACGAACGCACAACACATAAATTAAGATTCAATTGGCAATATCTAACTCAAACCAAAATCGAAACTAAGAAAAATATGCAAAAAATAATATTTAGTTACGTTATTACAAACGTAACTATGGCACAACATAAGAATTTCAAGCAATAACTCAAAAAACCAGCCTCCAACTCAAAAAAAAAACGAAATTTTTTTCAGTCCGTATGTGCGCGTCAACTCTCGTGTATGTGTGCAAACACCGCAGTGTATACCGTATACCTCGTAATAATGAACGTGTTTTCGGCTCGTAATAAAAGTAAAAAAAATTCCAAATGGGATTAATGAAGCATTAAAAGGGGCTGGGTGGGTAACGACTAGGCTACGGTTAGTGTGCGTTCCCTAGAACCTCATATCTCTGCAATCTCGGATCAACACGTCCGCTCCACGCCGCGTGCTTCTGCTCGGAGCGATCCGCCCAATAGGGCGACGTCTCACGCTTATTCACTCTAAGCGCCTCATCATTCAGCAGGGTCCGAATCGACACCTATGTATTCGAGCAAACACAACCGGCCAAGACAGTCTCGCGCTTACCTCCTTGTCGGCCTCGTACTGCGCGCCGCTGTAGAAGACGTCGCGTTGATCCGGCGGCGCCGACGAACGCGGCACCGATTGCGATCGCGCGAGATGTTTGTTCGCCGACACCGAGAACGTCACCGGCTGCGGCGGCGGCGGCGCCCGACGAACGGTGGTGTGATCGCGGCGGAAGCCTTGCGGCGGCGCGAACGACGTTCCGAACGTGCTCTGATCGATGTGTCGCACCTCGTGTTTGATTTTCTGATTCGAAACCGTGTCGCCAACCAGCAGATTCGCGTCGACCGCCTCGATATTCGGCGCGACGACGACATTGCAAGGATCGTGCGGATCGGCGGAATACTTCGGACGAAGTCTCGGCGGATCGGGACCATGTCCTCGATAGTGCCCATCGTTGGGCGTATGCCCACGATAGAAGTCGGTTCCACCCAATTCATAGCCGGGCGGCTGCTTCGCCGGTTGCGGCTTCCTCGGCGGCTCCGCGTAATATTGATAATCGGTTCCATGATCGATATGGATCCCTTGCGTGAAATCCAAACCGCCCAACTCATAACCGCGATTGTGGTATCTGAAAACCAATGACTTTGGCTATTCGGTGTCATTGCCTACTCTCGTCCGGCGCTTTGCGAACGCCTCATCCGATTTTGGTTAAAGGCCGCTTCATAATAAGGTCTAGTGTAAGGCTCATGGATGTTATGGGTGAAGATTCTGCAAGAAAAGACGATCAATGATTGGATCGCCAAAAATTGATATCGATTACTTGTTCTTCTCGGCGTGCTCGCGCGCCGTCTCCAAATGCACCGGATGGCTGAGCGGTGCCGGCGACGAGGCGGGCCGATAGCGTTGCTCGGCCGGCGTCTTGCTGCGCGCTCGTTCGCTCTTCTCGCGCGCCATTCGCGCCCAGTCGGGTTCGACGGTGTCGCGCGCACGCGGCGCTTCCGCTCGCGCCACCTTCTCGAAGAACGCGTCGCCGAGCGCGTCGTCGCCGCCGCCGCCGGTCTCGTTCAAATATTTGAGTGTGGCGCTTTTCGACGGATCGAAATGTTTGTCGGGCGCCGGCAGATCGGCGTTCGGCGCGGCGCCGATTTGCTGCTCGAACTGCTCGACGGCCGCCTCTTTCGAGTAGAGGCCCATCGGCGAATTGTACTGCAAATGCACGGTCTGCGGCATCTCGTCGGGTATCGGCTTCGGATCGTCGTCCGAATCGTCGTCGAGCTCAAGCGATGACCAAAACGATTTCGGGATTACCTGCAATAATGCATCGGATCAAGAAATGGATCAATGTGGATCCAAGGGAGGGAGGGGGGGGGGGTTCTGAGCAGTAGCCACAACAACAACAAGAACGAAAAAAAATTAGTATAGAAGCCGACGCCGCAATTGAGTGGGGGGAAGTGTTAAGTTATCATTCGACTTTCAAAAATGCCTCCCGACGGCTCCACGAGCCCTGAGGCAGTGAGAGATCGAGAGAGAGAGGAAGATAGCGTTTGGACGACAGCGACGGCCGGCACGCCGCGAATTACACAGTTGTTGTGTTTTAATTTTGATGATGCCTGTCGCCGGATGGAAAAAAAAGAAGAAGAAGACAAATAACCTTGGGACATTCGAGCGGTTTTGGGTGCGGTTTTGGTCCGCCGGGGGTCGGCTTCGTGTAGGAGAATGGCGTTCGACGCTGGTACAGCGCCACATTGTGGTCGGCGGTCGAGAAGAGCGGCTTCAACGCCGGCGGCACTTCGGCAATCGACATCTGAAAAATAAGAAGCCGAAGCTCGATGATTGTCGGCAGCATGAAAAACACTTATAGTCGGCGTCCGGCGACTGCTGTAGATTTACGCGCATGCGCCTTGAAAAGGTCTCGCCACGTGTGAGCGCTTATTTTGTTGTTTTCATGTGAACGACTTATTTTTTTTCTTACTGTTTTTCGCATTTCCTCGAATTTTCAAGGTAATTCGTTTAAAAAATTATCGATCCGACCCATAAAATTTGAAATAACCTGTTCGTCCTAGCGAGACCATTTCGAAAGACGCATCCCCGTAAATCTACCCGTGTACAGCAGTCGCCGGACGACGACTATAAGCCCAATTGAATGTAAATGTGTGGTGATTCGTTCGAATTCAGAGTTGCGCGAAACTGGAATTTTCTGAAAATGAAAGAAGACGAAATTGCGCGCAAAATCTGGTTGGCCGATTCATTGAAATCTAAAATGGAGTTTAAAGGCGCATAGCTTTTGAGCAAATGTGGAAATCACAAAAAAAAAAAAAAATAAATTCTATATTTTTTAAGGGTCTTCTTCTAGATTGTCCGCAGCAACAACAAAATAATTTTGAGAACTAAAAACTGGAAGAGACAAAACTCGCTTATTGATTGCGATGTAAATTCACACATAAAATGCCAGATGTCAACGTGAAGACTGAAGATACGCGAATATGCGTAATTAGGATCACAAATAAATTAGAGAGTTGAAATTAATTACAATTTATCGAAATAGCGAATTCTAAACAATCGCAAAAATTTCCGGATGCGGGGCGGGATTGAACCCGAGTCGAAAAATGGCACGCCAAAATTGCGATCAACTGCGCCATTCGAACATGTGAGGCTCTGGACAATTTGCATATAAGTGTTAGGCACGCACGGCAGAAGTGTGTTGAGTTCAACAACCGTCTTCAAAAAAAAACGAAGAAGAGCAAAAATTGCCTAAAACACGAGAATCTGTGTGTAACAAGCTTTTATCTGTAGTAAAGATAGTGGAATGATAGAAAGCGTTCAGAAAAATGAATGGCTCCTCGGCTATCCCATGTTCCACCTCATAATATTTCCGCAATATCCTTCAGCTCAGCGAACGAGTGACCACTGCAACAATTCCACTACTGAATTGTCATTGCCGATTTCACGTTATAATTGATAATTGTAACAGACTGTTCCGGCCAATCGAGACGCTTCGTGCATTTGGGAAACACAATTTTCAGTTGGCTTCGAAATAAATTTCGATATTCGGAACTACGAAAATAGCAAACATAGCCGTTTTGGTAGTACGCGATGACAGTGGCGATACCCTGAAAACAAAAATTGAATGCAAAAGAAAATCGGCGCGGTCGGGGATCGAACCCGCGTGCAAAAGTGCAAAAAAACGCATGCAAACCACTTCTCCATACACGCCGGTGAGAAGACCTTACAACGGCGTATAAGTGCAGAAGCATCATTTCAAAAAACTCACCACATAATTTTGCCAAAGCACTATCCAATCCTTATCGATTCCTAGAAACGTCAGAATATTGAAAAAGCTGATGCTTATCAAACGAGTGATGAGAAATACGAATATCAGAACTTGAAGTGTCTTCATCGCCTTCTTCTCAATCAATCTGTACGCGTTTCGATCATTTCTAACTGAAAATGTCGAGTTTAAACTTTTTTTCTTTCCCAAAAAAATTTCCAAAAACCTTTCGCATATAACAAGGTAAACGCTAATGTATAAAAGATTACTGTAGCTAGAGAGAATATTAGCATAATTAAATACCATTTCGCATTAATTACTGGATGTAAGGATGACGGCGGATTGCACATCTCAATTTCAAAGTTGAGCTCTTTAGAATAAATTATTTGATCTACCTGAATGGCCTCGTTGTTGTCGGAATAGACGAAGCCCGCAATAACCGCCCAAATTCCATAAATAATCGATGGAAATAGTAAAAATGCGAAATAGGAGGACGTATTAATTGTTCGATACTGTATTGGGAATGTGATGTTCAGGAGTAAGTCGAGAGCGAGAGCACACACGGCGCCCGTTTGAAGGCAGTGCACGAATATGTAAGGGAATAGCGTGTAGAAGCATAGCCTTCGGAAGAGTTTGTAATCGAAGAATGTCACTGGAACAAAACAGATGAGGCGAGAAATTGAAATTAATTCAATTAAAAAAAAAAAAATCTGGTGTGTTTGAGAGACTATGCACAATTGAGAGAGTGCACGACGACGACGACGAGAGTGTGCGGTGGAAGGAGACGCAGACTGCGAAACATTTGGCGACAGAGCGGGATTGAATCCACGACCTTCACAACGATAAGGGGAATTTAGTTCTATGATAATATTATGAGGGAAACCATTAAAAAAAAGAAATCCAAGTGAAATGAAAAATTTCCAAATTTTGCGCACAACAGAAGATCAACGACGATTTTGGAAGCAAGAATTCAGGCGTAGATTTAAATGCAAGTCCGCAAACATCATGCGAACGCGATTGCACCAAAATCAGATGCTGTGCGAATATTTTTGTTACGGTAGGCGTGCGATGTTTGCGGACCGACGCGAACTTACACCGAATCCCATAGGCCATACAAACGAATTCATACACCAAACAGATGGTATGGAATACGGCGAGAATCATCAGAAGCATGCCATATTTGGAGCGAAGCGTCTTCTTGCGAATCGTCAACGCAATCAGGTTCACATTGCCGAAAATGCCGAGAGTTTGAACGACGGCAAATATCGAATAAATAATGACGCGATGGATTTTATACGTTTCATCGGTGATGAGCATTTTTATCTGGAAATTCGGCAATGAATATATCTGGAAATTCGGCAATGAATATTAAGCGAACCAACGAAATCCCATGAATTTTTATTGGCAAATTGTCCGCAGACGATTTTTTTTTAATTTTTGCGATGAGTGGCATCGCAGTATTTTTCTAGCGCCCATCGCGCTTGTAAAAACCAGAATTCTAATTTAGTTGAACAGAAAACGGCGGCAATTCAAACAATGCCGAGCTTTTATACGAAAATCATTCCTACACACCTTCAAGGTATTCATGCGCCTTTAAATTTCAATTTTACGGAATGTAACTGAATGAAAATAAAAAATAAATTACGATTTTTAATATTTCGTGGCAAGAGCTCCCTCTAAAATACCCTACGCGCCTTTAAACAAAAATTTCAAATAAAAAACCAACCGCGACGGCCATCGCATAAGAAACCAAATTAAAATGAGAATGGCGAGTCGAAGAAATTTTTTAAAGCCACACCCATTTGTATTTTCTTTGTCGATGAGAAGGGAAAATTGGTTGACCAACTTCTACCATACCTCAATAATTCCATAGGATTACGGTAGAATCCAAAGATCTCAATAGGAAAATCAAAATAGGCGCAGATTAAGAGGCAATAACGCAAATGCGAAAAACAAAACCCAATCCAATTTTTTTGTCGGTGGCAAACGAATTCGATTTGGGAGAAAAAAAAATTGGGGGCGGGGGTGCCAATTTTTCGATTTAGCACACACAATTCGGAACGTATTCATTAGAAAAGGAGAGCATTGTTAAAATTTTTGCTGAAAAAAAAATTAAAAACAACGAAGCAAAACAAAATGCAAAGAAGAATAATGAAGGTTGTGTGAAAAAATGAATAAATTAGGTAGATCACGAAACGAACAATTTCAATGGAGCCCGAGTCGCGCGCACAATTCGGGTTTGTTTTTTCGGCAAAAATTCTCGATCGTCTCCCACATTTGGCTGAATCGCGCTTTATCCATGTGTCGTTTCGTCACCGCCACCGGAATTTTGTGCACATTCCAATTTTGCACTTGAGCGGTTGGCTGAAATTTTCAGAATTTCACGTAGGAATCAAAAAATTGAAAAACAAAATTTGTTTTCAATTTTCAAGCGACATTCCGTTTGGACGCGCTTTTCGTCATTTCATCGCAAATTAACAAAAACAATCTCTGAACTCAAAAAATGGGAGTTTCGATTAAAAATTTCAAAAATGAATTTTTTCTTCTTAAAATTGAATATCTCTGGACCCAATTGTCCATATAAAATTCCATTCGATTGGCATTGCTTATTTACACAATTCCAAATAAGGCGTAAAACTACAATATGAGAAAACCACTTGAATCAAAGTTTTTTCCTAATAAAAAATTCATTGTGAGCCGAAATTTTAGAAAAACCAATTTCATCTGCGGACAAACGCAAAAATGATCGGCACACCACGGAAACCATCAATTAGAGCTTCAATGAATTAATTACCTTGTCATTATCGTAATATAAATGGAATGCCGGAATATTGTTGAATATCACCGTCGGATTTCCATTCCATTTCCATCCTTTAAACTGCCAAGCGACACCCTAAACCAATAATCAAAAATTTCAGAGGAAAAAATCTTCGTGGAATACCATTGCAAAAATTGCGATAATTCGATCCCAATCCTCGCTAGCCAGTCGATCAACATTATCTATCACCCGTATATTGTCTAAAACGCGAAATTCGCTAAACGAATAAATTATGGAATTAATAACTCACAAGTTTGACCAGATTTTGTTCGCTGCAATACGAGATCCGTCGGCTTCTTATTCGTCGCATTTCGCCGCGTTTCCGACGGCACAAAAGTGAGATGCTAAAAAAACGAATTGAAAAAAAGGTTTCTTGAAATTCTATACCTGTAAAATGTCTCTAGCATTGTACATATTGATCATTGTGTTTAATGCCGCAGGGACCACGATAATCGGCGTTCGCGACGGCCGTTTGCCACCAGGTGTCGTCAGAGGCGTCGTCGGCATCGGTTTGCTCAATATTGATTGTTGCTGGTGATGCTGCTCGATTTCTAAACAATATAATCCATGTATGAAAAAAAAAACAATGTGGGGGGGGGATAAAAAAATCTTACTGCTCAATCCAGCTCCCTTCTTGAGAGCATGAAGATTACTACCAATAAACGACATTTCTGTTTGGATCTCGCTCGATTTGTCCTAAACGTGAGAGCAAATTTGAGAATTTTCAGGTTTTCAACTTGAAACTTACATGCGCAAATGTTTCCTGAGCATATCTGGAATATCCGCTGCGCTGTTGCTGGATGCTCGATCGATCGGCAGCCGGCGGATTGTTGGCGTGAATCGCGGCGAGCTTCTCCTTCTTGTCAGCTTCTTCCCATTGCCTCTGGAATATTTTCAAGACTATAGCGTTTTCCTGTGGCTGGCATACCTTGGCCGATTCGAGAACTGCTAGAACCGATGTGAGATCGCGATTGCCAAGCATCACATTCTCGCGAGTCTTGTGGACGCGCACTTTTGGAATCTCTTTGACTTGTGTTGTCACTGAACCGCCAGGCGCGCTCTCGCTGGAAATTTTCAGAGCATTTTAAATCGCCATCAAAATTGAAACCAACTCGGTGGGCACAATATTCTTCTTCTGGTGCATTTGACGCTTCCTTCTCATTTCGGCGATTCGATCCACAGTGAGATTCTCATTGAGCGCGCGCACTTCAATTTGCGCCTTATCCGCAATCCTCTTGTTTTCTTCCCTACGCGAAAAAAATTGAAAATGCGTTTTTTCTAGATTTTTAGCTTACTCTTGCGCTTCTTCATCCAATCTTGGTCGCTTTGATTCGGGCTCAGACACCATTATAGACCTCAGAGAAATTGGAGGGTTCGCGGGAAGACGGCTTGCCGTCGCTGACACTTTTTTGCCTTCCAGATACTCTTGAACATTTTTTCTTAAAATAATACTTTCTTTTAAGGTCAAAAATAAATATAATTACCTGTCAATACGTGTAATCGCTCTCACATCTCTTGACGCCGCCTCTTTTACATATAAACCGTGTCCCAATGCAATATTCTGATAGAAGACCATAATAGCCTCAAGTGTGTAATATTCGTCATTTTTTCCGTAAATCTAAACACTAAATTACATCAAACTTTAGCAATTCATTAAATTCACCGGAATTCCTGTAAGTGTATTTTTTGGATAGGCGTTGTCGCCAAACGCGTAGTAAGTTTCGCCATTCTGCAAGAAGAAATCGATTATTTTGGAAAATTTCGCAAATTTTTCCTACGTATTGCACTTCTTGAAATGGGACTTCTTTAGCTACATGCTTTTGGAGTGCTTCAAGCGGATCCATGGCGGTTTAACACTCTAAAATAGAAAAATACTTGGTGAAATTCAAAAAGAAGCGTGCAAATTAAAGAAATGGCCGATGCGTCGAAACTCGGCCACGGCCACGCAGAAATCTCAGCCAATTTTAATTTCCTTCACGAACTGTGTGTCGAAGTCAACGAAAAATTTCTTTCAAATATATATTTATTAAATAATGATAATGCATGAAGTAATAATAATCTATCGTCGGGTTCCATCCTCGAAAAACACTCCACCATCGATGGCGCAATATTTCGGACAGATTCCCTTCTCTCCCTTGTTTCCCGGCGGTCCCGCCGGTCCGGGAGCTCCCGGCTTTCCATCGGCGCCTGGCTGTCCCGGATTTCCCGGCGGCCCTTTCGGTCCAGGTTGTCCTGGCCCTCCCGGGTTTCCTGGTTGCCCATCCGGTCCGGTGGGTCCCGGCGGTCCCGGCGGTCCTGCAGGTCCCGGCTCGCCGGGAACCAGCGGCTCGCTTGGCGCATCGTTTCCCGGGCTTCCTGGCTGTCCCGGTGGTCCCGGCGGTCCCGGCGGGCCTGGCGGTCCTTTCGGTCCTGGCTCGCCGGGCGGCGCCTCGCCACCCGGCGCTCCCGGCGTCCCATCGCTTCCAGCGTCTCCCGGTGGTCCCGGCGGCCCCGGCGGTCCCGGCGGCCCTTCGGGACACGGTTTGCACGGCGGCGGTGTGATCGGCTCGCACGGTTGCACCGGCGGCTTGCCGGGATTGCCGGGCAGTCCCGGCGCGCCCGGCTTTCCGGGCTTGCCCGGTTTGCCCGGCGTTCCCGCGGGCCCGGCGGGCCCCGGCAGGCAACAGGCCTCGCAATTGCCGGCGCCACCGCCACCGCCGCCATGCACGGCGGCGTCGGCATACGCCTGACGAGCCGTCCTATTCTGTCTCGGCTCGACGGCCGACTTCAGCGTTTTGACTTCAGCCCAAATATCTTTGGCGCTTCCCTGAAATGCAAAAATCTGAATGCCAGTAGAGCTAATAAAACAAAACGAACTCGACAATACACGATTTCGCCATGCATCGTCCGTTTCACATTGTGCACATAGTTGTAGACCATCGGAAGTGTGACGCATACGGCGAGCACGGCGACAATCGAGAACGACACCGCCGAATAGGCGACGAATCGATAGGCGGCCATCTGCGAAACAGAAGATGAGAGCTCGACAGAAGAAAATTAATACATCGACCTACCCGATTTTTAATCTCCTGCACCTCCATCACGCCGACTTCGTCAATGACAAAATGGTTCCATCGGCCGCACGCCGATTTATATATACAGTAGATCGAAATGCGCGAATAGCATTTGAGAGGCGAACGAATCGAAACAAAAACTAGTTACGATAGAGCGGAGATTGTGGCAATTAGCACTTCGATGAGAGATGAGAGAAGCGTTAAGTGTTCGGATTGTCGTCTTCAGCCAGATGACGAAGATCTTCATCTACAATCGGCCAACAAACAAACAAACAAACCAACAGCACTAATGAATTCATTCAGGTTAATTCCTGCGAGTCATTAAAAGCTTTCACTGGTTACCACTTAAGTCCGCAAACTCATCATACGCCAATTTGCACACTTTTAATCAATGACAGTACCCTTGACTAAAAAAACGAAAAAAGCGTCTTCATTGAGATCAGATAAAATAACAGGTCCAATAAACAAATGTCCTCCGGTTGCTCGTCGAGGGTGTTCAACGCCATTCGCCACCCTTCAAATTCGATTATACACCAGGCCAAACGTGTTTGTTTGTATATATGTATATAGAAAAATAAATAAAGAACAACAGACAGTTTCAATCCATCAAATCAACAAAAAAGAATAAAGTGGAAGAATGTAAAAACAATTGGAATAAATTAAAACGCAGAGAAAATGAAAAATGCGTCCCGCTAATTGTCCGGATCATATGTTGGCGATCCATTCGGATCATTCGAAGGTCCCGCGCTCGGTGAATACGTCGGCGACGATGGTGAATACTACAAAATAATATACCAAATAAATCAAGAACATCGCAATCACAAAATCTTACCGCTGGCGAATCTTGTCCAGAGTACATCGGCGAACTTGGACTATACTGCGGACTCGTTCCCGAATACGTCGGCGACGATAATCGCGGCGATGACGGCGTGTACTGTGGGCTTGTGGGCGAATACTGTAACACACATCATCAAAAATCAAGCACTGGCTCATAAAGTCTTACCGCTGGCGATGACGGACTATACTGCGGACTGCTCGGCGAATACGTTGGCGATGTCGGCGAGTACGTCGGCGACGTTGGCGAGTAGGTCGGCGACGTAGGCGAATACTGCGGACTCGACGGCGAATATTGCGGACTCGACGGCGAATATTGTGGACTCGTCGGTGAGTATTGCGGACTCGTTGGCGAATACGTCGGGCTCGTCGGCGAATACCTCGGACTCGATGGACTGTATCCTTCGAGTGTCGGCGACGTTGGCGAGTACCGCGGACTCGTCGGCGAATACGTCGGCGATGTCGGAGAGTAGGCTGGACTTGTCGGACTGTAAGTAGGCGACGTTGGAGAGTATCGTGGACTGGCTGGAGTGTAAGACGGAGATGTTGGAGAATATGACGGAGACGTCGGCGAATACGATGGTGACGTCGGAGAATAGCCTGAAAGTTTAAGAAAAATGATACGACAAGTTCGTTACATGAAATCTTACTTGGACTCGTTGGGCTGTAGCTCGGCGACGTTGGCGAATACGATGGCGACGTTGGAGAGTACGATGGCGAGGTAGGGGAATAGCTCGGACTAGTCGGAGAATAGGACGGAGAGATCGGCGATTGTCCAGCAGCCGGCGACGTCGGCGAGTACGTCGGACTCGTTGGCGAATATCTCGGCGACGTCATCGAATATTGCGGCGACGTCGGCGAATAGCCCGCCGGCGACATTCCGCCACCATACGACGGGGTTCGCGGCGACAATGCACCAAGCGGGTCGTTCTGCGACGCCGGAGACCAGCCGCCGTCGCCAAACGGCGAGGCGCCACCATCAATGTTGCTAGCAGGCGAGAAGCCGGCACTTGGGCTCATACCTCCTCCAGCTCCCATCGGCGACCACGAGGCTCCTGCGTAGCTTGGCGTGACACCCGAATTCCATGGAGAATGCGCTGGTGAGAATTCATGCCTGTGTGAGAAAAAATAAAATAAAATTCAAAAAGAAATTCAAAGAGAAATCGACTTACGAGTTCGGACTCGCCGCATAGCCGCCCATGAACGCGCCGCCCATCACAATATTCGTCGGAATCTCCATTCCGTATTTGCATTTCTCCGAATCCAGCACCAAGTCGAAGCAGCCGGTGCCGCAACGCGCGAGTTGTCCAAGCATGATATTCTCGGAAACTCCTTTGACAGGATCCACTTCAGCGTGAACCGAAGCTTCCATGAGAATATCGACGGTCTCTTCGAACGAGCATCTCATCAAAGCACCAACTTCCTGCCGATTAATTCCGTGCCTAGTGATCGCCATTAAGTGTCCCTTAGCGGTCATCACATCGCAAAGAAGCGCCAAATGTCGATAATTGACGTAAGAGCCGTCGAATGAAATGACATTGTGCATTTCTCGTTCTATCGCCTTTCGAACCGCTTCGATTCCGAGAACCTCGAAGATCTCGCAAATGTCGTTCGATGACGTTCGTACTGGATCGATTTGTCGCTCGGAGAGCACACGTTGCAACGCCGTTCCGTCGGTTTCCAAAATCCATTCCGTGATCGCTTTGAATCCACCTTCCGGCGTGATGATAATCCTCTTCTTGTCATCCGTCTGCGGCTTGTTCATGTAAACCTTGGAAATCGCCGGGATTCCTTGAAGCGTGAGATCGGCAAGCATATTCGACTCGATGCATCGCAAGAACACATCATCCTCCATCTTATCCACCTGTTCCTCTTGCCCCTAAAAGGATATCCTATTGAACGTTTTCACATCAAATCGAATCTCACCTCGGCGCTCTTGTCGTCGCCAGCAATTCTCAATCGGAACACAAGCTTCTCAGCGTTATCATCGGTATAGATCGTGTGCACATCATTTCCGAATCCGGCATGAATTCGATCCGCAATCATTTCCATCGTCAACTTCTTATCCGTCATCCTCTTGCGATCAAGCTCGATTCTCAGCAACCACGGCGACGTTCTCGTCAGATCAAAATCGGGCATCTCATAGAAAATCGATACCCATTCCTCGTCTTCGCCAATCACCGTATTCTTCGGATCCGGATCGTAATAAATCGCCGTGTTCGACGTGACCTTCTTCAGTGTCGTGTGCTCGAGCTTACAAAGCACATCTTTCGCCTTCTCGGCATCTTTCGCCGCGGCGCCAGTAAGGAACACCGTCAACGACGGTGTCTTCAATTGTTTCGACACATTGATAATTTCCTTGAGACGCGGCACACCAAGAGTGACGTTCTAAAAATTAATTTTTAAAAAAAGATTGAAAGAAATTCAGCGAGAGTGAGAAGCCCCCTCAATTATCTCACCTTCGCCGACACACCAGCATAATGGAACGTGTTCAACGTCATCTGAGTGGCGGGCTCTCCAAGCGACTGAGCCGCAAGTGCTCCAACCATTTCGCCAGGCTGAGCGATGGCTTGCATGAATCTCGATTCAATTTCTCCAAGCAGCCAATCAAACGCTTCCGTGTTCAATTTGGATGAAGTGCAAAGCTTCTTCGTGCACAACGTCGATCGAATCAATATGTTCATCAAAAGAGTCGCGTTATATTGAGCCTAGAAGACAAAATACTGCAATAAAACACGAAAAACTGAATGGGCGGAACAAACCTGCTTGGAAATATCATCATTACCGCCGACAATCACCAATTTTTTCGACATCTCTCTGACACCGTCGATAACATGAAGCGGCGACAAGTTCACCGGTTTTCTGAGATCGACTTTGAAAATTTTCTGCGCATTCCAAATAAGCCGCTGCAAATTGCAAGGCAACACAATTTTCGCGTCTCCTTTCGGGAAAATCTTTCGCAGCAGTCGTCGATCTTCTTCGAGTTGCGCCCATTCGGATTCAACCTTCTCAATCGCATCGGTGGCTTCTTGAAGTTCATGAATCACATCTTCAGAATAAGCTTTCCTCATGAATTTCTCATCCGTCAAATCGGTCTAAAATCCGAATCAAATCAGATCATCAAAACATATCCATCAATCCTACTCTAAAGTCTCGTTCAAACACCGCATTCGTCGGCTTCATCGTCGGCATGCTCTGATTCTCAACCCACATTCCATCGAGCCCGTCTTCACCATAACGAAGTTGCACCATCTGTCCCAGCGAGTTTCTCACCGTTCCATCATAATTCACCATCACACTCTCCATTGCCTTGATGAGACGACGTTGAATGTAACCAGTCTCGGCAGTCTTGACAGCAGTATCGATAAGACCCTCACGACCTCCCATTGCGTGAAAGAAGAATTCCGAAGGCGTCAAACCAGCGAGATACGAGTTTTCAACAAATCTAAATAGCGTAAAATGAGCAAATTCGGAATAAACATCATCAAAAAAGGTACCCCTTCGATTCCGGTCCGTAATCATCCTTAATGAAATGCGGCAATGTGCGATGCCGAAAACCGAATGGAATACGCTTTCCTTCAACGTTCTGCTGTCCGACACAAGCAATAACCTAAATTCTCAATTTTTCAATGAACAATTTCCCCCCCCCCCCCCTTCAAAAGTACCTGCGAGATGTTAATTTTCGATCCTTTCGATCCAGAAACGACCATCGATTTGAAATTGTTGAACTCCGACAAACTTTTCTGCGCAGAACTACCAGTACGATCACGAGCATCGTTAAGAATCTGATTGACCTTGTTCTCGAACGTCTGTCGAAGAGTGTTACCAGGAGTTGGCTCAAGTTCGTCATTATGAGCTCTAAAAGTGATCAATTGATTTCAAAAAAAATTTAAAGCACTCCTACTTCTCAATAACATCAATAACATCCTGTTTAGCTTTTTTAATCGTATTCTGAATATCCTTATACGTATTTTGATCGGCAATCGTGTCTCCAATTCCAATCGTGTGTCCTTCGCGTATCAGCCACGCGTTGATAACCGTTTGAATATGCGAATAAAACTGCGCGGCGACTTCGTGTCCCAATTCAAGAGCAACCACGTGAAGCAGATTACCCGCCGATCGTCCGACCGTCTTCGAGCAAACGATTCCCGATATCAGCTCTCCATGCTCGATGAGCACTTTCGTGTCACCAGGCGACAACCACTTATACGGACCATTATCCTCATCATCGGGATGGGTGCTGTGCGTTCGCAACACGTTCACATTACCCGGAATGATCAACGAGAACACTTGTTTGCCGGTCCAGAGCGGTTGCGGCTTTAAAATCGCCGGCTGCGGCACTTTTCCGTCCCAAACCGGAAGATACATGAGCAAATCCATCATTCGCGGCTAAAAAAAAGTGAGATTGGTTGGGAGAAAGCGAAGAAGCAAAACGAACCCAATCAATAAAAACGTCTCTTTTGGTCATCATTCGAACCGCACATAGCGTATCCTGCACAATTCCCATCACCGGCTTGTTGGCCTGCGGTGTAATCAGTTGTCTAAAAATGTTTTGTTTGAATTTTAGTGCAAAAATTTCAAGAAAAAAATTTACCTCGGCACCATACAAATCTCCTCGACTTCGGCTCTCGTTTCCAATGATTGCGGCAAATGCAAATTCATTTCATCACCATCGAAATCGGCGTTGTACGGCGTGGTTACAGACAAATTCATACGGAATGTTGACCATGGAAGAATCTAGGAATTACAGTTTTTTTCAGATTTAAAAAGAAAACGTTTAAAAGCCTTACTTTGACTCTGTGACCCATCATGGACATTTTATGAAGTGTTGGCTGACGATTGAAAATGATAATGTCGCCATCTTTCATGTGCCTTTCGACTCTAAAAATTTGAAAATCGGCAAAAAATGAATAGTTTTTGGGAAATGCTACCTGTAGCCGGGCTGCAAATGCAAATCCGCGGCTCTCGGATGATATCGCAAATCAACGCGTGCGCCATTTTCACGAATAATGTACTTGGCGCCTGGATACTGAGTGTCACCTCGATCCACCAGTGTTTGAAGTTTATCGACATTGAACGGCGTCACAATTTCCGGAAACGTTAGATTTTGCGCAATGGTTCGCGGCACGCCGACGGTATCGATTGGCAGATTCGGATCGGCCGTAATGACAGTACGCGCCGAGAAATCGACGCGTTTACCCATTAAATTTCCACGAATTCGGCCTTCTTTTCCTTTCAGACGTTGCTTGATGGACTTCAACGGTCTTCCACCTTTTTGTGTTGCCTAGAAACACCAAATTTTATTTTTTTTAAGTGAAGATTATTATTTTTTATTACCGTAGGAAGTCCAGGTATACAATTATCTACAAGTGTAGCTACGTGATACTGAAGTAATCTGACGTCATCTGCGAGCACGTGAGCCGCAGCACCATTAGCCTCATTTCTGAATAAAAAAATATTTTTGAATTTAGGAAATTCAGAAAAATACCGTTGAAGTTGTTGATTCGTCTTAATAATATCTGAAAGCTTGTGCGTCAAATCGTCTTGATTCTTCGCTGATCCAAATGTGACGACAGCTGGCCTCACAGCAAGCGGCGGTACTGGCAACACTGTACAGATCATCCATTCAGGCCTGGCAAATTGTGGAGACATTCCGATAACGAGAATATCTTCATCTGTGATTTGTTTGAAAGTTTCCAATACTCGTTCTGCTGTGAGCACGATTTTTCGCTCCTGGACAAGAAAATCAAATAAAATTCCAAAAAAAGATAAAAAATTACCTGCGTATCTTCATTAACATGCTTTTTCCATTCAGCGTTAATGTCAATTCCCACTCTTCGATATGATGGTTGATATCGTCCGCAGCCGCTAGGGACTTTTTTGCCATCAGTCATCGGATCATCGGGATCTTCTTGATTCTCTTCATCCTTTTCATTTCCACCTTCACACACTGTCTTTGACTTGCAGAGGTCATAAATAAGCGTTAGACGCCGTCTGGGATTGGCTGAAATCATTAAAATTGGTTTTAAGAAATTGATTTTTCTTCTTAATCTCTACTTACATGTGGTTTTCTTGAGAATATCTCGAACCCGTGGATGTGATTTGTCGATGAGAAGACGACCGCAATAGAAACAGACGCATCTCAGAATTTTGAGCGTTTTTGTTAAATATCCGATGTGGAAGACTGGCTTTGCAAGCTCTAAATGCGCAAAATGACCTGGACAATCTGACAGATTTCCGGCACACGTCATACATCTAAATTTTTTTAATTAAAAATCACAACGAATAATTTCAATTACCTTCCGCGACGGTCAATTACACCTTGGCGAGGATCCATCAATCCTCCCAACTTGGGTTTGCCATTTTCGTATATTTCAGGAAACTCGATGTGCGCAACAGACATACGCTTCTATAAATAATTGGCACTCTATGAAAATCACAATATTTTACGAACAATTTCCTCTGGACCGAGGATTCCGAACTGTACTCGCTTCACATCTCGAAGTGGAGCATGGAAATCAACTCCGACGAGAGCCATCTGAACAAAATTTTGACGATTATTGCGAAATGTTCGATTTTTCTCACTTTAATTTATATTCAAGATCCTTCTTCGTTTCACTCCTGCCGATATTCCTTCACGACAATCTGAAATTAAACTGTTATTTTTAAAAAATATGATTAGAATTGAAAAATATATGCGCGAAAAAAAAAACGAATTGTGACAATGTCAGAGTAAAATAAATTAATTCAAAATTTAGTGTGATTTTTCTAGTGTGGCAACATTTTTCATATCGATTATCATCCTATACTTTGTTTGAAACACTTTTTCTCTTAATAAAACTGCTTTGACGGTTTATTTATTCAAAACAAAGCCAAAAAACGCAAAACTTAAATTAAAAGCGACGATGCAGCGTGCAGAAAGAGGAGAGCGTCTCTTCGCTGCGAGATATCGCTGCACAAATATTGCGTGCGCCTTTATACGAATGATGAGGAAGATTGGAAAAATTCAAATTTCTGGCGAAAAATCACCAAAACCGGATTATCCTGCGTAATTTTTGTAAAAAAAATATCAAAATGTTGAAAAATTTGCTAAAATTATCAATTTTTTCGAAGAGCAAGCATTTTAGCGGGTTATATTTAACAAAAATTAGAATTTATACAGACTAGTAAATTTTTTCAAGTGAATTTAAACTGAGAATTGGAGAACTGTATAACGGACAGCCGGACAGCATGAAACGATTACCGTAATTTAAAAAAATTACTTGCCCATTTACGGTCGCAATTTTCAGCTTTCAACGACAAGAAACCGAATGATGCAATATTAAATATTTGCTAGAAATGTATAATATATAATATAAAAAATTTCATTTTACCAAAAAAAATGTGTTTTGCTGTGATCTATATTGCTGATAACCATGACGGAAGTCTGAATAAGTGAATAAAAATTTAAGATTTTGTCCGATAACCTTGAAACAAGTTATAGAAAATTACAGAAGAAATAATAAACACATGTTTAATTTTTTTCTCAGTTTTCTGGGAAATTCTCGTCGCTGTGTCCACTTCTTGCCACGTAAATCCATTATTCCAAAAGTATTTTTGTTTTTTTCTCAGCTCCATAAAAAAGCGTTCAAATCAAAAAGGACCACCCGTGGTGAATAGACGATCATGGAAACTTGTTTGAGATTTTCGTTTTCAATGCGCCCCCCAAAATAAATCACAGAAATGTATGTGGTTGACTTGTTCCCGCAGGCAAATATCGCCAGGAACAGTCACATAAATACATCAAACCGGTAGAAATCTCATGAATTTTTTGTATTCAAAATTTTTAGGCAAATTTCGATAAGTTAAAATATAAAACAACGACCAAAATGAAGAGAAAAGGTGAGAAAAACTGCTAATAATCATTAATGGTGTATTTTGTCGTCACCGTGTACCACACAAATTTTTTATTACAGTAGACTAAGGAAATGTTTTCTAATTTTCTTTTCTCTCATGGAAACTTACAAAGACATTCAGAACTGATTTAAAGCATCCCATAACGATTAAAACGGGGCGCCGAAATCTGGATAAGCTTCGGATAAAGGTTTTTATCGTGTTGATGAACTTGCGTTTCTTTTCTCATTTCAGCTTGCTTTTGAAGCTTGCGCGCCCATAAATGCTTGTTCACAACATCAATGGGGAAGAATTTCGACCCAAATGGCACATTATCAATCTCATTGCCGATTCTACCAATTATACATACATCACATTTCATCGGCATGCAAACAATCCGTCGTAAACCACCATTTTCGGTGAAGACGACGACCAAGACGAAACTCTTCAAAACGGCCGGTTTTGGGCGTCATGCAACAAACGATTATGCTAGCCGTGTGTGTTCACAAAAAAGATTCAACAGGATTAATGATGAATGAAAAATCGGGTTTGAAGAGCTTTTCAATGAATAATCGTCGTTTCCTGACTGCCAAATGCCTGTGACCTTTAAAGGATAGTAATTAAAAGAATCGAAATATTGATCAAGTAGCTAAATTCTTGATTTTTGAATATCTAATTAAAGAATCGATGGAGAAAAAAAAAAGCTTTTTCTACCTTGAAATTTTGTCTATTTTTTCTTTTTTTTATTTTCTCCAAATTTCCCAAAAAAGTCAAATCAGCTCTTTCACAATTATATATTTTAAAGAACCCAAAAATTCTTCAATTTCTCCCAAAAATCAAGAAATATTCTAGAAGTGCCAAATTAATTAGAAGCCCCTCTGACCAGTTCTTTCACCTTCAAATTCGTTTTTTTTTCGGTTCGCCGAGATGTTAATTCGTCTTCACAGCGTCGCATATGACATAATAATAATAATAATAATAATGAAATTAGATTTTAATACGCTGCCCGCGTGCGCCGGGGGAGTTTTTTTTTGCCAAAATGGCGCAAAAGGTAATGGGCGGGGTTTTTGCGCGCAATTGTGTGCGCCTATATAAGGCCGTCAAACACAATGTTGAAAACCATCAGGCATGGATTTGGAAACGCGCATCAAAGCCTACAGGTTCGTCGCCTATTCGGCTGTCACGTTTTCCGTCGTCGCCGTGCTTTCGGTGAGTTTTGCTTTGATGAATGAATTTATTGCATTTTCCCTTTTTCTCTTTTAGGTATGCGTTACGCTTCCCATGGTTTATAACTATGTGAATCATGTCAAAAAGACAATGCATAATGAGATTTCCTTCTGCAAGGTTTGAATTGATTTTTGAGCATTCGACTTTTACATTATTCGATTTCCTTTTAGGGATCCGCTAAGGATATTTGGAGTGAGGTGCACGCGTTGAAGAACATCCCGGCATCGAACAGAACCGCCCGTCAAGCGTACTCCGAGGCTGCTGTGACTGGCGGCGGCGCGCAGGGCTGCGAATCGTGCTGCCTTCCGGGCCCACCGGGACCTGCTGGAACACCGGGAAAGCCGGGACGACCTGGAAAGCCGGGCGCTCCGGGACTTCCGGGCAATCCGGGACGTCCGCCGCAACAGCCTTGCGAGCCGGTCACACCGCCACCATGCAAGCCATGCCCACAGGGACCGCCCGGACCACCAGGACCACCAGGACCACCGGGAGACGCCGGAGAGCCGGGATCGCCAGGACAGCCGGGACAAGACGCGGCGCCGGGCGAGCCGGGACAAAAGGACCACCAGGACCGCCAGGAAACCCGGGAGCGCCAGGAGCGCCCGGCGAGCCAGGAGTTCCAGCGCAAAGCGAGCCGCTCATTCCAGGAGAGCCGGGACCACCAGGAGAGCCAGGACCACAAGGACCACCAGGACCACCGGGACAACCAGGAGCTGTTGGAGCGCCCGGACAGCCAGGACCAAAGGGACCCAACGGGCCAGACGGTCAGCCGGGAGCCGACGGAAACCCGGGAGCGCCGGGACCAGCCGGACCACCAGGACAACCGGGCGAGCGCGGTATCTGCCCGAAGTACTGCGCTATCGATGGTGGAGTGTTCTTCGAAGATGGAACCCGCCGCTAAATATTTGGCAATTTTTTTTTCATTTCAACAATAAAATTCATAATTTCATTTTTTTTTATTCATGTCCTTCGACGACACCCACTTGAGAATATCGCGCGCGCACTTCAACGAATGTAATTGACCACTGCGACGAACCAAAAATCGATGAAACAATTATAGAACAATAATAATTCCTTGTTTTTTTCTGCAATTTCAACTTCCATCCATCGAAACAGTCATCGCTCTAGTTGAAATACCAGGATTATGCTAATCGGAATGGGAGGGAGCATGTTGAGAGAAACGCACAAAACAAATGTTTGGTTTTGAAACTTTAAAAATATTGAAATGTTGTCAATTTTATTTTTTTTTCGAAAATTCCTTTATCAACAAAAAATATTACAGATGAAATTCTCAACATTCCTTTTAACCTCCTCAATGTTGCTTATCAGCATTCGCTTATCCGATTGCCTCATCGGAATCGGGCGTCTTCAGTCGGTCGCCGTCAGCGGCCAATTGTTTTGCGACGGGCGTCCAGCTGCCGGCGTTAAAGTCAAAATGTATGAGAAGGAGTTTTGTGAGTCGCATTTTTGAATTTATATTAATTATCTCCGAAAATCGTATCGTAGAAACACGGTTAGACAGAGAGAGAGAGAGAGTGTGTGGTTTTGAGAGACGGAGGCATTTTTTTGCTTTGAACTGTTTCTGAAATGAATTTCGGCGAGCGCTGCAAGACCAATTTGATTGGACGCGTTGCGGCTCGAACCGCAACGCTTCTGACAACATACATTGACAGCAGCTTCATTGCCTGAAATAGACATTTCATGAACAAATTCTCATTCAGTCTTGGATAGAAAAATGTCAGAAGTCTATACGGATCAGAACGGACGATTCACGATCACTGGAAGAAAGCGAGAAATTTCGACGATTGACCCGAAAGTCAATGTTTATCATAAATGCAATTATGCCGGCGTGAGTAATTCCCAACCATATTTAGAAATAAGGTTCCTTATCGTCAGATCTGCTACAAGAAATTCGGCATCACAATCCCCGACAACTACGTCACTTGGGGTTACACACCCGACAGGACATATGACATTGGAACGCTGAATCTTGCCAACAGATACACTGGCATGACAACCGACTGCCTTAATTAAATCTTTTCATCCCTTTTTTTGGTTCGTCCTAAATTATAAATAAAATGCTTTGCAGACACTTTTATAGACGAAAAATTGGAATAAATTAGGGAAACGATTCTTAACGGCGGGTTCCGTCCTCGAAGAAGATTCCACCATCGATGGCGCAGTACTTCGGGCAGATACCGCGCTCTCCTGGATGTCCTGGTGGTCCGACGGGTCCCTTGGCTCCTGGGTTTCCATCGGCTCCCGGCTTGCCGTCTGGTCCTGGGGCTCCCTTTGGTCCAGGGGCACCTGAAAATTGATAAATTTGACTGAAATAGAGAAATTTTCGGCGTCTTCGTACCTGGAGCTCCGTCGTTTCCTGGCTGTCCTGGTGGTCCAGCTGGTCCAGTCTCTCCTGGCTCTCCAGTTGGTCCTGGCTCTCCCTTCTGGACTGGATCGCAAACGGCTGGAAGACCCTCCTCTCCCGGCGCTCCTGGAGATCCCGGCTTTCCTGGCGCTCCGTTCGGTCCCTTTGGTCCCGGCTCTCCTGGCGCGGCGTCTTGTCCTGGTGCTCCCGGCGTTCCCGGCTCTCCTTGATCTCCTTGTGGTCCTGGAAGTCCTGGGGCTCCTGGTGGTCCCTGTGGGCATGGCTTGCATGGTGGCGGTGTGATCTCCTCGCACGGCTTCTGTGGAGCTTTTCCTGGATTTCCAGGGAATCCTGGCGCTCCCGGCTTTCCTGGACGTCCCGGCTTTCCTGGCGCACCCGGCGCTCCTTGTGGTCCCGGCTGGCAGCAGCCCTCGCAACCGCTGTCGAAGTTTGGTCCGGCGGCGTGATCGTCGCGTCCATAGCGGACGGCGCGGGCGGTACGGTTCGAAGCGGAATCAATGCGGAGATTGTGCACATCAGCCCACACGTCCTTCATGCTTCCCTTACAGGTGAGAGCCTCGCTGTGCAATTGGCGACGCACAGAGTGAACATAATTGTAGACGATTGGAAGAGTGATGCAAACCTAAGAAATCTTTTTCTTTCTCAATCAACATAAATAATTTAATTGAAGATTTCTCACCGAAAGCACGGCAATCACAGAGAAGACGACGGCCGAATAGGCGACGAAGCGATACGCTTTGATTTTGGTATCAATATCCATGGCGAAACACGAACCTACCGCTTTAGTGCCCGTCGGAGAATGCCTTATATAGCTTCATTCGGCCGCACCCAAGTCGCTTATCCGATCCGAACGAGCTTTCTCTGCGGCGTCGCATGCTATCTCCTCACCTGCCTGTTGAAAATGTTGTTCCTTTTCAAGTTTTTTCCGACATGCCGATTTTTGTCTCCTTCGTCGCATCGTCGAAGATTATTGAGAAAAATTCTGTTGTTATTTTTTTTTATCAGCGAACACAGCGATTTGGGGGATCCTGCATTGGCTAACTTCAAAAATTGTGCAGATTTCTCCTCTCGTGTGATATCGAAATACGAGTGGGAAAGACGCAGACGACATGCACGGAGCGATATCGCGTAGCGAAAATTGCGACCGCGCGCGACGGCCACGCGTCGCGGCTCAGCGTTCGTTTCATTGGTTTTCCTTTTTTCCAAAATATCGGCTACTGTGCTGTACAGGTATGTTGTTTTTTGCTAATTTACATTTACTTATTACTATCATCACACTCCTTGTATTGTTTAGTGTATAATTATTGCACATGTTTATATATCTATACAGAGTAAATGTTGGATTATTGTTGAGTGCTTGAGATGAAGTCGCGCATCTAATCGTCAATTGTACTTTCATAATAAGGTCTATGTAACACAACAACAATATGAAAAAATTTTCAGTGCTCTTCAAGGCTATTCTCGCTGAGTAATAGTTTCTGATAGGTAGTTTACTTGCAACTAGCCTGTCCACTCACTAGTAAACTAAGAGAACGTTAGTGCGTCGAAACGACTACTAGAATTTAGAATGTCTAACGGAGTCAAGGAAGAAAATAATGTTCAGGTTTTGTTTGTTTAGATTATTGTTATGGATACATCTAGAATAGGATAGTGTCGGAACTCTAGGGGAATTTCGGGTTTTCAATATTTTATTACAGCAAGGAGATGATGGTGTCATCCTTGAGCCAGAAAACTTGCGAAAGATTTTCGTCGGAGGACTTACTTCGAATACTTCCGATGAGATGATGAAGGAGTTTTACTCACAGTATGGCAACATTACTGACATTATTGTCATGAGAGATCCAGCCACCAAAAGATCGCGAGGTTTCGGATTTGTTACCTTTTCGAGCAAGGCCGAGGTAATTTTTTGAAATGGAATTTTTATATAATTGCTAAATTTAAAGGTTGATGCGTGCATGAAAGGAAGACCTCATACTATTGATGGAAAAGTTGTTGACCCCAAGCGTGCTGTTCCACGCGATGACAAAAACAGAAGCGAGTCGAACGTGTCCACCAAGCGACTGTACGTCAGCGGAGTTCGAGAAGACCACACCGAGGACATGTTTACGGAATACTTCAGCAAATACGGAAATGTGACAAAGTCGGAAATTATTCTTGACAAGACCACCCAGAAGCCACGAGGATTTGGATTTGTTACATTCGACGATCATGATGCTGTTGACCAGTGCGTTCTCCAAAAGTCTCATATGATAAATGGACACCGATGCGACGTCCGTAAAGGATTGAGCAAGGAAGAAATGAGCAAAGCGCAGATGAGCAGAGACCGCGAAGGTCGCGGCGGTAGATCTCGCGACGCTGGACGAGGCGGATATGGCGGTGGCTACAATGCTGGAGGCCCAGGAATGGGACGAGGCGGACCAAACAGTTGGGGAGGACCAGCCAATGGTGGATACGGAGGTAGTTCGATTGTGGCTCCACCTTTCAGTTTATAACTTGTTTTATTCAGGAGCTGCAGGATACCAAAATGCTGGATGGGGAGATCAAGGAGGCTGGGGAGGACCTCAACAAGGCGGATGGGGCGGTCAGCAGCAAGGAGGATGGGGTGGACCTCAACAGCAAGGTGGCTGGGGAGGACCCCAGCAGCAAGGCGGTTGGGGAGGACCTCAACAACAAGGAGGCTGGGGTGGTCCACAACAGGGAGGACAATGGGGACAGGGCCGCTACTAATAATTCAATGACCCATTCATCGTTTTATATTAAATTTTTCAGTCTGTCAACTGAATCACGTGTTAGAGCCTTTTTAGCTCTGTTTCTTGATCTTCGTATTGGTTATCTCGTCACTCTGTAATTTTTGTTTCTTTTTTCAAACCCACATTAAAGCGAATTAATTTATTGAAGTTGTTATTGTTGAGAATGAACACATTTATACGAAGACTGGCAAGTATACGCTTTCAAATATCGAAAAAAAAATGAATGGCAATTGAAAGGAAACCAAGACAATTTAGATTGTGATCTGAAAATGGCGGGAGTTCTAGGCGTGATTGTTTCGGGAAGAACGGTAGGAAATAAATAAGGAATCTGGAAAACGTGAATTACAGCCAATTGAAGTGGTACCGGTCACCGAAACCGAATTTACGTGTGAAATTGTAAATGCGGATTCAATTAATCACGTCGTTGTCTTCCTTACGGGAATCCAACCATTCCCTGATGGTCTAGGAGGATCAGGTAATTATATTATATTTCAAGCAAATTCGGGAAATTTTCAATTTATTACGAAAACAAACTCTGAAAATTGTGGACCATCGCATATCGAAAATTGAATTTTAAATTAATGTGAATGGCACCATGAGCAACCTGTAAATCTACACTCATTTTTTTTTTGTGTTAAATATCCATCCCCATCCTATTGTAACTAAAATCGAATTGCTCCCAAAAATAATCCATCAGGTCCGAAAATATCGGAAAAAGGGATTTGATGATAGTGAAACCAAATTTCGTCGAATCGGCGTCCCTCCGATTGAGATTTGCTCTCGCTGGCGCAATTCAAATTCGAATTCCAGTTTATATCCGATGGCCGTCATCAAATGGCGACGACAGTTGGCATTATCTCGGTTTCATTTGCAACATGAAACCGAGCGCAATTTTCAAAGTCGCCCAATTACACAAATCGAGTGCTCAACATAGCGGCGTGTTCGGCGGCGGAATGCAGACATATGCTAGCGGATCGGCGCAGGTAATTTTTTTTTGTGAATCAAAGAAATTTACCAATCGCCATGAATGCGAGTCGATTGGACTGAAAATAGAGATTTCCTGATATTTTAGGATTCCTTTTTTTTTAATTCACTGAAAAATCATTCGGATCAAATACCGAAAATCAAGTGTAGTGATAATTGAATTAGATTCGAAAATGTGAATTGTCTTTAATCAACAAAATAATTGAAAATGTAGCCAGTGAAACGAGAAATTAATTTTTGGGATCTGTGATGCGCCATTTACACCAGGCGCATTCTTCGCATCTTTTCCCCCTCTTTCGGAGAGTATTCGGCGACGGCGATAAGCGCCGCCCACCACCAAGTCAGTTGGGCACGCTTCCCGATTTTGGGTCGGCTGCTTCGGCAGCCGGGTTCAGAGTCGGGTACCCATACTCCTCCTCTTATATTCATAATAAACAATTATATTATATTCGCGTCCCACATTCTGTCTATTCCCATCGTACCTCGGGCAAGAAGTACGAACTACCCTTGGCACAAACCACGCCAAGGGCTAGGGCGTAACCTTGGCGTGGTTTGTGCCAAGGGTAGTTCGTACTTCTTGCCCGAGGTACGATGGGAATAGACAGAATGTGGGACGCGAATATAATATAATTGTTTATTATGAATATAAGAGGAGGAGTATGGGTACCCGACTCTGAACCCGGCTGCCGAAGCAGCCGACCCAAAATCGGGGAGCGTGCCCAACTGACTTGGTGGTGGGCGGCGCTTATCGCCGTCGCCGAATACTCTCCGAAAGAGGGGGAAAAGATGCGAAGAATGCGCCTGGTGTAAATGGCGCATCACATCCCCCCCTGTTTCCGAGAGATGATACCTCCCGGTATCTTTGTTATACAATAAAATCTACAAATATTGTTTGATATGGGGTGATAATTATTGTGGTTAAATATTAATTATGATGGTTAAAATTTACAAAAAAAAAAATCTATGGGGAAATGTGTTAAATGTAACTATACGTATGCCGGATGTTTCTGTGCGTGGAGTTGCTGGTGGTGACTTGGGGCTGACTGGTAGTGGTTGTGGTTACGGCCTTCTGCAATAAGACTGGGCGCGCAAGGGAAAATTGTACAAAAACCCTCACCTGCTCTACCCAGTCTATCGAACTGGGGTTTTCTTCGTTCCGTTCTTCTCGTTCCTTGTCCTTCCTTTGTTGTGTTCGCTCTTCGTGTTGTCTGGGAACTGAGGTCTTTTCACTGGTCCTTTCGGTGTATACAGTTCTGCGTTTGGCGATCTTGTCCAGTTATTTGGTTCGTTAGGCGAGAATTGAGATATGTTGGCTGTTGACGATCTTGTTGGCGTATCTCTTTTTTTCATCGACGGGGGGCCTGATTTTCACCCTCTCTTTTCCTTTCTGTGCTTCGGGATGTTCCTTGCTTCTATTGTTGATTGTTTCGGCCGATGAACTGTAGGTCGGATCTTCCTCGAAGTGTTTCCTTCTTCCTTGTGGCGATGTGTGAAGTCTCGAATGTTAGCACAGTGAATTGTAGAGTAGGCGAAGTGTAGGGATGTCTTTGATGTAGTTGGGGTTTCGGTGGTAGCGTTTGGTTTTGGGGGTCGGAATGACTGCTTAGTGCCCCTTTTTATCCCACTCGAGGAATTGGGCGTGGCCTCCATTGTTTACGTCGTCTTTTGTTTCACCGAAATCCGTCTTTTGTTTCGCCGAAATGCTTTGTGATTTGCATCATGTGTCGCTCACCCGCATCTGTTATGGCATCGTATATTTATGTGTTGTATACTCCTCTTTTGTTTTCGCTGTCCCTCGCTCTTTTCGGGTTTTAATGATTGATGGTAATTTCCCTCGTGGCGTGTCCTTTGGCGTCAACTGACACCCTTGTGACTTGCCATATGTCGTGCGGCTTCTTTCGTCATGTGGCGTCCTTCGTCATGTGGCTAATTCTGTCCTGTGGCGTCCTTTGTCATGTGGCGTGTCTCTTTCGCTGTTGCCGAAGCTTATCGACAATTCCCTGGGCGATCCTGCTGTCATCTGTCCCTTGGAGGAGTCTCCGTTGGTTTGGCTCAATATGTCACGTGCTTCTCTGCGTCTCTTTGGATTGATGGATTTGGGTTTCGCTTCTCGGAGATTTCTGCTCGAATATTACTGTACTTCTGGGTGCAGCTACCCTTTCAGTTGAATTCAACATCGATTTATTACAATCGTTGTTGACCGCGGTTTTCAACTGAAATTTTCCGGATCCGTGAATCTTCTGACCGTTTATTCTTTCCCTGCCGAAGTTGCACCAATTCAATTTAATCTAACGGGAAATCCTGGGCGACAATGTCTCCAATGCCCCAGCAAACCCGCGGCTAGCCTTCTTTATATTCATTCTTCGGAGGGGTGCTGGCTGATTGATATTTCTTCTTTACTCCTTTTTGTCGTCTTGACGCCAGCGTTGGATCTCGTCTCTCGGTTCTTTATTTTCCTTGGTGCTCTGTGCGCGCGCTCTTCCATTTATTCTGATTATATTAAATACATCTGGGTTCGTCCAGACGTGCCGAGATCCTTCTTGTATTCTTCTTTTCTTCGGTCATGGTATCGATTTTTTTCTTCTTCGAGCCTCCGATGCTTCGTGACTTCCCTTCTTCTTTCTTCATTGAGCTTTTCTTTCTCCTTTCGTTCCATGGTGTTGATTCTCCGTCCGCAGAATCGCGATGGGTCAATAAAATGACGTACCTCTTTTCCAGTTTTTCCTTGTGGGCAAGGGATTCCAGATGTCCGTGGTAGCCTCCGAACTGTAGATCTTCCTGGGCCCATTTGAGTTCGGAGGTGGAACCTCCATGTTACGCCCTAGCCCTTGGCGTGGTTTGTGCCAAGGGTAGTTCGTACTTCTTGCCCGAGGTACGATGGGAATAGACAGAATGTGGGACGCGAATATAATATAATTGTTTATTATGAATATAAGAGGAGGAGTATGGGTACCCGACTCTGAACCCGGCTGCCGAAGCAGCCGACCCAAAATCGGGGAGCGTGCCCAACTGACTTGGTGGTGGGCGGCGCTTATCGCCGTCGCCGAATACTCTCCGAAAGAGGGGGAAAAGATGCGAAGAATGCGCCTGGTGTAAATGGCGCATCACAGATCATTTTGCGAACTTTGTAGCCGAGAAGATTCGATGACGTGTAGGGTTTTTTAAAACCATATTTGGTTAATTAAGAGGCAACAATTCTAAAGTGTAGTCGACACAAATTTTGCGTAATTGTTTTTGAAGAATCCGCTGTAGTTTAAAAACTGTAGCAATTTTGAATTTTGAGGACTGATTTCACTTATTGAAATTTTAAATCCGGCGAAATTTATGAACAATGGAATTGCAATTTCGATGCGAATGCAAGAATTTTGATAGAAAATGTTTTGTAATTCAAAAAAAAATTGAAATTGGGCTTGAAATGAACAACTTGCCGAATTTTTGGAAATTTGCAGATCGCTTTGAGACCCAATATCGTAACTCTATTGCAAACAATCAATGAAAAATCATTATTTCCAGATCGGTATCATGATTGAACCCCTAACCAGCATTGAAGGCCGCCAAGCCGCTGAAGGAACGCAAGTCAACCAGCATGTAAGCTTTTCGTATTGATCACTAGCCATTTCCTTTCGTTTTTGATAGTCGACGCTGGTGGAATTCGCTGAGAAGATGATACGAAACCTCGTGAATCACACCGAATCGTTTTCGGTTCGATTACAGAACCCGCAAGGAGGTTAATTCGCCTGAAATCGGTTTCCACACGGAATTGTGTGTTTTTCCATTTTGCAGGATTCCAAGACTACATTCCGATCAGCGCGTTCCAATCGTGGTACAACTCGTTCTCGCGTCGATTCGAAGCGAATCCATATTTTTGGAGGAATTTGAATAACAATTGAAAGTGAAGTGGAAATAAATTACGGCAATTCTTATTTTTTTGGTTTTTAAATTATTTATTTCCAAATTGTCCCACGCGAATCATTTCATACATTTTTGGTGCCTTTGATCACTTTTTTTTCGTTTTGAAAATTGTTTTACTGATTGGCTTCGTTGTCGAAGATTCTAGACGGTGCTGACCTTAGCTGAAATGCCGACAGATTAGGAATGCATGCGGTATCTATTTTTTATTATTTTGGTACCAAGCACGTGCTGGCACCTGAAATGCACATTTTTGTGTTGTTGCGTGTTTCTCGCCGGAAAAAAGGAATTGTTCGCTCGAGGCACCGCCCATGCTCTTTTTGCACTCGCTCTCTCTCTCTCTTTCTTCTCGCTTCTCTCGCACGCGCTTCTCTTACATTCTTGCTATCTATTTTTTTCGACCTTGTACCCTTCCTTCACTCTTTTGCACGACGATCTTCGAAAACGAGAGAGAGTGTGTGTGAGTGAGGTTTTTTTTTCGCGGTGCTCCTACCCCACTCGATTCTTTTTTGAGCTTCATCTTTGGGCTCTTCGTGTGTGCTTCAAAACTGCTTCTTCTCATCCCCTCCTCGTGTTATGATAGCGTGCTGAAATTGCTATCAGTGATATTGGTTGGACGCGAGACGCATTGTTTGTTGGTTTTTGAACTTCCGTGCGCCATTAAAGGAGCATGAAGGAGTATGCGCCTTGAAATCTGCGAGAGAATATTCCGCTATCAATGCGTGTGTGTGGCCGACGCGGAAATTGTCGATTTTTTGGCGGGCCTGACGACCTTGATGGATTTTGCGGAGCGTGGCCGCAAATCAAAAATTTTCTTGCAACAATGCGCCTTTAAATTAAAACTTCTTTGAGACGTAGTTCTTTGCACAATTTCCGGTTGTGTGGGCACTGTCGAAATGAAATCATTTGTTGGCAAATATTGGACCGCGTGACGGATCTCCCCCAATATAACCGTCGGTCTCGTTTCGAGACCCATTCGCCGTTTCAAGACCCATCACGTCGAACGGCAACACAATTGAGTTGTTCAGCGAAAATTGCGTCATTATAGCAAATTGTTGAATGCGCCTTTAAAATCCTATCAAGACCGGCCGATGACATTCAATGAGGAGCTCTTATCAATTGAATCGCGCGACACGAAAAAGCGAAACCTTGATATTTTCCAAATTTGGCGTATTCCATTGTTCAATTTCGCGCAATTGTTTGCTCTCACCTTCCGCTTTTCCTTTTCTTTTTTTTCAATTTCCCCATGTCCGTTTTGTTGCCTCATTTTTGCACTCAACTCGATTTACTGTCCGATCGCCATCAAAATCAAAAATTGAATTTTTGGCGCGTCCAAAATGACGATTGCCAAGGACGCCTCGATCAGTGACAAAATTCAATTTTTTCCCCTTCTTCTATGAGACAATTTGGTTCAAAGGCGCATACGTGAATTTTCCAAATTTGTGCTGCCGACTCCAACAACGTCGTAAATATCAAGTGCAAACTCTGGCCATTCCAAGCAAGACCCTTCACGAATGGGCGGCGCCTAGCCGAGTGGAGAAGCGCGAATCCATTTCCACTCCATCAACTGTTGTCCCATACAAGGAAATCCATCTCGTTCTATCGCCCATCATCAACCGCCCTACTTACTGTGTGTGTTATCTTTGTTGGAGATCTGCCAAATATTGTTGTTGTTGTTGTTTTTTTTTAATTTCGTCTCCATCCCCTTTCTTTCAATTTATGGACCGTGTTTCAGACCGCCATCGAGTTGATGCATACCGGCGAATCGGCGAAATTTGAGACGCAGGTTCTCATTATTGGTGAGTGCTTGGGGCGGATGACCTTTAAAACAATGTTGCGTCATTGGCATTCGCGGGTGCGTTCTTTAAAGACGTCCGCACTCGCATAATTTCGACATATAGTTAATATTGAAGCCCCACGCGATTTTAAACAACAATCTATTTTCTGTGTGTAATGTTCGTTGAAGTGCGACACCCGATTCATCATTTGTCGTAAAATTTGGCGTTTGAAAAGTTTCCAATTTCATCGAAAACGTTTTTTTCGCTCGTCACTAGCTTGAAATTCGATGAGTTTTGGCTCCGATCAAACTAGATCAAAAATATCTCCTCACCTCACCTCCCTATTGTTTTCGAGTGAGGCGAGAACGACGAAAAAACCGCCGAATCACGTCACTCTTTTTTTTTGTCTGTATGCGAAACGGGTTTATTGTTTGCAAATCGGAACTGGGTGATATCTGACTGTGACCTTGGCGTCGGATCTTAATGGTCCCTGACAATTGGTTGTTTCGAAATCCATTTTTGATTTTCAGGCAATGGTCCCGCTGGAATCGCACTATCGGCATTTCTGTCTGGAATGCATCCATTTTATGACGTCTGCCATCCGCATGAGAATCCGACGGTTCATGAGAAGCTGATGGCCGCCCATAACATTTCACTTCTCGACCAGGTATGACGGCTTCATTTTTTTTTGGTATTCATCCATCCTTTAAATATTAAACATGATGACAAATGTGATCGGTTGTGTTCTCGTTTTGCGGCGAGAGTGATGACAAATAAGAGGGCGCGTGAGAAATGTTTGTGCGCGAGTCGCCGGGGCGAAAGGCGAGCACGTGAGCACACACACACACACAAAACAAAAAGAAACCAAAAAAGGGAAAATAGGAACGGCTTTCGATTTTTGCTGTTTGGGGAGATTTTGAATTTCGTGTGCTTCGTTTTTAAATGGCCAGACACTACAGCCATTATGATAATTTGCAATTTTCCATACGAGACCCAAGGCGGAAAGAAATCGAGATATTCAAACTCATCAATTAGATCTTCAGGATTTGTCGTGGTCCGAGAATCTCAGCGAGCTCAGCCAAACCGGCCGGCCGTTGTCGGTCCTTTATGACATGCTCGTGAGACCCGGCGCCGACGTCGGCACGAACGCGCCGGGGAGCCTGATATGGGAAATGAACGCTGGACGCGAAATCCCTCATCTTGTTGTCGGCGATGGGAGAATTGGAGGAAGCTGGAATCAGTATGATCCGGAGGTATTTGATTCTGAAAACAAATTAAACATAACAATTCACATTTTGTTCTTTTTTAGATGCTCACTGTCTCGTTTAGCGATTGGCTCGACATGCCCGGATTCAGCATGGAAGAATGGCTTGGAGGTGTTCCACTTGTTAAAAGGTTTCAATTTTTGATTGTTTCTTTTTTTCTCACATATGAAACATTTGAAGGCTTCCTTCAATCGCCGTTGCTTCTTATCTGAACGCTTATACCGAACGAATTGGATCGAAGAAGAATTTCTTGTGCGATATTAAGGTTACGTCGGTGAAAAAGCATGGAGAATCGTGGATTACTGAAGGAATTAGAAATGATGGCAAGAAAATTGAAATTAAATCGACGGCTGTGGTGATTGCTTGCGGAAAAACGTCGCCAAAAAAGCTAATTGTAAGTGGAAAATTTAATGGTTTTTTTTTTGTAAAAAAAAATTTATGATTTCAATATGAGACCTAAATTGAGTGGCCGTAGTGCGCCTTTGAATGGTTACGGTATTTAATTTTTTATTTCACCGAATTTTTTCGATATTTCTTTGTGATTCTACTTTGAAAATAAAATTGTCCAGATTTTAAATTTTTACGAATTATTCAACAAATTATTTCTTTTATTTTCATTTGCAAATATTCAGGAAACTGCTTCCATTTCCAATCCACTTCCATTAAAAAATTGTGAGGACAATACAGTTTACGATTCAAGAAGTTTAAAAAGTCGAATTGATGTAAAACAACACCGGGAACTCGACTATGCTCAACCGTAAATTGTTTTCTATAATAAATGCAAAAATGTGTGTGTGTTTTTATTTCAGCAGCACTTCCTCCGAACCGGTCGTGGTTGTTGGCGATGGCATTTCGTCGGTGGATTGCGTTCGAGAATGCCTTGAGAGGAACATACCAGTTGTTCACGTTATACGCAGAACTGCCAAGCAATTGCGAAGTGAGTCAATCGAATTTTTTTTCGCTGCATTGAAAAAACTGAAAACCGGAAATAATCAGCATTCCAAAACGTATTAACGATGATTATTTTTTTTTTCGAAAAGATTAAAATGTGTGTTGAAATGGAATTCCGATAATAGAGCAAAAATGGAATTTTTTGAATCAAATTTGAAAAAATGATTTTTAAAGATATAATGATGTCGCGATTATCGCCGACTCATTACTCCGAGTACACCAATATTTATCGATTGATGATTGGAAGGGAGGCGAATGAGAATTACACGAGGATTCTAGAAGGCACGGTTGGCGAGGTGCGCAAGAATTCTCTAAATGTCTACACACCAAAAGGGAAATTGACGGTAAGAGAGTTTTAAAAAAAAAAACCCATTTTGGCTTGTCTCAATTTTAGCTAAACTACTCCGTACTGGCAGTGTGCATCGGCAGAGAGTCGCACTTTGACGAGATCCTACCGGACACCACATTCCTCGACTACCGTAGCCAACAGGATGACACACTTTTCGCGGTGGGAGCCTACGTTGGCGACCATTTTGTGAGATACCTTGTTGGCGGATGTCTAAGAGTCGCTCAACATATTGTCGCTTGCCAGAAAATCTGCACCAATAATAATAATAACGAGAAATGTTGACTATTTATTGTTGCTAATATTGTTATTAATTTCATTATCGCTTCTCTCTCTCTCTATATACATATTATTTATTTAATGATGATGGGTTTCATTGTGATGATGATGATGGTGATGATCATCATCCCCTCCGTGTTCGTGTCTGAAATGAATTATTTTGAATGCACTCGCTTATTTTATTTTATTATATAACCCTAAAAATATCTGCATGACAGTAACGAGAGTGAAACCGAAGATTATCCAAATCAGCTGTTTGAAATGATTGAATTCGTTGCTTTTCTCGGATGCCATTATCTGCAATTGTCGTAAAATGGGACGTATTGTGTGCAGAGCACCGAGGCGCCGAAATGCGGAATTATTTAAAATCGTGATAGATGATTTTAGAATGAATTTACCTCGATGAATGTGACGTAAATGAATGTTCCAGCAGCTAGGGATTCTAGAATAATGATAGTTGAATCTTTGTAAATGTTTGGCTCGGATTTCTGCAATTTCAATTTTTCTTCAAGTTTCAGATTGTCGAAACCTGAAGTATGCAGCCCATAATCGCTCCAAATGGCGCCATTGCACTATAAATGAGAATTGTGATGAACACCGATCGAATCTATAATTTTGATTCCAAAATGTTGCTGAAATTTGTCGGCAGGACGATGAAACCTTATTGGAATTTGCCATCGAGATTTGAAGGCCCACCGAAAATGCCTCGACAGATTTGTGAAGAAGCAATGAAAAGAACAACGAGTAAATGCGGCGAGTAGAATCCTTAGAAAAAAATGAGGAAATGGTTCGCCTATGCGCCTTTAAATCATCAAAACCTGAACACCAAGAGCGAATCCTTCAAGCAGAGAATGAAATGACATGGCAACAGCGAATGTGAGCGATTTGAGAATGTTGCTCTTCTCATCGGAAACCACCCAAGTTGAGGCTTCTTCCATTTTAAGGCTTTAAAATTTCAAATATCATTTTTTTGGTGAAAAATATACCTGGTAATATTTAAGCTGCCCCTTCGATCATTCGGAGGAATTGGGGCAATTCGATTGGAGCTGTTCGAAGAATTGCCATGAGAATGCCCATGCGATTGTTGGCCGAACACCTAAATTATAGTGGATGATCAATTAAAGGCCGTGGGCGAACTATCTATAATGGAAATATGGAGATTCCGCAAAAAAAAAATCAAAAAATCGCTGTGCAGATGGCTGAAAAAATAAACTCCTCGGCCACGGCCAGGTTTTTCAAAGCCTACAGTTTTATTAAATCGCTGCAAGAATCATAAAAATTGTATCTAGAATTTATTTATAATTTATTTTTTTATAAAGAATTTATTTTCTAAATCCATGTTTTTCCTGGATTTTTCTATTGCGATTAAAGGCGCATTGGAATTATTTTCTGCAAACCGCATAGCGAGTTTTAGGTTCTTTTTTCAGGTTAAAAAGCAATTTTTTGTGAAATCCTCATAGTAGTAAAACAATTTTGAGGTGCTCAATTGATTCACCATGCACCTTTAAATATAGAATTAATACCTGATTTGTGAACTCCTCAATGAAGAAAATGAAGAAAAACCCGCAACATGTGATAAGTTGAGGGTAGGCAAAATGCCACGACAACTCATATAATGACAAAAAGGTCTCATAGCCTTCACTGCAAAAATTTTCTATCAGGACAGAATTTTCAGCAAAGCAAAATAATGATTTTGTTGAGAAATGAATAATGTATCCAGGTGTCGTAGGATCCGGCGTTTTGTACGCAATGAGCCAGCTACCGTAATCCTCGCAGCGATTTACGGGCACTTTTTTAAATTTCGAATTTTCATTTTTTTTCGCTCAATTTGCGTATTTTCTTCCGAAATTTTTTGTTTAAAATCTGTAGAAACTGATTTCAATTATTTATTTAGCAGAAATTGTTTTTTTTAAACTATATTTATCGGTATTTTTTTTTGGTAAAAACAGCATAGATAAAAAAATTTTTTTCTCGTTAGTAAAATTATTTATTCGTGTTTCGCTTCTCATTAAACTTCTCATTTCTTTCTCATTAAACATTTTTAGCATTTTAATAACTGGCTCATCGCATTGCGTGCAAAACGCAGGATCCGACGAAACCATGGATACATTTGTCATTTCTCAACAATATTTTTTTACTTGATATGCGGAATAATATCCAAAAAGCACGTTGCGAGGAAGGTGCCGCCGGCGAAACACGCCAAATACGACAAAAATCTGCTTGGCTCGTCGTTTCGTTTTCGGTTCAGAACGCGAACAATCTAAAAACGAGAAAAAATGCGAATTGAAATGCTCGAATTGACTTACAAATAATGGGATGATTCCAATTAAGGCGCTAATTGAAAACATTGTAAACGCGAGAATTATTTGAAGCTCTTGGCCGCTTATTTTTTGGAGCGCGAGAATGTTGGTTTGAATTGCGAAGGGGAATGCCTTTTAAAGGAATTTCGAATTGAATGCGACAATCCCAAAATTGAGGTGAATTTGTTGCAGTCGGATTACAGAAAAATGAACATTGATGTTGGCGCGCGAAAGACGTCTGCTGAACAATGAAAAAAATCGTCGGCGAGGATTTGTTTATTTTTCGATTTCTGATAGGGTTAGCCCATGAAGGCAATGACATCATTGGCATGAGTTTACAGTACATCTTTAAAGGCGCATATGGAAGGGCTTATGGTAGATTTCAATTCTATTGCACAATATATCGAAATTGTTTTCTGAATAGCGACACTCGAATTGAATGAATTTCGCTGCGGACATTTTGAAGGTTGTCCGTGTGAAGTACACAGACGTTCATGAATGTTTGAAAATTGATTTATTGTGTGGCAGCCCGCGAAATTCTAATCACCGACGCGGTGGTGTAAGCAGCTAATAATTGGCGACTAATTTGGCGGGTTCCTATTGATTATAATGGTCCCTAATGAGATCAATGAACTGCAGCGATATTCTGTGCATTGTGTGCGTACACCGAGTCGCACATTTCGATCTTAATTACAGTAATCTCAACTGAAAATTATTTAATTAATTATTGATTTAATTTGCAGTTGAGATTACTGTAGCTCAGATCGAAATGTGCGACTCGGTGTACGCACACAATGCATAGAATATCGCTGCTGTTTTTCACATTCGTCATTTTTCCACAATATGTGAAACTTGCTAAAGGTCACCGGCGTCTTACAGATAGTTTGAGGAGATTTTGGGACCAAAGAACGAATTTGAGTGAAGAATTGTGATTTCAAAGAAATCTTGAAATTTTGCAGAATTGCCTCATATGATAGAAATTCAAAATTTAAAAAAAATCGATTTAAAATTTTTTGAATTTATTCGATATCGCAATTTGCGTGGATTTTTCCACACGAGACCCAATGGGAAATATTGTGCGATTCAGGGTATTTCAGGAAGTATGTATAAGGTTTGAACAATTTGGAGAAAAAAAAAATGAAGTTGAACGTTTGCTTTTTGATTTCAAAAAAAAAAAATGAAAAAAAATGTTGAATGAAATGACCAACAATTGGAATAGTCTTTGACCAAATCGAGAAAAATTTGGGAATGGCCTTCAAAAAAAAAAAGAAGGCACGTAAAAGGGTAATTCAACGATTTCTCTTCGCCAAGATTTTGAATGCGGTGACATGAAGCTTAAATCATATTCGCCTCAATTTTCATGATTTGGGTCTCGAATGGAAAAAAAGAAACTTGGAGAAGCTTGAAAATTTCTTAATAGATATTTTGGGTATTTAGTTCGAATGCAAAACAGAAATACAGTATACATTAAAGGCACAAACTGTTTTATTAAAAATATTGGCTAAAGGTCTACAAAAATTTTTTTCATTGAAATTTTGTCCAGATTTTCTTTTTTTTTTTAATTTTCTTTGCATTTCCCTTTAATATGTATATTGTTATAAAAATGAATAATATATATTCTTCGGTGTGAGATTTTAGATTTCCATCTGCGGACATTTTTGAGAATTTATATTATATTAAAATTCGGCCAATGGGAAATATCACATCGTTTGTGCGTTCAAAATTAATGACACTGTGTTTCAGACAAATTTGCATCAGTCTTTTCTTATTTAAGCACTTAATTCGAGTACTGTAGGTCGCGACGCGATATTTTGAAAAATATGACACATGTCCCTTTAACCCGACATTATCAAATCGATTTTTTAACCAAAAAGGCAGTTTTGCACATATTTCATTTATCAACTAACAACTTTTTTTTAAATGATTGTCTTGAAATTTTTTGTCTGAAATTAGGGGAAAAACAAAATTAAAATGGGGGTTTTTACAGATTATTTAGATATTAAAAAAAATTTTTCGAAATCAAATATTCAACAGCTCGAATTTGGAAGAAGCTTATGCTTGCTGCTTTCATGTATACAAAAAGTTGGGAAAATAGGGAAAAAATGGGAAAATAAGAAAAAATAAGAAATTTCAACATTAAAAAAGTGTTTCAAACGAAATTAGGGCGTGTTTTAATGAATTGAACTAACGCTTATTTGATCGAATTAAATGCAAAGGAATGATCGAACAATTGAATGGTCGATTGAAAATTTGCAATTGTAAACATTCTGCTGCGGACATTTTTCAAATCGAATTTAAGCTGAAATTTTTTTTTTTGATATTTCCTGAATTATATGAAAATATCACATTGATCTTATTTTCCCTTAATTCCGAAAATTTTTAAGAAATCAAGTTGATGGTTGATAAATGAAATGTGTGCAATATTGCGTCAGCGTGCTGACAGACGAAACCGTCAGTTTGAAGATTTTCTTATTTTTTGTTGAAATAAGGAGGCTAAAAAATAAAAAAAAGTGGGAAAAATCGAAAAATTTTTTTGAAGAAATATTTCTGGAATAAAGTTCAATGAAATTTCAGCTTGTTTCCTCAATTTTCAATATTTTTCAGATTGTCTTCCTACTATTTTTGGCATTTTTTACATGGTCTCATCAAGCGAGCTACAATAATTCTCATGGTCCCAAAATCTATCATAACCAATTTATCAAAATTTTTAAATTCCAACAAAATTGTCAAAAAAGCATTCGATGGTCCCCAGCATAGATGCGGGTCCGAACTAGCAGGAAATTTTTTAGTTTACTTGAATTTTTTCACTAAAATTATGACGAAATGCCCATTTGCCAACAAAAACTGATAATATTGGAAAAATTAAAAATCCTCAAATTTTTTTAGGACGCTCCCCCGCGATGCACCTTTAATGTCTACAGTAATCCTTGCTGTAAAAATCTGCCGACAGCCCCTTTCGAATTGATGCGAAAGCTGTTGTCAGTCATCAATCGCAACAATACAATTGATAAAGACGAAAACGAGTTGTGATGTTCCTCGGAGAAATGCCACCATCCCCCCCCCTTCCCTTCCCCCCACGAGTAATAATAGTGTTGTTCCCGTTTTTGGTATGGCGATCCGATTCTCGCGATCCCCCCCCCCATTCCATCTTCGTCATCATTCTAATCATGTTGGTACGGTTCATTTAATTTGCGGCGACGACCACATAGTTATGAGCGAGATCAATGAAGCGGCAGATTTTCAAAAATTGTCCGCAGCTCGCCCTCCCCCCCCCAATTTGCGTGCTAATCGGACCCCTCGATTGTTTTGACAGACCTCGACGGAGGTCTCCACACATGAGCTCCGAAATCAGTCGCAAACATGTACACAAAAGGATTGGGCTTGTGATCCGCGGCGAGCGACTGATTATTTACCTACTTGTCTCGTCGACCATTCCTCCAATCACATCTCCCGCCTTCCCCTCCCACCTTAATCGTATCCCGAAACTAACTATACACTTTTATGATTATTCTATTCCATATCAATAATGCGTTGGTTATCAAAGAATTGAGGGGGGGGGGGTGACCTTCCGAAATCCGACCCCCTCAGCCGCATACCATATTTGGAATGCGGTTGGTCGTAAACCGCCATCCAATACAATTTTTATGAATTTCCTGCTGCGGACAATTTCTCGACAACAAAGCACATGCATTCTTCTTTTTTTTTTGTTGCTCCGAGCCCCATCGACCTACCAAATTTTCGCTTCTATTTGTCCAACTTATATATGAACCATAAGTGACCGGTGCAAAGTTGTCTAGCTTGTGTGTGCTCTCTCTCTCTCTCGCTCACAGTTCCCCCCTCCTCATCGTGTTGGTCTCCTAGCTCCGATAGTCACTGTGGCGGCTCTCAAGCATGAGAAGAGGCCTCCTGCAGCTCTAGAGTTTTGAATTTCCGCCAAACACTCGCTTTTTTCCACCCCCCCCCCCCACCTCCACAACCCGCTGACCGTTTTGGTGTGCTTTTATATTGCCAACTAGCAATTCCTTTTTTTGGAGTCTCCGGTTACTGTACCTATAACTACTATCTGTGTGTTGTAAGAGATCAGCAATTTTGCATTTCAACTCATTTCTCATCTGCGGACAATTGTTGCTCATTTTTTTGACGTTTGAGCTCGACGAGCTGATAAACGCAAACAGTTCGCGACACTCCCAATTTCGTTTCCCTCCCCCCACGGCGCTCTTCATTACTGCTTCCGCGTCGTGTCCGAGATTTTGGAATTCGATAATTGCATTACTATATGTATAAACCTAGTTTGATTATTCGCATAGATAGCATAGTTTTTCCCCCATGCGCATTCCTTCTTTCAACTTTAGCTTCTATGTGTTTTTTTTTCTCTCCTCGACATCCTTGAATATAATTTGACTTGAACCATCTGCGGACAATTGCCTGCCCTTTTTTGCAGAGCGGGTCTTCGCAGTCACCCCCCAGTACGCGATGCAATCCGATTTTCGGATATTGCTCGTGGTCCTACTTGTGTTCGCCGAACCGCTTCAATCATCACCACCGGAAGCGACACTATCAGACGTCGAGCTGACGTGTCCGGAAGACTGGATCCGGCTCGGCTCGAAATGCTATCTGCCGTTCACTGTCTATGAGAGTTGGCCGTTCGCGTTGACGACGTGCCAACGGTACGGCTCGATGTTGGCGCAAATTCAGACGTCGTCCGAGAATCGCTTCATCGCTTCGCTTCTATCGAGACCGGCGAGCAAATCCGGCGACGTCAAAGAGTACTGGATCGGTTTGACGGTCGAATCGACCGACAAGGACGAGCTGTTCCTGTGGTCCGATGGCACGCCGACAAGCAGATACGTCGGATTCTGGAGGCACGATCAGCCGGACTTCATCAATGGATCGTGTGCAGTGGTAAGAGATCGGGGGGTCCAAAGATTGGGATGTTGTGTTCTTCTAGGGAAAAGTTGAAAAACGTGATTTGGAGTGGAGACTTGAGACGTGCAACCTGTTGAGGAGGTTTGTCTGCGAGAGGCCGGCATGCGTTCAAGGTGAGAATCCCAACAATCCCACCGAACAATAAGAATCTAGGCTCATACTTCTGCTCGTCGGGCAACTGTATTCCGGAATCGAAAAAATGCAATGGCTTGAGCGATTGCGACGACGGAAGCGATGAGCAGAACTGTCCGTCAGGTAGCGTCGCCCCGAGGATCAGTTGTTTCATTTCGATGCTTTCAGCATTCCAGCCGGCATGTCACACGTATGAGAAGGGCGATTCGGGTCAGATCACCTCGCCCAACTATCCGAACCCATATGAGCCGAATCTCAATTGTCGGCATGTCATTGAAGGTCCCATCAATTCGCGAATTGAGGTTCTTTGGCCCACCAACCCCCATTATAAAATGCCACCCATTTTCAGCTAACTATTGAGCATTTCGAAACTGAGCCTGACTTTGATGTTCTCACCGTCTTCGACGGCGGTCCCGCCGAGAATAGCACCTCAGGTAGGTGATTTGATGATACTCGTTTTGATTCGATTTCTAGTCATCCGCCGAATGTCGGGATCAATGGAGACGGTCCAACTTCTCGCCTCGTCGACGAATATGATGATTGTGCAATTCCACACCGACGCTCAATCGAACTCGCGCGGATGGCAGATGAAATGGCGAGCGGTGCCGTTCGCATGCGGCGGCGCCTTCAATGCTCAGGCCTACGTGCAATCGTTCTCATCGCCCGGCTATCCGAAATCGTTTGCCAACGGCGCCGAATGTGTGTGGACCATCGAGACCAATCAAGGACAAGTCGTCTCGCTGATTGTGCGTGTCAATTAAAATTCGATGGTGCAATTGGTGCAATTTTTCAGATCGACGATTTCTCGATGGGAAACGATGACAAACTCATCATGTATGATGGAGCAACACCGGCGGCCATCGAGCTCGCTTCGTAAGCGCTTCTCGTCGCCGTCAGAATTGATCTGGAATTTTGCAGCTTCTCGGGAAACTTGACGACGAAGACGTACATCACGTCGTCGAGCAATATCGTCTATGTCTACATGATGACGCGAAGGGACTCGAACGCCCACGGCTTCTCGATATCGTATAAACGCGGATGCGATTTGCGTCTGAGCGACACGCACGGCGAACTCGTCTCGCCGGGCAATCTCAACTCGTTCTATCCCAACGGCATCTCGTGCACTTATACCATTGAGCAGGAGAGCATGAGCAATGATCGGGTAGGCTCGCCGACATGGTCGTCGATTTGATGATTCGCTTATAGGGTTTGAGTCTTCTAACGAATCGCTTCGATCTCGCCGATGACGACACGTTGGGAATCTTCGAGAATTCTATCAAGGGAATCGCACTTCATGAAGGCGCTGGATTCGACGCGAAACAACGTCCAGACACCCATATCAAATCCAAAGCGAATCGGCTTCAAGTCGTCTTCAAGGCTAGCGCTTCAAGAAACGCGTTCGGATTCAATTTCACCTACTCGATCGGTATATTCATTTCAAAGTTTCGGCAAACCGAAACCATTGTTCAGATTGCCCGCCGCTTCCCGAAGTTCCAATGGTCACCGTGTCGACGAGGGATCGATCGGCGAACACGAAGGTGGTGGTGTCGTGCCCCAAGGGATTCGAGTTCTCCTCCGGCGAGGGAGTGTCGCAGCAGATCGAATGCAAGATTGGTGGTGAATGGTCCCAATCGATCATCTCCACGTGCCAGCGTAAGAATGACGGTTTGAGTCGCCCCATCGATAAATTCATTCCAGCAATCTACTGCGGCCCGGTGCCGCAAATCTCGAACGGCTTCGCCTCATCGGCGACAAACGTGAGCTTCGGCGGCGTCGCGAAATACTCGTGCTACAAGGGCTTCTACTTCGCCAGCGGCAAAGAGGTCGAATCGGTGTACTGCGGCGACGGCGGCAAATGGAGCGCACCGCCGCAGTGCAAAGCCGCCTCCTGCCAACCGCTGCCGCAATTCACCAATGGCGATCGCACGCTCGAGTTTGGCGACGGCACCGGATTCGGAAGCGTGTTTCGATTCAAATGCCATTCGGGCTATCGACGGGAAGGCGTTGAATCGCTTCTCTGCAAATCGGATGGATCGTGGTCGTCGACACAGCCGACATGCTCAAGTAGATCAAAACCGAAAAGATGGTGTCATCACAGCTTCCAATTTCAGAAATCGCGTGCACCGATATTCCAACGATCCCCAACGCTCGCATCGAAGTGCCCCATCGATTTTTGTACGGCGACGTCGCGCGCGTCGTCTGCCACAGCGGATTCGATCTCGAAGGGCCCGAAGAGGTTCGTCAGCCAAATAGATCTTATAACTGAATGTTGCCGACAATGCAGATTCGTTGTCTGGCCAATCAAACGGTGTCGTCGACGCCGATTTGCGTCGACGTCGACGAGTGCGCGACGGGAAGCAGTCAATGTCAGACGATTGGCACGAAATGCACAAATCTGCCGGGCTCATACAAATGCGAGTGTTTGAGCGGTTTTCAGCCGCAATTGAGTGAGTCGACACACCAATCCACTCAACATCGCCTCATTGTTTTCTCTAGTGTGCGTCGAAGCATCGCCTATTACGGCAAACATTGCGCAATCGCCGACGACCCCGCGTTGGTGTGCGTTCGACGGCACCAACACTGTCGTCATGCGATTCGCGATTCCGATGATCGTTGAGCGCATTCGACTCGGCGACGTTCAGAATGGCACCGTGAAATCGATCACGTTGAAGTACTCGGAATCCAGCGGCAAATCCACAAGGAAACTCATTCTTGACAATCAATCTGTAATATTTAAGAATTCAATTTAAGCCCAAAAACGCTTATTCTATAGGTTTATGAAGTTGACGATGAGCTTATGGTGATACTTCCGATCGCCATTGAAGCTCAAGTGCTGGAAATCACGATTCACAAGTTCGACGGCTCGCCATGCGCCGATATTGAAGCGCTTGGATGCCAGCGGACGTCGTGTGCCGACGTCAACGAGTGCTTGAAAAACAACGGCCACTGCGATCACATTTGTGTGAATACGCAAGGCTCATACACGGTATTTATTTATTTATTTCTTGACGGAAGACGAAATTCGTATTGTTGTAGTGCTCTTGCCGCAATGGCTATGATCTTTTCGTCGAGAATGGACAAGCTGGCGTTAATGTGTCGGCTGGTGAGACCGGAATGGATAACAATGACTTTGTGAGGTGCGAATTATTGGCAAAAATAATGAAGGGGAGGGGGAATGAAAGAAAGTGTGCAACTTTATGAAAATGTGTTCACGACTACCGTAATTACTGTCAAAGGCACAGAACAATTAAAAAAATCTGCCTTGTACCGAATTGTTACTGTAGTATTTTTTTTACTGAAAATTCTCATTTTTAATCAATTTTTTAGAATTATAAGCGTGTTTATAGTTTTTTTTTTAAGTAAACGATTAAAATAATATTTAGATTCAACAAAACCTGTGTGCCACGCCAATGCCTTCCAGTTTCCTCACCGGAAAATGGAAAACTTCTCTCAACTGCCTCAAAATTCCATTACCCAATGGTTGTGCAATTTGTGTGCGATTTTGGCTATCAAATGATGGGACCTGATTATATTCAATGTCTTGCCGATGGCACGTGGAATGGAACTGAGCCATTTTGTTTGCGTAAGTAAACAATTAATTAGAAAAAAACAAATTGAACATTTTCAGCGGCAACTTGTCAAGGAATTGAAGCTGATCCAATGGACGGTCTGATTGTGTCACCGCCAAACTCAACAGTCTCGTTCGGGCAGAATGTGACCTATTCTTGTACACTTCCTGAAAGACCTGCAAAAACCGCATCGCTCTCGACAAACCGACAATGCATTTTCGATCCCCAGGAAGATGGAAGAGATTACTGGTTGTCTGGTCCGCCAGCCGAATGCCCCTATATCGAATGCCCAACTCCTCCGGTGATGCCAGGTGCTGTATATGTCGGAGATGTGAACGACAGGAAGATGGGATCGACACTGGAGTTCACTTGTCGCCAACCGTACACCGTTGTTGGAAAATCGACATCGGGCGATCAGACAATCCGTTGCATGCCGGACTCGAGTTGGGACCTTGGCGATTTGCGATGCGAGGGACCTGTCTGCGTCGATCCGGGATTCCCGAATGATGGCAATGTGCAGCTAGCCAGCGTCGAGGAAGGTTCGGTGGCAAGCTTCTCATGCAATCGACCGGGCTACGTGCCATTCCCAACCGACACCCTTCAATGCACATTGGGTTCGGCCTGCGTGCTATCGGAAGACGTCGGCATCACGTCGGGTTTCGTGCCGGACGGCGCGTTCTCCGACAACTCCGACTCGACGAATAGCGGCTATGAGCCGCACAAAGCGCGAATGGGATCCACCGGATGGTGTGGAGCCAAAGACGCGTTCATCTTCCTTAGTGTCGACCTTCAACGCGTCTACACATTGACGACGTTGCGAATTGCTGGTGTCGCCGGAAGCGGTCATTTGAAGGGACACGTGACGAAGCTTCAATTGTTCTACAAAACGCAATTCTCCAAGAACTACGACACATATCCAGTGGTGAGTATCAAATTAAAATTAGATTGAAATGAACATGTTTTACAAATTTATTTCAGGAATTTGAGACGCCTAGCGGCAATCACAACGCGATGCACCATTTCGATTTGAAGCCGCCACTTCGCGCCAGATACATCCTTCTCGGCGTTTATGAATACGAGGGCCATCCGTGCATGCGATTTGATATGATGGGATGTTTGGCACCGATATCAGCGACGCACGAGGTCGACAATCATCTTCAGGTCTTGCCGCTTTCAACTATCCCATTTTTAAAGCTTCTCTTTTTTTTATAGATCGGCTGGAATGGCTCTGTGCCGGAATGCGTCGACATGGAGCCGCCGAGATTCGAGAATTGTCCGACGAGCGAGATATTCGCGAAAACCGACGAGAACGGCCAACTCATGCCGATTGAGTACACCGAGCCGAAAGCTGTCGATAATAGCGGCAAAATCTCGTATACACAAGTGGAGCCGATGGGAATGAGCAGTGGATTGATGGTGACCACCGATATGGATGTCACCTACACCGCGTTCGATTCGGCTGGAAACACTGCCATTTGTGTGGTCCGCATCAGAATTCCAGGTATATATGCTCAAATTGTGGTTTTGTCTAAAATTCAATTGGTTTCAGACACCCAGCCGCCTGTAATGAAGTGTCCTGACTCGTACACAATTCCTGTCGGCAACTCATCAACCCATGTTGTCTTCGACGTCTCCACAGTGGATCTCGTCGTTCATGACACTTCAAACATTTCCGAGATTGTGTTCACACCGTCGGAAGCTGATTTAAAGGTGCTGGTTGATGAGTTTAAAGACAATTGAAGATTTTTTTTCTAGATTGGCGAATATGTTGAAGTCAGTGCCACCGCAAAAGACGAGTATGGCAACAAGAACATGTGCAAATTCCAAGTCGCCTATTCGCGTAAGCATTCGAAGCTCAAAATCGGGGGGCATTTCTGTTTTTGGTTTTCAGCTGAAGCCTGTTCGCCAGCCTCGCTGGCCTCCACGCAGCACGTCATCAAACATTGCGTACACCAGGACGCCGCGGTGGTGTGCACCGTCTCATGCGCCACCGGTTATCGATTCGTCGATCCTCAGCAGGTAGGAGGATCGAAGATTTTTTTTTTGAAAGATTTGCGGGCATTTCGGAATTTGCAGACTACGCAGAATTATGTGTGTCGCGATGGAAAATGGTCGCCGCGGAATAATGCGCCATCTTGCGTGCCGATTCGTGAGTTTTCATTTTCATTTATATTTTGATAAATGATGACCTTCAGCTGAGCAGCCCGCTGGTTTCCATTTAAACGTCGCTATCAATTATCCGGTCAGCTCGCCGGTTGCCGATCATTGCCTCAATGTAAGCAAACGATTTGCGTTTCGAAACATTGTTGTGTGATTGACTATTTAAAGGGATACGCGCAACTCGCCGCCAAATCGTTTGATCAACTCGATAAGGTGCTCAGCGAGCGATGCTCGAGCTCGGTTCAAGTGTTTGTGCGTCTGCTCAAACTCGATTTTAGCAATGAACACGGAATGGTAATCCGGAGGGGGGGGGGGAGGGGGGAGCATTCCCTTGTATGGATGAATTATGTGAAATTATTGATTTATAGGTTAGCGGCAACTACAGTATTCAAGTGCTTCCGACAGTACTCCAGAGCGTCTTCTATGATCTTTGCGGTCTGACATTGCGCACGATTTTTGATCTCCGCGTCCCCGGAGCCACTCAGCCGATCAAATCGCTTCTCACTTTGAACGGCGAATCAATCGTCTCGCAGACGGTGGGATGTCCGACAATCAATGCAGCGGGATCCATGGTGTCTCAAGGATTTGAATGCCCGAATGGCGAGGTGCTTAGACAGGAGCAGAAGGACAAGCTCCCTGAGTGCAGTAAGCGTTTTTTTCTGAGAACACTATACTTGTTATGATTCGTTCCAGTGGCGTGTCCCAGTGGATCAGTGAATGTTAACAATACGTGCGTTCTATGCCCAAGAGGATCTTATCAGGATGTTGCTGGTCAGGTTATGTGCAAATCGTGTCCTGATGGAACGTACACATTGGATGAAGGATCTCATTCCGTCGGAAGTTGCCTTCGTAAGTTCTTTTGGTATCCATATTGATATTTTTGGTTTCGTTTTAGCTGTTTGCGGTTACGGTATGTACAGTATCACTGGATTGATTCCTTGCCAACTTTGTCCACGCCATACGTTCTCGGGAGCGGCGCCGATCGGCGGATTCAAAGAATGCGTCGCGTGTCCGTCGGGCGCCTACACGGCGAAACTGGGAGCGTCGTCGGCGACGGAATGCCGGCTCGCTTGCAAGCCGGGAACTTACAGCAATACGGGATTGGAGCCGTGCTCGCCGTGCCCGATCAACTATTATCAGCCGAACGCCGGCCAGCAGAGCTGCATCGAATGCGCGAACAGCACGTCGACGCAAACCACCGGCGAGGCCAGCGAGTCGTCGTGTTTGCCGATTGATTGCGCGGCGAAAATGTGCGAGAATCGCGCCGAATGCAGTGTGTTCATGCACAAAGCCAAATGTCACTGCAAGCCGGGATATGTTGGAGATCGTTGCGAGACGATTGAAGACGTCTGCTCGACACAACCGTGCTTCAATGGCGGCAAATGCGAACAGTTTGGAACCTCCTACAAGTGCACATGCAAGAAGAGTAAGCAACGTTTTTTTAATTGGGGAAGCTTTCTGATTCTCTTTTGATTTTTTTTCTTCAGACTTCACTGGAGCTCAGTGCCAATTCGAAACTGATGAGTGCATTGGCGTGAAGTGCCCGAATGGAGGAGTTTGTCATGATCTGCCGGGCGTCGGAACCACCACATGCTTGTGCAGGTACTCTAGTCAATTTCGTTCTCAACCTCACCCCCCCCTCCATCTCCAATTTTAGGACCGGCTTCTCGGGACCACAATGCGAAGAGGTCACCGACATCTGCTCAACAAACAACCCGTGCAAAAATGGTGCGAGATGTATCGGCGAGAAGCTCGGCCGCTTCAAATGCCAATGTGTGCCCGGCTGGGATGGTCCGACATGCGAGCACAATATTGGTGAGCCCGTTATTCGCTTTTTTTGGCTTTCATTATTGCTCTATGTTGCCTAAATGAGGCCTTGAGTGGAGACGCGCGCGCGCGCGCGAGCGCGGTTGATTCAATTTGTCACTCGCCCCATTTTTCTTTTTTTTTTTGTTTAGTAGAAGCTTTTCTAAATTTGGAGCGCTTTTATTTGATTAATTCTGGAGAGGAGATCACGATGGAATGAAGAAGAAGAAGACGAAGAGGAAGGAATGACATTTGATGATTTAGGCGAGATTTGGATAGGCTTTTTGCGGTGGCGCCGCATAGGCAGGATTATAGGGAGCCGGCGGAGCTGTCGGCACCGCGGTGAAGACGTTGAGCGATTTTTGAAGTTTCCGCGTCAGCATGAGCTCGAGAACGCTGAAAGAAAAAAAACGAGAAATATTTGAATTGAATTGGTCTTTGTCAAGGGAAAAAACAACAATAGTATACATTTTTTTGTGTGGCTTATACAAGTTGCAAATGTTTCCCCAAAGACTGACTCGGTGATTTATGCCCCTATTCACTCGTGTCGAGCCGGCGAGAAAAAAAAGAATGCGCGAGTTGGGCAATAAAAAAAATGACATTGATGTCCTAATATGGCCGACGACACTCACTTGTAGACGAAAAACGCGATGGCGAGGATGAGAAACGCGATGCCGTAGTAGATCAACTCGTGCTTCATCTCGACCTTTTCGACATCCGACAGCTGCTGCTCGAAGAAATACTGAAATTTGAGAGAGCTGTGTTTGGAAGGAAATGGGGGATTAGATTGTTTGCCTCGTAGACACGAAAAATGAACGCGTTAATTGAGACTGAAGCACCCGTGAAGTAGGCGATCATGACGAGAATGCAGATAAGCGAGCATACGGTGAGGCCGCTGATGAGCACAAGTCTGGAAGTTGTTTCATGTAGATTGAGGTGTTTAAGAACCCCCTCTCCCCATGGTTCTCATTATTTGGGTTGCTGTCGGTCGCACGCGCAACCCGTGCAAGCTTCCCCTCTCGGTCTCTCTGTGTTCCTCTCTCTCTCTCTTTCTCTCTTCCCCCCATCGTCCTTCCTCATTGTCTTACATACCTGGGTAGGCAATAATGCGCCATATTCCGTTTGACGCCCAAAATGAGCAACACGGTTCCGAGCACATGGCAAACGAAAAAGGCGACGAAGAAGAGGAATGGCGCGATGGTTGTCCAGTGCCTTGAGAGCGAGAAAAATAAAATGAATTGATATGTGAATGGAAATCGCATTTTACCAGTTTCCCCATGTTTCCATTAAATTGTTCGTGGACTTGTAGGCGAAATAGCCGACGATGACGGTGTCGAGAAGTGCGAGGACCTAGAAATTTTTGCGTTTCTCATTAAATATTGAGTTGAAAGATTGTCGAGATGAAATAAAATGCAAAATGTGCAAAATTGCCTACCTTACAGCATTTTTGAATCGGCCAACAGCAGCAGAAGATCATTTTGCGGAAAAGTGCCGCGAGAATCGATAGGCAATTTTCGTCCGCCTCTTCTTGCTCGTCGCGCGTCCTCTTCTTTAGCTTGATGTGCTCTCTTAGGCTGCTGCTGCTGCCTCTGCTGCTGGCGGCAACGCCTTCATTTGGCTCGGTGGCTCCGCCCAAATGCAAGTGCAAAACATGATCCACAGTTTCGCGTTTTCGTCGGCCGAACATTGGTGTCGTCGTTGCGCCTTTAATGATGTGCTTGTGAGATTAATAGTTGATTTCTATTTTTTTTTCATGACCTAAAGGGGGGGGGGGGCTGGCTGGAGAAGTGATTTTTGACGATTTAGAGGATTAGGCCTAATCCAAAAAGGAAGTGCCGAATTTCCGGGATTTCAAATGCGCGAGCAATTTAGAGGGTGATTAAATTGGGTCAAACTTGGCGGGAGAATTAGCGAAATAATGGAAATTTCCAACCAAATACAAAGAGTTGGGGCAAATGTGCTCTTTTAAAATGTGCTTTATTCAAAATATTTATAAATGTTTTGAAAATGATTGTCATGAATAAAAAATCGAACCCCAGAACGTCCAAAAATGGCTAAATGGTTAATTAAACCAACCTTGAGGTGAGGTGTGCGATCATTGCGGCACATAAACCGAGACGCAATCGATGGGGGGGGGGCAAAAACAGCCACGCCGGGTGTGAGGGATAGCAACGACGGAAAAAAAACACGAACAAGAGAATGCTGGTTGTTTCGACACAACTTCAACTCATGAGTCAGCCGGAAAGTACAAGAAAACAAAAGCACAGGTAAAATGCGGCGGACACGAAATGTGTTCGCTGGTATCATATATGTCATTAATGAAATTTGCCACCACCATATTCACGCGAAATCACATACAGGGTGTCATTTAAGTTCCCGCACAACTTTGAAGACGTATATTTCTGAAACTAAAAGTCCAAATCAAACAAGACTCGAAATATTTTTTATCTATAGTATAACAAATATTTATCTATTAACTCTTTTCGATTCGGCCTCCTTTCGGAGCTATGACTTCACAGAGACGCTTCGGGTAGGATGCGACCGTGGTACGCAGATATTCGATGGAAAGATTGTCCCATTCCGCCAGTAATGTCTTCTTCAGAGCCTCTATACTTGAGTGGGGTTTTGCGTTGACCTTCTCCTGCAAGACCCCATCACGGAAAAGTCAAGCGGGTTCAGGTCTGGGGAGCAATCAGGCCATTCGGATGACTTGATGAAGTCGGGAAAATGGGTCTGGCACCACTCCTGAGTAGTTTTGGCTGTGTGGGCGAGTGCTCTGTCCCGCTGAAAGACCCATTTCTGCCCACCGAAATGCGTTTTGGCCCAGGACATCACATGCTTCCCCAAAATGTCCCGAACGTAGACTTCTTTGTTCATTTTCACCCCCTGATTCACGAAAACCAGGGGGCACTTCCCGGTTGAGCAGATGGCACCGAAAACCATCACACTGTCAGGATGTGAAGCTCGATGAATTGATACTGCTTTTCTCAGAAGCTTGCTGGGATGTCTGGGCAAGTACTCGATGGTTTTGTGAGTTGAATGCCGCCTCCACAGTGAACAGCTTCTCGTCGGAGAAGACAGTGACGAGATTTTCTCCAGACTGCGTGCGAGCAAGAAGTCGTTTTGTTTTTTGGAGGCGTCTCTGCTTGTTGACGGCCGATAGAATTGCCGCTTTTTGGACACGATATGGGGTCAGTCCAAGCTTCGTTTTGACGATTTGTTCCAAACCGAAGATGCTCATTCCCATGTCTGACGCCATCTTTCTCATGCTCCTATGGGGGTTTCGCCTGATCCTCGATTTGACGGCGTTTATCTTCTGAGGAGTGGTTACTGAGACGAGTCTTCCTTGCCTGGGACGGTCACTGGTCGTATTTAGCTCCTTGAAACGTTTGATGGTGTCGCAAACCGTTCTACGAGGCACAGCGAGGCGTTCAATGATGTCTCTCGGGCTCACATTTTGCTTATGAAGTTCGATAATGGAAGCGCAATGGATGTTAGCCTTCGCCATTTCTCGGAAACAAATCCGAATGAGGTGAAACTTGGAAAGTAAGTAAAATATACCTTATTTAACAAAAATAAATTGTATTGGTGCACGAAAAGTGCGACATACAAGCTCTTCATGGCGTCAAACTTTTGTGCGGGAACTTAAATGACACCCTGTAGAGACCATAAAGTGAAAATAATGAATCCACAGAACACCCAACCCCACAGAAATAATTTTATCTCGCGAAACCACGAAATTGAGGAGATCATATACCCAACTCGGTAAATCACAGCGGACGCCGCGCGGACATTGTACGGATGAGCACTAGCGTCAGAGCGGACGCCACTGTGATTTACCGAGCAATATCACACACGTGGACGTATTATGTGTTCACCGCATTTCACCTGTGACGGGGAAAAATTGGGGGGGGGGGGTCGATGATGATTTGAATCATTTATAGAGCGCTCGGCAGCCTTATCTTACATCAATGTTTTGGTTTTCGAAAGTACTCAATGTTGAGCAACCAAGTGTTATGATGGTGAAATGGGGTCTTATCGCGATCGACATTATGGTACTGTTCAAAAATTATAAAAGCCTACTTCTCGTGTGATTGGCGCTTTTTTTTTCAAGTATTTGTAAATTTTAATGCCAAAAAAATAGTTATTTAAAATTTCATTGAAAAAAGGGTCTGATGACGACTAATTATGGTAATTTTTGTTGAGTTACAACCCTGAGTAGATAAATTTGTGTTAGAAAACAAATTTTTCTAAAAGTATCCCTAAAATTTGAACTTGTAAACAATGCGGTAAGACACGTGATCCAGATGGCGAACACTGATGCGGGGGGGGGGGCATCGTAAACGGTTGCGTCGGCGATGAGCTCGAATCGATACATACCAGTCAGTCGTCATATACAACCACACAAAAACGTTATAAACAATTTCGTTTCGATATTATTATTATTATTATTATTGTTGCGCCTGTTTGTTTGTTGATTTAAACGACACTCGAGAATTTCAGACGATTGCGCCGACTCGCCTTGTGCGCTCAACGCCACCTGCATCGATCAGGTCAACGATTTCAAATGCGAATGTCCGAACGGGTTCACCGGCAAACGGTGCCATATCAAAGGTGCGTCTCGTTTTTTTTCTCTCATCGCCGAATTTCATTATTGTTTTTTCGTTTCCAGATGATTTGTGCGCCGATTCGCCGTGCGTCCACGGCATCTGCGTCGATCGTTTGTTCGCGCGCGAATGCATTTGCGAGCCCGGCTGGACCGGCGCCAATTGCGATCAGAATATCGATGAATGTGCTGATTCGCCGTGTCATAATGATGCCAAGTGTATTGATCAGGTAGGCGCTTCACGCGAATGCATGCCACTTTTCTTTTTTCTCAGATCAATGGATACAAATGTGAATGCGCTGAAGGTTACGAAGGAGTTCATTGTCAGCATCTCGTTGATCATTGCGCCAAATCGCCATGTCACAATAATGGTAGCCACCAATTCCACTCATTTTTTCTTTTTTTCGTCGAAATACTTTTATGTGTACTGTTTTTTTTCTAGCCACTTGCACCAACATGGGACCCACTTATCATTGCGATTGCGGCCTTGGATTCGATGGAATCCATTGTGAAATCAATGTCGATGAATGCTCGGAGAATCGGTGCGATGCGAATGGCACCGAGTCGTGTCGCGACGGCATCAACGCGTTCAATTGCGTATGCAAGCCGGGATACACTGGCGAGTTGTGCGATGTGAAGATTGATCAGTGCGCGAGCTCGCCGTGCCTCAATGACGCGCAATGCGTTGATATTGGCGCGAGTTTCAAGTGCAACTGCAAACCGGGATGGACTGGGCCAAGGTAAGAAGAAGAGAGGATGGGGGGAGGGTCATATCCAGAGATTAGACGCTAACAATCCGATGAATTTAGATGCGAGCAGGATAATGGAAGTTGCGCGTCAAAACCGTGCCGCAACAATGGCTTCTGTGTGGGTCTCGTCGGCGACTACTTCTGCGTGTGTCCGCCGGGCGTTTCCGGCAAAAATTGCGAGACGTCGCCGAATCGTTGCATCGGCGAGCCGTGCCATCACGGCGGCGTTTGCGGCGATTTCGGCGATCATCTCGAGTGCTCGTGTCCGCCGGAATTCGCCGGAAACGGTTGCGAGTTCAAGAATATGGGATGCGCGAGCGGCTCGTGCAAAAACGGCGGCTCGTGCGTCGAGAATTTGGCGATTGGCGCGAAAAAATGCGCGTGTCCCGTCGGCTTCACCGGCGAGTTTTGCGAGACGAACATTGATGAATGCGCGACGGCTCACTGTCCGGCTGGAGCCAAATGCGTCGATCAGATCAATGAGCACATCTGCGTTTGTCCGTTCAATCTCACCGGCGTCAATTGCGATAAGGTATGAGCGAAATTTTCCGCGATTTCTAGGCAATTATGCATTTTTCAGATGATCAACACCAATTATGATCTTCAATTCATGGATCCGTTCCGGCCAACGTTTGCTTCATACTACGCTCCATTCCGAATCGAATCATCGGCGATCTCGATCGGCCTCTGGGTGAAATTTGAGAAGCCGCATCAGCACGCGACGTTCTTCACACTTCATGAATTTGGCGATTCGACGCGTGAACTCGTGCGAGTCGCTTCCAATTCGGTGACGATCAACCTGTTCGACTACTTGAATCCTATCGAGATTCCGTTGTCGCCGTCGCAGCACTTGAATAATGGACGATGGAATCATTTGATGATCACGTGGCATGCGAATATGGGATCGTATTCGATAATTTGGAATTCGCTGAGGATTTACTCGAGCACTGGATACGCGGTTTCAAGGAATCTCGATGTTCAAGCGGGCATCACACTTGGATCTCGAACGACACCGTCGTTCGTTGGATCAATCACGCGGGTTAACGTCTGGAATCGGGTGATTGACTTTGAGGAGGAGCTTCCACTCATGGTTCAGCACTGTCAGCGATCCGAGGAGGTGTTCAAGGGCCTACTTGTCCGATTCGAAGGGTACAAGACGGTGGTTGGACATGTCGAAAGGAATCACAAGAGTTTGTGTGGAGTTGAAGAGAAGAAGGCGCCGTATTCGTCGGATCCGATTATTGTGGAAGACTGTCCATCGGAGATGGTGGTGTCGTCGTCGGAACGCGAGACGAACATCAGTTGGAATGAGCCGACGTTCATCGGCGTCAATCCGATCAAGAAGATTGAGAAGAACCTGAAGCAGGGCCAGATGATGACATGGGGCGAATACGATGTTCTGTACGTCGCCACGGACAACGCGACGAATCAAGCCGAGTGCAGCTTCAAAATTCGAATTGGCAAGGCGAATTGCGAGGATCTTGCGGATCCGGTCAACGGATTGCAATCATGCGAGAAGTGGGGACCCCAGCTGAAATACAAGGCGTGCTCGATTGAATGCCGAGATGGATTCGAGTTTCCGACGCCGCCGGCGATCTTCTACACGTGCGGTGCCGATGGCGAATGGAGGCCGAATAAGCATTCGATGACAATATTCAAGTATCCGCAGTGCACAAAGTAAGGGATTGATTCCGGGTTTTTGAAACGAAAAATCTTGTGTTTTAGGCATGTACCAGCGACCAAGGTGGTCCTTGTGCGGATTGTCTATGCTTCATCGCCGGCTTGCACCGAATCGTCGCGGCAAGCGTTCGTTCTCAAGGTTCAGCAGACGATAAATGCTATCGATAGCAAGTGGAAGATGTGTAGTTTGACGTAAGAAGTGGATTTTAAGCATTTGCGATTGATCGAGAATTTCAGCGATACCACCGGATGTGTTGGAACTCAAGTGCGCGTCAATTGCGACGCCGACTCGACGAGACGACGACGTGCCGACACGGCTCCATTCAACGTCGAAATCGAGATACCGGTGAAGAGGCGTCTGATTGCCGATCCGACGACAGGACGCGAGACGGCGATTCGCGATGCGCTTCATAACGAGATCACCTCGGGAGTGTTGAATTTTGAAAAGGTGCTACCGAATGGAAGGCCGGATTTGAGCACTCTTCGGATTTTGGAGCAATTCAATTGTCAAGCCGGACAGATAGTTGTTAGAGATGTTTGTGGTGAGTTTTTTTTTTCTCCTCGGTTTGAAGTAAGCATTGATTTTAGTCCCTTGCGCTCCTGGAACATATCACTCAACAGCGACCGGACAATGCGAAATGTGTCCGATTGGCGAGTATCAGCCGCTGACAGCGCGAACGGAATGCTTCAAATGTGCCAACGGGCATATTACGGCTAGCGAGGGATCGATCTCCGAAACGGAATGCAAGGACAACTGTCCGCCTGGGCATCAGTACGATTCGACAACGTCGTCGTGCGTCAAATGCGGCTACGGCTACTATCAGCCGCAAGGTGGTTCGTTTGAATGTCTCGCGTGCGGCATCGGAAAAACGACATTGTCGGATGTGGCGACCAGCGAGGACGAATGCCGCGACGAGTGTCCCGACGGGCAGCAATTGTCGTCGTCGGGAATCTGTCAGCCGTGTCAGGTGGGAACGTATCGATCGCGCGGCGAACACAAAAAGTGTGTGCCGTGTCCGCCGGGAACCACCACCGAAGGAACGGCATCGCATCGACGTGAGCAGTGCAATACGCCGAGATGCAAGCCCGGCCAGTTCTTGGTCAAAGAGACGTGAGTTTCAATTCTATTTGAATCGAAATCGAAAAAAGACACATGAACTTGTTGATGGGCGTGTCGTTGCAGGAAGAATTGTCAATTCTGCCCGCGTGGAACGTTCCAGAATGAGGAGCAAGAGACGACTTGTAAGCTGTGTCCGACGGATCACACGACGGCGGCGCAAGGTGAGAATGCCAACGCTTCGATAATCAATCGATCAATAATCGTTCAGGAGCCACCGCTGAATCGCAGTGCTACTCGACGAACCAATGCGCCACCGGCGAATACAATTGCTCGTGGCACGCGAACTGTATCGATTTGCCCGACGAGAACGATGTGCCGAGCTATGAATGTCGATGCAAGCCGGGCTATCGGGGCAACGGCACACATTGCACGGATGCTTGCAACGACTATTGTATGAACGATGGAATTTGCAAGAAGAACAATATCGGAAATGTTGAATGCATTTGCAAGGAGTACTTTAGCGGAGAGAGGTTGAATTCGTTTCAATTAATCATTATTGATCTCCGATTTGTAGATGTGAGCTCAAATTCGCGCCGAAGACCGCCAAAATGACGGTGATCGGAATGTTTGTGGGCGGTGTGGTTTTGATTCTCATCATCATCGTTGTGATCATTTTTATGATCTCGTTCCGCTTCAATCAGGTTCAGGACAATGTTGAGAAGACGTCGACGTTCGCCGAACTCTCGCCAACCAATAATAACAATATTCTTTATGGAACACCGTCGATTTGTGAGTTTGGCGGTTTTTTTTTTGGGAATGTGTTGTGTGTAGTCTAGCGGGGGGGGGGGCGGGCAGTGAGCTAGAATGCATTTGAGAGCCGTACTCGAATAATTTCAGGCGAACCACCACGAACATTCGGCTACTACTATGAGGACGACGAAGTGTATGAGACGAAATCGCGGGACGAGCGAATCGCGCCGTCGTCGCAATCCGCCGGCACCACATCGATGAGCGGCGCGATGACGCGAGCCATCGAGCAGCACAAGTATGAGCTGAGAATGCGGCAGGCTCAGCAGCACATGTACCAGCCGAATGCGGAGGAATAATTGGAAGAAACAACAAAAAAATGTTATTTGTATCTAATTTATTATTTTGAATCTCGCCACGGGTGCCCCACACAATCATTGAATGCATGTATTGCTTCTTCTTGCGACGAAGAAATGCTCTTTTTTGTACTTAAGCTTCATGTTCTTTTTTTTCATTGTAACATACCTCATTGTAATCAGTTGTCTCGTTGAAATGATAAAGAGTTGAAATATTTATTAATTATTTTTTTTTGTGTGCGTCTTCGGTTAAATTCCGGAATTGAATTTAAATTCTTGCCAGTTTTGAGAATTTTTAGAGTTCATCAGACAAAATTCGATTTCCGAATCAAACTGAGAAAATCAGAATTGTAAAATTGTAATGATATTAGGCTTAGGAACATAGTTTTTTTATTCAATTCGTTCATTTTATTCTTTTTATAAGATTCCAGATTTGGCATCGAAAAAAATGATCAAAAAACGATATTGAAAAATGTAATCTATCATCTCGAGGTCGTCATTTGTGTCTTGAAATTGAGTGGATACGATTGTAAAATTTGCCGACCGAATTCTGGTTTTGATCTTCGAGAGACCGTGTCATCTCTCGTGTAGCATAATCTGATCTCGTGTAGTCTAGCGGGTGTTGGGGGGCCACCAAACATATGATAACCACTACGAGGTATAATAAGCTTCATCTTTTTGTTACAATTGAAACGTCGTTGTGAAAATCGTGTGGCTAAGTGGTCTCGAGGCGAACGAGGCGTGTTGCGAGACCCAAGCTCTGGAAACTCAAGACCAAACGAATCCGACAAAATTCGGCTCCGGAATCAACCTTATACGATTGCAAATTTTACCGACCCAATTAATAATCTGTCGGATCCGATTCGAATTAAAAGTTATGTTTAAAACAAAACGGATTCGATTAATAACCAATCGGATCCGACAATTTTACAATATTATCCGTAGAATTTCCAATCGGATAAGATCGATTCCGGAGCCGAATTTTGTCGGATTCGTTTGGTTTTGAGTTACCAGAGAATAAAAAAGAGCAAACTGTAATTGGAATGTTAAAAGTGTTGAATTATTTATTTATTATTTATTTTGTTTGCCTCGGACATTTGCCAATGCGTTTTTTTTGGTTTTGCTCGCCTCACCGCCTCGACGCTCTTGTGAGAGAGAGCCGCTCCAACAAACAACTAGGCGGCGGCCCATCGATTGTCGCACTTTTCTTCTTTTCACTCTGGCGAATTATTTTTTCTTTTTTTTTTTTGCTCGTGGCTTGAGCTTCTCCCTCTCCGCTGTTTTTTTTTTGTGTGAAAATGCAATGGAAACATTATTAATTGGATATTTCCGTCACCCTTTCCTCCATAAATTCTCCATTTTGTTGTTGTTGTTGTTTGCTTTATTTTTCGCGAATTTTCGAGAAACTCTTGATATTTGCAGTTGAACCGACAACAAAACGCACCACACATTGGCAAGAGAAAATCGAGAAAAAGAAACGCTAAAGGTGAGCATTTTCTTTTTGGCTAAAAAAACGACAAAAAAAAGCAATGCTTAATTGCCACCCATATTTTTGAGAATTCTAACGTGTCACATGGCAAAAGCTTAAAGGTCAGAATAGTAGAAAAGTAGGAAATTTGAAGAATTCAATAGTTGAAGTTATCTCGAGCAATTCATGCCCCACCTAGAGTATTAAATCGAATTTTTTTTGTCGACCCCTACGATGATCAAAAAGTTGGCAGAATGACGCGATGATAACAAACACTTGACCTTGGACAATAAAATCGATTTGGTGTTCATTAATCATCCGGCATCACGTTTTTTGTCGGTTGTTTTTTCTGCTTCTCTCTCTCTCTCTCACTGTGTTTCGAGAAGAAACAAGATGGACCCCTGAGGGTGGTTGGCAAAATTCCAACAAAAAAAAAAAAACACTCACACACGTCTCTACGTCTCTGACGTCTCGCCGCCGTCGTCGTCGTCGGCCTCCTCCTGCAACACTTTTGATGACGAACCACAACTGCCCTCTCCATTATATTTTTTCGGGATTCGTGTTGCTCGGCAACAACGCCGATTTTGATATGATTGTCGCCACGCCTCCCATCGCTCAGCACTTCTTTTCTTTTTCTTTTTTTTTTGTTGTTTGAACTGAACTTCCACTGATTTGATCTATGGCATTGGCTTAATTCCGAGATCCCGTTGTTTGTGAAAAAAAACATTTTTTTTTATTACACTCTCAAAAAACACGAGCGCCGATAAATTCCCCCACGATTTATTTTTTCAATTCAAATTTTGAATAACCGCCACCAAAAAAACGCAGTCTGTGATGACTCATACGCAAAATTGCACACATTGAATAATTTCGAATGAATTTAATATTATCAAATTTTCAAAAAAAAAAAAAAAACAATCGTGCGATTTTTTACTTGAACTTTATTTTTCTGAAATCCCAAAAAAAGATGTTTCCATTTTTTTCTTCAAATTTCAAGCTCTTTTGTTTTTCGTCTCTGAAAATCACCTTTATTTGGTTTCCTACATTTTAGATATAAATTTCAAATTTCTTCTACATAATTGTTGTTGATGATTGTATGTTTTCTTAATCTTTGAATTCTTATTCCTTTTTTTCGTGGTGGTTTATAGAATTTCGAAGATTTTCACCTTTCCCACCCACCCAGCGCCCCCCCAAAAAAAAAATTAGATCCGCAAATTTGCGTCACGGTGTTTCACATTTGAAAATCTCAAGAGGAGAGGGCGGGAGACTCAAACCGAATTAATGAAAATCCGGTGTGTTTCCAAAAACAACAATCAATTATTCGGGCTCAACGGAACAAAACCCAACCCAAACACGTCATCATCGTTGCACTTTTTGTCTCTTATCTCGCGTTGCTCTCATTCTCAATCATTTTGTCTGTCTGGCGCGAAATTAAAATCGCATTATTTTCATACTTGTTAGTAGTTTCCCATCAAGGCCAAACATCAAACTCGCACCAAACAACAACAACAACAAAATGATGTTTGTTCAGTGCATTCTACCTCGCAAATTCTTCATTTCGCTTCGAGACCCTCACCGCATTTGAGAATATTTATTTATTTTTGTTGATATTCTAGAAAAAATATTTTAAGCGAAAACGTCCGCAGATGGATTATAGCCAACAGAAAAATGGGGGAATTTTTTTGCAAATAATGATTGGTCTTAAAATTCAGCAGCGAAAAGCAAATTTTTTGTTTTTTTTTCGACCCCCTCGAAAATTTCCAAGCTTTCGACGCGATCTAATCAGAGCTTGAAAGAAACGCTTTGGGGTGGGGATTAGTGATATCGAGAAACTCATTATAAACTCTCGACAACAATTATTGGAGAGCCGAAAATTGAAGCTTAGAACTCGATATAATGAAAATGGACTCTCGTCTCGTCTTCGCCGCAAAAGGAGCGCGGGTTATCAACGAGCCACCGAAAGGCGGTGCCAGGCGCTCGAAAAGAGTGCAAGCGTCCAGATTGAGGAGCCAAGGCGTTTTTTTTCGGTTCCACTCGAGACCTTCTCATTTTCCTTTTCTTGGTTCGTTTTTTTTTGTTGTTGCTGTTGTCACCCACCTCCCGTCCTTCAAGTAGAAGAAGAAAAAGAAGAAGGTAAGTGCGATTGAATCGATGTCTCGCGGCCCTCCGACGACGGTCATCCATCATGCAGACCATCGGCCTTGAATCTCGTCGTCCACCGTCAATCGCATTTCTTCGGTGTGCGAAATTTTTCGATTCTTATCGTGTGGCGTTTCTATTTTTTTTTTGGGATTCATCGACAAATTTCGACGGACCACCCGGCCACGCCCACACGCCTCCTCAACCAATCTCAATTTACCCCCTCCTCCTGCTGATGCAGAAGCCTTCTTGAATTATTTGCAACGTTCTCGCCTCGTGTCCCATTGTTTCGCCATCTCGGAGCATTCCTCGAGCACTATCCATTTCTTTCTTTTTTTTTCGTCTTCTTCAAATTATTATACCATCGAGAGAATCGTTGGACACCTCAAAAACATGTATATGAAATGGGCTATGCTTTTAGAATTGATATTAAGAAGCATGGGCGGAGCCCTAGAAAATTTTGCTGAAAATTTGCGGTTCCCAACCACCTCAAATTTATTGCGATTAATGGGCGGACCTCAAATTGTTGTTTATCAGTTTAATCGGACGGTCGTCTTCGCCTCGCCGTCGTCGTCCTCCTCTTCCATCTTCGTCGTTGTCGTCGTCAGTCGCCGTATCATTTTCAATTGACGCGCACACCGTTGAATGTAATTGCATTTATTTCTTCCCCTCTCTCTCTCTCTCTCTCTCTCTCTCTCTCTCTCTCTCTTATCAATTCCGTCCGTCGCGATCCATTACCACCCAAAAAATTTCCATTTTTATCGACGAATCACCATTGCAATCAATTCATTCATTTTTTGTTTTGTTTTGTTTTCGTCGTTGCCCTAAATGGCGAGGCCTTGACGGATCTTGTTGCTCGCACCGAACCGAAATCGAGAAATGATATCATTGGGATGAGCTTGTGTGAGTCAGACGACTCATCGGGAACCAGACAACCGAATTGTGGGAAATTCTCAACCCCTTCCTTCAGCTCCTCCCCCCCCCCCCTGGCGAGCAGGTGCTCGCCATGTGATTTTTTTCTCGCCCAATTGTTTTCGAACTTCGCCCGACATTTTCACCTGCTAATCAACGCCATCGATTTTTTCTTTGTTGATTTTGGCGCCCATTTTTGGCGAATAGGATTTTTCTAATAAAACGCACTGCAGCCATTAATTTTTTTTTGAAGGTGGGGGCCTTAATATCTAAAATACGTGTGAATCACTTTTTTGTTTTTCCAAGTTTGAGAAAAATTTAGAATTTGCAATTTTCTATCCATTTTGGGTATTCTGCTTTGTGTTTTCGTTTTTAGATTTTTTGAAAAAAAAAAACGCACTGCAGCCATTGTCAGTGATTCCCCAAAAAGCATCGGTTTCAATTTGTGACAACTCTGAAGCTAAGAAAAATTGCCCATTTCTCGATGTTGCCGATTTTTCGTTGAAAAATTGGATGAAATTTCTTGAGAAAACGCACTGCAGCCATTGGTTCAATTTTTGGCGAACACATGGCCAAAATTGAAGTTTTTCTCGAATTTTCTCGACGCGTGTGGCCGTCCACTCATCGTCCATTCCAAGGCCATCATCATCCACGCCCACCTTTAAGTGATCTCTGAATTATATTTTCAACGGCACCCGGCCGAAAAAAAAGCAATTTTTTGAAGTCAGCTGGCGTGCCACAATTTTTTTGCCAAGGAAACCCCAATGAAAAACTTGTTAAAACTTGCTTATCTAGGCGATTCGCACTTTTTCCTTTTTCGCGTATCGCGCGCGCTGCATGTGTGTGTTTATAATCGGTGGGCCCACTTGATGAAATCTGATATGGTCCGCTGAAAAATGTTTATTTTTAAAAATTTTTTGATTTCAAACAATTTTTCGGGATCGTTTCTCATCGAATCGACAAAATCTTTTGGCCAAATTTTTGCAATCCCACTCAGCCTATCAAAATACCTCAATTTTGCAGAAATTAGCCAAACTAACGAGTTTCGCCCAAAAATTATATGGCTAATTTCAATAAGTCCACTATTTCATGCATATCGACGCTCGAATTCGTCAAACACCCGCGAGGTGTCCGCAGATCGGCAAGCTTGTTACGAGTGATCATTTTAAACTATTTCAATATTTCTATTTTTTTTTAATGTTTGCCTATGGGTCTTAAGACTGCGTACATTGCATTATAGCGAACGCGCATTTAATATGCAGTCAACGATAAATTTGATCTACACTGATTTCGCGAATTTGAGAGTCAGACAATTCGCGTGGCGTAAGCCACGCCCACCGAGAAAGCCACACCCCCTAAAAACAATAAACAAATAATAGGTTGGAGGGGTTCAAACGCCCCTTATCTCTTGGCCGAATCGAATCGACAAAAATTTTCGGTGTTTTTTTTTATTTCGCGCGCGTGTCTCAATCTCTTACCGATCGTCGTCTCCGCGATTCGAGCGCTGATTCCGAGGTCGTCACGTCGCCGCTTCCCTCCCGTCGTCGACCTATCGCTTTCTGACTCTCTCGCTCAAACTCAATTCCTCCCACCACCAAAAAATTGTCTCTGTTGATTTTTCAACCGTCAGCCGAGAGACAAAAATTTCGAAAAAATTTTTTCTCCACGTTCTCGCTATCATCTCTCTCTCTCTCTCTCTTTCTCTCTCTCTTCCACTCGCTCAACTCTCGCGGGGTCGCTGGTGGCACTACTCGCTTGTGTGTATGTTTCTATCTTCTCATCACACGTTCCCGACCCCCCTTTACCATCAATACACAAACCGACCCCCCCCCCTCTACCGCTTCCCTTCCAATCAACCAATAGACTGCCGCCTCTTCTTTAACCGTTTTGGCTTTATCGATCACCTCCCACCCCCTGCGTGTGTGTGTGTGCCATGATCAATGGACTCGAAGCTCCTTCAACATTAAAGGTGCATCGCGTCGAGACCGCCATCTCATATCACTTGACTCAACATTTGTTTCATTGAGGAAAAGTTGGTTCCCTTCGAGACCTAGCCATTCGATTTTCGATGTCAATGGAATTTCGAAAATATGTTTGTTTCAAAAAAAAAAACACGTCATAATCTAACCTAATTTGTGTTTCTTCTTGCTCCCCCCCCCCTTCTTTTTTTTTTCATTTCTTTTTTTTTTCTCATTTTGGCACTTCTTTTACTCTAAACAAAACAAAAACCGCAAATACCGTTTTTGGCAGATTTTCTAGTGCAAAAAACGCGCAACGAAACCGAAATTGTACAACCCGAAAACAAGCGCGCAAGCCCCGAAAGAAACGCGAATGATTCGTGGTCTGAACTCGCCGGGTGGCATCGGACTCCCCAACAATCGAGGCGCCGGAATCGGAATGGCCCAACCGGCGCCGCAACAACAACAACAATTCTATGACGACGAGCCGTATCAGGCGAACGCCTCGCAACTTAGATTCAAGACCAATGTAAGAAGCGTGCGGAGAACCAAAAATTGACTCTTTTTTTTTTTAAAGAGATTTTTGGTTTTTCGAAAAAAAAAAACACATTTTGATCATTCAAAAAAATTTTTTTCCCATATTTGTCATAGTACAAAAAATTTGAGAAATTGTCCCAACTCGCATATAATTCCGATTTGGTTCGGCATAGTTTAGATAGACCTTGAAAATGTTGTCTCGTCGCGACATTTACGATTTCAATCAAAAAAAAAAAAGAACTCATCACATGATTTCGATTATTTTTTTTCTCTCGTCGTTCTTGTTTCTAAATATAGAATTTCATCATGCCTGTTCTCTGATATCGCCAAAAATATGTAGCATCGCATTTCTATTTTTTGAATAATTCGAAACCAAAAAGAAATTGGCGTTGATAACAAAATTCTAGTCGTCAATTGATCAAACAATGAAACGATCAAAAATTAGGCCACGGCCACCGGTCGCCGTCTCTCCGTAAAAGGGCAACACGCGAATCCGATCGATGCGAGAAATGAGAGAAACGCGAAATATTTTTGTTTTGTAACAATTGATGATATCGAGGCCGACGGCGGCGAAGGGTCAGGTGCTGGCCTGAATCGATGACGCACCCGTTCGCCAATCGACTAATTTATCAATTTTTGTCGATGGGCCCAACAATTCGTATTTTGTCGAGTTGTAGAAGCTTCGCGACAACAGAAAACATTTTCTTTTTGAAAAAAAAAAAAAATATAATTTCCTAAAAATTTTTCACTTTGTCTCGATTTTTCCCCCTAAAAAAAATTGCGATCTGATGACACAATTTTTGTGAGAAATTTCGAAAATTTGCCGCTCGCCAAAAATTGCCCGAAATTACCAACGCCGGTGGTCTAAAAAAAGATGTTTGAATAAATATTGGTCGAGCATTTAAGCGATTTGTTTGTTTGCTCATCGATTATTGCTCATACTACGATGAGATCATTAACTCATTTTTGGGGGCTAACAGATTTTTGAAAACAAGGAAAACGAAACGATAAAAACGGTTTATGGCAGCACGAGACGAAATAATACCATTTATGGTATTGTTCGGATCATATAAATAAATATTATTCATTTCCTTCCTTGTTGATCAAGAAAAATCAATCGATGAAGCAATTTTGATATATTTCAGATGGAACGTCGCGAGACGGGCAATCTAATACCATTCTCGCAGCGATCGCTTGGTGGCGCCGGTGTGACGCCATTCGGCTCGGCGCCGGCGCAAAGCTTCTTCGGCTCCGGACTGCCGATGAACAACACGTCGAGCCCGCGCAAAATGCAATCGCAACAGCAGATGATATTCGGCGGCGGAATTCCGCAGGTTCGTCCATTGTTTTCATTTTCTTTTTTTTTTCGCCGCTTTGGCTCGCTTTCAATTCCTATCAGCCGGTCGGACAGCCAACATTAATAGATGTGTCACGTGGTCGGATTGTGTGTTTTCGAAAACACGTTCAAAATTGGCAACATTATCGTTTGGCTAACAAAAAAAAATGAACATAATTGCCGTCCGCTGGAGGTCTTGGCCGGAAGTTGGCGGCCAATCTGAACCTGAAAAATATAAGCGTTTATTTTATTTCATCATTTTTTTTTGATAAGACTACTAAATGTCAGCTGATTTTGACCCAGGTTTCTCGACACGAATCGCTTCTTGTTGAGGGGCCGAGAAGTTTTGTTTGTTTACCTGGACACGCGCCAAGTTTTCGTCGTCTGGCCTGGCGCCAACATGACGGCATTTTTATTGATAGAAAACTTGGGGGCTTCTTAACACTATTTCGAAAACGTTGATTTATTATGATTTTTTAATATGTATAGATAGTGAGGGTTGTATGAAATTTATTGTTGCGAGAAGATTCCTCTTCCTCATTGCGATGATGACACAATGTCTAGAAATGGAGAAAAAAAATTTGATACGTCCAAAATTGATGTGTGATTCGTTGATCGTTGAATCGGGCGAATTTGACGACCTTCTGGATTATTCGCATTTAGTTTTATCAATGGGGGGTTTTTTGGGCCAACGTACACAATTCCATTGGTTTTCCGCACTTTGGCACTAGGGCAGCTGATCTAAAAGTTCGCATGCCGTTGTTTGTTGTGACGGACGCTTTTTTCCTGAAAAACAAGCGATGAGGATTGATGTGAAAATCGGCTTTTTGGGGGAATTCAACAAAAGCAGAAGAAATTCAAAAAAAAAAAAAAGATTTATGTGATTACGGTATGTCGGTCCGCAATTGCGTACCGCCTACCGTAACCGCAATTTCAAAAAACAAGTACGCTTCGAATTTTTTCGCTTCATTTTCCCCTTCCATTTCTCATTAATTCTGACGTTTGGAAGCAAATAATTGGCTGAAAAACAAAATTTGCATTTATTATTTGCCTCGTTATTTTGCGCTAAAGTGATCCGGAAACGCATGGAACGCGAAAAAAAAAACAACAATTTTGTTTTTTTTGCGACGCGCGCCAAAAAAAGTCAACAACCGTCGGAAAAAAATTCCATTTTGATTACGAAACCAATATGTTTCGATTTTCGTTTCAAAACAACAATTTTCCGCAAATAAAAAAATCGCGTTGTTTTTGTTATTTGAATCCAATTTCGCCGACATTTTGCCTATCGATTTCCAACCTGTGTCGTCTTTTGAGAGCGGCCTTCGCGTCCATAAATAAACAAAATTGTTGTTGTTGTTGTTGTTTATCGGCGTCATTCCTGTTTCACGACTCTTTGAGCACCACGATTTGTTTTTGTTGTGTATTTTCCCTCTATATCACTTGCAGTCGCCTTCGACGAAGATGAAGCTTCCAGCGTCCGTCGTATAGATTTGGTGCTGATTTCGAGTCGTTTCGAGACATTTCTCCATAAAATTTCTTCCTCTTTTGCCGATTTTTACGACCTACAAGACGCTAGTTGTCGTAAAAGAGGCACTGCGTTCGCGCGCGCGTCCGTGGACCACCATAAAATACTTTTTACAAGCCGCCCTCTAAATCATCGTGAAAAAGAGCCCCCCCCCCTTCGGTCTTTCCACTCTTCCAATTTTCGTCTCAAATTGCTCTCAACCGCCCGTTTTTGGCTGGGCCGGTAATAATAACGCGCCGCGCGCGGGAGGGCAGCTGCCATATGCATTATTTGAACTAAAAGCGAAATTGAATAATAATAAGTGATGTCTGTGGGTTTAAAAGATGCATTACACCGACTTGTGGCCACAAAATGGCCAGGCGTCGATCTTTTCATCTACATCCCATTAGGTGTCCTTGTCCCTTTTTTTTCCGTGGCAACCCAAGTGCATCGCGCACATGAATGAACCGTCCATTTGGTTGTAGTTAATAAATTGTACACGACACCTAGTTTTGAGTGAGGCCACGCCCACGAATTGCCCGGAGAATTTATGATTTCAATGGTTCTCAATGGACCATTAAGATATTTGCTTTTGTCACAAATCGGGTCTCCTCTAGCGCGATTCGAACGAATTTTTTTGAGAAAAGAGTGTCGGACGGCTCGCAATTTTCTTTCTGTCGAATGAAAAAAAAATTTTTTTTTTGTTCGTTGGCGGGCCTGCGTTCGCCCGCTTCGCTCTGCCTGCCAGCTGATACATTTGCGACCATTTATTGATTGTTTCCCTCGCTCGCCAGCCCCTTCCCCTCCTCTTCCCATCCTTCTTCATCATCATCATCATCCTCGTTCTCTTCTTCACATCATTTTCATATTAGTGTGTTTGTTGCCAAAGTTGACAAAACCAAATGACGGATTTGTATACATTTCTATATACAAAAGCGATGTTTGGAAAAATGTATAAATATTGGCACAAATGCTGTTTGGCCGCTAGCGGTGGGTCTCGCCTGGAAATTCGCTTCTCTCACTGTCTGCGCCACATTTTTCGTTGTTTTTTTTTCGCCCGTCTGAAAAGAATTTTTTTTCGTGTCGCTGTTGGCGTGCCGTCGCGTTTAATTGTGTCAGCGAGTGCCCCCCTTCCAAAAATTTATTGATTCATTTTTTTTCCACGACGACTTTGAACGCAACTACATGACCGGTTTTTTTTTTGGTGATATTTGACCAATTTTTTTTTGAGAGAGAGGGGGGTTTCAAATTTGAGTGTCTTTATGTTTCGCTTGTTGGCTGAAAATCATTTGGAGTAGCTAAAATCGCATTTTTTTTCCAAGTTGAATTTTCAAAATCATTGCGAATTTCGCTTCCTTCTGTTGATGTTGGCCTCGAACGGCGTCCGCAGCAAGCGGCGCCGGCTTCAAATCGATGCCGCCGTTTTTGGCGAATGTCTCTGTGTGTCGTTTTCGAAATTCGAAATTCATAAAACGCGACGGCGCGGAAACGACAACACCGCGGGTCCTCGTCTGGATTTTGTCCTCAACCCACACCCATACATACACCCGCCGCTTCTGTTGTTGTTGCACCAATTGCACCCCGTCGCCAACCGCCCTCAACCGATAATTGGTCGACGTATGTCAATTGTGAATGCGTGTATGTATGTGTACGCTGTTACGGTTTTTGGCTTCGCTAATCGGCGGCCCTCATAATTTTTTTTTCTGTGTACAAATTTCCATTCATTGGATGTCACGACATGATGCTGCGGACAATTTTAGGGAATTTTACGAAGGGGTCTGAAAAATCGACATGAAATTCTCCAATGAATTTCTTCTTATCATTCGGCGAATTTCGATTTTCTCGAGTTTTTAGAAGATTTTGATTCTCATGATCGAAATATTGATTTTTTTTTGGTGTTTTCAAACATTTTTTTCAATTTTCTTTCCAAATTCTGATGATCGCAAAGTTTTCAGAAATTAAAAAAGTTTATTTTTCTATTCGAATTTCGATGTTTTAGAATTTTTTCGACGCTTTCAAAATATGTTTTAAAAATTTCTTCACAATTCTTATGATCGGAATGTCGATTTTTTAGATTTTGGTCCAGATTCTGATAATCAGAATAATTGAGAATGAGCAAATTGAAATTTTCAAGTCTCCAATGCGGTTTCGTGCTGAAAATTTCAGCGAAACGAAAATTGTTGATTTTTTGTTCTTCCAAAATATATTCGTTTCGAGATGTGGTTTGAAAGTGAAACATCCTTGTCTCATCGATGGGCATCCAACCATCTCTCTCTCTCTCTCTCTCTCTGTTTCAATTCGACGACGTCTTCCACACTTTCCGAATCAATGTTACCTTCGAACCTTTTCTGGTTGGCATCGCTTTTGGGGGGAAAATGGTGGAGACGAGGGAAAATGTGCGCGAAAAGCGGGGCGGCAGCCAGTTGTAAATTGTACGTGATACTGTCTCATCCATCCGTCGTCTTTAACGCACTCTCGTTCGAAATATACACAAACATATATACACACACACTACACACACCCTTAGCCAGACACCCAATGTGTACGTACGAATTTGTATAAGCATTATAAGCTTTTTCCTGTGTTCAAGTGTTATTTTTTTTTTTTTGAATTTGCCGACTGCCGACGAAAATTGAAATGTTTTAAGAGGCTATTCGCGAAAATTGATTCATTTGCATTCTTTTTAACAATATTGTCTTTTTGGTGCCTTTACCATAGAAAAAATAGTTTTAAACGAAAATTTTCCCCCAGCAAAACATCGAATTCCGGGTTTTGATGGTGATGGGGGTCCGAAATTGCGCATGCAAATCAATCTTTGTCTTGTCGGTCGCCAGCAGCACATTGATCGATTGTCATTCCGACGACAATTGTCCAAATAAGGCGAATTTGAGGAAAAACGGACTTGAAAAAAAATGAGGGATGAAATTGATAAGAAATGTCGGCGAAATTTGTTGTTTCAATTTAGTTTGATGAAAAAATAAGCTATAAAATTGCTGAAAATCATTGACGTTTCGACCGGAAAAGAAATGCCAATGGTCCGTAATGCGTTTTAGATTTTCAGGAATTAAAATTATCAGTTTTTTCCATTTCAGTTTTTTTTTTAACAAAACCAAAAAACTAATAGCTTCTTTTGCTAGTATCCAATATTTTCTCTTCGAAATACACGAAAATACCGTAATTTTTCTGCATTTGTGCGTCCGCACTTAAAAAGATTTCCATCTTGAACAAATCTGAATGAGTGCCGTTTGCTGTTTGACCATTAAAGGAGACTTGAGGTGTGGTCACCGATTATTATTGTGTGATCCTGTAATTCAATATTGGTGGGCAAGACGGGGCGTGAGGTGCGTATATAATATATAATATATATATATGCGTATATGCGTATGTGTGTATATGCACCCAAACACGAAATGGGCGAGTACAAATACGGGGCACACAACGGCTCCTCGTCGGCTCCTCCACTCGTCCCATATGCTCGTCATTTTGCCGTCTTTTCCACCGATTTTCTTTTCGTCAACAATTATGGTTGTTTGTGTGTGCCTTTAATATTCGCCATGGGACCTTGTTTTATTTTAATTGACTCACCGTTAGCGGTTTTTTAAAAAATTTCGTTTTGTCTTAAAAATCGATATTTTGACATTTTCAATTTAGGAAAATTCGCCGAGACTTGTTATCAAGGTTTTTTTTGGGGGTTTTCTTATTTGCGATTTTTTTTTCGTTTTCAGTCCGGTTTTTTCCCAAAAACAATTTTCTTCTTCTTCTTGCCGATGCGCCTTTAAACAATATGTTGTTCGACGAAATTGAGTTAGACGCGATGAGAATGCGCCTTTAAATTGAATCATCATTCATCGAGTTGTGTGGTTCGCCAAATTTGGCCAAAAATTGATTATTAAATATGTAGAAGTGGTCCCGAAACGACTATTACTGTAGCGTGTCTTGAAGCGAAAACGTTCGGCACATTTTAAAAATAAAAATCGATTCAATGATTACTGTAGGTGTTTGTTGCTCTAGGGCAGATTACTGTAGATAATGGAATCCGATAAGGAGCGAAAGTGCCAATTTGGTTTTCTATCGATCCCAGTTAATTGGTTTCGTTTTGTCCTTCCCCTCCCTCCCTCCCTTCCCCCCCCCCCTTCCCCCCGGCATCGATTCTTCCTTATCGCTGCCTTCCAATCAAGTTTATAGATCTCTTCCCTCCCTCTCAATTTCATTACTCTTCGTTTTTTCCCCTAAATGGACCGTTTTCAGTTCGACGGACGGATAACATCGTCGTTTTTAGCAGTGTACTATTAGTAGTTGCCAAATTACCGGTTTTCGGTTCCAAATTTTGTCGGCCTTGTGAGGGGGGGGACCGAATCGATCAATATCGTTATCTTCATCATTAAATTTGTAATCGAGTTCCATTTTTTTATTATTTTCAATTTGATATGGCAAATGAGGAATGTTCGAGAATGATGCCCCCTTCCAAAATACTCACTTGAGAGCAAATGGGTTTTTTTTTTGCTGAAAATTGCCAATTAAGAGATGCTTAATTCGAGATAAGGCACCCATATGGCGAGAGAGGGGTGTGAAGATGGTGAAGTTTTGGTGGAAAAGAGACGGGGGCATCGCTAATCTCTTTTTATTCCTCTCTTCTCTCTCTCCTCTCCTCTTTCTCTCTCATCAGCTTCTTCTTCTTCTTCTTCCTCTTCGTACCACCAGTTAGCAACAACAACAACAACAACAGCAAGCAGTAGTTTGCATCTTTTGTTGTTGTCGTTTTTTTTTTTTATTATTGATTTTTATGCGCCTTTAAAGTAAAAACGAAACGACTTTTAGATTGATCTACCTCCTCCTCCCACTCTTCCTCGTGTGTATTTGGAACAGCTCTTTTTATTTTCCTCTTTGCGACGGGTCCTGACAGCACGGAACAAAAAATTATCTTCCCCTTAAATGATGGGTAGTAATGCACATGAGCCGGTCTCGGTGGTCGTCCAACAACAGCAGAATCAGCCGAACGCGGCGAGTCATCGCGCGATTCATCGTCGCGGTGCTCCCGTCCGCCGACGGATAATGTCGACGCCGGCGAAATGGTCGGCCGGCGACGAGCAGCCGCGCAAAGTCTACAGCTATGTGACGGTGACGCGCGTCGGCGAGAAGACGCCGTCGCCGCCGCTCATCAAGACGACGACGACATCGCCGGCGGCGACGGTGAAGCGGGCGACGACCGGCGGACCCTATCGGCCGGTGACGATTCGAAAGTTTGTTGAAAAGGTTTGGCGGGTGTGTATGGTCCGGTCCGACTGGCTGAAAATCGCGAGAAAAAACAAATGCATTTTTTTTCAATTGATTTTTTATTTTGAAGAAAATTATTATTCGATGATTTCAGCAGCGCAACTCACCGCCGTCGGACGGAAGCGACAAAATTCGGCGATTCGGCGAAAGCCCGACGAATGGCTCCTTTAACAATGACGTAGGTCCCTTTATTTTTTTTTCCTCGTTTCAGCAAGTCTCGCTGTGGTTTTTTTTTCTTGAAATTTCGTTGAATGTATTCTGACGAGACTATGCACCTTTAAAAACAAATGAAGCATGCGCGTGTGTTTATCAGGGCTGTGCGGCAATTTTGGCAATTTTCGGAAAAATAATTTTATAAACATGATATTCATGGAATTTCACATAAAATTTCAAATGTTTTATTCTGAAAAATTTTAATTCAATTACCAAATTGAAGGTTAGGTTTTTTTTAAACAAATTGCCAACAAATTATGCACAGCAGCCCTGATGTGTATGGTTTTTTTTTTGAAAAATACCAACATTTTCGTTTCACTATGCTCCTTTAAATTACTGTAGAGCAAAATTGCCGACTCGAAACGAAAATGTTGGAATCGCATGAATAGAATTGAAAGCATGTTGTGTCTGGAATGCGATTTTTTTTCGGGTGTCGTTGGGTCCTGTGGTTTTCTTTTGGTTGCACGCCTGCCTGCCTGCTTGCTCGCTCGTCGTCACATCGTTTTTTTTTCTTTTATTTCAAATTGCACGCCAGCAAACACCGTTTTATTGATTGTTTCTTTTCTCTTGCTAGCCTAATTTTAGTTTTTTTTTCTTATATTTGAAAAACGAATTGGCTTATTGTCATCACACGCTGGTTTTCTTGCAGCTGGATGAGTTTATAATTGACGACATCCTCGGTTGGGATGATGAGCAGCAGCGGCGAACGAGCGGAAGCAACGGCACCCGACCAGTTAGCGCGATTATTTTCTTATTCCTCATCACTCGTGATTTCAACGTTTTTTTTTTCATTTCATTTCATTTCTATTGATAGACATTTATTTTTCCTCTCGAAAATCTCTTGACACCGCATTTGTTTTTCAGATGTCCGTTGGATTGTCGAACGAAACGAAGCCGTTGAGCCAGATGTCGATGGCTCGTCCGATTCCGGGATCGTCGCGCGGTTCCGGACACTCGGGAAGCCCGATTGGAATTCCGAACGCGATTAGCAACAATTTTAGACATGTAAGTGATTTTCGCCGAGATTTTTTTTTCTTTCAATTCGTTTTTCTTCATGCTCCTTTGATAACGATAATCGAGAGTTTGTCCCCTCTCTTTGTTTTGCCCATCAAAAATTTCATTCCAGACAAGACCTCTTTCTTAAAGGCGCATTGCAATTTGATGATTCAACGAGAAATAGAGAGAGATGATTGTTTTTTTTCCAGGTGGTTTCAAGCTCAGCGCCGACCAGCTCGATTGACGTTGAGAAGATGATGGGAGTGACGAATGGCTCATCCGGCGATGGGGAAGAATACTATCGGGATCGAAGGAAGAAGGATATTCATAATATGAGTGAGTCGCCGAGCAACATTCCATTGTATTTGTTGTTCTTTTCAGTTGAGCGACGCCGCCGATACAATATCAATGATCGCATCAAAGAGCTCGGACAAATGCTGCCGAAAGCGTCGGCCGAGTATGTCGTCGACATCGTCGACACTCGTCGTCTGACCGAGAAACCTCATAGAATTTGCAGAGACATGAAATTGAACAAGGGCACAATTCTGAAGGCGTCGTGCGACTACATTCGAACACTTCAGAAGGACCGCGAGATGATGATGAAACAGCATCAGAACGCGAAGTCGCTCGAAACGGCGGCGAAACAGTACGCGGATCGCGTCAAAGAATTGGAGGAGATGCTCGCGCGACAGGGTGTCCAGGTGCCGCCGTCGCAATTGCCGCCGATACCGCGATTATTGGATCGGCCGATAAAACAGGAGATTGAGGAGAACCCGTCGCCGCCGACGCAGACGCCAACGGGATCGTTTATTGTGAGTCCAGTGTTTTTCTTTTTTTTTTTTTTGAAATAAGAGGACATCTGAAAAAAAATTTGGCGGAATTCCCCGAAGACATTGAATGTCGCAATTTTGACGCGAATTCTTTTTTTTCTTCAGTCGACGTCCGGTTTTCTGTCGGAGGTGACGAACAACACGGCCGCGATGCAAATCGCTTCACCGCACGGCGACAATCGAGGCAACGGCGCGTTTTCGGCGCAATCGGACAGCTTCTTCTCGGTTGGCTCGGCGAGCCCGCCGGATTATAGTAAGATTGTCTTGTAGACATTTAATTTTTGAATTGCGTTGTCTCTAGGGACCAATTGGAAAATGCAGCAGCACAACAACTTTCCTGATTTGATGATGGATGATATTAATAATATGACGGTAAGTCGCTGTAAAGAAAAAACTGCAATTTAAAATATGCGAACAAATTTTGAGAAAATTGAGAAAAAATTTTCCGGTGTCTTCAAAAAAAATGTGAATTTTCTGATTTGTAGAAGTTGGAAATTTTGAAATTATCATTTCTTTTTCGTTGAAAAAATACGATCAATAACAAATTTGGAATTTAAAAGAAAAGAGAACATCTTTTAGAAAAACTCAATAGTAGTGCTGAAAATTGAAAAATTGCAATTGCAGGGCAACGGCCTTCTGAACGGCGCCGATCCGCTGATTTCGGCCGCCGGCGCGCATCCGTCGCCGCATTTCGGCCAATCGCAAATGTCGCCCGACATCCAATGGGACGCGTCGGGCTTCTCGCCGGAGCCGACGAACGGCCAACAATCGGGCAACAACGGCTACAATCAGATGGACTACTCGTAAATCGGCGCGATTCGATCCGAAAGCGGACCACCCTGTACATAATCGTGTTTTTGTTTTGTTTTCTCGGCTCGTCTATCCATATTCTATCAATTCAATTGTGATTGAATGACGCACACTTTGTCTCCGCGATTCGTTTTTTTTCCCGACCCAAACAATTTTGTACAGTTTCTGTTTTTTTTGTCGGTATATATATTTTTCCTCCAATCCATATTTAGGCAAGACACACACACAACACAACAATCAATGGGCGGGTGGTGATTTTCTCTCTCTCTCTCACTTTTATTATTATAATGTTTTTTTTCGTCCCCTTCTTTCTTATTTTTTTGGTGATATTCAGGAATTGTTCGTTTTTTCTCTCTCTCTCTCTCATACTGTCGATACTAGAAACTTTCTTCTTGTGCTCTTTTTTTTTGTCGGCCTCCCCCCCCGTTTTAGACACTGAAATGATTCGTGAAAACACATTTTGAAAATGATTCGCTTCTTTTTTTTTTTTCCGTCGGCCCATTCGACATCTTGCTGAAATTGTAAGTAATTTATGTACATAACTGTTTTGTTTTTATTTTTTTTCTCTCCGTCTCTCCCTCTCCTCTGTCCTCTATTTTTTTTTTCTGAACTTCACTAATAAAACTCGAAATACTCCCACCCATTTGATTAAATTTTGTTGCGATGGAGCGCAATTGCTTCGTTCTTTTTTGTTCGTCCGTGTTTGGAGGGGCTATTTGAATTTTTTTTTTTGAAGGCATTTTTGAGAAATTTTGAAAATGACTAATTTATCATTATTTTCGAATAAATTGATAGAATTTCAAGAATTGCCTGGAAAAGTTTTAAGCATTATTGAAATTTAAAAATGAATGGCTATGCGCCTTTAAAGAGTTTGTGCCGTGAAGGCTTGTGTGATGCAGTGCGTTTTACATTTAAAAAGCCGCCCATGTTTTTGGGTGTAACTTTGTCAAAATTAATAATGCAAGTTTTCAGGTGCGAAGAAATCCTTCGATTCGACCATCCAGTGATTTTTAAGGAATCGATGGTAGCCTTTTTGGCATCGGTGTGCAAAAATCCCCGGGACATGTTCAAATTTAGGTTAAAACACAAGGAAAATAAAGAAAAATATCTTGCAGTATTCTATTTATAACTACACTGCTCAGTTTTCTTCAGGTCTCCACATTTTCAGACCTTTCAAGGAGGTGGCTTTATAAATGTGAAAGTGACCAATTTTCAGTATTTTCGATATCAATTTTTCAGATATCATTATGAAAATTGGCACACATATGTATTTTTAAGCCCTGAATTCAATTTTGAAAACCGAATTTAAAAATTTTCACTATTGACAAAGTTACACCCAAAAACAGGGGTGGCTTTATAAATGTGAAACGCACTATACAGAAGTGTTTTTTTTTGAAAAAAATTAATTTATTGGATTTTTTGATGGGCGGTACATTTCTAAGCTGAAAATAAGAAAAAATGACTTTTTTTGCGCACTTTTCTCGCCAATTTCGAAATGATGGCCATTTTTGAAAAAAAAATTTAGTGTTTACTAAATAACCGAATTTAAAAGTCTGAAAATCCAATTTTTTTTCGTTCAACTGATAAGTCAATTTCTATGAGTTTAAGGACGCCTTCAGTTGGATCAAATTGTTCGCGAACTTGTTTGAGAGATCCCATTTATCCAAAAAATTTTTGATTTTCAACCAGGAGAATTTTTTCTTTCATCCTCTGTGCGGAAAAGTTTAGATCAGTTTTTTTTTTGAAAAATCACGTTTGCCCAAAATGGTCAAAAGACAGGTCCACAGTCCAAATTCACCACTTTTTTTTAAATGAGCAATTTTTGATAAATTAAGACAGATTTATGATGTTTCTGTGCATTACAAAAACTTAAAAGTGCTAAAAATGGAGAATGGGCAAAAAATGGCCGAACTCTTTAAAGGCACATAGCTATTCACACAATTTTGAAGAATTCAAACATCTCACAAAGGAAGTCATTTTACTTCCCGTTTTGGAATTTTTTCTAACTTTGCTTACGCTAACTAGAAGGCCTTCTGAGAGTGTCCACAAAATTCCAGCGTGCACTGCGTGGGTTTCAGGCGAGTTTTGACCGTCTGAAAATTCACGGTGAATCACTGCCAGCAGTCATTTGGACGGGCAGTTTCACGGGGGAAAACGTTTGTATCCAACCAGTACGACACTCCAATTACACATCGCCCCTCGATTTAGCGTGTTATTGAATTTTTCCCGCAGTTTGTCCCAATCGAATCACTGAAATTTGATTAATGGACCTATAAATGGAATTGTAATTTTTTTATTACACAATGCAAATATCCAAAAGAGGACAATTAATACCTGTTGTAAGTCGAAAATTCGAATTAAAATTTAAACTTTATCTAAAGTAAGCGTTAGACAAACAATAACGAACGAAGTGCAAGTTAATTAGTTTTTTGGATGATAATAACAATTACAGGGTGTCATTTAACTTCCCGCACAAAAGTTTGACGTCATGAAGAGCTTGGCTGTCGCACTTTTCGTGCACCAATACAATTTATTTTTGTTAAATAAGGTATATTTTACTTACTTTCCAAGTTTTACCTCATTCGGATTTGTTTCCGAGAAATGGCGAAGGCTAACATTCATCGCGCTTCCATTATCGAACTTCATAAGCAAAATGTGAGCCTGAGAGACATCATTCAACGCCTCGGTGTGTCTCTTAGAACGGTTTACGACATCATCTAACGTTTCAAGGAACTAAATACTACCAGTGACCGTCCCAGATAAGGAAGACTCGTCTCGGTAACCACTCCTCAGAAGTTCAACGCCGTTAAATCGAAGATCAGGCGAAACCCACACAGGAGCATGAGAAAGATGGTGTCAGACATGGGAATGAGCATCTTCGCTATGGAACAAATTGTCAAAACGAAGCTTGGACTGACCCCATATCGTGTCCAAAAAGCGGCAATTCTATCGGCCGTCAGCAAGCAGAGACGCTTCGAAAAAGCAAAACGACTTCTTGCTCGCACGCGGTCTGGAGAACACCTCGTCACTGTCTTCTCCGACGAGAAGCTGTTCACTGTGGAGGCGGCATTCAACTCACAAAACCATCGAGTACTTGCCCAGACATCCCAGCAAGCTTCTGAGAAAGGAAGAACATATCATCCAGCCTCACATCCTGCCAGTGTGATGGTTTTTGTTGCCATCTGCTCAACCGGGAAGTGCTCCCTGGTTTTCGCGGATCAGGGGGTGAAAGTGAACAAAGAAGTCTACGTTCGGGACATTTTGGAGAAACTGTGATACCCTGGGCCCAAACGCATTTCGGTGGGCAGAAATAGGTTTTTTAACAGGACGGAGCACCCGCCCACACTGCCAAAACTACTCAGGAGTGGTGCCAGACCCATTTTCCCGACTTTATCAAGTCATCCGAATGGCCTGATTGCTCCCCAGACCTGAACCCGCTTGACTTTTCCGTGATGGGGTCTTGCAGGAGAAGGTCAACGCAAAACCCCACTCAAGTATAGAGGCTCTGAAGAAGACATTACTGGCGGAATGGGACAATCTTTCCATCGAATACCTGCGTACCACAGTCGCATCCTACCCGAAGCGTCTCCGTGAAGTCATAACTGCGAAAGGAGACCGAATCACAAAGAGTTAATAGATAATTATTTGTTATACTATAGATAAAAAAATACTTCGAGTCTCGTTTGATTTGGACTTTTTGTTTCAGAAATATATGCCTTCAATGTTGTGCGGGAACTTAAATGACACCCTGTAAAGGCTAACCAGAGGAATGGGAAATATATGATAACAATAATAATAAAGCAGAACAGTAGGAAAATATAAATCAACAACGAAAACCAATCAAGCTTGTCGGGTTCGGGCCAGAGCTGTGCGGCAGTGGAATTGCCGATTGCCGAAATTTTGATTTTCGGCAATTTGATATCAAAAAAAATCGGTGAAACAAAAATCAATGTCCATTGAATAATTTGGGATACCGTGAAAATTCGGTATTTATATTGTTGAAAAATGGCAAATGTATCCAGGTGTCGTAGGATCCTGCGTTTTGTACGCAATGCTAACAGACAGTTACCGTAATCCTCGCAGCGATTTACGGAGTTTTTTTTTTATTTTCTTTTATTTTTTTGCTGAATTTTCTTATTTTCTTTAGAAATCTTATATTCAAAACATGTAGAAACCGAGTTTAATTATTTAATTTTTAGAATATGCATTTTTCCATTTGTCCAGTTTTACAGGGGACTTTTTTTAAATTTCGCATATTAGATTTTTTTATTTTTCGCTCAATTTTCGTATTTCCCTACGAAATTTTGTTATTTAAATTTTGCAGAAACTGAGTTTAATAATTTATTCAACAGAATAAGCACTTTTAAACGATATTTTTTGGCAAAAACAGCAGAGATTTTAAAGAAAACATTTTTGTCATTAATCGTGTTTTGCTTTTTGTACGCGTTTCTATTATCTTGTTTTTGTATTCTTCATTTTTAAAATAATTTTTAGAGCGTCCAAATCTTCACAATAACTCCCAACTCAACTGGACAAATGGAAAAGTGCATATTCTGAAAAATAAATAATTAAACTCGGTTTCTACAGGTTTTAAATATAAGATTTCTAAAGAAAATAAGAAAATTCAGCAAAAAAAAAATTGAAAGAAAATTTTTAAAAAAGTCCCCGTAAATCGCTGCGAGGATTACGGTAACTGTCTCTTAGCATTGCGTACAAAACGCATGATCCTACGACACCTGGATACATTTTTCATTTCTCAACAATATTTCGAATTATCGTTGAAAACATTTAATAGCCGAAATTTTGATTTTCGGCAAATTGCCGAAATTGCCGATTGCCGCACAGCCCTGGGGTTCGGGCCTAAAACAATCCAACTCCTCAACATCGTGTATTTGCGCGTCAACTCTGGTGTGTGTGTGTGCAAACACCGGATTGAAATTGCTGAAATCTTTCATCATTTTTCTTGCTCCTCGCAACAATACCAATTTCACGTCATTTTTTTTCTACAAAAATTCTGCTATTCGGGATGGTCTTAAAACGGGATCATGGCCGAAAACGACTAGTCCACGGCCAGCTAATTTTTCTCGAAAATTGAAATCGCATTTTTTTTGATTCATCGCGATGAAATAAGAAAGTCTCACATGAATTAAAGATTTCCTTTCAATTTTCTCTCTATTTCTCTCTTATTCTAATCTCTCAAGGTGTCAATTTGGCGAAATTCGAAACCTTATTCGGTCGAAATTCGCTCGTCGTTTTTCGATTTCCTCACCCTATTATGGTGTTGGTAGGTTTCGCCAAGAATCGATCGCGTCGAGACCCGGCCTTCAAAAATTTAAAATTCTGAAATAAAAAAAAATTTTCAAAATTGAAATAATTATCAGAATTAATCGTCACAAGACCCAGGGAAGGTCAAATTTTGTGAATTCTTCGAGAAAAAGTCACGTCTTTATTTGGGATTTCAAAATTGACTTCAAAAATTATTAAAGGCGCATGCTCTTATTATTATTTTTGGTCTCGTTACGACTGATTACAATAGCCGCTATTTTCCCCTTAAAACCTGCTGCTAATCGAATTCACTTAATTCACAACATGCTGCGGACAATAATACGGGCTCTGGCAAAGATCTCATCGAGAAAATAAAACTAATTCGGATCTTACTGTAAATATTTAATATTTGAGAGGGGGGGGGGAGGTATGCGCCTTTAAACCGACGCAGACAACTTTGAAAACAATTAAAAACATTCTTTGATGCGCCTTTAAACTCGCCGGAAGTCATCATGTCGAAATTAGCGATTCGTTATTCTCGTTTTCTCATAAATTTTTCAAATTTTTGCCCCCCCCCCACTCACACAATCTTTTTCTGAAATCGCTCGCCCAATTTTTTGTCCACCCCACCCTCGTGTGTTGTTATCAAATTTCGATCGCGTCGTCAAAAATCACAAATGCGGAATTTAATTGAAGGACGCTTCGCCGGCCAACCGCAATTATCACAATTGCGTTTCGATTTCGTCTTCTATTTTTTTTCTCGCCGATTACGGTAGTGTGCTCCTTTAAACCGCCATGTCTCCCATGCTCCTTTAAACCGCCATGCTTCCCATGCTCCTTTAAACCGCCATGCTTCCCATGCTCCTTTAAACCGCCATGCTTCCCATGCTCCTTTAAACCGCCATGTCTCCCATGCTCCTTTAAACCGCCATGCTTCCCATGCTCCTTTAAACCGCCATGCTTCCCATGCTCCTTTAAACCGCCATGCTTCCCATGCTCCTTTAGATCGCCATGCCTCCCATGCTCCTTTAAATCGCCATGCCTCCCATGCTCCTTTTAATCGCCATGCCTCCCATGCTCCTTTAAACCGCCATGCTTCCCATGCTCCTTTAAACCGCCATGCTTCCCATGCTTTTTTAAACCGCCATGTCTCCCATGCTCCTTTAAACCGCCATGCTTCCCATGCTCCTTTAAACCGCCATGCTTCCCATGCTCCTTTAAACCGCCATGCTTCCCATGCTCCTTTAAACCGCCATGTCTCCCATGCTCCTTTAAACCGCCATGCTTCCCATGCTCCTTTAAACCGCTATGCTTCCCATGCTCCTTTAAACCGCCATGCTTCCCATGCTCCTTTAGATCGCCATGCCTCCCATGCTCCTTTAAATCGCCATGCCTCCCATGCTCCTTTTAATCGCCATGCCTCCCATGCTCCTTTAAATCGCCATGCCTCCCATGCTCCTTTAAATCCCCATGTCTCCCATGCTCCTTTAAAAATGTTCGGCTATCAACCAATCATTTTTTGCCCTCATTAAAAACAAAATATCTGAATTTTCGATGTCATGCGCCTTTAAACCGTAATTCAAAACGGAAAAAAAAAACGAATATCATCGTCGGATTATGATGTCAAAAGCGCATGCGCGTGACGTCATCGGTGCTCCTTATTAGGATGTTTCGCACAAATTGAGGCAATTTCGATGCCACGAAACACAAAACGCAATTTGAATTTGCAATCTAAACGCTCCGTAGGGGGAGCAATTTTTGCTATTTTCCATCTGCGGACAATTCGCGTCATCGAAATCCTGTGAGAACATCATAAAAATTCCAAAAATAATTATTTTCCAATTTTTTCGTCGGAAATCGCGCGATTTCCGATCGTTTTCGGCCAAAAATAGGCCCCATTTGTTATTGTTTTTGAGTTAATTAACACAGAATTGAAGCGATTCGACTCTTTTCGAGATTTATTTGATGAATTCCATCTGCCGACAAATTTTTTCTTTTCCAATTTAAACTTGGAAATTGTCCGCACATACATATTCTGATTTGCTGATGAAAGGTGTTTGATTCTTCTATTCAGAAAAAAAAAGATTTATATGAAATATCATCTGCGGACATTATTTGACTTTTCCTGAAACCCCCACAAGTGTCCGCAGATGGTAAGCATACATTACGACTGACTTTATTAGTCGACAAAAATCACAACTCATTTTTAGATTAAATTTGACAAATCGCATCTGCGGACATTCATCCAAGCCACCAAAAATCAAAGTTATTCAATTTAATAAATTTCTTATATAAATAACATCTGCGGACAATTTCGGTGAAACCAAATTATTGTCCGCAGATGGTTTTGCACAAAATCTCGCTGTTGGGGAGAATTTGGGATTGTTGAGACTGTGAAGACTTTCGACATTTTGCTGCTGCGACAATTTGCGGTCGAGAAGAAACTCGAATCGAAAAAATTTTGTTGATTCACTTTCACTTTTTCTTCAAAACTGGTAGAAGTGATTATTTTCGTCCTCGTCTTTCGCCTTGCTTATCATTCCTTTATTATTTTCCGATTCGCATTCCGACCCCCCCCCCTCTTTCTCGTACCCCGTTTTTTGATCTACTAATTTTGTGTTCAGATGCCCTCATTTTTGCGACGCGTTTTGAGTTTCCGCAAGCCGAAAAAGGTCCTGACGCGAAAGGACTCGATCACCGGACGAAATCACACATTTGTATGGTGCAATTCGACGTTTTTTTTTTTAATCAAATGAAATAGTTGATTGTGAAATACGCGATTTTGCGTCGCGGTGTTTCCACACATTCTCGAGCACTTCAATTTATTTTTCCTCAAATCGCATTTTTTTGAAAAATTTTTGAAAAAGCAAAACATTTTATGGTCCCTAATTCTCAAATATTGTAAATTCGCGAATTCATTAGTCAGCCTACCACCCAGATAAAATTTATTTTAAAAAATGCTATAAAATTTTTTCCCCGAATTTTGAGTGGTTTAAAAAAAAATTGGAGAAATTTAAGCGATTTATATTCTTATAAAAACTATATTAACACATTAAATGAATAATTGTAAAAAAATTGTGAAAATTCCAATTCAATTTATTTGTTTTCCGCTTCAGGACGTCCCATATTTGTCGCGTCTCGACGGCAATCAACTCCAAACCGGGCAATCTCTTATCGTACGCGGTTATATCACAGGTAGGTTCGTCGATATTCATTTCAGCGAAACATTTGGTAGCCGTTTTATTTTTTCTTTTTTGGAAACTCACAATATTTTTCGAAAACAGCTAAAACAGTACGCAATATTGCGTCGCGGTGTACCTACACAATTATTACTGTAGCCAGCGTCGTCGGTTTTTTGAATTTTTTTTTGTTGCACGCGCGTTTTGCCACATTGCTTGGTTGAATATTTATTGTCCGTGTGGAATACACAAAAAATCGTGTCGAGATCATTTTCGGCAATATATGCCCTGCGTTTTAATCGCGATGACAAAACGCTGATGAATTCTCTTGAATTTTGAAATGGGCTCTTTTTTTATTCTCTCTCTCTCTCTGTCTTTTAGCATTCACCATTATAAATCACATTTTTTTTGTTTTGTAGGAAACGAGGGATTCATTGTGAATTTGACGTCAGGCTCGAATGTCGAACTCGACGAGGATGGCAGCGGCGAGCTCGACAATCGCCTTCTAGCGATTCGAGTGGATCTCGAGAAGAGGCGAGTGTTCATGAATGCCTGCATCGATGGACAATGGGGAAAGTGCGTTTTTTTTTGGCCAATTTTGTTTTAAATTGAAAAAAATTGGTGATTTTCTGCTAGAATATTGAAAATATTATTTATAATATTATTTTTTTTTCACCAAAAGTTAATTTTAAAAAAAGCCATTAACATTAGGTGCGTTGCGGTCGCGTCGCGGTTACATTGAATGCCTCATAAGCGGCTATTTGTTTGACGCGATTTCAGAATTTTCCTATTTTCAGATATCCTTCGAAAAAACGTTCCTTAAATATATAAATAGTACACGCGAACCGCAACGCAGCGGCCAATTTGTTTTTTTTTTCTTCTCTGAAAAATTGCATAATTAATTGAAGGGAAGCATTCGTGAAGCAGGGCTATAAAGATGGCGACGAGTTCGACATTCGAATACGATGCTTCGAGCAGCATTTCGAGATATACGTCGAGCACAAATTGATTGCCCATTTCAAGCATTATGTGCCAATGTCGAACATATCGCACATTTATGTCAACGGCGAAGTCCGACTCTATTCGGTCTCATGGGAAGGCAAACTTTATGTGAGTTGTTGTTTTTGAATCGCCCAAAAACTCAGTTAAATGAAAATCAATCGGATTCGAAGAAAAATAAAATATAAATTAACCTGTTTCGATTGAAAAATAATTCAAATTCGATTTTAAATCTTGGTTTCGATTCAAAAATCTTCGAAATCGATGGATTTATTTTTCAATTTCAATTTTGAAATTTTGGAATAATTCGAAACAGATTCATTTACATTCGATTTAGATTTAAAAAGAAATTATTTTCGAATCCGATTGATTTTCATTTATCTGAGAACAACAACAAAAATGGAAATGTTGATTTGTTTTCTACAGACGATGCCCTATAATGCCGACATTCCCGGCAATTTCTACGTCGGCCGCAAATTGTTCGTGTCGGGAATCGTCGACAAAAAACCCAAAGATTTCTCGATCGACTTTTTCAGCGGCGACGATATCGCATTCCATTTCGCGCCTTCTTTCATTCAAAAGGTTCGCTCTGTTCTTTTTTTTCGCCAGACGGCCGCGAATAATTCGGCCATGGCACATTTCACGTCCGCCATTTTTAAAAGATTTATTTTTGTGAGTTTTTTAAAGAATAATTCGGAAATTTCATTTAAAAACACAAAAAAAGTATATGGAAAAAAATTAATTTTTAGATAAAATTTAAAAAAAAATTGCGAAAAATATAGACATATCGCCTAATCAAAACAATTCTATTCCGCGATTTGGAGTTTTTTTTTAAACCGCATTTCGCTTAAAAACTATAATTTTTAGTTTTACGACCATAATAAATCGCAAAAACCACTTTTAGTGTTTTTTCTATGCGAGACTCTAGACGGAAATTCAAACATTCCAAAAAAAAATAGAATTTTTATTCTTGTTTCGGTTTTCAGAAGGTGAATCGCAGCAGCACGGTGTCGTCAAAAGTCTCACGCGTTGAGACCACCCATCAGGGACCATCGAAATTCCCGTTCAAAGCCAAACGCACGTTCGACCTATTAGTTTACGCGGCCGACGACAAATTCATGGTGTTCATCAACGACGCGCTATTCTGCACGTTCGACCATCGTCTCGCCGCCGACAAAATCGAGCGCCTCTCGATTCAGGGCGACATTCAATTAATCGGTGTCCATATTAAGTAGAAACGCGTCCGTCGCAATAAATCGCAACCCCGCCCCGCCCCCCTGAGAAAGGCCATCAAATTCCAACAATTTTTATTTCGATTTTTCAGAGATCTTCCGAGTAAGCATACACTCCATTATGGCATCGATACTCGACATGATTAATTGCGTACATGTTTTGAAATTCGTTTCCCTAAAAATAGGGACCATTTAGAAAATCGCGGGGGAGGGGGAATGTTTTGCGAGTCGTGAGAATAGTTATGCAATGTTTAAAGGCGCAAACCGCTTCCCTTCAAGACCCATACCGTCTCTAATCGAAAATACATTCCATTGACAACTGTTCGATTGTACCGCACGAACTCGATGATCTCCCTGGCGAGCACGGCGACATTCATTCGATTCTCGTCGGCAATCATCGAGGTGATCTCAATCCGTTGATTCGTATAATTCCTCAACATCTGCTTCGGTCCAGTGAATGAATGAAGCCCTACAAGCGAAAAAAAAGGCGGGGCTCGCGATGTTTAAAGGCGCATATCGTACTAGCTTTAACCGAACAATAGGTCACTTCAAAAGTATTAATAACATCTTTGGACCCGTTGAAAAACTGTTGAATGCTGTGCTCGACATTCCGAAAAGTTTCATCGTCCCTCTAAAACTCGGATTGAATCGGTATCGATCCAATAAAAAAACCCACATCAATAATAATCCCATAGGTGAAACATACGGCAATCAACGTCACACCGATATACTTTACCATTCTAACTATATAAAATAATAATAATAATGATATAAATAATAAAGACAATATAAAATGTAGGCAACGTGAACAGAAAGGCATTCGTGATTGCTCATCAAATTAGTCATCGAGGGGATGGGGCTCAAAATTGGTCATCATAAAGCATTCAAAGTCAAATAAGTGAAATATTATCGAGAGAGAGAGAGAGAGAGAGAAAAAAGAGCCATTTAAAACATGAAGCTAGAAGGCAACAATAACCGTATATGGTAATTATAAAGCGATTTCCAATTTGTTTCAATTTCGTGGTCACTTTTGTTGTAGGGGCGAAATTCAATAGCATGAGAACAACAACGAGAAAAAAAAAACCGGTGGCGACCGGAGACAAAAACCTAGAGAAGCTAGGAACTCGTAAATCAGCTCCCTTTAATTAAGTAATAATATGAGAGAAAACTACTTCTTCCGTTTTTCTTTTTGGGACGCACATTATTATTTGAACAGCGAGAACATTTTCGCGCCGGCGCCTTCCACCATACTCGACACGTTCGACACCGCCGCCGTCGCATTGCCCAGCGACGTCGGGAACACCAACGAGCTCGACGATGCTCCATTCGACGTTACTGCAAATCGAGCTCATCTACCATAATTCTTCCAAACTCTTTTACCATCATGAATATGCGAATTCGATTCCTCCAACTGCAATCGTCGACTGATCGCCTGATACGCTTTACTGTTCAGACGCTCCTCGTCGATTCCTTGCAATTCAAAGTCGGAGAACACTTTCTGAGAAAAAAAACACCAATTTCTACAGTACACCCAAAAAATCGATTCAGGACCCAAACCTTGACAATATTTGAAAGCGAGATAAATTGCGTTGGGCTCAACGACTGCTGAAGCCTCTCCGTGAGCCATTCATTAATCAGCTTCATCTGATTATCATACCTAAAATCAAATCGCTAGTGTCTAAAAGCCGCCATGGCGTCGCGTCTCACCAATGCTCAAAAAGACAATTCACCCAAATCTCATCGATCACCACTTGCCGCAACAATTCCGTGCATCCGCGCATGAATGTCACGTACGAGTTTCCAATCTGTCCCGATGACTGCTGAGCAGTAAGCGGTTGACGCTGCAAACAGAAAACAAATGAATGGGACCATTGGAGATAGCGACGCTAGAGCATACCGCAGCAGGCTGAGCTTGAGCCGACGTGTCGCCGGTCATCGTTTTAAGCTTATTAAAGATCGACGTTGGTTTTGGCTGAAATTTCTCGAATTTTGATTTAAAATGAAACACATACCCCCCCCCTTTAAACTAATTTACCGCAATATTGAGAAAAGCGCCAATCGGGTTTCCCTCGTCATATCTCGCCAATTTCGAGAGCACACTTTCCAAAACGCCGAGCAGCTTCTCCTGAATGCACGTCTCCATGTCTTTGAGCATCGTTTCGAGCGTCTCATCGAGCTTCGATTGATATTTGTACTCGCCGCCATCGACAGCCATCCGAACCGCTCTCGTCTTCGAGCTGAACATCACATTGATCATGACGCACACCTCCGACGGCAGCATGTAGTCCGTCGATTTCTTCGCGCGCTGCATCCAATGATCAAACTGCTGATAGGTGCAATTCGACACCTTCGAGATCATCTCCGACGTCAGACCCTTCATTCGCGAGTTGAGATACTTGCGGAACTCCTCTTCCGGCCAGTTCAGCTCGATGACGAACTTGTGAAGCGCGTCGAGCTTCCAGTAAATGTCCTCCGACGTCGGGCAGCCCTCTCTGAAACTAACCCTGTGTAAGCATCATGCTCGATGATAACACTGATGAGCTCACTTCCTCTGCTCCCACTTCTCCTTCTGGAATCCCTTATCGATCGCCTGCGCAATCGAATGCTCCATCAAATCGATGTAGCGTACGACGAGCGGCTGGAACTGCTGGACAATCTTGTTGTGGAATATTCCGCCTTTGAGAGATGCTGAAAATTGTCTCAAAATGACAACGTCTTCAAGCATCTGGAGGGCTCACGTTCGGACAGCAAAAAGTCGTTGAGCATCTGAAACAGCGGAAACGAGTCCCAACTGTCATGCGGTTGAACGTCGAGCGCCGAGTCCAAATCGACCGAATAAAGGGACCAGAATATCTCCGAATGGTCCGATAATAGGTCCGAAAACCAAGCAAACGCCTAAAAATTGATCATATTTGGTTCGGTATGAGAATTTGGCGTCTTTTTCTCTTGGGCATCTCATTTTTTTTTGTTTCAAAGGCGCATTGCGCATTTTGGCGACGCCCAAGAAAAAAATTCGGAAACGAAAGCCAAATGATCGCTAAACACTCCAAATAAACTCGATTCGGCGATATTTAAAGGCGCGTTGCGCCTTTAACACACAACGAAAATGGGTTCGAAATGGAAACAAAAATAATTATGGAAAATAAGCGGGAAACTCATCGAAATCAGAAGGCCCAATTTGTTAATTTTCGAGAAACTAAAGGAGAAAAAAAAACGTGAAAAACTTCCAATTTCTAGCAACTAAGCACACCGAGAAATAAAAAGAAAACAACCAAAGAAGCACAAATCGAAACAAACAATAAACAGCTTGAGGAATGGAATGGAATCCAAGAATCGATATACATACCCCTCGGAGTTGCTAAAATAATTATTAATTATTTAGTAATGATAACAAGTTAATTGCCAATAATGATTTCTCTTTTTTTTTTAATTTTCATGCAAATAGCTGCTCGATAGAGTATAGGACAGAATTTCGGGTTATTCAAGCTCTCAACTCATTCAAAATTTGGTTACCTCGCCGTGATGCTCCTCGTTCTCCTTGAGAAGATCGATGCAGAGCTCCGTTACTCGAATCATATCCTCAATTCGCTGCTGTGGGCTCACATCGGTGCCCATTCGTTCTAAACAAGAACAATATAGTTGATGAATTATTTGCTTCATTCTTCGCAAAAATTCGAATCCTGCGTTTTGGAATCGTAGAAGTCGCGCGATTGCAGTAAAAAAAACTGTTCACCACGCTATTAACAAGGCAAGTATCTTACCTTTTTTTCCATACTTCCCCTACATGTTGGTATGGATCCGAAGAATGGATCCTACAATTTTCAGCCGTCACTGGGGGCGCCACGTGGAAAAACGTTGAAAATTGTAGGATCCATTCTTCGGACCCATACCTACAAATGGATGAAGTATGAAAAAGAAAAGTTAAGATACTGGTCCAAACGACTTCCTTTTTAAGTGAAGCATTGTCCGTGTGGAGTACACCACGCGTCGCCTCAAGACCATTACTGGAATTTCGCGCAATTCGTCGTCATCCATAATTTTTTTGTTTCAAACTTCGAAACTTGTTTTGGATACGTGAAATTGACGGCGCGAGCCAAAAATTTCTTACGCTCAATTTTCGCTTCATTGCAAATCCTCGTGTAGTTCACAAGTGCCGCATCCTCGAGACATTTCCGAATCACCGCGCGAACTTCTTCCGGCGGCACCGGCGACACCACATCCTTCATTAGAACCCGTTCGAGCAACGACAACGTGCCTTTCAGGGCTCCTTCGGGCCGTCCAAACGGGAAACAATACCTAACAATCGATGGTAAACGCTGAGAAACCTGAATATGGACGCACCTAAAATTTGTGATTTGCTTCTCGAGAAGCACACGAAGGCGTTCTTTGATCTCCTGGAACTTCTCCTTCTCCTCGACCGTCACGGTTCCAACGCCTTCCGGCCTAAAACAACAACTCTCAAATTGCGATCGAAAAAATTGATTTCAAAAATTCTGCTATACCCTTGACGATCAGGAAGGCATCGATTACCATGGACGTGACTAGCGCAGAAGGCAAACGAATAATGAATGAGAGCCGGATCAATGAGCAATCCCTCATCAGCCTTATCCAAAAGATTCGATAGAAGCGTGACGTGTCGATAGCAGCCGCGAACCATGTACCGCCCACAATACTCCTCCAAGACAAACGCCTGACCCGGCGAGAACCATCCCAACGAGCAAATCGGCTCGCTGATCCGATAATCGAGCGTCAACTTTTGAATGTCGGCGAACAGGTGATCGTGATTGAAATTGATCGAGTCCGCCTGTATCAGCGCGTCCATTCCGTGTTTGCTCGCCTTGTCCTGGAACCCTTGCGCTTTCGGCGCTATCGTCGATTGCTTCGGCGGCACCGGCTTGTAGGCCTGTCCGGTGGCGCGGTAGAGCGCCTGAACCCACAAGTGTCGCTCGTTCTCATCATCGGTGGCGAATTTCAGCTCGTCGCCTTCTTTGATCGCCGTGAAAAAGTGTTTTCCACCTTGCGCGGCGAGTTCTGATGGAATTTCGGTTTGAATCGAATACGATCGGACTACATTCGACGCCTACCTTGATCTGGCTCTGGCATATAATCAATAGTGAATCCATCCAATTGTATGAATTCCGTCGGATCCGCCTTCTTCTGCCGAAAACTGCACACGGCGAACGCGTATTGCGACACCTGGGAAATTCGGACCAAATTTAAAACTACCATAATCCCCCGAATACCTGAACCAAACAGAAGAAGCGCTTCTTCCATTTTTTCCACGCGTTTCGCCCAATGCAATAGCAATGCCCGCAATATTTCAAATTCGGCGGCTTCTCAACGCGAATCGCGATGCGAATCTTGAGATTCTGATCTTGACTGTTCTTCGGCAACGTCATCGTGTACCATTCGGGACTTCGCGAGCAGTTCGGCGTTGGTTGAATGATCACCTTGCCGAGCTCCTTGTCCTCGAACGCCACAATACTCTTGACCTCCGAATAGAGTTTCACCTTGACAACCGGCAGCGGGTTCTTCGTCGAGAAGTCGCCCTGCGTGTCCCACTTCGGTTTCGATGCTTCCGCGTGATCCGTCTGAAGCTTATGCCCGTCAACTTCCATGGTACAATAGACGATACGATTCGGCGGCACTGACTTCAAACCTTGCACTTCCATGACGACCACCTAAAATTTGAATTTTCAATGGAATTTCTTCAAAAAAAAAAAAACGAGCAAACCTCCATACTAAGCGCCAATGAGACATCGGACTTGGTGAGCGTCACCTCACCATCATCGCTGTCCGCCTTGTTCAAGCTACTGGAACTCGTGCGACGCTTCAAGCTGAAAATCGTGACATGCTGGGTTGGTGCAGAGCTGAGTCCAAGCTCATCAAGTTGGCGGCGAGCATTGGATAATTTAAAATAAAAAAAAGCTTAATTCCTCATGCTTCATAACCCCGAAAATTGTCCGCAGATGGATATGCTTTTGTTTTTTTTCTTCAAATTTTGGCGTTTTACTAGGAGGTTTCCTTCTGCCAGCATGCATTCTGGAGGGGCAAAACCCCAACCCATGGCGGCAGCAATCATTCAAGGGACCACAATAAGCGGGACCATTACAATATAAGATGAAAAATGCTTCTGGGGGAAGGGAATTTGCCGCAAAAAAAAACATTTCAGGAACAATAATGGCTTTGGTGGGCAAATAAAGCGAAAATGGGCGAAAAAAAAAAGAAAATTAATGGTGAGATGAAACAAACCTGTTGAACAGCGACAAATCCTCAATACTGCGAGATCTAAAAATGAAAAAATGATTTTTTTTCTCTTCAAAATAAAACACAGATTTTCTCTGGTTTAGTAATCTTTTTGTTTGGTGTTGCTGGTGTATACGGTGCTGGACACGGACATGGTGCAATCGGCGAGAGACGGTGATGGACAAAACGAGACAAAATCGCGCTGGGCGGCGAGTGGAGGAAACAAAAAACCAAAAAGAAAGATGAATGGATAGGCGACAGGGAAATAGTGTGCGAGATGGTGAGAGACAGACAAAAGAGAGAAAGATTAGGGGAAAAAAAAGACAGATTATTGGTGGTTGATCTACCGCCAGTGTTTTTGTTGTTAATTTTTTGCAATTATGGTGAGAGGGGGGATGCGCCTTTAAATTCAATGTTTTTTTCCCGAAACGAATATCACCCCCCGAAGAAATGGTGCAGAAAATAGAGAAGGCATGACCAAAAAAGTTCCAAAAAAAAAAGTTCTCTCCCGACATTCAAAACAACCCACCGTTTCGTTTTGGTTTGAGTTCTGCAATATAAAAAAAATGATGTTTCTTTTTTCCAAAAAAATGAAACTTTTGGTGCGATTTCGGACGAATCACTGGATAGAAAAAAACACGCAAAAAAAATCATGAATTTTGCTGGAACACACAAATTCGGGCACGGAAAAAAAAAGTGCTCACCGGCTTTTGTCTTTTCGCTTTCCGACCGTTTGTCCCCGCGTCGTCACCGGGACAGTCTCAAGATTCGAAATCAGCTGATTGATCGACATTCGCACCTCGTCCATGTAAAGCGTCTCCATGTCCTTGACAACAAATTTCGGCATCAATTTTCGCATCTAAATGCATATCAGTACAATTTTGAATGAAAAATTTGTAGTTAAAAACAATATTTCTATATAAATCAAAAAAAAAAAAAAACCAGTCAATTTTAAGCAAATCTTTTGTTCTAATTTCCAACCTTCATGATATCCTTCAACGCTTCCTCTCTAGTGGCGAATTCTCTTCGAATCGCCGCTGCTTGCTCGTCGGGATTGTCGAGTTGAAGAGCGTTGAAAATGATTTGGTGCTCAAACTTTTTGACGCCGAGTATCTGCTGAAACACATCGTAGAGCTGCTCTTTGCCGAGAACCGCGTCCGCGTTGGCTTGATTCTGAGCGTTGCGCACACGACCGCGCGCATTACGCTGCTGCTCCGATTCATCGCCCTTCACGATTGCGTCGAATTTCACCAGCCATGAGTTCAGCACCGTGTCCTTCGAAAGCCCTTCAATATCGGGAAGAGACCTAATTCGTTTTTCAATGTTCAACCGAAACACCTACAAAATTTTTTAATTATTTCTCAAAAATTTCAAATTTAAAAAAAAACCTCTCGAAAATCGTGATGTGAGAAACCGCCTGCGTGCACGACCTTCTGAACCCGTTCCGATTTGAGGAAAACCTCGAAATAGCTGTGAATCGCCTTCGTGAATGCTTCATCGGCGGCAATATTTGTGTCGCCTTTGAGAAACGATTGAAACCTGAAGTTTTCATAGATTTAGATTATAATTTAGCATAAAATTAAGTGATTTTTAATGTTAAAAAACCAGAATCCACATTAACACAAAAAAAAATCGTAGATTTTCTCAAGATACATGGGAAAATTGCGTCATTTTTAAACAATAAATTAAATACAGTAATATAAACGTTGTGAGACCTTTAAGACGAAAACTAACGCGTCTTTAAATGTTGTTACTGTAGGCATTCTTTTTATCATTTTGTTGTTTTTTTTTACAATTTTTCGAACATTTGTTGGTTTCCTCACTGTTTTTCCAAGGAAAAATTCAGAATTTTTATATTCGTTGAACTTCCAGCAGTATCTTGTCTAAAATTCTCTTCTAAAAAATAAAACATTTCAAGGAATTTCCTATTTCATTTCTCGTTTCAATCGAGCAACAATTCAAATGTTTCAGAAAGTTCACCTCTCGCGAATTCTCGACAATTCCTGCTTATTCACTTTCAGCTGCCTTCGAGCCATATCTCCCGTCTGTTGGCCATTAAACGGGTAGGCGATGCATCGCGCCAGAAATACATACATTTGCAGGTTCTTCTTGTGCTCCTCCTCCTCCTTCTCAGCTCTTGAAAATCAACAAAAACCAATATAGGACTCGAAAGCGATTCCTCCCCCTCCCTTCCCTACCGTATCCTCTCCTGCTCCTCCTTGCTCAATGCGGGCTCATCGCTTGGATGTTGCGGATTCGCCTCCTCATCATACTCCTCATCGCCGCTGATTTCCTGGCTGCTCTGCATGATTGGCCGCGAGACCGACGAAATCGTTCGAGCCTAAAAATCGTCATTGGCATTCGTTTAAATTGTTATACATTGTTTTAGTTGTACGACAATTATCGTGCGAAATGACACAGTTCGGACACATCCAAATACGGATTAGCGGAATTTTTTTTTGTCTCGAAAAATGAAATGTTTGTTAGTTATGCGTTATATAGTTAGAGGTTTGGCATGCTTTACCTGAGGCATCGGCGATGGAGTGTTGATTCTCATCGGCTAAAATCAATGCACACAAAAAAAAATAATCAGAAATCAGATATTTGCATTTTTTTTTTCGCTGGCTGACTGAAATTCGACAACTCACCGATCGCGCCGGCGTCTGACTCTGCACCGAGTCTTTCCTTCGATTATTCATCGTGCTCGAATTGTTCCTTTTGAGCGAGTTCGTCTGCGAGACCGAGTCGGACGGCGCCGGCGAGTTGCTTCGCGGCGAGACCGCGCCCGACAACAGCGAGCGCTTCTTGCCGGCCGACAGCGAGTTCGGAATCTGCAATTGCGACCAAGAAAAATTTGGAAACCATCGCATTTCTTTGCTATAATTATAGGGGGTTTTTTTTCGAAACCAAAATTCAATTTTTGGAATTTCAGACTTTTTTCTAGTTTTTCGAAATTCGCTCACCTCATGCTCATCGCCAAAATCATCGTCATCCTCCTCGCTGCTGCTCGCACCTAACATTGGCCGTGTTGGGTGCTGAAATATCGCATAAACTATACAACGCATAAAATATGCAGGGAATAGAAGGCAGGGGGAGAAGCTGAAAATTAGTAAAAGGGGATTAATGAGAATTTGCCGCGGCCGCGCTAATCTCAACACCATCAAGAAGAAAAAAAACAGAAATCAATAATAAAATTGAGTGGTAAAATCATTGAAAAACAAAGCAAAGAATGGTAGATCAAATATTTACTAGAATTTGCACAAGAAAGTCGCGGATCAAAAATTGTGCGCCTTTAAAATCAACGGTGGGGAAGAAGAAGCAGGAAAAAAACATGGAGGAGAGCGAACCAAAAATAAATCGATAAATATTGTGTGGGAAAAATAAATGCAAAAAAAAATTCCGCACACATTTATATATGTATATTCACATGATGATTCAGACATCTTCGAAAAATAAAAATACGAGGAGAAGAAAGAAGAAGAAGAAGAAGACGTGAAATTTGATGAAATAAGGCGTTGAGTAAACAGCAGAATTCAAGAATTAATTTTTTCTGGAAATTTTCTTCGAGTTCACCTGCTTCACATGATGATTGGCGTCCCAAAAAAAACATAAATATTCGATTTTCGCCTCGAGACCCTCACAAAACAAACAACACCAACACGCCTTTTGAATGGTTTGGCACCCATGGTTCGTCAAGTGGGCGGAAATTAAAAAAAAAATACGAATCGGCTTGCACCCCATTAATGGGCACCCATTTGAATGCGGGGGGTTGGGGACCACCGAATTATTCATCAAGCTTCTTCTCGCGAGGTGTGCGGTTTGTAACTGAATACTCTGTCAACATCGACAGGTGTTGTTGGTTGGGAACCCCATTTTTCGATGGTCCCTTTTTAAAGGCGCATTCAACCATTTTCGAATTGTCCGCAGATGGAAGCCATGCCAACCAAATATGATTACGGTAATGAATCGGCATGAAACCCGATATTATTTTTTATGTCGAGGTGGGGCTGAATTGATTCAATATTGGGTCTTGCGGCGAAATTCTGTGTTTAAAGGGAGATGGTAGATCAAAACGCGAGATAAGAATATTTCTTTTGAGGAGGAAGAAAAAAACGAGGAGCACAAATTGGATTTTTGAACGCTGATGCCGACGGCCGATAGCAATGCCTTAAGTGGAAATTCGTCTGCGGACAATTTCGAAATTCTCGAATCCGATTCTCATGGTCCCGGACCACAGAAAAAAAATTTTTTTTTGGAGAGAATAATCGAATTTCGAGATGAGGAACTCCCAACAACAACGATCGAAGCGAGAAGCCAAGGGACCAAAAAAAAATGATAGGGTGTTCGACACGGGGGGTGGGGGGTCAAAAACGCACACGAGCAAAAAATAAATTGATGCTAAGGGGGGTAATTATAGGCAACAACACCAACAACGAAAAAAAATGGAGAAACGACGAGAAACGCCAAAAAGAAGAAGAAGAAGAAGTAGCAAAACGCTAGGGAGGCAGAAGCTTGTGGCCAACACAAAATGCATGCATTATTGGCTCGAGGGGCTCCGCCGGCAAGGCGCGGCGAAACACCGCGCGGCTCGTCGGAGGGCGTCAGACGCGTCCAGAAGACGTCACGCTCTGTTGAAGCTCTGCTTCTCTCGCCTAACATCGTTTTAAAGGCGCACGAGCACACAGTGTTTCAATTTGAACCGGACCACCTTCAATCCAACTATAAGGGTCCTGACGCGAATTGATAAAACGCCTACTCAAAAGTAGAAGCTTCATCCATCTTCATTATTTATTCCAAAAAAAAATTTGAATTAATTTTTTTTCTGAGCGTCGCACGAATGGAATTCGCGGCCCACACACACACACGAATTCCTCTTGTTGATTAATTACCCCACGATAATTGGTTAATTGCCGCCCACGCAGCACAAACAAACAATGACGCATCCAAATTTTGATTTCGACTTAATTGCTTGCTAATTAGGATGAGAAAATTGAATTGGCGTCTCCCATAAATTATTTTAAATTATTCAAAATAAAAACCCCACAACTTTTTTTTCAATTTTCTAATTAAAATTGCAAATTACTTTAATTATGCAATTAAATCTCAAAAGTCATGATAATTAGCTCTTAATTAGTCGCCATAATTAAGCTAATTAAACTAAAAAAAATAATGTTTGGAGCTTCATGAAAAACGAGCAGCCAAATTTCCAGAAAACTAAAATTCCGTGTGATTTTTAACCTGTGCGCTATGCTCCTTTAATTTTCCAAATTTCTATTTATTTATTTATTATGGGTCTTGAAGCGAGACTACCGTAATCTACAGTATCTACCGTAGAACACTAGTTTGATTATAATAGCCCTGAAATGCAAATGAAAGGACCCATCAAACTACCGTACCCAATCAATAAATGAATATGAAGTACAGTACACTTTTGAGCTACAGTAACCCTCAAGGAAACAACTACCGTAATCCATGAAATAAAGCGTTGGGAAGAAGCTGCCGATGAAACTAAGGAGGCTATTTCGAGGAAGATGGAAAAAAAGGAAACACTCGCCCGAAAAATGATGAATTACGGACCATGCTAGTCATGGCACAAAACGACAACAGCTAATAGATCAAAAATAATTGCAGCTTCTTCTTCTTCTTCTTATTCTTGCCTTATTGAGATGGGCCAGAAGGGGGGGGAAGGAGAAGCTCGAACAAAAAGCTAAAATTGTTTCGCGCTTGAGTTGAGCTCTTGCTCTCTCTCTCTCTCTCTCAGACCACCCTAATTGCCTTTTAGCTTCTTCGTTTTGTTGCGGTTTTGGTGTGGACCACTATCAGTTTTGGTGGGTCCCTTAAGACGATGCTTGAGAAAACAAAAAACTGAAATGACGAGTCGGCCATATTTGGACGAGTGTGATATTGTGCCCTTTAGACGGCAACGATCATCCTTTTTTTTTTTAAATCGAGTCAGCCACTTTTGGGGGAGGGGGTCCTCCCAAGAAAAAATGGGCGTGGCCTAGTGGTCCCAATTTATTTCAATGCTTCTGAATAATTGCGCTGAGCGCACGCTGCCGCTATCAAAATTTCCATCTGCGGACAATTCTGAGAAGTCGAAAATTGGACCAGAGAAATTGGTATTCCGTTGACTATTGGATGTCATCGTGAAACCCGGAAATTGTCCGCAGATCGAAAATGATATACGAATGATATGACAATTGTGGAGATTTTCTCGTTGAGATTTAAAGGCGCACGATTTGGTGAGAATGGATAGTGGGAAAAAAATGGGAAAATGGGACCACACAAACCTCCGAATTTAGAGAAGTGTGGAAAAGTCGGATCGGGTGGGGCCATGCGAAAAAATTTATGGGCCAATTTCGAAAAACTCGTCGAAAAAAAAACGAAAGGAAATAATTATTCCTTCTTCTTCGACGACGACCACCAAATATAGGCATAGAGCAAAGAAGGGGGGTGGAAAAAAAAATTGGATGCCTATAAAAACGCGTCGTAAAAATTCCATATATGGCGAAATTTGATTCGAAATGGTATTTTTATTGCGTCAAACCAAAACAAAAAAAACATGCCATGTTTCTCGATTCATTTATCTTGAACCAGCTGCGGACAAAATCGGCGACGAGAAGTGGAATTAGTGGATTCCCATCTGCCGACAATTTTCGACTTTACGAAATTGTCCGCAGATGGCATTTCTTTTGAAATCAATTCGATTGCGGTAAATGTCCGCAGATGGGAATCAATATTAAGAAACATATCATGATTAATAACGATACAAAAAATATATTTAAAAAAACTATCTGCGGACAATTTTAGGAATTAGTGGATTCCCATCTGCCGACAATTTTCGACTCTACGAAATTGTCCGCAGATGGCATTTCTTTTGAAATCAATTCGATTGCGGTAAATGTCCGCAGATGGGAATCAATATTAAGAAACATATCATGATTAATAACGATACAAAAAATGTTTTAAAAAAAAACTATCTGCGGACAATTGAAAGGGAAAAAACTATACAAAAAGTGCAAAAGCCACAGAAAAGAATGAAGAAAAAAAAAAGCGTGATTGGTTTCCGACCAAAAAAAGAAAGAAGGCATAATCAAATTCGTGTTGACACATACACGTCTCGCCAGCTCGTCGCCGAGCCAAAATTGTGCTCATTTCAATAAACCCCGAATTTGTTTCGCTTCAAAAAATCAATATTGATATTAATCGTGTTCGTGTATTTTTAATGGACCATTGTTCGCTCAAATCCATATTTTATTCCGATATCGACTCGACGATCACCGAGTTTACCGGTTTGCGCACATTATTCTTTTGTCCCCCGCTAAAATCACTCACACATTTTTAGAGTCTGAATGCACTTGCGATGCTGGCGATGCGCATCGTACCATGGAGAACTATAAGACGCCAATGCTTGAACCATTGCTACCGTATCCCAAACACGTGGGAGAACGATTTGAGGTAATTTGAAACGGAGGACACTTGTACGGCGCACCTCCCCTTGCGCCAGCATCAAGAATGGCCGAGAGGTTCCGTTTTGGGGCGCGCACGCCGAGCCACCAGGGATCGATCCCCCCCCCTAGCAAAATCTTTTGCGTTTTCAGGCCGAATACCAAATGTGTATGCGATGGGCGGCCGATCGAAAATTCCGCGCCGAGAAGGTCATACCATTCAGCAGCGAGTTCTACGCTGTCGCGCGCCTCTCATTCATCGGCAAAAGTGAGTTCGCCGCCTTGAGCCAACCATCGAACTCCATCAAGAACATTCAGATTGGCTTCTCGATTGCGGCAATTACGATGGACAATACGATTATTGCGGTTGGCTGCCGACAAGCTTCGACTCGACGCGTCCCAAAAAGCCGCCGCGCGATGAGATCACCGATTCGAGTGTCGACGAGTCGCGCGAGTACGCCGGCCGCGAGTCGATCCACACCTCAGACACCGGCTTCGGATTGGATTCGCTTCGAACCGATGTCAGCGGATCGCCTCCAACCCTGGATCCGATCGGTTCATCCAAAACCCGTCGAATCATTGATTTGCACAATTTCCAGACCCAAATATGTACAAGCTGATGGGCGAGCTGTCAGAAGCGCTGAGCACCGAGCCCGTCGCTCCGAATCCGCCGACGACGCGCGCCGCCGCCAGCCTCAACGATTTGTTTTTCGATCTCGTCGAGCTCGAGCAAGAATTGTCGAAGCAAGTGAAAGCGTTGACACTCGACCAGTGAGTCCGACTAGCATTGGGTGAATTGATCGGGAAAATCATTTTGAAGGCCCTCGATTGTCGATCCGTTCACAATTCCCACCGCCGTCTCATTCTCAACAATTTCGCCGACACAATCGGAAGTGAGCAGCACGAGCGACGACGAGCTCGACGAGCTCGACGAGAAGCCCAAATCGCTGATGGCTCAATTGTTCTGTTTGACCGGCAAAAAGTTGGGTGGCGGACTGCTCAAAAATTTGATCAATCGCTCGTGAACTTCCATAAAATTGTTGTTAAGAGCACGTTTGATTGTCCGCAGATGGAATCTGACAAAAGAGGCGGCCCCGATGATCTAGAATTTATTCAAAGGTTGTGTTGATTCACAATCATTGAAAAAAAATGGACTAACCGGATGAAATGATGGGGGGTGTTTCGAAATTTTACAGAAATTTGCATTTTTACAGAAAATGAGAAAAAAAAAGTTCAAATAGATATACAAATACTTACATCAATTATTAACAATTCTTTTTTCTTATTAAATTGAATTCAAAACGACAATGGGACAGGGGAAAGCTCTTTGAATCCAATTTTGTGGGATATCAAATGGGGGAGATGGAAGTTGGAATCGAACGGAACATGTACAAATATGGGGTGGGGATGTGGATGAAGCGAAAAAAATGAAACAAATTGTTGTCCTAAACACTGGTTCTGACTAGATCGGACGATGATCGGACCGCTTCTAGCTGATCATCTCGATTTTTCGCGACGCCGGCGGTCGTCCGTGTCCGATCGGCGCCACTTTGGTCACGTTTTGCGCTTTGATGAGCCCCAACGCCACAGCTTTTTCCACAGGCAACTGAAACGAATGACGATTTTGGGCCGAATTGACGGATCGGATCGGATCGGATCAGCCTGATGGTCCCGAGTTACCTGTTTATGTGGAAATACCGGCACGTGACATTTGATGCAGCTCTGCGCCTCGTTCGCCACACTGTTCTGGCTGTTCCATTTGCGTTTGCACTGTTGGCACTGAATAAGGACCATCAACAATTATAAGGGTCCGGCCGACTTACGGTGAACTCTCCGTAGCACTTCTTGCGACCCTGATAGGGTGTCAGCTCGTCGTACGGCGAATTGAATCTCTGCAAAATGAGTGCATCGACACGTTTTTTGGATATGGCGATTCTCACCTGCGGACAATCGGAAATGTAGTGATGGCCCGTCGAATAGCAAATGTGGCATTGATAGCGTTGCGGTGGCGTCTGAAAATCGGCGAACCATCACCAAAATGCCCATTTTTGGGAGGGTGGGCGAGGCGAATGTTGAAAAATATGACCTTTACCTTCTTCGGCGACGAGAGCAATTCGGCGAAGCCGGCGATCTCGTCGTGCGAGAAGCCGTCCTCGATGGCGAGCGGCACGGCGTTCGCCGAAACGCCCGACGCCTCCTTCAGACCGATCTTGACACAATTGGCGGATTGTGGTGTTGGCGAGACGCCGAAATGCCGAGTGATCTCATCCGGCGATTGGGCGTTGAACGCGCGGATGATCGGCGCCGGCGCTTGGCCTAAATCATTCGCCACATGAGCGCTTCCAGAAAATAATTTCAACAATGGATCTCACCATTGAGCACGCTGATCGACGCATTGATCATCTCGGCGGTTCCGATGATCGACTCATTCGTCGGCGACGACATCGGCGTTCGCGACGGGCTTCCGTAGCCGCTGCTTCCCGACTCGTCGCTTATAGTTTGCGGCTGAAAACCAACCAAAAAAGGGAATTATGCGAAGTTTTCTTTTTTTTTTCTTTTTGGTGAGGCGAAAATCGAATTATATTGGGGGGCCGTGCGTCGTCTAACACGATTATAACGAGAAGAACAAAATCGTCGGCCTACTACTACTACTACTAGGATGGAAAGCGGGGGTTCGAAAAAGAATAAAAATCAATTTCTAGCCCCTCGTTAGTTCGAATCAACCAACCTGTGTCTCGTCAAACTTGCTCGGCACCGGCGGCGCCGGCGGACCACGTCGATTGGGAAGCGGCGGACCACCGCCGTTGAAGCTCAACGCCCCAAGATCGAGCGCAAGACGATCATATGAGAACATGTCGGCCTGCAATTAATCATTGATTATCAGCTAGCAGCGCCCAATTATGCATTGCAATGTATATTATAATACGTTGGTGTATTTTGGCGCCATGGCCCAAAATTATTGGAGGGGGGGGGACGTGTCATAGAAAATAAAATAAGGCACCGGTTTGCTGCGGACAATTCGCGGGTTTCCCATTGCCAACTCTCAACAATATTTTCATGGACGATTTGTGAGAGGAATGAAGCCTAGTAAAACGTCATGCTCAATCTAGTGCTCCACGAATGAGCCGACATCAGCATGTCAAAAAAGAGAAACAAAACAAAAGGCATAATGTTTGGAGGGGGTTTTTGTTTCAAATTTTTTTTGAAAAATAAAAAAAAAACATGCGGGAGGAAGCCTTTCTTTCTGTGTGTGTGCTATGCTTGTGACGTGTAGCGCCGAAAAAAGAAGAAGAAGAAGAAGAAGAAGAGATGAGGACGGCTCCAAGGGAGGGGGGGGGTCTCGAATTTCAAACAATTTCCGAAATTCATCGCATTCTCACTAGGCCTATCAACTTTTTGAGATGTCCGCAGCAGGGAAAAACCAAGTTGAATGGCGGTTTTGATTTGCATATTACCGGTACGAATTGCCCCCCCCCCTCTATTCCTGGTGAATACCAAATCTATACATATGGAAATTTGAGCAGAGAAACGTCAAAATCAGCTGAAAAATTGACGGGCTTGAAGAATTTGAGGGTTTTGACGTCAAAAAGAAAATCCATCGGATTAACTCGATATTTTTCATTTTTTGAGAATTGCCGATTTTTCTCTAAAAGGTAATCCATCTGCGGACAATTTTCGAGAACTTTTCGATTTGCGAAATTGTCCGCAGATGAATTCCCATATCTCGTCAACACAACCAACAATCGTTCGCTATAGTTTTGCCGAAGTTTGTGGCAGAAAAAAAGACGGGAAAAAATGCTTTTCGCCTAATCGCTTTTTTTGCTACTCTCAAAAACCTAATTGCTTTCTTTCTTCTTTTTTTCAACAAAATTGCACCTGGTGGGGCGAAAACGCCAAAAGAAAAATGAGACGCCATCTTCAGAGGCTTCTATGAAGGGTCTTCTCACCAGCTTAAATGGAGAAAAAAATAAAAATAAATGATTATTTTTTCTCGTTTTTTTTCGCGTAGCAATTTGTCCGCAGATCGAAATAATGATTATCCAACAGGAATCAACAAAACCATCATATTATCAATCGGCAATGAAACGAAATAACAGAATGAAAATGGATGGCATGTCACATTTTCAGGCAAATACAGTACGACTCGAGAGTTGAGTAGAGAGGCCAAACACACATAGGCAGACAGACAAATAAACAGGTAAACTGGTTTCCATTTTAATGATCATCATGACTCCTTTTTACTATTATATATATAAATGGATAGGCGCAAAATTTGTTTTTTTTTTCCAATTTTCTCACATTTTGATCTTCAAGGTCGCGCTCGATTGATAAGAATCGAGCGATGACGAATTTCGGCGGTTCGAATGGGTTTTTGGAATCGACAAAATTGCAATTTTTTGCACAATTCGAGAAAGGTAAGAAAATATGAGGGTCCAATAAATAATGAATGATGAGCTCGAAAATGAAGGAGGGAGCCGGCGGCATGAGATGTGCTCAACCGGAGAAACGCGTCGGGGCTCATCATTGTCAATGGAACACACAATTGATATCAATGTGACAACAAAAAAAAAGAAAAAAAACAACTCACATAAAATGGATCGGTGTCCAGTGTTCGATACATTTCTTGGCAGAAGTGCGGCGATCTGAAATTCACCAAAATGGCAATTTTCGAAATAAATATGTATGAACCGCAATGATTTTTCTTTTTTCAAGTAACGGTCATCAAGGTCACGCCAGGGTGTACAAAGAAGTGGGCTAGGCGAAAAAAAAATAAATGAGAGAAGCTGAAGGCTTGAAACACACAATGGGTCACTCGAACCCAACAAAGAAACAATGGCGCAACCCCCCTTAAAATGTGTTCTTTTGTACTAGTAAGACTAGCAATCAAAAGAGAGAAAAAACCGACAATTTTTGAGGGAGAAGCTTGAATGAATAAAAGGGAAGGGGGGGGGTCGCCTCAAGATGGTCCCCCTTCCAAAAACACTTTTTTCCTTCTATGCTTTTTTTTGGGACGCGCTTGCTTTTCTCCTTCACACCACAAATACATATTCGATGATGGGAGAGGAGTGCTCAGTCGGTCTCGCCAAGCGACGACATGCTCCAGCTCCCTTGCTCTCTCTCTCTCTCATACCGATGAGTGAAGAAAAAGAAGAAGACGAAAAAAAATGCCAACGAACATCGGTTTGATTGATGACGATGTAATGCACTTATAAACTCTCTCTCTCTCAAAATTTTTTTCGTATATGAGGCTCATGAGCATGACCTTTAATTGTGGGATAATTGAGAGGACTCAAAATCGGGCAAGAGCACATCTGAGAAAATCTGAAATTCTTGAAAAGAAAAAAAAATGTTTTGGCCGAGAATTTCCAAAAAACAATGCGAAATTCTTCTATTCAAAAAAGAAAAAAAAGTTGAACATCGACCCGAATTTGACGATAATATAGTTAACTATATATGTCGCATAATTACACGGTGACTAGTTTTTTTTTTCTGTGTGAGAGAGAGAGAGAGAGAGGGTTGCGCAATATCCATACCAATAGCCACATATCAATTGCCAAAATATTATAGGCATGCGTGTGTGTGAGAAAAAAATTTTTTTTCGTCACTTCTTGACTACCAAAATATTCATGAGCAAAAAATAATATATTTCTCCGCTATTGGGATTGCCGGATTCTGAGACCCCCCCCCTGGACCATTGACATCAAAAAGGGACCTCAGAAAAAATTTAAATTCCTGATTATCGGGGGAAGAGACGGGGTCTTCAAATTCGCGGAAATTAGTGTAGATTAAATTAATCGTTGACTGAGTATTAAATGCGCGTACGCAGTCTCGAGACGCATTGGCACACAGCCAATCATTTTTGAAAAAATTGTTAGGCGATATTTGGTTTTATGGACGACTCTTTAATTTTCGCAATCAGAAACTTATCAATTCGTTGCTGCGGACATTCGACGAGGCCATGCGAATCGCGAACAGTCAAAATTTCAAAACGACGACGGCGTCGAGCGGCCTTGAGAACAACGCGCAAAGCGCGGCCAAATATGGATACCAATCAGATAAGTCAATCATGCGACTTGAATTGAAAACGCGGGCCAGGCAACATGGCTTTAAAGTAAATAAGAAGCAAAACAAAGAGTAAGGGAAGGAAGTTGCGATCGTAATGACAGAATCGCAAAAAAAAAATCAAACTGCATAAATGTTTGGGGCAAAAATTCGAGAATGGGGGAGAGAGAGAGAGATGCAAAAAAAAGAACTGTTTCTCGACGACCCGCGCTTTACAATAACTCTCAATTCAGCCAAATTCTCGGCGTCTCTCCGCCTACCATACTCTCAATGGAAGGGGTGGAAGGCCAGTCGACGCGACCCCCCCCCCTAACGACCTTCGGACAATCAACAGACAACACCATCCAATTCAGAAGAACCCAATTTTTCTTTTTCGAACCAACCTCACGGTGGAGGTCGCTATTCGCAGTAATTCCTCCTTTTGTCCGTTTCAATTTGAAGGGTTCACCAAATATGGTGGCTGGGGGTGGGGTGTAAGGTGCAATCTAGTTGAGCCATCATTCCGTGCTGCGGACAATCATCGCGGTTTGATTTAGTACACTCGACTTTTTGGCGGCGAGATGAAGCGAAACAAAAGGCGACTGTAACAATGATGCGATGATGTTACAAAAAATAAAATACTGAAAAAAAACAACAAAACATGATCTTCGAACACAATTGTCCTCAGTCGAACTACTGAGGAATTGCGTTCAGTACATTAAAAAAAGAATTGAAGGCAATCCACCGATAAGGCGCGACGAGACCCCTTCAACAATGAAATGCATATGAAATAAAATCAAGAATAGTTTTTTGGAGAAACTTTTTGAGAGATCGGAAGCGAGATACATTCATATGAAAAAACCAGAAGTCTCGAATTTATACATGTATATCTCAAAAATCTCGGCGGATTCGTTGCAACTTCACAACCAGCCAACTTTTGCCATTGTTTTCTTTCTTTCGTTTTTTTTTTACTAGGGGTCCCTTTTTGCGAAAGAAGATTATAATGGACCTATTCATGCAATGAAAATAATTTTAAAAAATTAATTTTCTTCTAAAAATTGACGCGATATATCGTAATTGTCCGCTATTTATTTTTAAAGGCGCACGCGAAAAGTTGGCGCGGGTCACGTCGCGAAGTCGGTACTGTAATTTTTTAATGGCTGTTTTTTTTTCGATTTTTTTTTATTTTTTGAGCGTTTAAAATGTTTTTTTTGGAAATCTGTAGAAGTATTTTATTTTATAAACGCTGAAGGTTCATCAGAAGCGTCATCGAGCGAAGTCTGCATCAAATTAACACAAATATCACGATTTTTCATAAAATTGCTATCTAAATGACGAAAAGTAGACAAATATTGTCGAATTAGGAAGTAATTATACCAACAATAATTGTTTTTACTCGTTCTTAAAAAACTAGCACACAAAATGAAAAATAAAAAGTTACAGTACCGATTTCGCGACGTGACCCGCGCCAACTTTTCGCGTGCGCCTTTAAAAATAAATAGCGTAGAATTACGATATTTCGCGTCAATTTTTTTGTAATTTTCGACGTGCATAGGGAATTCAAAAGAAAAATTGATTTTTTTCATTGCAGGAATAGGTCCATAAATTCTTCGAGGTGATGCTAGAAAAAAGGGGTTGTAGCAACAAAGGAAATGTCATTTTCGGCCCCCCCCCGTCGGGTTGTAAAATAATTTTTATCATCGACGTCTATCATAAAATTTTGAGGCAAAAAAATGCGAATACATAAGCGCGAATCTCATTTATATGCGAGGCTCGAACAACAGACATTTCGATGTGCCATTGAATTTTGGAGAGCACGGCTGAGCAAATACCATATTGGCAACAAAGAAAAAATTGAGGGAAACGCAATGAAATTGACAAATCCATCACATTGATCAAGCCCATTGTTCGAACAGCGAAATCAGAAATTTCGAATTGGCGCGCTTTGGCGGCCGCGTTGCGTATGCGTCGCGGTTGCCCAGCAACTCAAATAAATAGTACAAACATTGCTTTTTTTTAGAAAATCTTTTAAGATTTCAAAAAGGATTTTTAAGTTTAGCGATTAGTGTTATTAAGAATCAAGAAAATTTAGAATTTCTCATAATTTTTTTTTAGAATTTATTATTGAATATTTGATTCTCGAAAAATATTTTGTTCGATTTGTCCGAGTTGGCAAAACGCCAAAAAATGATAGGTTAAAGGCGCACAAAGAATTCTACTCAATTTTTTTGGCATTGAGAAAATTTCAACAATTTTTTTTATTAAAAAAATGAGAAATAAAAAATTTTGCGATTTCAAATGATTTTTAAAATGCACACGTGCTCATTTTTTGCGAATTTCATAGTTCGGACATCGAAATCCTTCAATAATTGATTAAGAATGAGTCAGGCCGACGGAAACGACAAATCTGGAAATTGTATAATGAGCACAAAAATGTTTTTTTTTTGTTTTTCAGGAAAAATGTGGAGACAACGAAAATGCTCAAATACAGCTGACATCTGGAAATTTCAAAACGCCTCTTAACCAAAAGCTTAACGCTAATCCAAGCTTCTCAAGCTCAACATTATATTATTATTATTATTATAGTCGATGATGGACGAATTTGGTTTATTGTTTGAATTGGGTCTCGTATGGAAAAAATTTTTTTCGCTTTCGAACTATCTTTTATGAATTTCAATTGCTTTGGTTTTTAGCACAAATGACGGAATTCAAATTTATAAGGGGAAAGGAAAAAATGGCATCGCATCGAGACCCATCGCATAAATAAATGGCATGCGTCTTTAAAATAGCGAAAATGAATGCATTTCATCAAAAAATAAAGACGCATGCGGTTTATTGGGTCTCGATGCGAATTCAACGAAACAAAAATTTGTTTCTAGCATTTTCCTTATTTGTCTCATTTCTAAGCATAATTTTTGAAATGAAATTTTTTTTAAGAGGTCCAAGTTATGCGGGACCATTTCAAATCATGCAGATGAGGTCGCCAAAATTGCAGCAGAAGTTCGCACTTCGACTGAAAGTGGGAATATCTTTTTCACTGGGGACTTCAACTTCACTATGCCGACGGAATATCGATGTGGGGACCTCATCGGCATGATTCTTCAATGGCGTGGGAAGCTGGTATTCCATTCCAGGCGATCCTGCAGATAGCCTCCCCACAAGATGCATTATACAGGAAAAATTGCATTCAAGGGACCCACATAGCGCAGTATAGGTCCACCCAAAAAAAACCGGAAATTGACTGAAAATATCGATATTTCATAAAAATTTGATAACTCAATAGGAAGATAAATAAATGAAATTGGATCATTCACAGTGAGAACTTATTTTTTTTTTGCTCAAATTCGTCTGAAAATGCGTGATTGGCGTGTCGGGCAGAGCTCGTCATTTCTTGCAAAAAAAAAATGTTAATTCTCGTTTCACTGTGTTCAATATTTTCGCCATTGTTAGTCATTATTCTATCACCGCTCGATTTTTGCGCGAAGAAGGCCAAAAAAGATGATGTAAGTGATTTGTTGGTTGCGAGAGGAAAGGAAGGCGATTTGAAGAAAATGCTAGTGGAGCCAACAGCGGCCGGAGCAGCGGCACCGCCGCCGACAACACCATCGCCGGCGCCGCCGACTCCCGCTGGCGGCTCGGCGGCCGTCAATGAGCAAAACACCCAAGAATCGTTGGCCTCGCCGGCAATTGACAACGTAAGAGAGCAATTTGAAAGGCAAGGCTGAAACCGAATTTCAGTCGAAAACTATCAATCAAGCGTACAACGCGATGGTGGAAAAGGAGTCGAATAATAACGTCAGAAGTTTGCACGTTTGACGAACGATTCCCTCCTTCGTGGTTTCGGTTTTTGAGAGAGAGGGGGGGATCACAACTATCGTTCATTTTCTCTTTTTGTCACAATGTTTTCTACTTTCACTAATGAATAATTAGTATAATTACGCGGATTAATTCGTCATTAATCCGATGGAATGATGAGGGCAAAAATGTGACGAGGACGGGGGGGGGCGGCAAGAAAAACGAAACCCAAAGGGACCATTGAAACTCAAATCCCAAGCAACATGCTTGCTCGAAATTATACGATGGAATTGGCTCGTAAAACGGAAAACATCTGCTCGAGACCCTTGTGATTATGGAAGAAGGATAGGATTGTTGAAAATAAGGGCAACCAGTTGTTATCGATGTACGACGAGCTCAATATTTATTTCCGATTTCGTTTTTCTTTTTCACGGCCAAGATTCTCACGAATCATGGCCCATTTTTTGGCAGGCGCCGCCCTAAAAAAATGGAAATTTCGATTCGGCGGGACCCCCAAAATTAGAGGGTCTCATCGGTGCAAATAAGGTAGAAGAATTGTGCTATATATTTGCACAATGGCCTCAATTTTTGAAGAGTTATGAGATTCAAAAAATCGAAACAGATTAAAGGCGCATAGTGGAAAAAAGGTTAGGTGAATGCGCCTTTAAACTCAACATGAGAATTCTCGAAACTTCCATTCATCGAAGAAGCTAGAAAAAAAAAACAAAAATGAGATGGTAAAATGAAAAAAATTGTTCAAAAACTGGTAAGATTGGTAAAGTTTGTCGTCCTCGTCCCCCCCCCTTTAAACACACGTTTGGCAGAGAGCACACGACGGAGCAGCGGGGCGGGCGGGGCTCCTCATCGAGGGGGGAAGGGAAGGGAAGGGCAGAGGTTACGCGCAAACAAACACAACAAGAATTAGAAAGAGAGAGAGAGAGAGGGGAATTATTTTTTGAATACAATTTTCCAATTCAAATCTGTTCTAGAATTGAGAAGCGACGCCACGAATGGTGTGCCAATGGTGTGGTGTCACCAAAAATGGTGGCAGCAACACACTAGCGTCCCCCCCCCCCCAACTTGTTACGACGCGTATGTATTTGCCGAAACGTCTTGTGACACGACGAGGTACACACAAATTTTTGCAGCGTCAAAAAAAAACGATGGTTTGACAACAAAAAAAAAGAGAGAGAGAGAGCGGCAAGCGATGAAAGAGCGTTTTTTTTTAATTTGGTGCACTCTAAAAATTGATTGCAGCCTCACAATTCCAGTACGATTCTTCAGTGTCAACCTTTGGCAATCCGAAAATTTCAACTACGGGTGGGGGGGGGGGGCGCAATTTTCTAAACAAACAAATAAATAAATCCTCAGCGGGGGCTCATTTTTCCAAGATTCGAGAAACTATCAATCTCGGCGAGATTGCCACACCAAGGTAGGGTGACCTTTGGCACCAATTGATGCGGATCATTAAAAATTGAGTTGGGTTCGAGTTTTCGACGGCTAGACAGCGCGCGTGTCAACACAGCAACTCGAGAATTCCATCAATATAGACAGTGCTCCACATAACTATACACCCACCACCAATTTGGTGAATACCTCCACCAATGGTTTCAATTAGAACAATTTCAACAAAAAATTACAATTTTAAAAATTTTGTCATTTTCACGAAAAAAATTATTCCAAAATTGGGGTGGGTATATAATTATGTGCCTCTCTCTCTCTGTTTGCATGCTCATTTTTTGTTAGCCATGGGTGAGCAACTCTTTAAGAATTATTCATATATTGATAAGACGACTTGGTCCTTGACATTCACAAAAAAGAGCCGAGCTCGAGGCTCAATTGAAGCTGCTCAAATGCCATTCACTATGCGATCAATATAATAGTAAAGAGCTCTGAGGATGCTCCTTTCACTTTGGATCGATTCGATCCCAAGAAATGCCGAAACTCGTCAAGAAAATTAGATCGCTCACACGTGGGCGAGACCCTTTTTTCAAGGCGCATGCGCGTAAATCTACAGTAGTCGTTGGACGCCGACTATATGTATGTAAAGTCGGCAAACACCGCCATTCTCATTTCTAGGCGGAATCTTGAAATGTGAGCACGAGCAGAAACCGGAGAATTGCTCCGTCAGATGCCTCGTGATGATTCGAACAATATGCAAAAACGAACAAATCGAAAATGAATGAAGCAGAAAAAAAAGAGAGTGTGCGATAAGGATGAGCGGACTGAATGTTGCGGAATTCAGTCATATGTGTGTCGAAACAATTTTTGACGCGATAACCCAATGAATAACGACAAATATTGTATAGTTGAATCTCGACGGAAGGGAGGAGCCAATAGATAATGGCGCAAATTCGAATTTTCAAGATTTTTTGAACACTGTGGAAGCAAGTGTTGGCCGATTTCCTTCGATAAGATGGACGGACTCGCTTCAGAAGGAGATCACCAGAAGAAGTTTGGAATTCGCGCCTGGACGAACCGGGGGGATGCGCCTTCGCAATGGTCGTGCGCGGACTAACTGATTATTTTAGGGGGGATAATTGCCGTTGGAAATTCAAGAAAAAAGTCGCTTAATTGGGGTTCAAACGTGGCGAGACCATTTTGGAAAGCGGTACCTCGTAAATCTACAACAGGGCGCCGACAATTCAATAAATTGGCGAAAAATCAGTAAATTGAATTTTGAGTTGTATGGAATTTTAGAGCATATCACTCTTCTCGCATTAAAACGAATTGGGACCAAAAAATCCATTTAGGCTCAAAATTATACCCAAAAAAAAATTTATTGGCAATTTATTTGTTTTGGAAAAATTAATTTTTGAAAGAAATATTTTTAAAAACCAATTGCACATTTTTTTAAATGGAAAGTTGAAAAAAAATGTAATTTAATATAATTTTGTGTTAAAAAATACCTCAACCTTCTAATTTTCTCATTTTTTCGAATGAAAAAAATGCCATGAAATTTGGTATTCATTTTTCGAATCAAAATTGAACCCCCGTTGAACGGTACGAATTTCAGCACGTCACACACATCTCAAATTTTCCGATGAAATTGAGAATGACTATTGATTGATTTCAAATATTCTAAAAATCATTCTTCTAATAATATACTATTATCAACAATTGTGAGTCTTCCCAAATGAATTGCGATTACATTATTTGCATAGTGGTTCAACATCACTTCTCAGTCGTCGAGATCACATTCTTCTTATAATCGAAGCTTGAACACATTGGCAAAGAACGGACGAAGTGGAGCACAGCAGGACGGGGGGGGGGGAGGGGTACAGAAAAAAGAACTGGTAGACTCGATCGATCTATTTTAAGACAACAAACAAAAAATGAGTGAAAACGTGAAAGAAACGACGCGCAGAGCATCGGCAACGTTTTGTGCCAAAAGCAAACAGTTTTGAAGAGAGAGAGAGAGTGGCAAAATACACCAGAATTAAACAAATATTACAAATTGGAGCCGAGTTGGTAATGGGAATCGTGTTCATTTCTCGACAAAAAATTTTGGAATGAGATGAACCCAAATATGATAATGGTCCTCATGAACAAGGATCGAAATAGATGCTGGTAGCTTTGAGATTGGAAAGAGGTATGAAAGAGTCGCCAGGGTCTACCCTGTTGATATACGGTGTTGTGGTGAACCCCAATGATTTTAGAAATCGTCTTGAACGATGGTCCCTTTTTTTCGGCGGCACGATGAATAGAATCAGCTGTCATTTTTATAATAGGAAACGGATTTTCATGAAACTTTCATAAAATGATTAAAGCATCATAGAAATGAAAAGAAATACATAATACTGTACAAAAAAATGGGCCGGTGCATTATGAGCTTGCGCCAAACTCTGGTAACGCAAAACCAATCGGATCCGACAAAATTCGGCTCCGGAATCAACCCGATCCGATCGGTAATTCTACGGATAACATTTGTATTTGTTCGGATCCGATTGGAAAAATTTTCCAATTCGGATCCGATTGGTTTTGAATTACCAGAGAAAGTGATGCACCAATAATTTTGCCGCACCCAGAATTATAAGGCCCGAGAATTTGAGCGCCGCGCAATCATTTTGAGACCAACCAGTGTGAAAATCGTGTTCAGCATTAAAAATAACCAACACACGGTTGGAAACTTTTGGTTTTTTTTTTCCGAAAAAAAGAGACTTGTCCGGATTTCTGTTTTCCACGCCATTTTACGTCATTCCACTCATTTCTTTTAAAATTTTCGGTTTTAACGTGGAATAAATTTTTTTCATAATTTATTAATTCTTCAAATCAAATGCGGAACGGTGAGTATTTGAAGAAAATGTAAAACTTTTGAATTTCCAATTTATTCACATTTTTTTAAATTCTTATTCCATTTAAAATTTTAAGAAGCTCTTAGGATTTAAAGGGAAATTGACTTTGAACAGGCAAATGTGAAATGAGCCGATGCGAATAGATGGGAGTTGAGCTGCACTGTTGCTCGGTCCATTTCGACATTTCGAAGAACCCTGAAGCAATTGCGTTCGGCTGCGTCAGGCGAGCGGTGGATTCGCGAGGCGTCTTGAGGCTATCAGCGATAATTGACGAAGTTCGGTGCTCGGCGAGCTGGAATGAGCGACAAGTTTCGGCTGGAAGCTTTTTTGTGGAATTGACAAGGTTTGAGTTTTATCTGATCAGCTCGGGATGAATGGGCAATAAAATAAAAGAAAAAAAATTGGTGACAACGTTGACCAAGAAGTTCAAATGGCAACTCAATCGACATCCACCAGCAGCCCGCCAGCCAGACAACTTCAAGTTCATACGACAACCACCTGTCATCAAGCTGTGCTCAATTCAAATTCTGTTATGAAGCCAAGGGACCATTTTCATGATGTTGACGTTCGATGTTCGGATGACATCCACCAGCATCTTCCCTGTTCAATGCTTCAATGATGTCGCTGTCGCCAGCTCCATGACGTAATATCACATTCCCGACCACTTCAGAACAGCATTTTGCGGATCTTCGGGACAAGGACATTCACGAAGAACTCGATTCAACCATTCCGTCCGTTGTCACCAAAAGTAAAAAAAAAGAAAAAAAAAACAGAAAAAAAAGAAAAAAAAACAAATGAAAAGATCCCACTCCGAGCTGTGAATGGTAAACTCATTTCTGCGTCAAGACTTCAAGAAGCAATCAGTCGTGCTTGGAACTCAGACTTGTTTTCCGCTGCTTCTGAATTCCCTCAATTTTTTCTGATTCCCTTCGGATCCCGCGTGGATGTTCGGCTCGTCTAATGCAGTCTAACACAACTTGCGGATGGCGGAATCGGGGTTTCGAGATTGCTCTCTTGCGATGGTGTATCTTGGTTTTTGTCTTGAAGCTGAAGCTTGCTGAGCTTGAGCTTGTTTTGAGAAGATTTTCAATAAAATCTTGAGAGTTTCTCTAAAATTTTGATGGTTTTGAGAATATTTCAAGCAAAATTTATGGACAAATATACTGTCTTTGGAATGATTCTTATTCGTTTATTTCCATGAACTGACACCTACGACGATGACTGACGAGACTGCGATTGGTCCAGGATATTATTGATGTGTTTACTCGCAATTCCATAGATTAATTCATACATTCTTATTTTCAGCTAGCAAAATGCAGGAAAACGATTGCATTGTGCCATGGCCATTGAAATTTGAATATATTCTTCCAATGGTTTTGAAGTTCCAGGCGTTATGCCCCCCAAATTGTCAGAGCATTGATATCAATTCGATGAAACAAAAAATATGACGAGAAGAAGAACAACCATCTCAAAACCTCTTATTTTGTTAATTATTTGATTTTTGTTTTTTTCTAATTCGAAGATGCGAATCTACGGCCCTACTTGCGGTAAGACTTTATTTATTTTTCTCATGTCGGCAAGTCTTTTTTTTTTATTTTTAAATAGCTCTCGAGGGGATTCCTTTAAAATGTAGTGACTATAATAAATGTAAAATCTCAAAATGTATGAATCAGCCACAAAGAACGGCATCGCCCTCATGATAAGGATGCGGGTTACTATGGTCTCTAATAGTAGGAGACCGCAGGTCTGCGTCCACTGTATTCTCGTAAGGCCTTAGAATTCTTCATTAGAAAAAGATCCGAATATGATGGGGAGTGGCGACCTACTCCAAATATATGTATATTGAAGGGTAGAATGAAATTGGTCCCATTTCGGACCAGTCGATGGGCGGGGTCTAGCGGTCCGCAAGGGGTTTCGCGAGTAGTAAGAAGACGACTAATTCGATTTACGGGCTGCCCATTTTCGAAATGGTCTCGCCACGCGTGAAAGCTTTTATTAAATGTCATTTCTTTGAAAAATGACTGACTCACTGAAATTTAAAATTTACAGGATGACCTCCACAATACCAAATATCTGTGTAGTTGGTCCGCGCGAGGCCATATTGAAGGCGCATGCGCGTCAATCTACCCGCTGCTCGAATTTTTAATTCAAAAGAATTGTAGGAAAAGCTTTCAAGCAAGAGTGCGCTAAGATTAGAGAATAAATTGAACAATTATATACAGTGTTGGCCATAATTCTATCCAAAACCGCATTTTCAGTCATAAAATTTTTCAAAGTTGGCCGATTGATCTGAAATGTTTTGACAATGTTTCTGACGCTATGTCCAACTAATTTACCAATCCACATCTTTAAATTTCAAAAAGAAAGTAAACAATTGAAAAAATTTAAAAATAAAGAAATTTAAAAAGACACAAATTGGTAAAAGAGTGCTCCGCGTATTCTGTCAAAATTTCAGATCAATCGGCCAATTTTGAAAAAAGTTATGGCTGAAAATGTGGTTTTGGATATGGCCAGCACTGTACATATATCAAGAAAAAAAAACAAATCATCGAGTTTTGATGTAGTCAATCAAATTTCATTTTCAAATTTTAAGAAATACACGTATTCTTCGATAAATTGCAATTCTGAAAAACAGAATTTTTGAAAGTGTCGTCAAGTAAGGCGCATTGTGCGCAAACATGCTTGCGTGTACGCACACTGCTCGCCTGCCTTGTCCTGATTTCGGTTTTCCGCGCCGTTCTACGCCATTTCCCAAATTCATGGCCCGGAGATTTCACAATTCACTGAAAATGCAATTTCGCCGAATCGTCGGACTCCCATGGTGCTTTCACCGCATCGTCGGCAAGGCTCTACATGATCACGAGGCTGCTCGCAAAGCATTCACTGGGTGGATGAATCTGGAAAAACGTTTTTGCTTCCGGATGAATGGCCAGATAGGCAATTTATTGTGGAATCCAATCGAGTGCCGTCTCGACCTGCGACGTCGATGGACATTCAAGGTAACTGTCATATATAATTGAATTATCATTTAGAACGCCCACTGAGTCCGTTTGAAGTGGAGAAAGCGAACAGTATGTTATGTTTAAATGTGTACTAACTAAAAACTACTGTTTTCACAACAATCATGAACTTTTGGGAAAATCGAGTGTTTCGCATTAGTGGCAACAAATTGACAGGAACATGTGTTTTAATCAATGAGCGTCATGTTTTAACCGCTGCGCACCTATCCTTCAAGCTCAATCAATCGTACAAAATCAAAGGAGCTGGAAATCAAGAGTTTGCCGTCAACTGCATTTTCATTTGCAAACATCGTGATTTCGCCATACTCCAGTCAGATGATTTTCCGATTATGGAACTGACAATGGGCTCTCTGGGACGAGGTGCTAAATACTTCCTGATGGTATGATAATTTTAGTTTTATTGTAGGCCGAAGGAACGTTTTTACGAATATCGGCCTATTTAATACATATTAAACAATTTTATTTCAGGGCTATCCGAACGGCGTCGATTCTTCTATTCCGACTATCACAAAAGGAACCATCGAAGGACATATGGACGATTGTCTTCATCTAGGTGAGAATAAATATCATTATTTTAATCAATGAGTTAATTGTTATGAACTTTTTTTTGTTTAGTCGGAACTCCTGGTCCGAAGCAAGGCTACTCAAGCGCTCCAGTCTTTAATGAGTCGGGAAGATTAGCAGGACTATTGCTCGGCGGCACAACTGGATTAAGTGTCAATACGACCATTCAAGAATGTCTTGTTTCGTCTGCGGAACAGAAATACGCGCGCATCTTAGGAATTGGCTACATCGTTGACCGTCATAATCAAGGTATCACATTTTTAATTTTCCAAAATTAAAGTGAAAATGTTTAGGAAACTCAGACAGCGAATCGTAAAACGTTCAATGTTGTTTCGATAATGGGTGTAATGAATAAAGTGTAATAATATTTTTTCTTCTTTATTTAACACCTGGTAAGATGCACAAAGAGAAAGAAAGTGACAAAGATACCTCTAAAATTATTTTATTTTATTATTATTTCCAATACTTCGACTAATAACCACAATGATGAGTTTCAAAATCTTGAATTTGAAATGTTGATAAAAGTAATTTATTTTTCTTATTTCTACTCTTGAGATATTCTTGAAGTTCTAAAGGTGGATCAAGTCCAAAGGAATCAAAGTAATAACATTTTTTACCTTTCTTTGAATAACAAACCCAATGAGTTCCTTTACCATTTGAAGAGTCTAGATTCACAATACCTACTTCTTTTGAAGGTGGTAAAGTGTCTCTCATGAAGATTCCTCTAAAGTTTCTTATCTTTAATAATTTTACAAGTTCTTCAAGATCATAATTTGTCAGAGGTTTAAGATTTTCTGAAAAGATCATTTATTTAGCATTTTTTTATTCACCGTTCTAGCGCACTTTTCTCGACCATTTCGACCACATTTTCAAGGTAGCGCATTTCGACCATTTCCACATTTTTGAGAATTGTTGAAAATGACACATTTTTGAAGGCCAATGTTCATTGACTCATACTTTTTGACTTGACTCATGATTTTTGACTCATAAAAATTGTATCATGATTTTTTATTCTTTGACTCATGATTTTTGACTAGTGATTTTTGACTAATTTTTTTTGACTAACAATTTTTGACTAATGATTTTCTGAATTTTTTTTTAGTTGAAATTCCTGCAGTTTTTTCATATTCAATTCTGTTTTTTTTTGGCCAATATTGATGGGTAAGAAGCTGAAGGGTGGGAGGAATTGGGGGACAGATTATTACTGAAAGGAAAAAAGTTCTTTTAACTTCTGTAAGCATAAAAAATTGTTTTTTTGGCATTTCATCGCTTATCGATTTCAATGAGAAGCTTAATCCCAGCTAAGCGGATCCACCGAAGGAATCGACTGTAACATTAAACGAATATCCGTAGTGGGCCAAATGGTATGTATGATTTGATATTTTTAGTAGTCTCCGTTAGTTTAATGAAAACAACTAAACACAGTTTTTATTCGCTATCATGTATTATTTAGCGTGAATAAAGGAGGGAAATGAATGGAATAACGCGATAAGTGATTTTTTATTAATTTATTTTGCAAATTATTTTAGCTTATTCGGTCAGGCCTGTTTTAAAACGGCATAATTTTCGATTTCTCATCAAAATTCAGGAAAAACGGTATATTCAAAAAAATTATTAAAAACTTTTAAAATTAATCAATCATTGAAATTTTCGATAGATCATTATACCGTTAAACCTTTATCAAAATGGTACTTCTAACAAAACAGCCTTCAAAAAACTTCTCAAAGTATAACAATGTGTTATTTTTGCTAAAATAATCTGCAAAATAAATTAATAAAAAATCACTTATCGCGTTATTCCATTCATTTCCCTCCTTTATTCACGCTAAATAATACATGATAGCGAATAAAAACTGTGTTTAGTTGTTTTCATTAAACTAACGGAGACTACTAAAAATATCAAATCATACATACCATTTGGCCCACTACGGATATTCGTTTAATGTTACAGTCGATTCCTTCGGTGGATCCGCTTAGCTGGGATTAAGCTTCTCATTGAAATCGATAAGCGATGAAATGCCAAAAAAACAATTTTTTATGCTTACAGAAGTTAAAAGAACTTTTTTCCTTTCAGTAATAATCTGTCCCCCAATTCCTCCCACCCTTCAGCTTCTTACCCATCAATATTGACCAAAAAAAACAGAATTGAATACTGAAAAAACTTCAGGAATTTCAACTAAAAAAAAATTCAGAAAATCATTAGTCAAAAATTGTTAGTCAAAAAAAAAATTAGTCAAAAATCACTAGTCAAAAATCATGAGTCAAAGAATAAAAAATCATGATACAATTTTTATGAGTCAAAAATCATGAGTCAAGTCAAAAAGTATGAGTCAATGAACATTGGCCATTTTTGAAAAGACTTGTTCATGTCAAAATAAAGCCTTAAAATGGCTGAAAATGTAGAAAATTGAGGATGGGCGTATATTATTCAAGTGATTTTTGAAATGACGCTCCGATTGCTGCTTCCACATTTTTCACCGATTTTCTCTCCATCAAAATATGACACAAAAAGTCGTCTTATGTCTTATGATAATTTCGCAATTTTGAGAAAACCGGAAGAATTCATGAAAAGACAATCGCATTTTCAAATTCAGGACCATTCAAAACCTATAAACCAGAGGGGGGACGTTTGCAATTGCGCTCCACTGCAATTCGGCGTCGATCGCGAAAGCGAAGCGCGTCATGATGAGACAGTGTGCTGACATAGGAGAATCTGCGGACACGCGGCGTCGATTTGCAGTTGGTTCGACAAATGCGCTCTATTGCACGCTAGGGAGCACTATAAAAGGCTAGGGAGCACTATAAAAGGCCGGGTATTGAGCAAATTTGTCAGTTCTCGCAGCTCCTCGAGTTGCGGGAAGCTCGCAGATCTTGCGGGCTCCGCGTGCCCCGCATCAGCTGCGTCCAGCCAGACGTGGCTTGCCCAACCACTTCTACTTCTATTATCCTCGGATGATAGTTGTGGGATGTCCTTGGGTGATCCCCATGGTGGGATCGGCGATGACCCACATCAGGTTTCGGCCTGATGCTGGTGAGCCTCTCCTTCGAGTGTCGAGCCTCTACGTGGAAGGAGATCAACTGAGTCGGTCCTCATTCAAAGGGGGATCGAGTCAGGCTAATCGGCACACTGTCTCACGCAGGTCGATGATCTTCTTCCTCAACCAGGCGACTTCCAAGTCGCAAGAAGTATTCAGAGAAATTCCAACGGCCCTCTTTAGAGCCATCAGGCTATTTTTAGGTCCCAGGATAACTAGTGAAGTCTCTGAGATGGTTGTCTCCTTCTGTCTTCTACTTAATACAATTAATTAATCTATATTAAGTGTGGCCGTGGCCGAGCCGACTTTTCGATGCCACTAATTCTAGGCCACACGTGAATTGCGGCGAGCCGCGTGCCTCCTCAAATTCTGCCATTTCTACAAAAAACAATGCTAATGTTCATTCCTATTCTATTTCAATTGGTTCAAGTATCGGCAAAAACACAACAATTGGAAGTAATCGGGCGATTGACATGCAAATACGCTCCAATGCGCAATGTTCAAGTCGAATTATTAGAATTTAATTATATATGTAAGCTGAATTTCGCTCGTCCAAAATGCCCCCAATATGTCCTCTTCAAATAGTCCCCGATAGTCGAATTGCGTCCGGAAAAACAGACAGAAATGGCCGATTTGCGTTGACGGGATCGGTTTCCGGATGGGTATGTCATTGTAAAAAAAAAGCCAACTTCAAAAAAATTTGATCTCCTAGATTTTCGATCCAATTCCATACATCAAATTCACCACCGATTGTCAAATTGTGAGAAATTTTGGCGGGAAAAATGTGCGGAGAAATCGCGAGATTTTCAGATTTCCGGTGTCAGCTGCCCGAAAACCACAAAATTCAAAGTTCCATTCGAATCCGATGAAACGCATATTAAGTATTCGATCGGAAGTGTCAATGTGAAGCAATTTGTGAGGAGAGGCGCGTGCAAATCGAAATTCGATGAATAAATTCTTTTTTTTTTTAATTGATAGAAAAAATTTAAAAGCTGTGAGAGGCGGAGAGAAAAAAAACGGCGAGAAATATAGAAGGAAAATGAGAGGGTGCTAGACAACGAGACATTTCGATGGGGCGCGTTTGCGGGCAATAACAGCGGCATTTTGGGCACCGCGACGTTGAAGGGTCCCGCCAATCAGCGATTGAAAAAGCTGACCGTGCAATATTGCCCAATTTTGCCGGAATTGGATTACGAGCCTCGGCGATTTTTGTCGTGGTCCCGCCCACGTGTGAATCTCAATTTTTCAATTTTTTGAAAATTTCTAAAAATTAAAAATGAAGCCGTTTAATTCGAAATAACGAGACCACAGTAAAACTACCCCCCCCCCCCCAACACCGGATGTCGACTATGAGAAATTATTAATTTTGGGCCATAAATGGGTCCAAATTTGTATCATCGATGATCAAAAATGCCATCAAGGTTTGAAAAAGCATGTAAACTTACACTCCAGATTATTCAAATAATTTTCGCGGACTAGTTTAGATGGCCTAATTTTTCGCGGCCACCCGCATTGAAACTTTGAATAACATTTTTCAAAAATTTCTAGCGTCATGCGAATGCTAAAAAAAGCTGAAATGAAGTCTAGGCATGCGCCTTTAAAAATAGGCCCGTAGACTTTTAGTGTTTTTTTCCAATTTCGTCGAATATCTTTGTAACTTTGTAATATTTCTATTTTGGTGTCGATTTTGAAGAAAAATGTGAATTAAAATTGCAAAAAAATACAAAACGACCCGAATTTTCAAATTCAAATTTTAATTCGATGGTCCGCAAATATTCAAGGTGTATTTTTCGGGAATTTTTGTTTTTAGGCGTCAAATTGTATCAATGAACTCCTCCATGCGCCTTTAAACAAGATTACTGTAGTTGATTTCAATTTTCAAAATCTCATTTTTTTTGGGATTTTTTGGGATTTTTTTCAAGTTTTCATTAAATTAGTAATAAAATTCCAATTTTTTTAGAAATAATTGATCATGCTTGATTTTCAGCATTTTTTTTTCATAAATAATTTTTTTTTAATATTTTTCGCAAATTTTCAATTTCAAAAATTATAGAATAGAATTTCAGTCATTTTTTTCCACCACAATTTCATCATCGGGCCTAAATTGATTGAAAGTTTTTATTTCATTAATAATAAAATTCCAATTTTCAGAAAAAATAATTGATTAGCATTTAGCCAATTTTGCGACGTGTAAAACCGTCAATCTCAAGTCTCATTTTTTGTCAACCGGAAAAAAAAACAGCGATGCCGAGCTCATTGGTGCTCGTTTCAACGCTTCTCCTCATCGCTTTTCGCGGCGTCTCATCAAAAGTGCTTCAAGTGAACGCGAAAGGCGCGATGATGTGCGTGTTCGATGATTCGATGCGCGTCGTCGTCGAATTGTGCGAGCAGAACGTGATCTGCAAGTGTCGATGGCTCGTCGCCGAACCCCATCCCTCATGTTCTTTTTTTTTCCAGTCGCCGACACGTGTGTGGCTTCAACGTCGACCGAATTCGACGGGCAATTTTCGCTCTACGGCGAGGTGTCCGATTGGGTACTCAATGATCGCATTCAGACGAGTCCGATTCTATTCAGCTATTTGATCCGGTTGCTTACATCAAAGTCCATTCGACATGTCCGACGGTAACTATATATCATATAATTCGTTTTTATGGAGTTGATTTTGGTATTCCGGCAAAACATGCCCGGCGACAATGAAATTCGCGGTTCCGCACCATCCCGACGAGCATTATGTCGACATTAATTATGGGGCCATTGATCTCGCTTATCGGTCCCCATACGATGTTTGTGATTAGGAGCTCATCAATAAATTTTCTAAATACTATGTGGATACGGTATTTTTAAATGCCGGGTACTGTAGGATTACGGTAGCCGTCGAGCAACGAGGAATTGTCAAACTTGCTGCGTATAATGTTTTGGATGGACAACAATTTTACAAAAGAATATCTAAGCGATTACTGTAGGGTTACGGTAGTTACAGTATTCCAAACTAGCAGAGCCAGAATGATCTACGAAATATTGTCTGCGTCTCTCACTTTTACCCACTATTTCGCATAGGGTGATATCGAAAAGAGGGGTATCTGTGAGAATTTCGAAAGAATCAAACCCCCCGGGCGGTTCCACAATTTTTTTTGTTTTCTCCTACATGCGCCTTTAATGTACTTTGAACGAAACGCCGAAAATTGAAACCGATATTTTATCATTTGAGAATTTCTAGGCAATTTTAGGTAGATCAAAAAAAAAAACTTATTTTCTCGCAACGATCCCTTCAGGAATCTTGTAGCGGAGACTTGAAAAAATCAAAATCGACGGAGCCAAAAATTGAGGGACCATTGAATGAAAGAGAAAAACTGAATCGATATCTAATGTTTTAAAATTTTCCAATATTCTTCTTGCCTTTTCCATGTGAATTCTTTAGGTCTGTTGTAGATTTACGAGGTGACCGCTTTTCGAAATGGTCTCGCCACGTTTGAACCCTAATTAAGCTATTTTTCCAAAGGCAATCGATTTTAAAATTTTCGAACTGACCCCCTAAAATACAAATAATCAGTTAGTCGGTGCGAGACCATTGGGAAGACGCATCCCTCCCCGTAAATCTACCCGTGTTGAGAAGTTTATAATAGTTTTGTGAATTTTTCTTGGTTTTGAAGGCGGGTTTTGAATAAACAGTTGTTGCTGGCGCCATATGTCCCCCAAATTGTTTTGTAAACTCGCTTCGATTATTTATTATTATTATTTAAAAAAAATATCTCACAAATTATTTTTTTTCATCTCACAAAATTCATTCTTCTTAGAATTCTGCATTTTTTTTTACAGCAAAAACCTTTTTTTTTTCAAAAAAAATGCCTTATTTGGTTGCATTCTGACCTTGAGACAACTTCAAATCTCGTCGATTTTCTTTTTAAATTTTCAACATTTCTATTTTGGTGTCGATTTTGAAGAAAAATGTGAATTAAAATTGCAAAAAAAATACAAAACGACCCGAATTTTCAAATTCAAATTTTAATTCGATGGTCCGCAAATATTCAAGGTGTATTTTTCGGGAATTTTTGTTTTTAGGCGTCAAATTGTATCAATGAATTCCGCCATGCGCCTTTAAACAAAATTACTGTAGTTGATTTCAATTTGCGAAATCTCATTTTTTTGGGTTTTTTTCGGATTTTTTTCAAGTTTTCATTAAATTAGTAATAAAATTCCAATTATTTTTTAGAAATAATTGATTATGCTTGATTTTCAGCATTTTTTTTTCATAAATAATTTTTTTAAATATTTTTCGCAAATTTTCAATTTCAAAAATTAGACAAAAGAATTTCAGTCATTTTTTTTCCACCACAATTTCATCATCGGGACTAAATTGATAAGATAATTGAGTCATTGAGGCGAAACCAAAAAAAAAAATTCGCGACGAAATCGATCTAATTCGCGTTTGTCGCGCTGCCAAAAATGGGCGAAAATAGCGGGTAATCCGGCAGAGAGCGTCGGAGAAACTGGCAAACTGGCGAAACAATTTGTCGCGTTTCGCAACTATGCCCAAATTGTTTTTTTTGGCCGTTGTTGCGACATGGGAGTACATCGTCCCTTATTCGGTGTATTAGGAGGGGGGGGGGTCCGATTTTCTTTTTTTTGTGTCTCTCTGTTATATATTGACATTTCTAGTGTAGGTGTACTACATTTTATTTGTTCTAGCCAAATATTGCGAAAATTCGCTGCTGCAAAAAAATTGCGGGGAGGGGTTTTTCAGCAATTCGTGCTGCGGACAATTTGCGGTTTCTCTTTTCCACCATTTTCGATTTTTCATCCCCCAAAAACCGGAAGATTGTCCGCAGATCAAAAATGTCATTTTTGGCGAATGCGACTCTCTCACGCCCTCGATGACGATGGCGCGTCATCCCGCAATAATGTCGGCAGCACAAATTCGTCATTCGCCAAACCAGCGAGTTGCCATGACGGCGGTGTGAAGCCCGTCGTGTATATAATCTTATATACTATATATATATATGCTAGAACTTCAAATCGATAATCCGAATTTATTCAAATTGCCCATTTTTTTTTTGTGTTCTTTCCTCGTCCTCTCTCCCTTTTTTTGCACTCTCAAACACACGCTGGCCTCGTCCACACAAAAAATGTTCGTTTTCGCGATGAAACCCGATAACGGTGTGTGAAATCCGCGATGGGCTCTCGTATTTCGCTGCACTTGCATGTATTAATTTATTTGTATTGTCGAGGAGCCGTTTACTAATTTTCGAATTGATCTAGTTGTATTACAGTAGATATTAAAGGCGCATGCGGCGAATTTGTTGGTTTCGCGCTAAAATCGAAAATGGCTAACGCGTTTGATCATTCAAATTCTTCGATAATATATATTATTCAATATACTATAGCTTTGCATAGACATGGGCGGACCGTAAATTGTCCGCAGCTGGTGCACGCCTTAAACCTGCCTTCACAGCTCCCTTTTTTCTCAATCCTGCCTCATCGGAAGTATAAAATTGTTTGTCCCGCGAGTTGTCCGCAGCTAGAGCGGTTGATTGCGAACGAATGAATAGGCAAATGAGAAACCGAGATGAACCCATATGGGGGGGGGTCGCCTTTGGGGAATATTTTGGCGCATATGTCGCGATGAATTTGTGCCAAATCCATTCGGCACATGTCACTTGTTCATTTCAGTGTCTTGCCATTATCAAGATGCTCGCTCGAAAATCGTGCGACCCGCAACGATGTCCGCAGAATTGCCAAATCAACGCTCATCGTCGATTCTTCTGTGTGTGTGTGTGCCACGTTTTCACTCCATTGTTTGTTCAGCGACGTCAATTGAATTTTTTTCTCTCTCTCTCTCTCTCTTGAAACCCTCATTTTCTGCACTCGTGAAACCCTCGAATTGTCGGCAGCACGAATAGCATAACAAAAACGACTGAAAAACAAAAACCAAGTGAACCAATTTTATTTATTTTTCGTGTGGTGCTCTCCTTCGATTTTGCAACCGAGAAGACGAGCCGACAAAAATTGCGTCGATCGATGCGCATGCGAGGGCAGATGGCTCTCAGAAAGAGAGAGAGAGAGAGAGAGAGAGAGAGCATGAGCTCGAGGTGCAGACGCGTTTCGGCTCGCGAGCGCGTTTTGCGCTGACACCAAATTGGTGCAATAATCCAACACACCAAAAACGGGGGTTCTTCCGGCCAATGGATGATGGGTGACCGCTTGCGCCATTCACCTGCCCACCAACATCTAATTACACCCTACCACCCGTTGGTTGCATTCGCCACCCTAATGGTGGAGGTTTGTTTGCAGCGGGGAGGGGTCGAGTCCATTAATCACACCGATTTCCGTTCTTTCAATTTCTTTTCTTTTTTTTTTTGGAGACAATCCATTTCGCATGAAATTGTCCGCAGCATTGATTTATTGCAATCAGATTTTCATTGTTTGTCGCCTTTCCCCAATATCTTCAATTAAGACGATTCGGACCCCCCCCCCTCATCCCCCATTGGGGAGGGCTCGAACCACTTATATGCCATTTGTGGCATCTGTTTCATCATCGATGGCCTCGATGGCCGTCCGCAGATGGAAATTGCCAAGTGCCTTGCAATGTGTGTTCTCTCGTTTTTCCATTCGAGTTGTTCGGGCTTTGTGGGAATCGTGCTGCGGACACCGTCAAACAAATGGAAGACCTCGGAAATCGCATTTCGAATGCATTAAACATGCACACACATACTCGCTTCTTCTTCTTCTTCTTCTTGTCTCACCGAGAAGCTTCTCCATTTAAGGAGGACAGCCATTTTTTTTTTCGTCGTCGTCGTCGTCGTCCCATTCTTTCCTTTTTCGGTGAGATTTTGACGAGAAGCCATCGTCCATCCTATCAATCTTTTCTCGTGTTTTGCTCACTCCAATAGAACAAAAATGGTTTTGGTTTTTTTTTTGCAAAACTTGTTTCTTTAAAGGCGCATCCCATTATTGCGAAATATTTTTGAAAGGCGCATTCTCACGAAATATCTCAAATTTGCTTAAAAGCGGTTAATCAAAAAAAAAAATAATAATAATCCGCAAATTGGGGTGAACGTGATTGCAGACAACGCCTTCGGGGCTATGCGCCTTTAAACGGGAATCCGCCTTCTCGACGCCAGTGTTTCGCGTGTCATGTAGATGTGCCGTCTGACGACTAATCTCTCTCTCTCTCTCTCTCTCTCTCTCTCTCTCTCTCTCTCTCTCTCTCTCTCTCTCTCGGTTTTTTTTTTGCTCGCGCTGCTCAAGGTGCTCGAAAATGGGATTAGCCGGACTGATTCGTACTCGCATTACTCATCTCTTTCATTTTTTATTTTTTCTCGACTACAAAATTCGATTTTTCCTCGTTGTTTGACGTTAAGCATTTTTTGATCTACCACTCGATGCTCCTTTAAATTGGTCTCGTCGTTAGATGATTTGCTCGACACAAAAAAGCGTATAGGGGCCCATTAATTTTTACGAGGCTTTTAATCCTGCAAGACGGGCTTGAGAATTGCGGTTTTTTTTTGGTTTTGGTGCGCGACCGAGACCTCATGCGCCTTTAAAATCCGACTTTTGTACATCATGCGCCTTTAAATTGTCCTCTACATATTTAATTTTCGGTGCCTCTCAAATTTTGCGCCTTTAAAC